AAAAAAATAAATAAATAGCCTATTACCGATACTAAATAACGAGCGATAAAAAATGCTTAAAAAACTAATAATAATTAAATCGTAATATTTAATATAAATAAAAAAAATAAATAAATAATATAATACCGCTATTATTAATTTATAATATTATTATTAAAAGGCTTAATAAATAGCCTTAAGGGAAATTTAATATAAAGGTACTAAAAATACCTATTAAAAATAGCTATAAAGGCTTAGCTTAAAATAGCTTTATAAATCCTTTTAAGACTTATAAACCTTTATTTTTCGTTGCGTTTAGCATATAGGACTATTATTTATCGTTTTTTTAATTAAAATTATTCCTATATATTTTAAGATTTTATATGCTATTTAATTAAAAACCATATAAAGGCCACAGCCTTACGGCTATCTATTTTAGGTGGGGTTGGTTTGGTTTGGTTTTTATTCCCTATCTCACCATAGATCTGAATTGGACTGAGCATCTTCTGCGTCTGGAAACCTGTCGCTAGAACGATGGCGTCCGCATCAATTGTTTTTCCAGATTTGGTCCGAACCCCAGTAGGAATAATCTCCTGAATTGGGTCGCCAAAGACGAGTTCCACATTGTCTCGATGGAGACACTGAAGGTATCCGGTATCATTGACTCTCCGCTTGCACCCGACTTCAATCTTTGGCACTAGAAACTCGGCATACTCAGCCGGAGCATTCTTTCGAACGTATTGCTCTGTAGCTGATTCATCTAGTGCTCGGCACGATGCTCCTTTCTCATTGTGAAAGGCTCGAAAGCCTCTCTCCTGTCTCCAATACAGGGATGCCCTGTACAGACGCATTGCCAGTGGAATATGTCGCATAGTCCACTTGAACATGGAAGAATACTGCGGGTTCTCTCGCTCGGCCAGCCAGTGGGGTTGATTGGCGAATTGAACCACCCTATTGACTGGTCGGGAATCATCACTGATGACGGGGACAAATTGAGTCGCGCTACACCCATTGCCCACAACGACAACGTTCTTGCCTTCCCAGTCAAACGAGTGATCCCATTCCGCTGAATGGAATATTTTCCCTGTGAAAGCTGTTGCTCCGGGTATGGTGCAAGGCTTGGGAAGAGATAAGCCTCCTACGGCGGAGACTAATATCTTGCTTCGCAAGTTCAAGACCCTTTCGTCGTGTTGATTCTGAGCGACCGTAAACCAGCTGTTCGATCCCCCTTGCCACTCACTTGACTTAACGTACATAGAGAATTTGACGTGCTTCTCAATCTCATACTGCTCACATACGCTCTTTAAGTACGCCAGGATTTCCGGCTGCATTGCGTACTTTTGTGACCAGTCATGTTTGAGAGCAAATGAGAATGAGTAAAAGTGAGAGGGAACCTATCAAACTGTCAGCGGGATCTGAGTATTGTGCCATCACATGACGAAGACCAACATCGCAACCGCACCCAGGGTACGTGTTGGCTGACCAAGTACCACCCAGCTCCCTGGCCTTTTCAAGAATGATGAAATTTCTGGTCTTGTATTGGCGGATGAGCTGAATCGCTGTGCAGATGCCAGAAATTCCTCCGCCGATTATGCAGACGTCCGCATATCGATCCATTGTGCCGTCAAGTATCAGACCTTGGAAGCTATATGCACTGGTTGAGAACTATTGATTATTGGCAATGTGAAAATATATGATAGTGTACCGTCAATCATAGCAAATGGTGATGCGTTAGGTCGAACCCCGTTTTGGGGTGAATTGGATCACTTAAATATAAGCAATACGTCAATCATGCGCGCTCGAAGTACAATCATAATATATGAAGCCTAAGCCTAGAGATCGATTTAGATCCGATACTTGCTGAAAGGGTTGCCATTTGCGGTAAGTTAGCCGAATATGTGTTTGTTGTAACTCGTCCCTGCAAAGTCTCCAGCCTGGCGCGGGGTCAAGATTGAAACTCGTGAGTGAAAGAGTACGGACTAAGCTTTTCCAGTTCACAAAAGTTCAAGAGTCTTAAGTAAGGCAACCCTCAGTATTGCGAGTCATGCTTTGCAGGGCATGCGAGTACGTTTTAAAGGAAGTACAGAAGAAGCCAACCTATGCAGAATTTCGCCACCATGAAGCGTCCTCTGATCGGGAGAGGGCTGTCGCAGCAGGATGTCTACTCCGTCGACGTTTAAGCTGGCCTGACCGCCATTTTGGCTGCGAAAAAGAGAAGATGAGGCTGGTGGCGTTTATGACAAGTTATCTCTCGGAACCAAAAAATGTATACCTCAAGATTGAAACGATACCCATCGTTCCTGTTTTTGTGGGTGACCAGAGATCATCCTGGAAGCAAGGCGGACAGTTCAGCTTGAGTCCTGCGATTGAAGAAAAAGGTCAGGACTCATGGCGCTTGCACTGATGTGGGGGCGCTGGAGATGCCCACTAAAAGTGGCTGTGGAGGCTTAGCTTAGAGTGGCTCTATAAGTCCCTTCGGGACTTATAAGCCTTTGTTTTTCGTTGCGTTTAGCATACAGGATCATCATCCATCGTTTTCTTAATCAAGACTGTTTCCACATATTTTGAGATTTTATATGCTATTTGATTAAAAACCACATAAAGGCCACAGCCTTACGGCTGTCCGTCTTAGGTTGGGGTTGGTTTGGTTTGGTTTTTGTTCCCCATCTCAGCACCCGCATCGAACGAGTCACTGAATCTTTCGTCAGGTCCTTTGTTAGATCCAGCCTATAACTATACCCTTACAAACATCGTTGGATCAAGCCAGAACATGGGCCTTGCGCGCTACTGGATCGAAGAGTGCAGCAAAAACCACATTGCATGCAAAAGACCCAAGGTCCCTTCGAAACCAAATTGGCTCCCTACTCGACTCATTCACATTGATAACGAGACCTCGCAACTTACTTCGCCTCGTGGTGGGCGCTGACCTGCCGCCCGGGAACTTGTACACAACCTTGTCCCATTGTTGGGGAAAGGTGAAGGACAAGCTTGTATTGATAGCGTCAAACGTGGTACCTATAAAAACCTTTTTCAGTGAAGTCCCAAAAAGCATTGCGGGGTTTGCAACACCGACGGGTAAGACGGGTCCCACCTCGGGTGTACGGCATGAACGAACGGTCCGAAGGCCACTCCGGGTCCTTGATGACTCTTAAGATGTAGTTAGTATATGACGTTCCTTAGTAAAGTAGGCGACATAAAACACAGGTTCAGGATCCTTCGTAAGAAAGCATGACAAGATGAGATGCAGTGCTGACTAGATGAATTAGAGAACGACCCTAGTTAGATGGGCGAGCTATATAAGCCAGATGAATAATCATTGAATGCCGCCTTTTTATAAAACAGTACGCAACCACCGCCTCTAATCAATGGATTTTTCAACTCCAACATCAAAGCAACAAAGACATCAATATGTCATATTTTAACCAATTTGTAACACTGCCAATCGCCGATGGCTCGTACGACAGAGCCATCGCAGTCCTTGAGGCGCTCGCCGCAATGATTAAGCGCGATGTACCGGGATGCGTCGAACTCGTTATCTACAAGTCGGAGGACAGCGCAACTGGCGGGATTAATATCACTCTATATGAAAAGTATGTTGTGCTTGTGACGTGTCGTTTCATTCGTACTTGCACAGTATTGTCAAAGTGCAGGAATAAGGGGAGCGCTTCTCAACACCTGGATATATCTTCTCTGTTGGATGCGAACAACTCAACTAATACAACAACATTACTCATACCTATCATATCTTTTCACAAGTATATTGCCTAGAAATGGGTGCTGACCATGATACGTCCGTCATAGATACGTCGACTCGGAGGCGCATAAGCAAATGGTGTCTTCGGCATCGTTTATGGACTTGATTAAGCCATTAGTGGAGGAGAGGCTGCTGCGCGGAGAACATACCCAGACAACTGTCCATCGCGTAGGAGGATATATGCCCAACGAGTAGAGGATTTACCTCTAGTAAAAAGGGACGCAGTATACAGATGTTGCGATATACCGACAGGCTATGTCTGCACAATTAGAGCTTGTGGTGGTGGCGATATATAGTTAGTTATTGCGGGGTACGAATTCAATATTGTTGATCAAGGTGGTGCTTTCCTATTGGAGTTTCAACTAGTCTGATATAGGTGTCAATGATGAGATATATTGATCTATGTTCTGCGCCTTCTAGTTTTCACGTGGTACACGCTTACTTGGGATAACCCCCGGAAGTCCCCGTATATCTATCTGAACACCGTTGTGTTGATCAGTGTGCTCAAGCGCACCCTCGTGCATGGGACCTATGATCTACCATCTGACACTATGATTTATACGATCCGGTAATGCGACACAAAGACCTCGACTAAGCTCGTCTGTATAATGGGAGTTGCGCTCTCCAGGAGAAACGCTTGCGAGCTCCCCCTCAATGATCAATACGATTCATCCCGATCAGTCTATCAGTCGATCTACCGCTCGGGGATGGGTCCGCCGAGGATGAGATGGCTTTAGGTTCGTGTCAGTGCTCGTAGAACGCAATGGTGTTGATGTCACAGACAGGAGAATTGGCTCCCTAACCACCGTTCACTACGGCCTATTCGGCACCAGGTCCGAAGTCAATAAAATCTTTTCCAGCGATCCTGTCCTCCGATTACCAGGATTAGAAAACTGGAACGAAGAGGGCTACTTCGTATCTACTCACAGAACTCAGGGCATGCAAGCCGTGAAGATCATTTGACGCATGACGATCCAGGACGACCTCTCGCATGTTATATGAAGAGCGCACTCGCCAACTCGAAACGAAATAGCGCGTCCATTCGGGTGAAAAGCTCGCGGATATTATTGATTCTATGATTCTTTCAGGATAGACTAGGACTAGAGGTATGATCATACTTGCTCAAGGTATTGAAAGATAGACGCTGTGAGTGCAGTACGACAGAATGAACTTGTATTTTGTCTTCGCGAATCGTGGAAATATGATTTGTGTTTATTTCTTACAATTCCTCCCTCCTCAGAATGTTATCCGCGGCATCTACCTAGTTTCAAAATCCCAACGTCTTCTCGTATTCTGCCGCTGCAGGTCCAATCGGCACCACAATCGTGTACGAAGCTCTCGAATCTTCTTCCGACACCCCATTGACCAAGTACAAGGGTGTCCTATCATTGTCAAAAAAGACCTTGGGCCTCTCCCTCCTGTAATAGTCAATAGAGGTGCCGTCGGTAAATTGCACCGTCGTATTGTACGCGGCCTTTTCCCGAAAGGTCCAAGGTCCCGTGTAGTTTCGCGCAAAGAGGTGCACTCCGACGTGAGGTCCCTTTTCGCCTCGCTCGGTGATATCGATCATGTAGTGTGCCAGAATGTGGAAGAATCCACGCTTGTCGCGCCATAGAAATGGGTCTTCGGTCCACGTCGGACTGTAGCTGGATGTGTTCCAGGTCGGCGTATAAGCGAGTTCATAGGGTGAAGTGTAGTTGTCTGCTCGGTATATAAAGTTGTCTTCGAGTGCAAGTAGGATCTCGGACGTCTGGTTCGCCGCGGTGTAGAGAGGCATGGCGGCCGGGTTGGTTTTGCCCGTAAAGAGGCGCTTCGGGGCATCCCAGTTCACCAGGTCTGTAGATGTGGTTACGGACACATTGTTCAGAAGTGTCTCGGCCTTGCAAGTTGTTGGCAAATCGAGACCATCTCCAATCGAGTATAGGAGATACTTTTGGTCAGCCTCGCTCCAGAACCAGGTTGGGTTGTGATGCCAGGCCGGTAGGACGTCTTGCTGCCAGGTGTAGGGCCCCGCAGGACCCGTGGTCGATGAGGCTCTGATGACGGTACTAAACGGCTTCCACCGGTTGAGACCACAGCCATGAGAGAATTGTGAAACAATCATGTGGAAGTGCGTCTTGTTGTTTCGATCTTGGATGATCTCACCACACCAGGAAGAGTTGCCTGCGCCGGTAATGTCGTAGAAATCAGAGCCGATATAGTCTGTGTGGTTATATCCCGATCCCTTCCTGGCAGGGTACAGGTCCAGCTCCCCGCAGTCTTCTGACCTCCATCCAGCGTCACAAGCACAACTGCCAGAATTGCAAACACCATTCAGACTGCAATCTTCATCAGTCGCACATGCCTTTCCGTGGGCTAGGAGGATGCATAACAAAGGGAATATGGTCATGAAGAAATGCATCATGACTCGGGACAAATTTTTGCTCTTGCTAACAATCATCAATACAAGAAATCATTTACCAGGTACAGTGGTACAATGTCGCGGACCTAGATCATTATTTGTCGTATGCATCTCACCCGAAAGACGTGACATCAGGACATTTTATACATACCATGTATTATGTCGAGAGATCGGCACTACTTCAAAGGTCGTCGCAGGTCCGTCCGAGAGTGCCAATAAAAATCAACAAATTGAGGCCCGGATGCGCAGTGCATTGTTGCTGTGGGTTTGGGAAGCTGTTCACCGCGTCGTCACATCTCGGGGGAGTGAATGGCGAAGGCAGGCAGAAGATGCACACCGAGTTGTCGTGGTATGGATAGATCAACAAGAGTGACGGCTGACTTGCGCCGATTGATCCGCGAATAATAGGTTGAAGGACTCCATATATAATATATCCGTCGGCTATTTTCTTTAACACGAGTTCGAGATACTGCTCCTGGTGCATTTTCATACCCTGCTAAAAGCACCTATAGATGCGCAGTAGGCACCAACCTTGTAGGTAGTTGGCGCCTGAAACGCGGTGATAAAGTGCTACTAGGAAACATTTAGCCGCTCTAATGTACCTAGAAACCCCACCCACTACTACTAGGGGTCATGGTTTGCATCTCGACATGAATACCTTGGACTCTCAAAAAGCCCCTGCATGCGCGAATATTTTGATTTTACAAACAAAAGGAGATTCAATAGTACATTTAATTAGTAACCCAGCATTGTTCCGCCTTGGGGCTGATCAAGAAATGATTGACCATGTCCATAGATTCCGGTGTCGTCTGAGGTGCCAAGCGAGAACCTTTGAATGTGCGGAAGTATAGCGCCGTGCCATGGCGCAGCTCCATTCGTGCCAAGTGAATACCCAGACACGTCCGAGTTCCAGCACCAAATGGGTGAAAGGCGACCTTGCTCGATGCTTGGAACTCTCCCTTTTCCGTGAGAAACCTCTCTGGCACGAAGCTGAACAAATCAAAATTAGTCATCTCGACATAGATATGCTCAGGAGTCGACGTCACTTACCTTTCGGGCGCATCGTAGATCCGAGCGTCACGGTGCAGACTGAATGCCTGGGTACTAACAGTGATGCCTTCTGGAATGTAATAGCCACCGAGCGTTGCGCCACCCTTTGGCACGGTCCGTGGCAGTGCCCCAGGCGCGGCACCATACAACCTGAGCGTCTCTTCTATGACAGCAGACAAGTATGGGAGCTTCTTTAGATCTTCGTCGGTGTAGTCTTCCGGAAGTGCCCCCACCTCGGCCTCCAACTTGGCCTGAACGGCGCGGTGGGACAAGACGGCCCAAACGATATAGGTGAGGGTTACTGCCGTCGTTCCAGAACCGGCCACAATAAAGCCAGCAGCTTCAAACGCCACTTCGTAATCTGTCAAGGTGGCATCTTCTTTTTCATTCTCCGACACAATCCTGGAAAACATGTTGGCTCCCTTTATCCCATCAAATCGAACGCGCCTCATCGTCTCCTCTGCAAATCTCTGCACATCGGCATCAGCAGTGACAAAATCTTGTATCGCGCGGTTGGGAATATAGTGTAGCATCTTGGCCAACACGGGTAACTCGGAGTTAAAGCCCCCATACTTCGTGGCGTCTTCGATTTTTTGCATTGCTGAGGTTTTCTAGTTTTGAAGTTTTGAAATTTTAGAACTTGGCCGGTTCACTGGACGGAAAATTGGGCAATATTTTCAGCTTACCTCTCCCTTATCCAACATTCCAAAAGGTTCTCCGAATGCGAGGTGGGAAATGACGTCTGCAGTCATGAGCGTCCACCACTTGAAGACGTCGAGCTGGCCATCTCGAGACAACTCGTCCTTCATCTTGTCCACCGTCATCGAAATCTTGTCCACGATTACCGAGTCCCAGTTTTGCGTAATGGCTGAGTTACTGAATAGAGGAGCAAGCAGCCTCCGTCGCTTGGCATGTTCGTGGGGATCAATCATGGAAAAGACGTCTGCACTCTCTCCTTGCCGAAATGACGAATACCATGGACTCTTAAGATAGCCGCTACCACTGCGATGGATCTCTTGAAAGGCTGCCGGGTCTGCAATGGCGATTTCATGTGGAGAAATGCGAACAATTGGGCCATATCTTTGGTGCAAATCATGCACATAATGCATTCTTCGACCCAAGACTACATGTTTCTTCAACCAGAGATGGGTAAATCTTGCATAGAATGGACCAGGAATGCGACGTAAGGGTGTACGGTAAGCTCGCCATAGTAACTGGAATGGATATAAGTCAAAGTCAACAAGGTAAAGATGTAGACTAGAGTATTTACCTGGAGTAGCAGAACAGCCAGCGCCAAGCTGCCCGCCTGGAGGATAATCCCGTGGCTAGAGATTGAACTCATATCGTGCCCTTTCGAATCCGACAAGGAAATGGATCGATACTTTTCGTGTACAGAAGATGATTAAGCATGCGAGAATAGGAAATTGACAGTGCCGTACATGGAATCTTGCATGTTTATATAACCCAGGTGTTCGGGAGTTCGCAATGTTCGGGCTGCGGCAATCGAGTGCCATGCCAATCAGTGGACTCCTCTATACCCCACAATCCGTCTATAAGGTCGCAATGTCTCCATCGCGTTGCCCCATTCAGTAGCACAGACTTTGGTATTGGACAATAATGATTGGCATATTGCTCCTATGCCACGAGCCGCTGACTCAGCGGGCATATAGTCTTCCAGCGGCCCGTTCGGGATGGACGCCTGCGCGCATGTTTTGCTCCAGTATTCATTAGATTAGTGGCACATAATAAGAAGGGATCTGCTTCTTTAGCGTCCACTCGTTCCCGATAGGGCTTGCAACTTGTCGGTGCGGGGCACAGCTGAACCATTTCAGGGTGATTATACTGTCTGTTAGTTTTGATTCGGCCTGTTTAATGGAAAATATCTTTTCAATTTTGAACCTCAACTTTCTTGCCCTCTTCTCGTCCACTCGGGGTGTAGATGCTTCAACGCTGCTTGCTTTTATTGACTCCTAGCTACGATTATCACACCATGTTTGCGCACCGTTTTCGTATATTTATAGTGGTGGCCTACACCGAGTCAAGTACTTGATTCTGCCCAGTGAATTGATTACAAAGCCTTGCGCGCGTCACTATCGGTGATGCCTGGAGAACCGATTGCTAGGTGGTACATATTATTAAGTGGTAATGTTACCTACTAGACTCCGAATTCCCATGTATTCAATGCTGTCTTGAAGTACAAGATGCGACGGGGACAGAAACGGGTGGATTGGTATTAGCGGCGAGAGTGCTGATATCGCCAGACCCAAAGTCTGTGGGAAATTAATAGGGACTTAGTGTATTTAGTATAAATAAACGGATCTGGCTATATAGGTTTAGTTAAATAAAGTGCACAAGACCTAATTGCCTCCTATAGCCCACCGGAAATAGCCGTTAAGCCGGAGGTCCCAGGGTCTAATGCTTTTATCCGTTAAAACGAAAGTTATACTTATTATTTTAGTTAAAATTAACTTTCTATACGCCTTTTATAATAAGCGATTTAATCGAAATAAAAGAATAAGCCCTATTACGATAATTTATAGTATAATTTATAATTAAATAATAATAATTATTCCTGTGGTTAGGTTATAATTTATTATATTTAGCAAATGCACGAAATGCTTAAAGTCCTTAGGTCGCATCGCTTTTATAAGCTTATTAGCGGCGTTTTCCGTAAATGTGATTTTTTTAATTAAAATATTCCTAATAAAAACTTTTTATTAAATATAATAAAAATACCTCTTAATATGCTTTTTCGTAGGTGTATTGGTTTAGGCTTTTGCTTACGCTTTTGCGCCTATATTATTAACTAATAAAGGAATCGCTTTTTAAGGTATTATTTTTAATTCTTTTAATAGGTTCCTAATAAATATAGCTTTACGAGCGCTTTTATTAATAGCGTAATATTTAGCTTTTATAATAAATTAAATAATTACGCTTTATAGCTTTAAATTTTAGCTTATTAGGGAGCCTATTATAAACGTTATTTATTTAAACGTAGATTTAAAGGTTAATTTATCGCTTATAAAATTAGCGTTAACGTAAATATATAATTTTAGTTTTTTATATTTAGTATAGCGATAAAATCGGGTATATTTTATTTTTTTTATGCGGGTGCTTTAAAGGTATTATAATATTTTATTTAAATGCTTAATGTAATTAGGAGACGGGTTATTTATAAAGCGAGTTTATACTTTATTATAGTATGCTATATTTACGCGTAATTTAATTATAGCATAATTCGTTTTCCCGAGCTTTTTAAAATACTAATTTTTAGATTTTTAATTAACGTAGCCTTTAAATTTATAGGTTATTGCTATTAATCCCGGATTAATAGGAATAGCAGCATTTTTGATATTTTAGTATCCGAATTTTTTAAATATTTAATTTAAATACCTATTTTATAATAATATAATATTATTATTTTCCTCCTGGATAATGCGTATTCCTAAATATTATTTAGCGGTACCTAAGTATTATAGTTTTAGCTATTTATTTAATTATTAAATTAATTTTTCGATAGCTTTAGTATTTATATATATAATTATAAAATCGTTTATATAAAAGGTTAATACCGTTTTATTAGCTTTGTTTTAGTAAATAGCATTATCGGTTTTTAATTTTATAAAGCCTAGTTTTTTTAATTTTTTTTTAATTTTTTGTTATTATTCGAAGCCATTTTGCTTTAAACCGTATAAAAGGCGTAATAGCCTAATTATATTATTAGGAGTATAATTATATTATTATATAATATTAGGGTGTTAAAATATAAATTTATTTAGGTATAAGAATTAGTGTATATAGATCTTTTTATTAAGCCGGCTTAATAAATAGGTTATAATAAAATCGATTTAAAAGATTTTTTAGCCTTTAATTATAGCTATCGCGATTAGAACGCGGATGCTTATTTATTTAGCTATATTAGCGAAGGTTTCCTTATAGTTAATTTTAAAAATTTAAATAAAGCCCTAAGCTATAAAGCGTGCCTTTTATTTATTTATATTACCGGTAAAATTATATTTGGTTTTATATATTTATTTAAATTTAATTAGTGGCTTTTACTTTAATTTAAAATTATTATAATCGAGGAATTCGAACGTTTTTTTTTAAATAGCTTAGTGATTTTTTTTGCTATAGCTTATTGCTAATTAGGCTATTTTTATATATTTTTTGCCTAATTAATCGATAATGGATTAGGGTTATATTTAATAATTAATATTAAGTATTCGTTTTGCATTTATTTAAATAAGTTATTATTAATTAATAATAAATAGTTATATAAGCTTTTATTTAGCGTAATTAATAGCGTGCCTTTAAAGCTTAGATTTTTTTTATCGTCCTAATTATAATCCCGTAAATTAATTAAAGCGTGGTAATTATTTTTTATAATTATATTTATATATACGTAGGTATATTTATTTAAGCTTTAACGTATTATAGCATAATTATAACCACTATTTATATATATTATAGCATATTTAATTATGCTTTACCGTATAGCTATATATATTTAAAAAAAGCCGGCTTTAAGTTACCGCGCCTTTTATCCCTATTTTTTAGCTATATTCGGATTACGAGGCTTTATATAGTAAGTTAGCTTTAAAGTTTTATATTGTAGCCTATTTTAAACGTGCTGCGGAAGTGATTTAATTATTTTTAACGGATCGGGCTAATTAGCGCTTTTATTAAGGTTTTTATAAAATATAACGTAAAAAATTATAATAAAGCGTATTATATCTAATATATATACCTCGTATAAATATTCCCTAAAATAATTTATAAATATACTTTTTAGCGCCTTTATTTATAATTTCTTAATTTACACCCTATTTTCCTTTAAAATATATATAAAAATACGCGATTTAAAAATTTTAAAGTGCCTAATTAATAGGCGATTAAGTATATTTTATAATTAAAAGTTATTTTTTTAGCGTTATTAAAAAGTAATTAATTCCTTTTTAGTAGGTATTATATGGTTTAAAACGATAACTTATATTTTGCAGATTTTATCCTAAAATACCGTAAAAATATTTATTTAAATATAAATAGCGCGCGTATTATTTTATAATACCTTAATCGCGCGTTTAGCGGTACCGTTTTAATATTAGTTATTTAATATTAACGTAGTTAATTCGATGCTTTTTTATTATGCGTAATTATTAAAAAAGCCGCCGCTAAAATTATTAGTTTTATTAATGCGAATTATTTTAATTCGGCGCTTTTTTTTCCTAAGCTCGTATTATAGCTAAACGATATATTTAAAAAAATCGCTTTATAAAATTTTTTTAAATAAAGTATCGATAAAATATAATTTTATAATTTTACGGTATTTAATTAGTGCAAAATAATAATTATTATTTAAATTAACGGGTTTAATCTTTTTAATATTAGCTTATAATAAGGTCGCCGCAAAATTTGCGCGAATGCGTATTAGATTTGCTAAATCGATCCGAACGCTTTTAGCTTTATCGTACGCATCGTATATTAGTATAGGAATGTTATTTAAATCTAAATTAATGCTTTTAGTGGCTTTAATCGTTTTAATTAGCCGTTTTTTATTTAAATAATTTAATCGATAATATTATAAAGTTATTTATTTAATTAATAGCTTCGTTAATCCGTTTAATGCTATTAAAGTTTATATATAAAATAGTTTTTTTTGCTTATATAGCTATAAAAACCACCCTTTTTTTATTATATTAATAATAGTTAATACTTTATTATTAGGCGTTTTAATAAAGTTATTATAAATTTTAAATTTAGCTTTATATAATTTATTATTAGAAATTACTTTTAATAGGAAGTTTTTAACGTAATAATATTTTTTAAGCGTTAATTCCCGGCGTTTGCTTTTAAAGCCACGCTATACGGTTAATATTTAGCCGTATTTTATTAGATATATTATATTATTCTTAATAATAATAGGTAATTAATTATATTTATTTAATTTAATAATTAATTTAGCGATAAAATTAGCTTTATCGTTTATAATATAAATATTAGCGCTTATATTTAATAGCTATCGTTTATGTAAATTTAGCGCTTAAATAGCTATTAAAATAAGGAAATTATAATAGTTCGTTTTATTTTATATATACGGATCGCATTATTTAGCAGGTTTATAGCGTTTGCTATTAAGCGTAGCTTATAATTATTTAATTGCGCCGAAAGCGACCCGCGTATAATAATTATAAGCTATTTTTAATTTTTTTAATTTTTATCCTAATTAAAGAGTTTTATAATTTTAGCGTTTTTAAATTAGTAAAAAAAATTATTATTTATTATAATTAATAATAACTGCTAAAAGCCCCGGAATACGCTTATAAACGCGCTTTCCCGGCCCCGGCTACGACCCGTACCGCGTTTACGGTAATTACCCTTATTTGCGTTTAATCGTATAATTGCGTTTAACTGCGTAAATAATTGCGTTAATTGCGTAAAATTAAAACTTTATTTGTTTGCAGTTTTTTCGTCGCGTTTTTTAAATTTATAATTAATTCGCCGATAACCTTTTTTACCGTAATACTAATAATTGCCGTTAATTTAACCGTTATTATTAATAAATAATAAATTAGCGTTATTTTTATTATTAATTGCTATTTTATTTATAAATTTAATTATAAAAGATTATTAAAGTTATATAAGTCCTAATATAACGCCTTTTAGGAGGATAGCTAATTAATTTTTTTTTTTTTATTTATTTTAAAGCTTTATTTTTAATAATTTTTAGATATAATTAAATTTAATTATTTAAAATAAAGCGTTAATTATTAGCGTTATAGCTTTTTTGTATATAATAATTTTATTCGGCATTAAATTTAGCTGGGTTTTTGCTATTATAGTCGAATTTATATAATTTTTTAATAGTTTTTACCTTTTTTTAATAATAATAAAATTAAATTAATTATAAAAAGCATCTTTTATTTTTATATTTATTAAATAATATTTTATAATTATTAATAGCGTTTTATCGTTAATTATAGCTAAAATTATAATAGTAATAAGCTTTTTATTTAAAGGGTAAATAGGGGTTTTTGCGATTTATTTAGCGGCCTGCTTATTAAGCTTAAGCAGTGCTATATAGGCGCGATAATTAAAGGTTCCTATTAAAAATTTTAATTTATCGATTTTAAATTTAAAGTCTTTTAAGCAAGGAATTAATATAATTAAAGCTTGCTTTAGTATATTATAGCCAGCTATATTAGCGGTTATTTGCCTTATATTTTTAATTATAGCTTCCGTAATATCCGCTATAATTATATATTTTATAGCGTTTTAGCTAGCTTTATTAGCGATCGCTTAAATAGCTATTATAGCGCTTTAATTACTTTTAATTAAAATGCCTTAGCTAATAATATAAGGTTCTAAATAACCTTTAGTGCTAAATGCTATATTATAATAAAAAAAGCTATTTATAATATTTTTTATATTAATAATAGTGCTATTATATAGGAAATTAATAGGGATTTAGTATATTTAATATAAATAAACGGATTTAGCTATATAGGTTTAGTTAAATAAAGTGCATAAGACCTAATTGCCTTTTATAGCCTACCGGAAATAGCCGTTAAGCCGGAGGTCCCGGGGTCTGATGCTTTTATCCGTCAAAACGAGAGTTGTACCCATTACTTTAGTCAAAGTCAACTTTCCACAAAGTCCACTAGCCATTATTCTTCAAGTTTGCTTCAATGCAACGGCTGGATTGATAGACAACTGGAAAAATTTGAAGCCAGGAGCTGACGATGGAGCAACAGTCTCTCCATCTTTCTCGAAATCGGGGTGTCACTGAAAGCTTTGCTATTCTGCTTCCTTCAATAGATATGCGGATGCAAATGAGGTGGATAAGACAAACCCGGCCTTCCGCGCTGACAACCAGTCAGGCAACGGCACAAATATTGAAGCGTTATGTTTCGTTTGCACGCCTGACCACACGTCGCAGACCATATTACAAATCTATATGCCTGTCTCAAGCTTGAATTCGGCTTTGGCTTGTAAAAGAGATGAAAATAAATCCGACAACTTCTCACAAAGTGAGAATGAACCCGACAGCATATTTGAACGTTCAGGATATAAACTCTCTCCTGATCCAGAAGACAGTTGGAAGGACCATCTACCATCTTCTCCTTTCTCATCTTGCTCGATCAAATCATCAAGTCTCATAGCACTATTCATTCTTCAATATTATTCACTGAAATTGAAACGCTTCAACTACATTTACGATGGCTGCCTTTAATTAAAACACTACAGGAGCTGAAGTCATCTCAGCTCTCGCATCTCGTGTCAAGGGTCGCACCTTTGTAACCACTGGAGCCAATGCCCAATGCCTCGGCGGCCAGATTGCCACAACGCTTGCCAGTGGCAGTCCTGCTCAGATCATACTCGCCTCTCGAACTGCCAATAATGTTCAGCCGGTCCTCGACAGCATCAAAGCTATCGATAGCTCTATCAAGACCACTTACGTGCCGCTGGACCTGACTGACCGCGACTCTGTCAAGAACGCTGCCGAGACCATTCTGGCTACAGCCCCCAAGATTGACGTGTTGATCAACAATGCTGGAATCAGTAAGTAACTTACTTATTTAGAGGCTGGCTGAATAATGAAATTACTCGTCTTTTGTAGTGGCTGTACTGGATTACACAAAGGATAAGCACGGCGTGGAGCTGCAGTTCTCCGCCAATCATGTTGGGCCATTCTTGTTCACCAACCTTCTGGTGACTGCCCTAGAGGCTGCCGGACCCGGCTCACGTGTGGTGAATGTGAGCAGCCAGGCCTATCGCTGTAGTCCTGTGCAGTTTGAGGACTGGAACTTCTCGGACGGCAAGACCTACGATATCTGGACATCCTATGGACAGTCCAAGACGGCCAACATTCTCTTCGCCGTTGGCTTGACCAAGCGTCTTAGTAGCCGCGGTATCACTGCTTCCGCGCTCCATCCTGGATTGATCATGGGCACCAGCTTGGGTACCCACCTTGACCAGAGTGCGTTTGCCAATGTCGATGAAATCACCGTGAGAAATACTGGCCGCCATTGGTACTGGGACTAGCCTCAGACCAAGACAATCGAGCAGGGCGCAGCTACCCCGCTGATGGCTGCTCTTGATCCCGAGATTGTCTCCAAGTCGCCTGCCTACATCACCAATGCCAAGGGGGAAAAGCCATACGAGTTTGCAGATGATGCCGAGCTTGCTGATAAGCTGTGGGTCCTCAGCGAAGAGATTCTGGGACAGAAGTTTTCTTACTAGTTTTCCTGGCTCGAGCAAACTTGTCTGGGTGAAGGCAGCCTGAAGATTGCGGTGCAGGTTGATACAGCGATTATTAAACGAGTGCCTATATGTGTGTGGCCAAGTATATTGACCCTAGACGTGGGATTTGACTAAGTAGAATTTCAACCATGCTCTGTAGGTACTAGTAGGCATGCTGCCCACCATCTCTTAATACAGAAATCTCCACTTATGGATTGATGTAGTGCCATGCCGAACTCTTTAAACATGTATCTTAGTGGATATTCACAGGGAGTCGCATATCTGGAGTCTCAGAAAAATGATTGTTATGATCGTTTCAATTCTGATAATAACATTCAACTGAAGACTCTCTTCATATTACTGTGCCGTGTAACCTCCATCGACTGGTAAGCAAACCCCCGTGATCCATGAGGCTTCTGCACTAGCTAGAAAAATGGCCGCGCCTACGATATCTTCAGGTTTACCAACGCCACCAAAGGGATGTCGAGCCTCGATCCCTTTGGCATCATCTAGATGGGTTATTGTTTCGGAAAAGATGGCGGTCTGTGTGTCTGTTTTCACCTTTGTCAGGATTACATCATATTGGCGAGAGAAGAGCTTAAACTTACATCCAGGACATATCGCATTGCAGTGAATCTTATCCTCAGCATAGTCCAAAGCTACCTGTCTGGTAATGTTTGATACAGCCGCCTTAGCAGCAGCGTAGGATACTAGGAACCATTATTCAGGCGTCCTTTGATGCATAACATTGAAATAAACTTACTATTAAAGCGACCACCGACAAGTCCAAAGATGGAGGACATGTTGATGATCCATCCTCTATGTCCGTTGACCACTTCTTGCTGTAGCATCTGGGCAATGACAAACTTGCAGCAGTGGAAGACTGACTTGACATTGACCGCCATGGTAATATCCCAAGTGCTTTCCGGAGTCTCGTGGAGCTTTAGGGGTGCACGTCCGGCTTCCAAAGAGATTCCCGCGTTATTGACGAGTCTAAACCAGATAGAAAAGGTTAGTTGGGAGCCGAGTAGCGGGTACTTGATCAAAAACTCATCCTACATATCGACACGTCCAAAGGCCGACACTGCTTGCTCAACCATGTTCTGCACATCTGTCGCCTGGCTGACGTCCACGCGAACAAATATTGCTCGTCCACCCTCCTTGGTGATCATTTCATTGGTGCATGGAACCGAGGCTTGCGGCTCTGGGCCGGCAGATCGGGCTTCCCGCTTCAGATCGGCGCAGACGACGGCAGCTCCCTCGCGGGCGTACGCCAAAGCTATCGCCCTCCCTATTCCAGAGGAAGATCCGGTGACGATGGCCACTTTGTCTTGGAGTCTAGACATGGTTGGTTGCAAAAGTGTTGAAGAAAATGGTACGCAGAACAAACTCTCTTCAGGAAGACAAGATTAAGAGCAGCAGAGATTTGGTCAAGTCCAACAAGCGTTCTCCGCACGATAGATCCGGATTTAATCGAATTGATGTCGTACAAGCGAGGTCCTGAGATGGACTATTGGGGTACTTCCGGACGGCCGTGGAGAGCAGCAGACAGTTTTCAGTGGGTTGCCCCATTTGGCAATCGGTCGGCAAACTTGCCGTTTTGGTATAGTATAAATGAACAAATGCGGAGAAGTATGACTTTGAAGCCAGTGGCCTAGCTCACGAATCGGATACACATCAAACCCAGTAAATACGCAATGGTGTTTTCACACATTGAATGTCAGTGGCTCCTGATCTGCCCCACGTCAGATTTCATATCTTCTTCTCAATGCGGGTGGGCTCGCAATATGTTTTAGGCGCATGCCGTGACTGCATGGGAAATGTTGAAGGTTATTGGCCTCGGATAAGTTGCTCAATTCTTAAAGCGACATCTTTAGCATTAAGACGCAACTAGTTGGCTTCTTCCACACAAAGAGGTTTGGAGATAGATAGGGCGCTACATGAACCAGCGTCACTGATGTGAATCTACACTAGGTCCCATGACTTGGTCAAGCGAATGTAGGTTAGACGGACAGGAGAGGCAGAATATTGAGGTAAATTGGGTGTTGTATTAGGTAAGACTAGTAGGTAACTAACGGATTCTCATTCTCGTGGGCTCCCTCCAGGGACTCCTGCCATTTGGTCGAACTTTCCCGGGAATTCCCGGGCCATATGCTTCACGCAGCATTTTTGAGTGCCAGTGAGCATGGACTTGACATCTCGACCATGAGAAACGAGTTTCATTACCTATCAGAATATGAAATGAACATCAAGCGTCTCTCGTCTCCATGAGACTTTGCCCCTTAGTAATAGACGTTGCGATCCTCGGACCAGCCTGGGCGAAGGTACGACCCATCAAATCTGGAGTTCAAAGAAGATCGGGTTAAGCTGGTTATCTCCCAGGTAACATCCAAAGACGCACCCTCGTCGTCTTGTGACCACAGTGCGATGGCTATTGTGTTTTTGCCGCTATAATCTAGGATTCCGGGAGGTACTGGGAAACTTGAGGTGCTGCCAACATATGGCATATAGCGGCCGTATTGGTACCCGTTGACGTAAAGAAGCGCCCTCACTCTTTCCGTTGGGTTATTCGTTGCGATGGTGAACACAATCGAGGCATCGTGTCCTTCGGGAATATCCAGATCAACCAGTGTACGGTAAAATTGAATGGTAGCCTCTTGGACACCAGCAGACGGACTCCCGACTGACCATGTCGCATCATCAAAGCCTGGGAGGTGCCATCCCAGACGCTCAGCTACCAGTCCTCCTTCATTGTAAGGGCCACGGACCGTGTCGACAGTCTTGTTCATCGGGGCTCCAACAGTGCCTGCCAGCTTCCATTGAATGGCTTCACTGGTATCGTTCAGAGCGGCACTCAGAATACCGCGCGGCTTTGTCGCGCCGCTCGTCTCATCGTGGCCAGTATTGTCTTGCACGAGCAGAATGATATTCTCGCCATCGCTGTCAATTGTAGCATTTTCAAAAGAAACCGACAGGGTCGAGCTGGCGTCTCCTGCGTCTCCGGCATAAGAGCCGACTTGCTGGCCGTTCAGGTACGCCGAGAATGCAAAGCCTCGGCCGCCTTGGACCTCAAAGACACCGCCTGTTGCTGAGCCGTTAAAGGTGCCGCGCCACAGACTAAAGCCGTGATGAGGACCGTACAAATCGACATAGAGACCCTTGTCGGCAGAGACCCAGGCGTCGCTGGTTGCCGAGTAGTTCACAAAGCGCTCTGGAAGCGTATCATGAGTCTTCCAATCGATTAGTGGAGGCAACTCGTAACTGTCAGGACCGTTGATTGTGGCTATCAAGGACCCATAGCTCGATTTGGTGAAGGAAGTCGATTTTCCATTCCACCACAATCTATTCACCGAGCTGGTGGCGAAGATCTCGACCTCGGTCGTTGCGTTGGTATCTCCGTGTACATGAAGACCATTGGTATCATCAATACCAGCTTCACGGACAAGATGAGGTCCTTGAACGACGACTACAGCTTGGTCAGTATGTGCATTTGTGATATGCTCCTGCTTATCGATGGGGACTCACTGGTTTGATTCACCGGAGCTGAAGGGTCCTTGGTCAGAACCGGAAGGAAAGTATGCCAAGCCGCAACTCGATCGAGCAGCAAAACACGCACATCTCCAACTTTTAAGAGACTAGACCCCTCACCCTGCGTAAAGGCCGTGATCACTCCATCCACAGTCTGATTGAAGGACACATCGGAGCATCCATCACAATTGAGAATCTCGCCGCCTTCGGCATCTTTCAGCAAGAACTCTCCGCTTTCCCCAGCTGGTACCCAAAGGATCAAGACCGGGGCGTTGTCAATGACCACATAGCTGAATACTTCGGCCGTGGAATAAATGAGCTGCTGATCTGCAAACGTGAAGTCGGTGACGACAATCTTGGCAATGTGCCCAGATAGTGGAAGCGCACTAATCACTTGAGGAATCACGAGGCTGCCGATCGATGTGGTGACATTCATGTGAAATGATTCGGCCGAATCCTCCGTCGACGTCGCATGTCGCACGACGTAGAATGCAGCGTCGGTATCGGGATTTCGAAGCTCGGTGGCACTAATGGCGTCATTATCAATCACGGCGTCAGTCCCATTCAGCCTGTCGACCTTGGCGAGATCCTGGGCAACCCGGGTGAACAAGGCAAGATTCTTGACTTCGTACCACGAGTCACGCAGGGTACGATCTTCCGCAATGGGCGCCGAATAGTCGTAGCTGGACCCGATGAAGGGCACACCGATCCATCCCCAGTTCGTACCCCCGGCAAACATGTACATGATTTGTGCCGACATCTTCTGGTCAATATTGTGTCGATAATAGACGTTGCGAAAGTCGGGACCAACCGAGGCTTCACAGCTTTCTGCGCCCAGCGGCAAGACTCTCCCGCCTTGGAACTCGGGCATCAGACCTGGCTGGTTCGGTGCTACTTCTTGGAAATAGTCATAGTATTTCAAAAGCGTGAAGTCATCATTGGCTGAGCTACAGTCGTCTGGGTTGCACGACCAACAAAGTGGCTACAGCGATCATTAGTATAATGCAAGCCAAGCTCACGAGTAGTATGCGAGTCACGTACATAAGAGTCCAGTCCCCAGACGTCCACATCGCCTCCGGCTCCGACCGTGTCGTAGTCCTTGGACCAATCAGGGTAGTGCCCCGGTGCATTGGCCGTCGTCGGCACCTCGACGCCCTGCTCCCTGATCAAGGCTTCAAGGTTCTCCATGTACCCGATGCCCGGCCCATTCGGCGTCTTGGCCGTGCGGTCCTTGTACTGGGACGGAAACTCGTTGTCGACCTGGATGGAGATGATGGTCCCGTTCTTGTGAATTTGGTGGTCGCGGATGATGTCGGTGATCTCCGTCATGTAGTCTTGCCACGCGGCCGTATAGCGTGTGTCGTTTGTGCGCAGCGACCCATAGTCTCCCGTGGTCACCCATATCGGATAGCCGCCAGCATTCAATTCCCCATTGGTGTAGGGTCCCGGCCTGGCCATTACATAGAGGCCGGCATCTTCGGCGTATTGAAGAAGTCTCCGGTAGTCACGAAAGGCGGTAGTAAAGTCGACCTGAGAAGGAAAGGATTCGTGCATCCCCCACATGTTATAGAAGGAGAATGTGTTCATGCCGCTGGCTTTGAACTTTTGGGCTATGTCTTGCCACATTTCCGGAACCGGCGTGCGAAAGGGATGCATTTCGCCTCCAAAAAGGTACTTTCTCTCGCCATTGATGATGAAGCTGTAATGGTCCCATTGCACGACATCTGTATAGCCAGAGTCGCTGATTGGCCATGAATCACCGGCTGCTTTGGCTGGTTGCAGCTGGGCTAGGGGGACCAGGGAGATCAGAAGGGGGTTGATAATGCGGCCAAACATGTTGACTAGGGTAAAGGGTAAGCCAATGCGCGCGCGTCATTTCGTCTAGATGTATCCCTTCTCTGCAAATACCATAGTATTTATAGGATCAACTGGAAAATCCATTGCTAAGAGACTCGGCTCAAGGGATGATTGTAATTTCTAAGCTCGTGGTATTTCCTGTAAGTGGCGGTTACTTCTGCAGCCCACCGGGATTGGGCGCGGGGACTGTGAATATGGCGTAAACTTGCTTCGGCATATTTCGGGGCGACTCAAAAACAGGATGGACACTTTCGAACCCCAATTATTATGGTGCATGTAGAAAATCAACGCGAAAAAGCCAACTTTTTACTTGTAAAAGTCATCAAGATGACAATTTTGAACTGGGTCCATGTCGAGCCGGATTCAATTGTCACTGCCAAGTGATACCATAGTCATGCAGGACGATGATTGGCGTTTACAACTGCATACCTTTCGTCGCAACTTTATTGCGTCGTGGCAATAAATCAATGATGTGTGCACTTTTACGCAAGGAATTATTGCGTTGAATGCAAGGCATGTCTATCTAGTTGAGTGAAAGATGATCGTGAAGGGTAAGCTAGACTTTGCTCTAGCCAGACCATGAGTGCTAAAGGCATCAAGAAGCAAGTCCTACATTGTTGGTAAAGCGATACTTTCTGCCTTCTCGGGAGACTGAGCTGCTGATTATTGGAACCATCAATCGCTTCATAGGCAGTTGAACTAGATCAGTGACTGATAGTGACGGTGATTATGTATTCTTTTGATTGTCACTGGGGTGACATCGCTACAACACTCCCTGGTAATAAATCAAAGATACCAATAACACTCCCATGACGGTTTCAGCTTAGATTTTCCAGTCAGGTACGAGTGGAAATGAGAGCGTGTCCATTTTTAGACCTAGGCCGAGGATGACCTGTTGAACAAGACTCTGAGTATACTCGGCTCCATTTGATGGAGCACCGCCACGCTATTCGCATATCACTAGCCACATCTGCCTCCCGATCACCCCCGCCAAGGTCGGCGATGAAAAAGAGATCATAGTGGATACATGACTCGTCAAGGACTCCGCATTTTTATGACACAAGGGCGTGTCACCGAAGACCGGGTGTTAGTCAAAAACTCCGGTTCATCTTTGGAATAGCTACTCTACTAGTATCTTTACACGCAACCACAATTGACTGGAAATTTTGCTGGTTTTTTCGAAAAGAGAAAAGCGACCAAGTCTTGCCCAAACATGAGTGCCACTCAGCCAGATCTCGTCGAGGGCATGGCGCATCAGGACCCTTCGGTCTCGAGCACCAATGCCATCAATCTCGAGTCGCCGGCCACACGGCTTCATCATCTCTCGCTGTCGGCCCAGACGATTCACGCCGACGACTTTCTCAACTCGTCTCATCAGGCCGTTGCGCCGCCCATGCATGTAGCCACGACGTTTCGGTACAACAGAGATCCGGAGAAGCTCCAGGCTCATCACAATGAAAATGTTTGTTACTTTTATACTCACAAACAAGATTCATGAGACATTAATCACTAACAAGAGTTATGAAGCCCAACAACCCCCTTGATTCTCATGTGTACTCCCGCATCAGTAATCCAAACACTACACGCCTCGAGGCCATTCTCACCTCAATCCTGCGCGGACCCTCTCTGACGTACAGCTCCGGCCTCGCGGCATTCCACGCCATGCTCGTCCATCTGAATCCAAAGCGCATCGCCATTGGCGACGGCTACCATGGATGCCACGGCGTCATCAAGCTGCTCTCCAAGCTTACGGGTCTGCAAATGCTGGACCTCGACTGCCCGGATACGGAGCTGGGGCCGGGCGACGTGATCCACGTCGAGACACCCCTGAACCCGGTGGGCACGGCACGCAACCTCGAATTCTACCGAAAGAAGGCTGACCGGACGGGCGCGTGGCTGACCATTGACGCTACATTTGCGCCGCCGCCGCTGCTGGATCCGTTCCTCTGGGGCGCCGACGTGGTCATGCACTCGGGCACCAAGTACTTTGGAGGCCACAGCGACATGCTGTGTGGCGTTCTGTCACTTGCGCCCAAGCATAGTGATCGACTCGAGGAACTCAATTCCGAAAGACTCGTCATTGGAGGTGTGCTCGGCAGTCTCGAGGGCTGGCTGGGCGTGAGGAGCTTGAGAACACTAGAGATTCGGGTAAAGAAGCAAAGCCATGACGCAGAGAAACTGGTCCAATGGCTCTCGTCTGAGCTGGCAAAGGAGGGAAGTGCCGTGAGCAAAGTCGTGGGAGAAGTGTTGCACGCAAGCCTGCAAAAGGATGCTTTGGAAGGCGATGATGCATGGCTCAAGAGGCAGATGCCGAATGGATTCGGTCCCGTCTTTGCGTTCAAGACCAGAGACGAGCGCTCTGCCAGGATTCTACCCAGCAAGCTGCATCTCTTCCACCATGCAACCAGTCTGGGCGGCATCGAAAGCTTGATCGAGTGGAGATCCATGTCGGACGATACTTGCGATAAGCGGCTGTTGCGAGTAAGTGTCGGTATAGAAGGTTGGGAGGACCTGAAGGAAGATTTGTCGCAGGCATTCGACGCTTTGATCAAGGAGCAAAATGCATAAATTTCCGCAATCATGTCCAGTCTGGAAGATGCGTTCCATATATGGCATTAGATTTCTCAATAAACTGAAAGTCATGTCCATTCCACTCCCAGTCAATGTTGGAGGATAGCAGTTCGCGTTTGCCTCGAGCCCTGCTTCGCAATCCGATCCGATATGTCGTTCGATGTCTATCTTTAGCTCCTTCGTATATATTCGTTCATTTGGGTCTATATGATTTTTTTTTTTGGTTTCCTTTTTTATTTCCGATGCATGCTCTCATCAGCGGCTAGTGATTCTAAGCAATTCCGTAACGCTGACCACTCTATATCCCTGATTTTTTGCTTCTTTCAACACCAACCTCAGCATTGGTACCGTCCAGGATCGTCGGTCGTGACATATGATGATTCCGCCGGGATGGAGCATGCTGATGATGTGCTGAGCATTGATCCACGAGTATTTGATTTGAGGGTCGTGCGGGTATATGCTGCCCAGCACCAGTCTGTAGCCCAGCTTATTGACCAGTCGCCTCATCCGGTCGCTGAAGAAGCCGGAGCCAGGTCTAAAGTACTGCGGCGGTAGTACTTTTTCGGCGGTCGCGTAGGCGGCCGTGATCTTATCCCGCACCGTCTCGATCTGCGCTGTCAACTCGTCGTCGCTGAGGGAGCGGCTCGGCTCGTCGTGCATTGCGTGGTTGCCGAGCTCGTGTCCGCTGCGGACGATATCGGCCAATATCTCCTCCCGTCCAGACACCTGGCCGCCGATGGTGAAGAATGTGGCCGTCGCATCATAGGCTTTGAGCACGCCCAAGATCTGTTCTGTGTGCTCCGATGGTGCATCGTCAATGGTCAGAGCAACCACCTTGGTCTTGGTGTCGACCTCCCATAGCACATCAGGCCAGCGTCGCGAAAAGTACCGAATCAGGGCGCGCGGGGGTTTATAGATGACGTAGAATGGGACCAGGACGAGCAGGACAATGACCAGGAGCGTGAGCAGCGTGTTCATCCTGCGTCTGCGAGCCCGGCGCCGGAGCTTGGACGGAAGACGGAAGAGCGCGGGAAAGCGCACCATTGGGGTGGTTCGTCAGTCTCTCTGTATCTCTACATTCGACGAGCTTGCAGAGAGATGAATTGGTGGTTCGTGGGCGGTCTGAGTCGACGAAGAAGACCAGATTGAAGTTATCGTGGAAGCTTTGAAAGATTTCTAGATTCCCAAGCTACGATTACGATTAGAACGGTCTCGCTTTTGCTTGGCATTGGCGTGGGGGGCTGAGGCCATGCTTAGTGGCTTCTGGAATTAGGGGGCGATGGAGTTTCTTAGTGACTTGATTCAGGGGTTAGTGGCCGCCCGCCCCGTTTATGCGTCGATTGGGGACCCCCGGCCCAGCCCCCAAGCCCTACATTACCTAAATCGGTATTTGCTGGCGCTGGCGGAGCTCCAACATGCTTCAAACATACACCGGACTTGGAGGAAAGTTGTTGGTAAACTTTACAAACAAAGGCAAGGATTTAATCATATATATATTCGACTTCTTGCTATCTGCACCCTTGTAGCCGGACTCTTGGCCATGCATAACAATCGGCACCAGTCATACATGATCTATTGGTGTAAGTGAGCGCCTGTGAATTAGATGGTGAATACCGTCGAGCTCCTGATATCTTCCGAGGATGATCCTACAGCCAAGGTGTATTCACCCTTGGCAATGGACCATTGCTGTGCTGTGGTTTCCCAAAAACTGATATCCCGTCTTCTCACGCCAAATGTAACATCTGCTCCTTCACCCGCTCCAAGCTGTATCTTTTAAAAGCCGCGTAAAACGCGCAATGGCTGTCCAGCCTCCTCGGGGAAGCTTATATACAGCTGAGCAACCTCTGCGCCAGCCACGGACCCAGAGTTTTGGAGGGTCGTACTAACGGCCAGAATCTCATCAAACAAATCAGCCTGGCCACCCAGAGTGAGCACACCCATGGGATTCCGGGACGCCAACGCAGTCGCATTAGTACTCGTAACATATAAGCCGCCGTAGGAAAACGAAGTATAACTGAGTCCATGGCCAAAAGGGTACCGTACTGAAACGTTATTGGATTGAAAATATCGATAATCGAGAAAGACGCCCTCGCTGAAATCGCATTCTGCTGTCATACAAGTCGTGGTCGGATAGTCAGTTGCGTTCTTGGCAATAGTATGTGATAGCTTGCCACTGGGGTTCACGTCTCCATATAGCACGTCCATGATGGCATTGCCACTTTCCTGTCCTAGAAGCCCCGAATAGAGCACGGTGGTAATATTCGGGTGTTCGATCCACGCCTCTAGGACGCGAGGGCCGGCAAAGTTGCCAATAACAATAGTATTGTTACAATTGGCCGCAACCGTGTTGATCATGGCATCCTGCTCCGTGTTGGATAGCTCCTTGCGATCGGAGCCTTCGCCAGAGGCTGAGTTGATAAAGGCCAGGCAAACCTCGGAATTGAGCGAGTAATTTGGAATAGATGGTGTCATTGCTGTCCCTCCTCCAAGTCCACCCATGCCGCCGCCTGCAAAACCCGTACTGCCGTTGCCCGGTATTCCGGGAATGCCGCCGCCTCCACCACCTCCTGGGAAGCCGCCACCACCTGGAAAGCCACCGCCGCCGCCCGGGATACCTGGGGATATGGGCGCAGTCTGCAACATTAGGCATTAGCTTCGATACTTGTGAAAGGCCGCTGGAGTTATACGTACATAAGTATTGTTCAAAATCCACCATATCATGCTACCGTCCTGAACAGCTCGATTGCTCAAAGAGTTGAACGGTGTGATGAGATATGGAAACGACCCCTGTCCTGAGCCACCACCCGTTGCGCAATGCCCATCATAGGAGTCTGACGGGTATCCCCCGATACTGAATTCCATGTTCGGCCCAGCCATATTCGGGCCCGCGTGCGCCCCAAAGACAGACATGGTCCGAGGCTTGCCTAATGGTAGGCCTCGGCCGTCACTGTTATCGTTCTTTAGTAGGACCATGGCTTCTGCGCCCACTTTTCGAATCAGTTTTGAATGGTTTCCGCGCACGTCTCGGTAGTCGGTGCTCTGAACTGCCGATGGTTATTGGCCATTGTCGAGGTTCATAGCGTAGTACCCAATCACGTTCCGGACGGCCATGTCGTCTAGTCGAGCTTGAGATAGGCTTCCATTTGGGATACCTGCGAGCATAATCTGCTCACTCCAAAGTTGCCCTGATCCGTTATCAAGTCCCGCATTAGCAGACCCGTACGAGGTGGCTTGTGAGCTGACGTCTGGCAGTACCATGCCCGGGAAGCCTATGCTCGTTTTAAGATACCCGTTCAACAGTTGGCTGTTTTCGCACGAGAGAAACCCGTTTACACGGTTCATCCCACACATGACGGCCAACATTCCTGCTTTGACGGCATCTGCAAACGGCCACAGATAAACCTCGCGAATCGTTTTATCGTCGGCATTCGCCGAATAGCCTCCATTGGAGCGATTAGTTTCCTGCTCATTCAAAAGAATGTGACGACCAGTTTTAATGACGCCTGCGGAATTCATCCCAATAGTAGCTCTTCCCATGAGTATTCCGGACAAGTATGGATCGAGTGAAAACGCTTCGGGAAGCCTTCCGCCATACGGATCGCGTCCTAGAGGGCTAGCGACGGGGCTCATGATGAGGTTGAATCCCATCTGATAGAATTCATCGCCGGTCGCCCTGAACTGAGCCTCAACCAGGTCGGGATTCCAGGTCATTGTCGCGGCATTGATCATCGAAAAAGCCGAGACGAAAAGTTGCATGTTGACGCCAACAACGCCATCTTTCTTTTGGTACGCGGCCCAGCTCTGGTTTCCCTCAAAACTCTGGCCGGTGATAATCTGTACCTTTTGTTCATTGGTCAGGCCAGCTACAAACGACTTGGCTTTTTCATAAGCGGTAGAGTAGTCGCCAAGATCCACTGGTTATATTGAGCTTGCATTCATTTCGTGTGGGTTAGATGATTTCATGAGCTTACCGGTTCCATCCGATAGTAGCGTAGGGTAAGACGAGTTTGTTGCAGTCTGGAAACCGACTGCTACGGGAAGCACGGACAGTGCACGAAGTAATGTGCTCGGTCTCATGATGTGGGTGCAATGTCAAGGTGATGGGTTTCGAGACCATCAAACTACCGACTAGGCCCGTGGGATATCATTGAACATTTATGAATACTACACCTGGGACATCACTCATGCTGCTTTTGAACATACATACTTGTAGCGAGAAATAGTTCCGAGGGTAAGAATCATGTCTCGATTACCTGTTCATCGACTCAGATTGGCACCACGCGTCTGGTGTATAAATGAGGTTCTTCTTTCGAGGTGTACATTCCTATTGTGTCTCGCATCCGGCTGAGTCATTGCGTTTTCTTCACGTGAAGAGATGACAAAGGATCGTTGGAGAAATCGCGAAAATGATCGTTGGGGATCTCGAACGGGACTGAATTGAGGTTGGTCAACAGCCATGCTGACTCAAGCGGACATTGTCTCGTTGGTATTCTGACGAGCGGCCTCAATACCGCAAGAGGAAATGACAGATTAGGAAATTTAGGCGTTGATAAAGAAGTCGGAGAATTCTAGTATATGCATGCGCGTAATGTGGGGGCGAGCCTGTAATTGCTCGCGAATATCTTCTCATTAGGAAGATGAAAGCTCGAGCCGAAACTGGGGAATCTCAAAGTCGACAAAGATTACGTGGCAACCAGTATGTAATGATTCTTACAAGAAGGCAACATCATGAATTATCATCGATTGCATTTCAGCTGGACTGCCATCATCCATCTACTGATAGCATCGATCAACTTTTCGCAGTGTCTGCAAGTCGTACCTATTCGATAATCCAGACCGGTATAGAGAGCAATCCACGTAGCTATACTTTAGATAGGAGCTCGGGCGGCAAGGTACCTGGAGGTGACGGCCGTACGTCTTGATGGGCATCAGCAATATGGTACAAATCATGGGAACAAAGACCTTGTTTCTCTGGTGCAAAACAAGACGTCCCATTGTAATTGGTCTTTATACTGCTATCACAAAGAGTGGCTCGCTGTGAAATGTTGATCTACTATATAACGTCTGCACCACTGACCAGGAATCTGGTTGGCAAGCACTTCAATTCTTACTAAATATTCACTACCACGAGCAGACACCTTGCAACTCCAAAACTGGTTTCCGAGAACCCATTCCTGGCCAAATCAACAAAGAAAAAAAAAAGGTAAGTAAAAATGGGTTCCCATCAGTCCCGTGAGTCGCACGCTGCCCCAGAGGCCCTACCAGGCCACATGGGCGTCACGCTGCTTCATCTGCTGAAGACGGCCGCCAAGCTCAAGCGCGACGTGAAATTCTCCCTCTGGTACCCCGTCATGCTTGAATTGCAAGACTTTGCCAATGTTCTGGATGATTTGGTCATGGACGGCCACGGGAGCTACTTTTCGGAAAAGCTCATGGCCGATGAGTTTATGAAGGATCGGAACTCCGACTATGCTAGTGATGCTTCGACGGATCGGGCCCTGCAGGAGATTGGCCAGCAACTCCCGCCACATGATGACATGCTGACGGCAGAAGTACAAAAGTTGGTCGATGGTGAGTGGATGAAGTTCACTGCAGCTGTGGTGAGAAGGATTTGGTAAAGTTGAGTGGTAAGTATTGATGACAGTATACCTGTTCAAGTGACATTCCTTGGAGGTCCCATGAGAGATTTCGTACACGCCAGCACATAGATCAGAAAACTTGTACAAATAATTTCAATGAACATTATACGATATCATTCATGCTCGACTATATACAATATCCCCCCAAGTGATTTTATAGCTGAAACGACCAGTGATCGGATTTATGCAGCCATGATGAATGCAGTATAATCTACAGATCTCGTCATCACGTGTCTCATGTCAAACGGTGCTCCACCGGCTTTTCTGCTCGGTGAAAAAACATTATGTACAGCTTCGTGTTTCTTATCTTGCATGCCTCGCCTAGACCGCTCGCGACGGCGAAAGCGTTCGAGGTTCACGTGCAAACGATATCGTCCTCATCCGCGTCGCCATGCCATCGCCAGGGTCCTGACCAATAAAGTCATTATCCTTGCCCATCGTCGTGCTAGCGCTAAAGTTGACACCGTTGTTGCGTTTGTGGTTCTGCGAGTCAATGCTCAGGGTCCTCCGCCGCATCGAGCCTAGAATGGTTGAGTTGGAGGTGCTACCGGCACCGCTTCGCTGGAATAGGCTGAAAAAGTCCTGCGTAAAAGAAGTCTCCAATTCGCGCGGCTTACCGTCGGTCGTCCAGTACCGCTCGTTGCTGAGCTCCATGCTCAGGTGTCGCCGGAAGAAGCGGTCTTGGTTCACCCACCAGGCTCTCCAAAGCACCACAATAAAGATGGTCAGGGGCAATGTGAATGCCCAATACACCCAGAATAATGGCATGATGACAGGGTGAGGGTACTCATCCCCTGGGGCGTCGTCGCCGAGAGCGCTGTCGCTGGCGGTGCCCCACTCCCAGTCAAACATTGAGATGCCGAACAAACTGCTAATGAACTCGCCCGGCAGGAAAATAGCTGTAATGACAGCCAGAGCCTTCATCGACGAACTGTCTCTAGTAGAAGCCACTGCCATGCGGGCGTTCAGGTTGTTGTCTTCCTGAGCCATTTTCGAGTAGATCTGCGATAGTTTTGTCAGTATGAATCACTACAATGTATGGGTGTTGAAGGTCTTACAATGTCAATCTGTGCGCGACAACGCAGTTCCGACATTCGTCTGTCCGTCTCAAGCGATGTACATAGCCGCCACGTACAATCAAGATACTGCCGGATCTCGTGCCAGTGATTGGAAAGCTCATTCTCGTCGTCTTCTGGGAGCGCCGATCTACTGGCATTCTGCTGTCTCAACTCCATCATGCGATTATCGAGTTCATCGCCCGCTTGAATAAGAAGCTTGACGGCTCGCTCCATCCATCGGAGCGTATCGAGTAGTTGAATCGCACCCTTCAATACATCGTGTGCCTCCTTCATAAGATGAATTGTCTGCGGTGGTATGTAATCATCGTCGAGCTCTTTGGGGAATTCACGTTCCGAGGAGGAGCGATCCTCATGGTTGCGCCCCATCCTGTCGGCAACAGCAACCTTGAACGTGCTTAGCCGCTTGAGCGGACTGAGCGGCTGGTTTTCACTCTTGGCCGACAGTCTCCGGGCGGCCTCGGCGGCCTCGGCGGCGGCACGCCTAGGACTCCCGGTCAAGTCGTCCACTCGGCCTTCTAGTTCGAGAACCTCGCCATTGTTTGCTACCACTGCCTCTTCGGTTCGGAGAAGCTGGACCTGGAGCAAGACTGTTGGGAGCACAAGTGGATGTGCCCACCGGTCACGACTAGCATCAAGACGACGTTCATATTCGTCCAGCGATTCTTCGTCGTGCCATCTCGTGTCAAAAGAGCGCCTGATCAGTGCCGTCGTGGTGCGATTCCGTAACTCATATTTCATGGAGAGAAAGTCATACGGAGGCTGTGGGTGGTTGGAAAAACTGAGAATAAGGTCTTGATGTCATGTTGTTAGCATGGGGACGCTGAAGCCAGGTCATGTCAACATACTCAAGACATCCCGGCGGGGGTTCCAGAACATGGACTCGACAGTGATTCTTTGGGCCGAGGAAAGAGTCCCCGAGTGGAGTCCGAGAGATTCATAATCATTAACCGTGAGAAAGAGTCCGTCGGGAGTGCTGGCGGCCGAATCGAGGTTGTTGGGGCGAATCCGGCGATTTGCAATGATCTGCCGTACCCTTGCCTGTAAACGGGATTTGCCTTTTGGGGCCGCTGTAAAGTTACCCTGTCCATGTGTGAGTCAAAATTCAGAGTTGTAGTGGCATGGGCATTGTCCAATGTAATTGTTCTAGGTTGGGACCGTGCACATGGTAAACCATGCCACTGAGGCAGAGTTTTGCGACGTCGACCGACTTACCTCATCATCTAGCCCGTGCCCATTCCTCATGGCATCGTGAAACATGCGCAAGCCGTCATCATCCTTGGACATGATGGACGGCGAGACCGGCTCATCGAGTGCGTCCGGGGCCGAAAAGACGGCATACTCATGGTACGACAACTGACTCTCGCCATCGGTAAGCAGCAAGTCCTTGACCAGCTCCCGGAGGTCAAAGTGGAACAGGTTCAGCTCATGGAGTCTAGGCTGACGGCGCCGTCCTGAGCCTGGCGGTACTGGACCAGCCAAATCGGCAGACGGCACGAGAGAGCCACGACGGGTGGCCGGCACGTTTGGCGTCGAACTCCCCCGTCGGACGGGGTTGGGGCGGCTACCACGACCACCGTGGTTATTTTGTGGTCCGACGGACGGCTGGTGCGTCGTCGCCGAGCTGAGGGACGTGTCTAGCTCGTCGAGATTATACTCCATGCTAACATTCAGCGCTCGGCTGGCCATCCATCCAAAATTTCAGCCGTCGTCACAACTTGAACAAAATGGCAAAAGAACAGGAATCGAAGAGAACAGCTCTTACCTAGGTACCCAGGGTTTTACTTGGGTCGGACGAGAGACATGCCGTCTGGAAGGCTGGTAAAGTCCGAAGGTCTACGAAGTCCACTAGAAAGGCTATCGCCCAGATTGTATCCAACAGACTTGACTCTTAGCAGTTCTCGATCCATTCTGCGGCGGAGTCGTGAGCCCGGAAGGATTGGGTGTCCGCCAGGGATGGGTGCTTCTGGGGCCGATGGGGCCATCTCACCGCGGCGCATGTCAACCAGTCTGCGTGTGCCAAGCGGGCGTCTGTGGGCACCGCAACGTCGCCTAGAATGGCGATCGCTAGCAGGGGGTGCGAATCGTGACAGACGCCGCCAAGTAGAGTCCGGTGCAAATGCGTTGTTCAGATGAACACGGATAGTGCAACGAAACTGATTCGAAAACCTTAAACAGTGAAACACCAAGACGGATCATGTATTATAAACAACGATTTATCACTGCGTAGAGACACTGCAACGCATACGTATATAGCGCATCTGAGAATGGCGGGGAAAGTGGTGAGCACGAGTAGCAGCGCAAGGCTACGTTCGGTCGTACGTGCTTACCGACATCTCTACTACGCATTCCAATACTCCATTTTTTGATTGCAGGGTTCAAAGTTTTATTGAGATCTGATCGGAAAACAACGCATTCAGGGCTGGTACGGATGCAAGGTAAGCATTCCAAGTTGAAGGTAAATTTCAGTGTGATCGATGATGCTCAAGTATGCGGTTTTAGAGCGGTCGAATAACCGATGAAAGATGAGATCTTGGGCTCATCTCTATGCAAATCACCTGCATGCATCCAAGTCGCTCACCGCGAATTCCTCGTTGAAATGCCCAGTCATGCAGAAGGCAGGAGGTGAGATAGTGGTGGGCGCACCTACTGTGTATTCCCGCACACTACTGTAAGCATCAGGCATTTTTGGTCGCCGATCCGATTGGCCCACCCCAAATCGTCCCCGCCCCCGGCCAGCGCCGGCTCCCCTGGGAAGAGCACTGAACTGGGGAATCGCAATTGGCAAACCAAAATAACTCAAGGCCATGATTCGCGTCGTGATGAACATGTACCTCAATGGAAACAATGACATTGAAAGAGATTAATATTATTTTATTGAAAAAGGAAAAAGAGAAAGGGAAAAAAGGATCATGAAGATGGTGATTGGGGGAAATACAAAAATTCACTTGGGGCTGATCAACGCGTTGATAATGAACGCTCCTTATGTTCTTATTCAATCAATATTAATACGGGGGTAGTAGTTTACTCGATATACTTCGTAAAATTATAGCTATCTAATATGAGCGCCTAAGCTACTACGGCAGTTCATCCCTTTGTCTAACTATAGCACAAGGCAACTCGACCTCAATGTCCGCAAACGGTTCACAAGACGATATCAAGCAATTGTGCTTCTTTGTGCCATGTCCGAGTCAATCATGCATATTGTGATAACATCAATGTATTATCTACTCCACGATATGTAGTGTGTCAACATAGATTTTTGTCGTCGTCGCGACTACGAACAACAATCAGGGATAACCCCACGCCGACATGAGCACTCGAGCAAATCAAACACTGCAAGAACTAGAGTCGTACTTTCAGCGAGATTCTAGATTCAAGGTCGAGAAGTTTATTGGCGCTGGCAACCATGCGGGAACATATCGCGTCTCATACACCGAACCGGGCACGCAAAAGAAGCAGAACTTTATCGTCAAGCGCGCATTTGATGGCGAGGATGATGCGTTGCAGCTAGCCAAGGAGAGGCATTATCTCAATGTTTGTTGCCCCTTACAAAGCGAACCTCGAAAATGGACTTTTCACATCTAACGTTCGATAGGAACTTCGGTCTAATATACATATTGTCGACATGGTCAATTTCCCAAACAACCCCCTTCGCACCAGCCCCCAAAAGGCGGGAGGGACGATGGAGCCTCCCGGGGCCCCGACGAAGAATCCTCCCAGGACCCCGACAAGGCATCCTCCCAAGACCCCGACGAGGGATCCTCTTAGAACCCCGATAAATCATCCCATCAGAAAACCGACTAAACATCCCCCAAGGACCCCCACGCTGAATCCGCCTGGCTTCAACAATGACGACGGTGATGATGGAATATGGAATCATGTCATTTGCTTGGAGTGGCTTGACAACGGCACTCTGAGGAGTTTCATCCTGAAGGCGAAAAGGCGAAGCGAGCCTCTTCCTAATCGACTGCTGTGGCGGTTTCTTGGATGTCGTGAGTTTACACTTGGCCCACGAATTGTTGGATAGTCCCTAGAAGAATACTGACCCAAGCTTTGCAGTACTCCGGGCCGCTATCGGATTGGCATGGCCGGTAACACCAGAACTGGGTGGTACTCCTCAACCGGAAACGCCGAGATCATCATCCTCTCCGCGCAAACCGGCGAGGAAGCCTACCCTGCTTACTCATAATGATCTTCACGATGGCAACAGTATGTGTACAAGTCATTACACGAAGCTCCATGACACGGTCATACTAAATGTTTAATAGTCATGCTCGGTGAAGAATTACCCGACATAGAACATGGGATCACGCCCATCCTGAAGTGGATTGATTTTGGCTTGGCTGGTGAGTTCGCTGGGTAAGCTATAGAGCCTCCAACCTTGTTCGTGCAGAAAATCGTTCGTTGACCATGTGTTCAGTGATGGAAGAGACCCTTTGTATGGAGTAAAGGGTAACCTCTACGATGTAGGGCAGGTGAGACATATGGCTTCTGTTGCACGTTCGGGCAAGTTTTTGCTAACCATATTACAGATCATGTGTGGGATTATTCTTCGAAAGCTGTGGGACGGCAAGACTTTGGAGGAGCCCGTCCAGGTCAAGGAACTGGGGGGCGCGATAATATTTACCGATGCCCCGATATGGCCAACTTTTGGTCAGACAGACGTAGTCGCGGACAATTTCGACAATGATCTTCGAAGGGTCGTGAGCTGGATCATGGCAACTAATAAAAACGATCGACCTTCTATAGATAATGCATTCGAGGCTGTCATGGAAGAAATTGAACTAAGGGATGCGAAATACTACAAGGGCAGAGCCGAGGAAGAGGACTACAACATTCGCAAATTATGGCGGCAGCTGGTTTTGGAACCAGATATTATGCCTTCAAATGATGTCATTATGTTGTCTTCTTGAATTATTGTGTATCAGTTTGTATATAATCTTAGTATCATATTCTGCAGATATTACATAGAGGCATGTTCATACAGCCACATAGGCAAGTGCTGGTTATTATGTCTTTAGTAAACAATGACGATTCCAACGGCGTTTGCAAAGTGCACTTGATCAAGTCTTGACTTAGATCTCCAATGTGCCATTGAGTCTGAGATCTCTACTGCTCGCTCCAACATAGATGGCGTAGGATCCTTCTTGAAGCCTCCATTGTTGTGCCACGACGTCCCAGATACTCAGATCTCGGCGCGTGAGCGGGAACTTGACCGTCAAAGTCTCGCCGGGGCGAACTGGAACTCTCTGGAACCCACGCAGCTGACGAACAGGGGTCTCATCACCGGGGATTCCAATGTACAGCTGAGCAACCTCTGATGCCGCAATGCTTCCAGTGTTTGTAATTGTGCAGGTGACCGTTGCAACGGTATCCCAGAGCTCTGGATGTCCACCCTGTACGATCGGGATGCTGGCGTTGGGAAGAGCAGCAGTATAGGCTCCAGAAACAAGACCGACATTCAAGGCCCCGTATTCAAATGTTGTATAGGACAATCCATATCCAAACTCGAAGCGGGGTTCAATACCTTCCTTGTCAAAGGCGCGGTAGTCGATATACAGTCCTTCGGTAAAGTTCGACTGGGGGAAGGCGTCGAAACTGACAGTTGAGTTCAACAAGCTTCCATAGTCTTCCTCCTTCTTGGCCACAGTGTACGGGAGTTTACCGCTGGGGGACTCGTCACCCCAGAGTACGCTTACGAGACTGTTGCCGCTCTCCTGTCCGGGAAGTCCAGCATAAAGCACCGCGGTGACGTTCTCGTTCTCGATCCAAGCGTCGACAGTACGAATGCCCGCCGAATGAATCACAACAATGGTGTTGGAGCAGTTGGCGGCGACATTGGTGACGAGCTGATCGCTAAAGTCATCTGTCAAGGTCAAACGATCAAAGCTCTCGGAAGCATAGGCGTTGATAAAGACCAGACAGGCATCGGCATTGACGTAGGCGACCGGGTTGACAGAGTCAAAATCCCATCGAAGGATTCCTCGGTCCTTGGTCAGTCGCTCCTGGATGGCCTGAAAGGGGGACACAACATAAGGAGGAGCGCTAGAGCCAGATCCGCCACCGGTGACAAGCGTTCCTTGGAATGTGTTCCAGCCAAAGTTCACATCATATCCTCCGCCATAACGCGCGGCAGTGATCCAAGGCGAGCTCGCGTGGTTGGCGTCGTATCCAGTGACATAGAGGAACCTGGGCTTTTGCAATGGTAAAGTGTTGTTGACATTCTTGACAAGGACGGTGCCAGCTGCACCAATCTTCTTGATCAGAGTGGCATGGTCACTTTGGACGTCAATTGGCTCATGCTTGTCGAGACTTCCATACACTGCAGGGGAAGGGTACGCATTATCTTGACCCATGTAGAACCAACTAGCCAGGATTCGAGTGCTCATGTCATTGACTCGATCTTCCGTGACGGAGCCATTGTTGACGGCATTGGTCAGATTCTGGCCTATCGAAAATGTCAGTATTCGTGCCAATGGGCATGAAGGGATTAGATAAAAGCAACCCACCCCAAAGCACCGAGTCGGGCATGGCCAAGTCAAGACCGGCGTTGGCTGCAGCAACGCCAGAGTACTGACCACCCCAATCACTAATGACAACTCCTTCGAAGCCAAGCTCTGTCTTGAGGATACCGTTCAGAAGCTTGGAGTTCTGGCAACTGTATGAGTTGTTCACTCGCTGGTACGAGCACATGATGCTTACGGCACCCTCTCGTAGACTGTCCATGAATGGGAACAGGTATAGCTCGTGCAGAGACCTGTCATCAATGTTGGAGCTCATTGCCTCGCCCAAGTCGCCGGGCCTGCGTCGATATTCCTGCTCGTTCAGAAGAAAGTGCTTAGGGTTGGCCATGACACCAGCATCTTGAATACCTCGAACAATGTTGCCCATGCCAGCGCCAGCCAGGTAGGGGTCGGCAGAGAGACCTTCCCAGTTACGACCGCCTCGCGCGACTCGGCCGAGAGGGCCGGCAACAGGGCCGAGTGCAATGTTGATGCCTTTGCCCTTGTACTCTTCTCCCAGTCCCTTTCCGTACTGATACATGAGGTCGCGGTCCCATGTTGCAGCAACGTGAATACCTGCCGGGAAGGCGGAGACAAATTCATTACCTCGAATGCCGTCTGGTGCGTCTGAAAGACATAGTGATGGTACTCCTAGCCTTGGTATCGAGCCAGAGTTGCCAACACATTGGCCTGTGAAACCGCCTGTGTTGTTTACTTGTCAGTTGGGTGTTGCATAACGCATGGGGCGACATTGAACAATGGTATTCTGGTTCAAACTATTCGTGGTCACTCACCAGTTATGTTCACCTTTTCCTCAAGCGTTGCCTGTGAGATAATTGCCCTGGCTTTCGCGTAGGCGGTAGCCCAACGAGAACTGCTCGCACCGGTACCCTCAGCTGTAGTCCCAAATTAGCATGGCTGTAGAGGAGTCGATGGTAATCAAAGGACTTACGTGTAGGATATACTGGCGGCGAAAGACCATAATATGGAACTTCAGACTGATTGGTGTACGGGTCTCCCTGTCCGTAAACGGCGGAACTGTACAGGAGTATAGCGCTAGCTGCGCTTGCGAAGGACCTCATTTTCTCTGTAGTCACGGCCAATGAAGTTGGAACGGCTCACACCCCTTTCCAACATGATCTCATCTTGGAACGGCCTGCAGACTCCTTCTTATACAACCACTGAGCAATCACTTCCCAGGTCCCTCCCCCGGATCCCATCGAGTCAGGGGACTTTCAGAATTCGGCCCTTTGCCATTTCTCCATGTCTTGGCCATGATGATTCTCGGCCGGGACCAACCCGATCATGGACCAGCGAACATCCGCAGTAAAACTGCTGCCAGCCTCGAGAAAACTCAATTCCCCTCGCGATGTTGGAGAAGCTATCGTTGGGGTAGCGTCTCCGGGAATGGCAGAGATCGTCGATACTGAACCAAATGTGGAGTTGGTTATGCGGAGAAGCGGGGGAGGACCATGGCATAATGGGACGACCTTGGACGAACAATGGGGAATCCATGATGATGATGGTCCAGACTAGACTCTTAAACAGGTTAATTGTCGGCAGAATCCCCGAGAATCGGGCTATGATGACAAGCATGCTTGTTCTAACTTCTTTCCGATGATATGGCTCCCTTCACGTAAGGGGCAGCAATCAGCACGTCAGTCCAATTAACCTCATAGACTCGACAGGGGCTGAGAGCTTATTTGGAGAGAACCGCTTCCTCCCGCCGAAGCGATGGACCGCGTCTCGGTGGCCTCATGGTCCACAGCATGCATTCAATATTGAAGTTGCAGACCGCTGAATAATGTACAAAGCTGTGGTTCCTGGTTTTACCTTAACGTATTCCAATCGATTCCTGTGCGTCCATTCACATTTGATCTCAAGGCACAATTTGAACAATTTCCGGGTATTTCAGAGCCCGAACGCGTAGTTGGTCACCTTCCGCCTTTGAGCCACGAGCAAGTACGAGAATGCCGCCGTCATGCTGGCGACACCATCATTCTAAGAGTCTTCATGGAGTCCTTCTGGCATGCGGTCATCTCAATTTCCAAACTCGTTGAGACGGATCACTCCACGGTTATTCCATATGTTTCCTAACCTTCATTCTTGTGCATGTATCATGGCGCTGCAGCTTTTGAAATTGTGCGTCAGATGAAGATTTGTCGTCAAGTTCAAACACAGCGTTGCACCCCAAAAGTGGCAGTATAGTGCTTTCCGGTGCTTCGCAGAACGAATCGATCGCATATGTATATTACAAGCAGGCAAACCAAAGTCGTTACATTTGGCTTCTACAGTGGTGAGGGTCGGGGCCCATTTAAGTGACTTAGACAACAAATAATCAGTCCTCAAGTCACGATACTTTCAAATCAAAGCTCATACACAGTATCTATACAGCCCAGATGCATTTACATGAAAATTTATGGTATAAGTATATCTCAGCGCCTGCCCAAGCCTTCTATCTCCCAACCTATTGGAGCATCCTCATACAATAGCTCAATTATCTAAGTTCGCAATGCTTTACTCAGGCTCAGTCGGGGGCGTCATGTCCACTGTCTGGAAAGACGAATTTGAGTCACCGGAACTCGACCTATCACTGTCGTCTTCAAAAACATCGCTTGATGCGCTCCAGCCATTGCCTTCTTTGTGCTCACAAGTTCCGTCCGACCTAGGCTCAACAACCATTGACCTCCGCCTATTGTCCTCCTCGTCGTCCTCATCTGAGTTCTCTTGCGAATCTGTAAGTACAAATACGTCCTCGAAGGAATCGTCACTCGCCGGAGGAGAAGAAGTGGCAATCTGGTCCCTGAGCGTCAAATCGCGGGCCCTCACCTGCGTCGCCGTCGCCAAAGTCACCTCGTCTTCATCAAAAGTGGCAATGGAGTCACGAATGCCATCCGTCGCGTTGGCCATTTCCTTGACATCGCTAGTCATAAAGTGTCGAGCGATGTGGCCCAGGTCCGTCGTACTCGACGACGTAGACGAGGCATCGTCTTTGACGATGTCGGTGCCGGCAGCGAATTTATCCACGGCGGGACTAAAGTACCCGTTCGGAGCCCGACGTTTAGATTTTACGCGGCTAAGAGCCTCTGCCAGGGCCATGGTCTCATTGACCTGCTCCCGGAAATTCTCGGCAGTGATTGGCTCACGAATCTTGGAGCGGAAGGAAGACTTGCGGCTGGGAGGGAGAGCCGCAAGTGAAGCTCCATCATCTGCGCCGACGAGCCCCGAGACAGGGCTAGCCTGGTCACGAACGGGGATGGAGGCAGGAGGTTCAGAACGAGGCTCTTCCATGATGGGACGATGGTTCAGTTCGATAGGAAACTCACGGGTGCCCATTGCCTTCCCGGCGGGCGCTGGGCAGCATGAGAAAAACCAATAACATGTGTTCAACATTTCGGCGAATATCGAATTACCGAGAGAGACCGACAATCAACCTGTGGTTGGATGTAGAAAAGAAAATATTGAACTTGCAACTTACCAGTAAGTTACAGCCGTATAAACGAAAGATACTTTGGATAGGAAGATATGACTATTCACATGACATTTTCATGAGTCGATATATATTGAGAAACGTCCTTGTTCCTGTAGTCGTTGTTCTGGTATGACTTTCGTAACAATTGACATTGTTGTCTTTGTGTCAAGGCGGCCACAAGTAAACTACAGCACAAAGTCCTTTGAGAAGACACGAACACAAAGAACTAGTCTCTTTTGTCCTCATGTATGTAAGAGAAAATATATTGCATCGATCACATAGGTCCAGGGAGGCAGGGATGGCGAGGGGGAAATTGAGGGTATTCCAAGTTTGTGTCCGAGATTCCAATGCATTACTCTCCAGTTTTGAAGAAGAAATTTTCATCTTTGATATTCTACGATTCCCCTCTTCCTCCCACATGTCCGAAGGTGAGGGAACGTTGTTTGTCGTTCAATCTCCTGTCAATTGGGATCAAGTTATGATTTTGCTTGGCCAAGTGACTGGCAGGTGCTGGCGTTTTTGTCAGAGTAACGTGTTGTATTGCTGTAGCAGAAATAGACCTTGTTCACTTTGGCCACAATTGGTGCTCCCGCCATTCATCTGCGCACGAGTCTCAAGGTACAGACATGAATAAGCGGACCGTTGAAGATGCTTGATTAATTCACAGCTGCATGAATTTTAAAATGTCAAATCTACATATATAGGTATCCATGTTGTCTAGTAGCCGGGGTATATGCAGCTTCGGCTCAAAGTCTGCTCGTATAGCTCCAATGTTGATGCTCGATGCTCACAACTCCCCCTGTCCAATATCAGGGGAATTTGATGCTTCCGATGTAAGTATCGAGTCTGAGGTTCCCAATATTTGCGCATTCCTTGGAGGCTATGCTGAGTAAAAAACTCGTATGTCGTGGGGCGCTATCTTGGCTGCGGACGGCACGTTAAGGTTAGAGTATAAGGTTCGGCACAGCATCGTCATGCGGCCAAAGGGGGTTTCGAGGGATGGCTTTCGTTGTACCGTCTTCAGAAATGCTTGGCATCCCTTGCTCTTGCCTGACTCAAAGCGCGTTATCGCATATTGCCACTGCCATTGGTTGACCGGCTTGTTGCTCCCTGAATTTTGCGTCACGAGACTATCCTCTAGGGGCTGACACAAGATCTCTCATCAATTTGCATGTACTATATTGTTTGTCTATTGACGAAACGTCGCCTCTTTGCCTGAGTCTCGCTGGGAGATGAACACTCGGCGTGGACAACCAAGGGACGCAGGTAGCCCCAAATGCGTGTCTGCTCTACAAGCGTACGCGACACTCACATGAACGTATGCGCCTACGTGTTTACTTGTATATTCTTGGCCCTCATTTGTGACAGGCAAGCAATTACACTGTACTGGTCAGTATCTAATGGCCAAAACGGGGAGCCGATCATAAATCCAGCTTGTCTTTGTTCCTCCAGAATGTTACTGCCTTTGGCTAACTACATTTCCTTCCTGTCCCCTGGGTGGTAGATGAAAATCTTGAAGTACCTCTACGGTCTAGGCAAGTCTGCGCCGCAGCTGTCAGGGGAAGATCTAGCCACGCTATCAACGGCACCATTCCGACAACTGCTTAAAGATGCGGCTCGCGTTTGTGAGGTCCAGATCCGTTCAATCCGGATGCAGGGGCCGGGAAGGGCGTGGGTTTTAACTGACTTCAATGGCTTGGGGTCCTCGGGGTCTCTCATGCTTGTAAGCCTCCTCCACCGCGCCCTGGGTCAACTCAAAGTGCCTGCCGTGCCAAGAAAACAAATCTGAGATCTTGAGATCTAAGCAGGACGATGATCAAGCTTCAAGCCTGTCTCTGACGAAGGGAAACCTGGATCAGTGGCCTCTCTGCCGTGTTCTCGACTAAAGTGGTTCTGCTGAAGTGTATGCCTAAGTATATATGCAGTCCATGATAATGTCCCTATCTCGTAGCTCGGTCCCCTGTGTATCTCGCTTTGCCGAATAGTAACATTCCTCACGATCATTTTTGTAGTCGTTTCAGTCACTCTTTTACCTGGCGATTTTGCCATAAACACTCCTTCTACCTATTTATCCTTTTTCAATCTTTTCGTATCTTTGTGTTATTCTGTGTATTGCGGCTGTCCCAAGCCGTCTAAATCAGAGGATGGGTATTCTCAAGCATCTTGTCACTATCGTAGCCCTGACGTCCTCGGTCGAAGCCGTCGTGCCCGCCATACCCGGATTCAAGTTGACATGGAGCGATGACTTTACCGGCCGCAAGTGGCTTCCGCCGCGGAGGAGCGAGTGGATCACCGACGTCGGGACAAGCTATCCTGGAGGGCCTGCCGCCTGGGGAACGGGAGAAACACAAGTCTACACGAGCAGTGTTGCCAACGTGCGGCAGACGGGCCGCGGGGCGCTCGAGATCGTCGCGCTCAAAAAGGGGACTGGATGGACCTCGGGTCGCATTGAGACGGTGCGCAAAGACTTTATAGCTCGGCCCGGCGGCGCCATGCGCATCCAAGCCCGGATGGCCTTGCCGCTCGTGAGCCAACCCGCCGGTTACTGGCCGGCATTCTGGACGCTGGGCGCGGCTTACAGGGGCAACTATACCAACTGGCCGTCCATTGGTGAATTTGACATCTTGGAAAGTGTCAATGGTGTCAACAAGGCCTAGTGAGTCTCTGCCTGTCATACTTCAAAACCATCACGTTGGCTTACAACATCTGCAGCGGCGGAATGCATTGCGACGTCAACCCAGGTGGCTTCTGCAACGAGCCAAACGGTCTGGGCGGCAACATGGCATGCGCCGGCACGGCGTGCCAAGGAAACTTTCACATCTACACGCTCGAGGTGGACCGCACCGGCTCCGTTGAGGCCGCGCGCTGGTTCCTCGACGGCGTCCTCTACTGGCAGGTGACCTCGTCACAGATGTCGGCAGCCGCTTGGGAGAATGCTGCCCACAAGCCCGTTTTTATTCTCCTCAACATGGCTATGGGTGGCGGATTCCCTGATGGAGCATTTGGTTCAGCCACACCTCTGCCCTCAACCACGTCTGGTGGTGTGTTTACCATTGACTATGTCGCTGTCTACAACAAATGAGATAAATTGTACTATACTCAAGAGTCAAACAATGGGAATGTGCGTAATTAGGAATCGGAAAATGAGATTTCTTCCATCGCAAAGACGTTCCTTTGGCGAAACGGGAAAGCTTCAACGCTTTGCTGGCAAGGCATTGCAAGCTTTACTTTGTATATCACAGCTCATAGTGCGTACATCCCACTCATGTACAAAAAGAAGACCAGAAAAGAAAAAAGCAAGAAGCGAATGCATTATCCCTGATTTTCTTACACATCTCAAACGGCTTGTTTCTCTAGTGATGAAAGAGCCAACTTTCTTCTTCTACGGCTCAGACAATTTGCTGAACAGCCTGTTGTCGGCCGTGAGGCTGAATTCAGCCGGTGTCTGGCAGGGGAAGTTTGACGCGTGGTGTGCCACGAGCTGACAAAAATAGGTCCGCGCTCCGATATAAGAAGGATTTCAATATGCGTGCCACAACTCTGCAGGTGTCAGCAGCGGGAGGTACCATGGTCCAATACACACGCTGAGCTTATCCATTCACACAGAATATAGACCAAGAGGAATGAACCAGATGGTGTAGTGCTGCTCAGCCTCAGTGGTACTGCCTGGGACATTGACTCCTTTACCGGGCACGTTCCCAGGCAGCAGGATCCCCGATCGTCCCGAAGGAGCCAGGAAATTCCCTCCAGGTCCTCGGATTATGATGATTTTTCTTCTTCTCTGCTGATATGATGACTTTCTTTTGCCTTCCGAGCTGAGCCGGTCGAAGCAGATGCCCAGTCATCAAACGTCATGAATAGCCACAACCACTCGCACATGAAGTCTTTCGGGCAAATGAACACTGCAACTTGATAGACAGGGAAGGCGACTGACTCGAATGGTCGAATCTGATTGCCATACAATATACCACATACTGTCAAATAATCATTGATCATGCAATTCTCGCCGATCCGTCACGACTATGTTCTGGAAAGATTCAAATTGACCCGGGATCCACCAGAACACACAAACCCCCGGTCGCAGATCAAACACCCGTCTTGCGAGCCCCGACCCTCCTGGTAAAACTGACGCCCGACTGCCGGGAAATCATTGCAACGGGCGGTCTATCCTGAAGGGGTGGATGGAAAAGACAATTTATTGGTCCGGCATATAGTCAATTTCCTGGTAGCAAAACGATCTCTTGCCACTCGTCACGTTATGTGAGATATGCTTACAAGTTGCCGCTACACGTGGTCCGAAACTGGGGGTTCGGGGACAGCTGTTGCACATAATTAGAGGTGATTGGTGGACTTGACTCTGGCATTCCATCATGAGCTCGGAGCCCGAGAGAGGCCACACGCCGCTAGAATGGGCAGTCCCCGCAGTGTTGCGGTTGCTGCCGTCGTGGGCGGCGCTGTTTGACATAGATGAAATTGGTATCTTGATGAGCGTAGTGGGACACTCTTGATGCATAAAACGTCATGACCAAGACGGAAAATCATGTTGCGAAGAATACAGGTGAGTGAATGGGTGCGCATTGTCTTTTTCAAAACGAGTGATAGTCTAAGTCTATAGACGAATAGTGGCGTTCCCGCAACTGTCGCTCACAATACGCATCAAATATTCCAAGAATAAATAAGTACTAGTAAAAACCGGCCCGTGTCTAATGGGTCCATGTTCAGCTTAGGTATCATCCAGGTTTAGGATTAAAATGTCTGTCCAAACGCCCAACTGTTTAATGCGTGCTTGACCGAGCCCATTGCTCAGAAATACAGCAGTCCCGCGTACTCCTCCCATCCCAAGTGGTATCCGTGATATGTGACATGAATATGATATCGCTCATTTTCGTCGTCCGCCAAGAGAGATGTTTAGTCATTCTCAAATTGACGTCCAATTATGTACAAAAAATTGTCGTAAAAGGTGGTTGACCCAATAGGGATCATCTTGTCGCCGTGGTGATGCCAAAGCAACCGCAAATGTCTAGATCCAGACTGGTTGCGACTCGACCTTCTCTGGCACGAAAAACGTCGCAAGCAGGCTGTGGACCTCTGCCAAATAGTCTTCAGCTCGATAAAGGCGCAGGCCTTTTCGTACGAGCTCTTTAGCCTCCTCGTCATGAATGTGCAGCTTGTCCCGAACTCCAAATTCCTCCGCAATCATGGAGACTTGCGCCAGCTCACTGCGGAACGGGTGAGAAGTTGACAATTCCGGTTTTCTGTGGGATGGCTGGCGGCTGGGTTGAAATTGAGTTGGCGTTGCCTCTCCAGATCTCTCTTCTACCTCGGGCACTTCTGGGATCTGGTCCTTGTTGCGAGAGAAGCCCATGGATGAGACCGACGTGGCTGCTGTCGAGGTCGCAGAGTTCGAGTGAGAATGGCTACCTTTGGAAGAAATGGAGCTTCCCGATCCATTGGATCCCCTCAGCGATTGCTGTCGAGCCAAGTTGTCAAAGGATGCCTTTTTGGTGTGAGAAAGTGCCCTTTGAGGAATCTTTGGGGCATCGGATTTCATGACTTTGGATGGTGTCACTTTTTGACCTGGAGCGGTAAAGTAGCATGACAGATGGTTGGGTTCCGGGGTGACATGATTGGTTTCCGTCGAAGAGATGTCTGGACTGGTTGGGGGGGACGAGGCGCTGGTCCGGTTTCCATCAGAGTCGTCCTCGGAGGTTCTTGAGGATGGCGAGGAGGCGGGTTTTGGGTACAGGTCTGGCGCATTGTATGCCAGCATATTTGTAGTATGCGTCAACTCTGTAGGACCTGAGATCTTGTGGCGGATGGAGCCTGAATATCCCAGGCGTTTGCTTGTGGTGTTGCTGCGCTGCGGAATGCTGCCATTCGATTCCTTCAAATCTAGCGAAGGCTTCGCACGCCTCGTTGTAAAGGCGCGAGCAAGCGACATCTTGGCTGCTGTTGTTGACTGAATCCAACTAGTTCAGTTGACTAGGTAGAGGATGCGACAAACAGGTCGAAATCAGGGATGACCTTTGGTAGCTGAAGTATGGCGAGGAGAGACTTTGGGGCGAATGTGAATCTTCCAAAGTCTGATGACACGGGTTGTACTAAACAACCGAGATGCACGTCTGACTGAAGCCTTCAGAGACAAAATGACGAGCAGGATCAAGAAGCAAGACAAACTAGCCGAAATGGCACCAATAAGCAAGCGGTGTGAGAGGACCGTCGGTTCCGTAGTGACCAGAATCGTCTCTCTGACCGACAGCTGATGCGCTCCTGTATTCCCTCTGGAATAGCTTACAGAAGGGCTCCTAGTGCGCTGCGTGGCACCTCCAAGGTTACCTGGATGAGGAAGGAGGATTGGTCAAATTGGCCTATGCCAAGACAGGCCCCTCTCTCAGCTATCAGAAGCTGGCAACAGGAAGAACAAGTGGTACAGAAAAAGAAAAAGGTCGAGCTGAGACGAGTTGGTTTGTTCTGAAATAAAAGGAACTCAGAGAATAAAAAGTTGCTGAGATTCTCTTTTTAAAATGAAAACACTGCACAAGGAGTCCCTGCTATACTCTCAATGAACTTTTTTGACTTTTCGTGGCTGGCACCCGTGAAATGGTGGGGGCGCGAATAGTGTTAGTTGCGATTTCCGGGGAAAAGCTAAATGGTGGTCCCCGGTAAACGGCTTTGCGGCTTGATAATCAATGTTCAGGCGGATAAAGAAGAAGTTGATCAAAATCTGGGTCGTGCCGGATGATGAAACGAAAAGAAGAATGGAAGCGAAGAAAACGTGTCGTAGTTGTGCGCCAAGGGAGATGGAATGGATATCCTGCGGAATGTGGTGACGACTGTGTGTTGTTGTAGTAGCGTAACACTGATTGAGTAGGTAGATGTTTTGCCTGTGACACCGGTCCTTTCAAAGGTAGGCGAATCACAAGATCTTTTTGGTGTGAATGACTGTGGGTTCCTCCTGTTAGACGGCACACTGAATGGAATGCCGTATACTGAAGGGGGTGGCCGTGATGAACGTGCGGTGGACTGATTGCAGGTGATCAGGTTGTGCCTATGTCCAAACGTGCAGCTGATCGGGTCCTCGGTTGGGTGGTGGTATAGTTTTGTGTGTGCCAGACAGTAGAAACAATGAAACAACCGGGTTCCGTTAAGGGACTGTGTGCCGAAATAATGGTAGTGGTGGTAGTAGAGAAGATAAAAAAGTAAAAAATAAAAATATGATTGTCGAGGGCTTCAAAGGAATGATGGCCCTGATTCACCCAAGCTCTTACCTACGACAAGCGAGCGAGCGAGGATTCGACGACAACAAGATCTCGAAAGAGACTGGAAAAGAAGAGTAGTAATCCCGACCGAAGGGTTGAAAGGAACGGAGACGAGCATCGTCCACGCGTGGCCGGCGGGGGGATGCACGATAATAAAGGGACCTGGATTTAGTCGAGCAGAGCTAAACTGGTCCCTCTCCTCCGGGGGCGATGGATGGGGGAGGCCCACGACTGATTGCAAGGGCAGTCCAAAATGGAGCATTCATATCGCACTACGGATATCATGGACAGTATGCACAGGCTAGGAGTAAAAAAAATGCAAAGAAGAAAAACTTCGATGAGCAAGCAGCCAACGTATGTGCAGGGTTGAGGCGCTTGAGCCACATGTCTGCAAAGTCAACGGTACCTGCCTTGTGTCTGGCAATTCTATGAAGGATATGCCTACTATGCAACCAAGACAAAGTACGCACTACCTTGGTCAAACTGCCCATATCGGGAACTTGACTGACTGCAGCGAGCCATGACTGGCTGACTGGAATCGATATCCAGGGGCACAAAGCGGAGAATGGGAGGGAGAGAAGAAAAAAAGAGACAGACAGCAGAACAGACAGCCAAACAGCCTACGATCGAATGCTAGCTAGTCCACACCAAGTGATGCGCGCCGTCTGGAGCGTCAATATCCACAAAATTAGCACAGGGGGACCCGGACATATCGACAGGGAAGAGCATCCCTGCTCGTCTTGGGTAAATGCGCGCCATCCAACTCATTCAGGCTAGAGTGGCCACACTTGCAAGCGCGCCACCCACTGAGAAGGGTGCAGTGGAAGGACGTAGGGATCGGATCCCAGGGAACTCCCCGAACAACAAGAACAGTCATCACTGATAACTTGTTGCACTGCATTTGGGAATACATACATGTGCTTGATGTATCGACTTTGCAATTGCATCTCGCATGCACTCGGTGTGAGATGTGCTCCCTTTGCTGGATCGAATCGGCTCTTGCGGTGGAAAGGGAGAGCCCACTCAATTTCTGGGTCATTAATGAGTGAACGAACTTCGTCCCATCAGAGCAGAGTGCTCTTTTCCCGTTGGCGCGGGGGACGGCTTTGGGACGCACCTTGTCAATCATCGGTCCAATGCAGGTACAGGCAGATAGATTGTTTCGCCAAACTCTGGCCCCCGTCCCCTGCTTTAATCATTAATGTTCCTGAATCAGAGCACGGCAGCAAACAACCTGTTTCTGGCCTTTTCAACACCTTTACTCTGCAGGTCATAGATGCAACCACCTGCAGTAGTGAAATCATTAGAATCACTACTAGTACTAAGTGATGCAGTCATCCTGATGTCTTACCAGACACGCACATCTTGATGACAGTCTTTACCACTACAGTACCTAAATCGTACACGTAGTAAGCTACCCGAGCTGCCTTGTGGAGGGAGAGGTGGTGGTAAGCTAAGCAGGAACAGCGCATATTCGCGCCTCTTTCCGCTCCCAGATATGGCTAGCTGGCTGGCAATCCCGGGATCTGGAGCGGCAGAGCGGTTTGCTCTGCTCGGTGTGGCTTGAGCTTGTCTTACTCGTGCGCACTTGATGACGCTTTCGTGCAAGACGAGACGAGACCAACAGATCTCGACGACTATTTCTTCCAACTGAAGCCGCCAGCTACTACAGGTAGCAGTCGAGCGGTCCCTGCGAATCTGGCGACAGTGGCTCAGTGGGTACGCCTCACTGGGTATCCGCACTTACTGCCGCCCCTACAGCCAGATCGGTTTGTAACGATATTCATTTACAAGCCATAAAAATCGTTATATAGAGAAATCGTTACACTATAAAAGTGGGCATAAATTTACCACCTAATTACCACCAAAAACCTTATGTAGTCTACTATAGCCACTTATTTATAGATATTTATTGCTTTGCAGCATTAATTGCTTGCTTTTTGCGGCGTATAAGTCCATTTTAATGCTTTTGCAATAGTTTTAGCAATTAAAAATTAATAATTTCCTGTTGTTTAGCCTATAATAATGCAGTAGTTAACAGGTCCTAGGCTTCCTCGTAGGGGACCAGGCGTACTTCCTCCTCCCGATTTTCCTTAGCTTTAATTATATTAATAACGTAGGACTGCCTAATTTTAAAGAGTATCGCATCCTTATTAAGGAAGCTATTTTTAACGTTTTTATTTAGTAAATTAAGGAATTATTAAAAATCTATAGCAGCTTTAATCGCACTAGCCTGCGCCAGCTGCTAAATCTGCTATTATATATGGATTAAATGGGGGTCCTAATTAGCTGGCTGTTTTGCAGGGCCCTTTATAAGGCCGAATAAAGTGCTTTTGCGAAAGCAGTTATTAATAAATCTAGATTTTATTGAATTCTAGGCTTTAATTATTTAAACGATAGCCTATAATAAAGTAATTATAATGCTGGCGTCCGTTTTATTAATAAAATTAACTATTATATAATTAAGCTATTTCCGCCTATATTAAATTTTAAAATACTTAATAATGCCCTAATCTAAGGGCTAATATAAAGACGTATAATTAGCCGGTAATAGCTTAACTATAGTATTCGTTAAGCCACCTTTATTTTAAATTAGCTTTAAAGCAGTTTTATAAAATGCGAATTTATCGATTAATAAAAAAACCTTCCTGCTAATTATTTGCCGATTAAACCAAAACAAATACTCCCTAAAAATAATTAAAGTTATCTACCCTTTTTTATTATTGCGATAAATAATTAGCAAATTAGCGATACCCCGGTTTTTATAGCTAAAGCAGCGTGGATGCTTTAATTTCCTAATAATCCAGTAATTTAGTTTTTGTAATCCGTCGGTATTATAAATGTAATAAATTGTGACTTTGGCTTTATCTTTTTTGGTGCCTTTTTGCTTATATATAGCAAAAGTATAGTCAGGCGCCATTTTCCAAAATAATCTAATTTTGTTATAATTAAAGATATTTTTGCTTTCGTAATTGCTAATAATTTAGCGCAGTTTTTCTATCCGTTCTTTAGCATTAGTAATATTTATAAAACTAAATTCCCTAAATCGTTTATAATCCCTAATATAATGCCGCTTTTTAAAGCCGTTAACCTATTTAGCAAAGAAATTAGGTAATTTAAGCTAATTATATTATAAGAGCTAAGCCTATAGCTTAATAGCCCCAGCCTATAGCATATAGCCGGTAATATTAATTTAAAAGTATTATAAGTGCTATTATTAGTTAAATAACGCAGCCTCTAAATCGGGCTATCGAGCTGCTTTACGCTTTTATATTTTAGCATCCGCTATACGCTTAATTTAAATAAAATCAAAATAGTTAAATTTTTTTAATAAAAACTCTAATATAATAGATTAATTAATAAGGCGGCCGAATTCGCGTATAAAAAGGATTATAAGGTTTTTTTAGCGTAGGCTAGGCTATTCGCGATGCTTAATTCGGATTAATTGCTTTTACTTTTAATTAAATGCAAAACGCTTTTTTTTTTAAATCGGAAATTATTTTTATCGCGTAAATAAGCAAAATTAAATAAAAATAAAATTATTACGATTAGGGTTAAATTAATTAAATTATTATTATTAGGAACTCGCGTTTTTTAATATAGATTCACCGCTATTAATAGCTGTTTTTTCCCTTATTTAGGCCTATATAAGCCTGCTATAGCCCGTAGGTTAGGCATAATTGCATACCTCTGCTACGTCAGAAAACACCACTTTTTATAACGATACCTGCAAAAATCCCGATAATATAGGTGGATAATCGTAAAAACGCGAATATATGCAAAATAACGATATTTCACTAATAAAAATACATTAACAAATGGATGGATCGTTATTGCCAGATATCGTTAGTCACTGATATTGTTACAAACCGACTTGGCTGTACTGTGTAGGGATCTGTCCTCCGAAGAAGCAGGCCAAGCAGCACACGCAGCCTGGCCCCCCCAGTCAAAGCACACCACGACCAGGGAGGCCATGACCGAATCACGGACCAGAACCAGCCAGACCCAGTAACGTCTTTTGCTTGATTCTGTTGGCTCGCTGCTTGCTGCTTCCTGGATGCTCCCGCCACGCTGGCTCTAAATGCTGCCCATCACTGTGTCGACAAATCATATCACCTTTCTTCTGTTCCTCAATGGGTGTGCCCCTCGTCCAAGTTGGTCCAGTCGAAACAAAAGTCACAGCCAGGCGAGCAGTTGTGCAGCTTGAACTCATTTCATTGGTCGCTTGTTCCAAGCAAGACCCTTGTCTTCCCGCCCAACGTTTCAGGAACCTGGACCTGCTTGACCAAAAGCGCAAAGACCACTTGAATGGCCCGCGTTGCGCTCCCCAATCCAAACTGATTCGTCCCTGCTGATCATCCGGCCTGGTGAGCCGGAGCTAGTACCATGAGATCTGCGAATTCGTCGCTTTTTCATTGCGCGCCATGTTCCCTTCTTGGAAGCGCGCACATCGGGCCAAAAGAAACCAGCACACCAACACACGTGTATGTTGGCTTTGGATACACAATCGCTGCCCTCCATTGAACGACAACTCACATCCAACGAATCTCTTTATGCTCGACCTGGACGTTACTAGACTCCATTTGCAAAATTTTACTATGCCCATGGCTTAAAAGGGGGCTGTTCACTCTTCCCGAACAAGCTAGGTTTGAGAGTATCACCCCGCAAAATAGTTTCGCATAGAATGCGCCTTTCATTAAAAATGCCCGGCAAGGTTTCGTTTGATGCTGCAAACCATCTGATATTCGCATTGACAACCTACCTGGGAATACGTATGCCCTGGAAAAGAAAGAGCAACCGATTTTTACACCGCCCTGAAGAGGAGCCGATGGACTGCACCGTGAATATACTGTATGATGTTTTCCTCCGAATTCTACTGTGTAGACTTGTTTGTGCTACTACTGCGAATTGCCACAAATGGGGAAGTTCTGACTCAATCACTTGCATGTGAGCGAGTGCGCCAGCGAGCGCCGGGCATCTGACCTGCGTCACGTCATGCAGGTACCGATTGAAGATGATTATTATCCAAGGTTGATAAGAACTTTACTTTCGGATTATACGAAACTTCCAGCAATTTCTCAAACTTCTATGCCAAGGTTTGATTTTACAATCACAACGAACACAGCGTCACTCGGACAACATGATGAGTCTCCAATGTGGGTGTTGTCCCTTGGTCGAGTTGTTAATCGAATTTTAAGGAGGGAAATATCCCGTGCCATTCCCGTAAGCTGTGTCGCATTGAAACCGGGCCTATCAACATGTGTTCATTGGAATTAAACTCAAAAAATGGAGCCCCAAATCTAGTCCTCATCCATGGAATCTCCGTCCTCTTCCTCGTCATCGTCTCCCTCATCAGAGTCGGAATCCGTGTCGTCCTCCGCTACTCCCACCAATCTGTCCTCTACACCCGAGGTCGGCTCACCCGAGATCTTGTGAGCAAAAGCCTTGCGCACGGCCGAGTTGGTGCTGGTGTCCCAGACATGCATAGTGCCCTTGCTGCCAGCGACAGCGAGGCGGAAAGCTACCTCGGCATCCGGTGCAAAGGTCGTAGAAAAGACCTTTCCAACATCGAGGTTGCGCGTGACGACCACGGCAGGGCCAGTGGGTTGAATGTTCCAGAGCTTGACAGTCTTGTCTGTCGATCCAGTGACCATGTAGCCGGGAATGTGGTTGTTGATGTCAAACGATGAAAGCGACTCATCGTGAGCCTGCAGTGTCCAGACTGGCTTACTGGCCGCAGGACTCGAGGGAATGTTTCGAATATCGTGATAGTGAATGATGCCGTTCTCAGTCGACACAAAGAAGAAGTTCGGGTCATGAGGGTCCCATCGGACGTTCTCAACGTCACTCTCAACGCCCCACCGGGGCATCTTCGCATCAGGCGCACGCATGTCTGCGGCCACGACAGTGCGGTCGTAGCTACCACTGAGGAGAACGGTGGACTCGACCGAGTGCCATGCTAACGAGCACACCTTGTCGGTGTGGTAGCTGTACGATTTGGCGCACTTTGCAGTGTTCAAGTCCCAGAGCTTCACTGTCTTATCTGCGGAAGCCGAGGCCAGGAGGTTTCGGTGTTTCCGGTTGGCGGCTAACGAGAGAACAGCGTCGACGTGGAACTCATCATTGGCCTTCTTTGACTTCTTCTTCTTCTTTTTCTTGTCCGCATCTGGGCCCTTGTTGCCTTGGCCAAGAATAGCATTGGGGTACATGCAGTCCACAGTGTCGAGATCCCAGACCTCAATATCCGGGTCCATGGTACCGATTGCGACAAAGTTTGCTGTCGAGTCCTGGGGAACGCCCTTTTTGGCGACGGGCAGGTCGAGCCACTCGACGCAAAGGGGAATGGCAGGAAGCATAATGTCGTGGTGGACATACATGTTGTCTGCCTCATCTTCATAAACGTACACCTCAAGGTGTGCCAGCTCATCTTCAACCTTGGCAGCCAAGAGAAGGTTGTCCGTGGCCAGAATCTGAAGTTCTTCCCGCTCGTCCTCATCGTCGTTCTGTCCATCGGGTATCGTAATGTAAGGGTCTTCCTTGTTGGATTCGTAGTAAGCTAGGGACTTGACATTGCCAAACATGTCCATCTTCTGGCCTTCGGGTTGATCTTCGTCATCGTCATCGTAGTGCTCGAGATCGTACTCCTTCAGGTCATCGTCGTCGATGTTGATGCTGCGCCAATGGTTTAGTGAGGTTCCTGCGAAATATGCAGATAATAGGCGAGCTTACGCTTCTGTGCTCTGCTTCTCTGCCTTGGCTGCTGGGGACGAGGTACCCTCGATACCACTGCCAGCCGCATTGGCTCCAGCAGCTTCCTCCTCCTGCGCATCCTCTAGTTCATCATTTGCGTCGTCAAGCTGGAGTTTCGCAAGCTCGGCGATGCGCTCGAATTCCTCGTCGTCAAAGTCATACTTTGTTGGAAAAGGTGCCGCAAACCCGCGCGGCACCCAGGCAGCAGTTGTGATCATGGACGACATTGCAAAGCCCGTGTTTCGCAAAAGAGATACACAAGTTTTGCAATATACAAGATGGCTTATTTACACAGCAAAAGTTCCCCGCGACGGCGTCCAAAAATTTTGGGCAGCCCAAGAAATAATTTTAGCGGGGCACAATGCTTATCTTATCGTAGTCCCGGCAGCTATGTCAGAGCTGTGGGTGCTTCGCTCCTGAGCGTGGGACCTCGACTTGATTGGAATACGCCCCCAGTCTTGGTCTCCGCGCAGTCTTGGTCGCGTCAATCATAGTAGCGCCTTGAAGTAGAGCGCTTCGCTCAACAGACTTGGCTCAAAGTCACACGAAATAATTGTCACCCAAAGGTCTTCATAGACTCTGCGCGAACCGCCCAGTTTGTGCCTGCCTAGTCTCCGTCCCCCAACCTCGTCGACATGGATCGTAATGGCGGAAACTTCAGCCCAAAGCGGCGCAAGCTCGACTTTAACCCTCTGAGATCCGATGATCGATACGCCTCCCTGCCGAATAGGTCCTCACGAACAGGCGCCGGCAAGGCGGCATCGCGCGAATCCAAGCCGAAACAGCAAGAGTTCGACACTCCCGAGCCGCTGGTGCCCGAAGATGACCAGAATGCACTGGACCGGGATTGGTATCTCGGCGACGAGAACGGGCACACTTTTGGCGATGAGTCGCATGACCCCTTTGCCTCGTACGACTCGTCATGGGTCGAGCAGCGACACCGCGAGCAGGACATGGTGGAGAAGAAGGCTGGACAGAAGCATCTGAACGCACGACAACTGCAACGGCAGAAGGATAATGACGCCTGGGAGACCAACCGCATGTTGACATCCGGTGTTGCTCAGCGGAGATTCGGTGACGACTTTGAGGATGACGACGAAGGCACAAGAGTCCATCTTTTGGTGCACGACCTCAAGCCTCCATTCCTGGATGGCAGGACAGTGTTCACGAAGCAATTGGATCCTGTGCCTGCTGTTCGGGATTATCAAAGCGACATGGCCGTATACAGTCGAAAGGGCAGCCGTGTTGTTAAGGAACGGAGACAGCAGAGAGAAAGGCAACGCCAAGCACAAGAAGCTACGAATATGGCTGGCACAAATTTGGGCAATATCATGGGAATCAAGGAGGACGATGGCGATAGCGCACTACCAATCGCTGCAGAGGATGAAACTGGCAAGACGGGGGGCAACAAATTCAGCGAACACATGAAAAAGAGTGAGGGCGCTTCCGACTTCAGCAAAAGCAAGACCCTCAGGGAACAACGAGAATATTTGCCTGCTTTTGCAGTGAGGGAAGACCTAATGAGGGTGATTTCAGACAACCAAGTCACCATCGTGGTTGGTGAAACAGGCTCGGGAAAGACGACACAGCTTGCGCAATTCTTATACGAAGATGGGTACGGAAATCGGGGCATGATTGGCTGTACACAACCTCGAAGAGTCGCTGCCATGAGCGTGGCGAAACGTGTCGCCGAGGAAATGGAAGTGAAGCTGGGAAGTACGGTGGGATATGCAATCCGTTTCGAGGACTGCACAAGCGATGAGACCGTCATCAAATATATGACCGACGGTATTCTGTTAAGAGAGTCACTCAACGAGCAGGATCTAGATCGGTATTCCTGTGTCATTATGGATGAAGCCCATGAAAGAGCTCTCAATACAGACGTATTGATGGGTCTTTTCAAGAAAATCCTGCAACGGCGGACCGATCTCAAACTCATCGTCACTTCAGCCACTATGAATTCGAAGCGCTTTTCCGAGTTTTTCGGAGGTGCGCCTGAGTTCTTCATTCCAGGACGGACTTTTCCAGTTGACGTCATGTTTCACGGATCATCAGTTGAGGATTACGTTGATGCAGCCGTTCAACAAGCCCTTAGGATCCATGTTTCAATGGCGGCGGGGGATATTCTGATCTTTATGACTGGCCAGGAAGACATTGAATGCACGTGCGAACTACTCCGGGAAAGACTGGATGCATTGAATGATCCGCCAAAGTTGAGCATTCTGCCGATTTACAGTCAAATGCCGGCAGATCTGCAAGCAAAAATCTTTGACCGTGCAGCACCTGGTGTCCGCAAATGCATCGTTGCCACCAATATTGCGGAAACAAGTCTGACTGTTGATGGTATCATGTATGTGGTGGATGCCGGCTACTCGAAACTCAAGGTGTACAACCCCAGGATGGGTATGGATACTTTACAGATTACACCAATCTCCCAAGCAAACGCAGGCCAGCGTGCTGGACGTGCCGGAAGAACTGGACCGGGAAAGGCCTTCAGACTATTCACCGAAAAGGCTTTCAAGGACGAGCTTTACACCGCTACCATTCCCGAAATCCAGCGAACGAATCTGAGCAACACCGTACTGCTGTTGAAATCTCTCGGAGTGAGGGATCTTTTGGACTTCCACTTTATGGACCCTCCACCTCAAGATGTGATCACCACATCGCTGTTCGACCTATGGGCTCTTGGTGCTTTGGACAATATTGGAGAGCTGACCGATCTGGGTGCGAAGATGAACGCCTTTCCCATGGACCCGCCCCTGGCCAAGCTATTGATCATGTCTGAGGAATATGGCTGTAGCGAGGAAATGGTAACCATTGTCGCCATGCTCTCCGTTCCCAACGTGTTCTACCGCCCTAAAGAGCGCCAGGAAGAGTCAGATGCTGCACGTGAGAAGTTCTTCGTTCCCGAGTCAGATCACTTGACTTACCTTCACGTTTACTCGCAATGGAGATCAAATGGCTATTCTGACGGCTGGTGCACGCGTCACTTTTTGCATCCCAAGTCACTCCGCCGAGCCAAGGAGATCCGCGATCAGCTTCTTGACATTATGAAGATGCAAAAGATGGAAATGATCTCCTGTGGGACTGACTGGGACGTCATTCGAAAGTGTATTTGTTCTGGTTACTACCACCAGGCTGCAAAGGTCAAGGGCATTGGCGAGTACGTCAACCTGAGAACGTCGGTCACGGTACAATTACACCCAACGTCAGCATTATATGGACTCGGCTTCCTGCCCGACTATGTAGTCTATCACGAGCTTATTCTCACGAGCAAGGAATACATGTCTACTGTCACCTCGGTTGACCCTCATTGGTTGGCTGAGTTGGGTGGCGTATTCTATTCAGTGAAAGAGAAGGGGTACTCGGCAAGAGAGAAACGTATTACCGAAACAGAGTTCAACAGGAAGATGGAGATTGAGGCGCAGATGGCGGCGGATAAGCAGAAAGAGCAAGATCGCCTGCTCGCAGAGCAGCAAACTAGTACGGTCAAGAAAGCCGTCAACGGAACAAAGGATGAGAAGAAAATCAAGACAAGTGGTGCAGTCAAGAAGCCAGTTGTGAAGAGAAAGGGCAGAGGTTTTTAAAATTGGATCATATAGCGGATCACTTTGGATATAGAACAAGATGAAATGAAATACTTGATGTTTCCTCCCTTTTTTCTTGCTTCTTCTTTTGTTTTTGGCGAGGTAATCGTGATATCATCTCACTGTGAAGCCTCCATGCTGAACATCTGTTCGAATTGTTTGCTGTTTCTCTGATTTTTTTTATTTTTTTTTCAAAATTTCTTTTTAATTCTCCCTTCATAGGAATACCAAGAAGAACAATTTGCAAAGAAAGAACAAAAAGCGAATCATTTATATTTACGATGCGTAAGACGTCAACTGAGAAGTCGTTTGTAGAAGAGTACTATTAGCGTAGCGCTTTTGCTTGGCCATGAATTTCCACTAATTTAAGGCTAGGCCCGAGCTCCAAACCTTTGGCGCAGCTGGACAACTCTCTCAGCTCCCCCGTAAACCGTGTCCAGACCCTCTGTGAACGCGACACAGCAACCCCCGGATTCCCCCTTATCGCCAACTTCATCCATTCCTTTGCGCCTGCACGCCGACAATCCAGCAGACCTTTCGATTCTTCTCCGAACTCCCATTGCGATTCCATCCTTTCGATATTTTATTCATTTCATCTGTTTGATACAATGGCACCCAAGGGAGACAAGTACTCGGTGATCCTGCCGACATACAATGAGCGCAAGAACCTGCCCATTGTCGCCTGGTTGCTCAACCGTACCTTTACCGAAAAGTATGTGGCTTTTGACTACGAACCGATTCAGACAATACCTTCGACAAACGGTCGTGATCTGGACCAAGGGAAATAATGGAAAGCTAACAGAAGCTTAGCAAGCTCGACTGGGAGCTCATAATCGTCGATGACGGCTCGCCCGACGGAACCCAAGAAGTTGCCAACCAGCTGGTCAAGGCTTACTCGCCACATGTCGTTCTCAAGACCCGAACGGGCAAGCTGGGTCTTGGTACAGCCTATGTGCATGGCATGCAATTCGTGACGGGCACCTTCGTCATCATCATGGACGCCGACTTTAGCCACCACCCCAAGTTCATCCCCCGCATGATCGAGGTCCAGAAGCAGGCCAACTACGACATTGTGACGGGCACGCGCTACGCCGGCGACGGCGGCGTCTACGGCTGGGATCTCAAGCGCAAGTTCGTGTCGCGCGGCGCCAACCTGTTTGCCGACACTGTCCTGCGCCCCGGCGTCAGCGACCTTACCGGCAGTTTCCGCCTGTACAAGAAGCCTGTCCTGCAAAAGGTCATTGAGAGCACCGAGAGCAAGGGATATACTTTCCAGATGGAGATGATGGTCCGCGCCAAGGCCATGGGCTGCACCGTTGCCGAGGTGCCCATCTCGTTCGTGGACCGTGTCTACGGTGAGAGTAAGCTGGGAGGCGACGAGATTGTCGAGTATGCCAAGGGTGTCTTGAGCCTCTGGCTGAAGGTCTAAGGTTGAAATCTCACGTCGAAGGAACAGGGTGGATTGCAAGAATTACACCAGCCAGGGGAGTTAGCTGGACGAATTTTCAAGATGTACAACAGGAACACGAGGACTGCCTGGCGTTAGGACGGCTTGTGTTTACATCTTCTGCTGATGACACTACTAATATACAAGGCCAAAGCAGGCCGCAATTTGCCAGTACTCAATTCTTTTGTGACCCAGGTCTATATTCAAATGTTTATTGTATAATACGCTTTTGCACATCTTGGACCCGTTACATGTTGCGACCACCAGTGACCATAATGGTCTGGCCAGTCACGTACGAGAACAGCGGGCTTACGATAGCCAATATGGCACTGGCAGCCTCGGTCGGCGATCCAGGCCTCCTCAGGGGAATATCCGCATACAACTGAGGTCCAGCCGCTGCCTTTTGAGCCTCCGGGATGCCCAGCGCAATCTTCTCGCCATTGGGTCCCGTGATAAAGGCACCCTTCTCCTTGGCTTGGGTGAGCCGCGTTTCAATATGACCATAGGCAATGGTGTTGACCCTGACGCCAAAGTTTGGTCCCCATTCCTTGGCGATGGCTTTGGTGAGACCAGTAACGCCGGCCTTGGCAAAGGCGTAGTTGGCCTGGCCGGCATTGCCGTGGACGCCGCTGGTGGATGAAATGTTGACAATGCTGCGGGGCTCGCCGTCCTTGACGCGGAAGTAGGGCGAGGCCTCGCGTATGAGCCGGAACGGCGCCGTGCCGTGGAGCGCGACGATGGCATCCCACTGCTTGTCCGTTGTCTTGTGGATGACGCCGTCCCACGTGTAGCCGGCGTTGTTGACAATGATGTGAATCTTACCGCCTCCAAACTCGGCTGCCTTGGCTACCAGTGTCTTAATGTAGGCCGAGTCCAGCATGTCGCCCGGAACTGCCAGAGCCTTGCCGCCGCCGGTGTTGATGCTGTCTGCTACGGATTGTGCCTTTGCTACAGACGGAATATGTGTAAGCGAATATGATCCATTGAACCATGACGAGAGTCGGAGGCTGATATGCTCCTGTGCAGTCACGTACCACCGTCAATATCTGAAACAATAACCTTGGCTCCCTCATTGGCGAACAGACGAGCTGCCTCGGCGCCAATGCCCTGTCCGCTGCCAGTGATAATGGCCGTCTGGCCAGCGAGCAGCCCCTTGGGAAAGTTGAGCTGCCCGTACAACTGCTTTAGACGATCCGCCATGATGTTTATTTGAGTGTTATTCTATTGGTTTCTCGGGTATATGAATATAGAATAAAAAAATGGAAATATGGAGAAAGATTTCAATTCGTTTACACTTAGTCCGCTACGACTTCATTTTATCATGACTTTCTGCGGGGCAGTTGGAGTTCCTACCCCGGATTTTCTCAAGGCTGCCGAGGTTCCCCGCGGCATCAACCAGTCAAGCCAGTGTCGGTGCCGCGGCGTACGGTGATGTATATTCGTTGAGAGCTTGCGAGATATTGCGAGATTTAACAAGTCTGTTGCAATGAGCTATCGACACAAGTACAGTATGTAAATTGTACTCTTTGACGACAGGAATTGATCCGCCTCGTTGTGACTATATCTCTAGCGGTTCTGGAATGCTTGCTGCAGCATCAACTCTAGCACTTGGGGGGCCTGCAGTTATCACACGCTCTCGCAATTCGTCAGAAGCGAGATGACTTTTGTTGAATTGTAAAAATTACTGCTCTAAGATGACCCAAATGAAACTGTGAATGCCTGACGAGAACAAGTCCTTGGCATCTCGAATCAACGGCTGAAATATGGCCAGCTATAACATTGACTGAGAGACGGGAACCACTGGCATGGATCTCCCCTGGCACTTGGCTAGTTCCGCTTATTGTTTACACACCATGCGATAAGATTAAGCTAAGCTACCGAGCAATTCAACCCCGCCAAACGACGGTGCATTTGGCAGCCTCATCTCCTTGAATCTTGGACCGTCAGCTCTTTCTTTTTCCCATTACGAGTTTGACTCGTCATAGCATGTCTTGAGAATGCGTGGACGAGGTGGACGCGGCGGTGCCAGGGGAGGTTATCGCGGCGGCAAAGCACCATCATCTGCCCCATGGAGCCGCCTGAAGCCAGTCGAGCTCGATCCGCTAGAAGCCATGGGACTGCCCTCAAAGGGTGATGACAGACTGCTGGACCTCAAAACCCAAGAACGATACTATACAAAGATTGTTGAGCGCTACATGACCTTCTGCTCCGACGCTGGCGAACGAGAAGAACTACTACGACGCTTTGCTTCACTCAACTTGACGACACAAAACCCGTATCCCAACGACAAGACAACAACCACACATGCACAATCAACGCCTCACTTGACATCTGCGAGACCGCATCCTCATCATGCTACCACCGCCCCTCCCGGAGTGCCGCTCAAACCATCGGGGATTTCGAGCAACACCAAGGGTCTTTCCGACGTCCTTGCGGCCCTGAGGAAATTGCGCGAGGGCATAGTCGCATCAAAGCGCGCCGACGACTTTGCCGTGCAGGCATACCTGTTCTGCATACGGTTGGCGGTGCTCGTCAAAAACCCCGAAACCTACCATCCATCGATCTTGCATCTCCTGCGCCGCATACACCCCCGGCACCCGATGACGAGCATCGAGACGAGCGAGGTGGTGGGCTACTTGATCCTAGATACGGCGTGTCGTCGTAGCGACCTCGCTGAGGCTTACACCCTACGACATCGGTACAGGCTGCGGGATCCCAAGGTGGACGGCGTGCTGGAGGCGCTGACGCACGACAACTACATGCTGTTGAAGCGGCTACGCATGAGCGCCGACGGGCACAAGGCCAAGCTGCTCGAGTACGCCGAGGAGGCCATGCGGCGACACGCGCTGAAGTGCTTTGGTCGCAGCTATCTGAGCGTGGACTTGGCCTTTCTCGAAAAGTGCACCGACGCCAATTGGATGGACCTGATCAGCAACGAAAAGGTTGGCTGGGAACTAGAGGGCAGCATGGTTGTCATTAGAAAGGTCAAGGGTAGGTAAATCATTGTGGGCTCTTCTACGGGACGGCGTTTAGGTAGCTCAAAGGGCAACATATATATCTATACCCCGCGGGAATATTAAATCATGTGGTGCTATTCACGGCGTTTCTTGTTTGCAATATCATCCCTTAATTTGTGTTGTTTCTGAAAGATAGCGGATCCCAATTAGCGGTTGGAATAAGTCATTGTGCGCCTATGTTCCAGGCAGCCTCCAACTCGAGGCCCCAACGGCACCATGCACTTTCTATGAGTCATCATACTTCAAAACAACAGGCATGAGCCACATGCACCTGTATTCAGGCTGGCCACGATGGTGAATCCTCATCTATGCATGCCCCATTTGGCTTTAGTAGCTCCGCATTTGACCATCAAACTGTGTCCACTCTGATTACGCTATATAGAGGTGTATAGAAACCCTCTCGCACCAACAAAGTAAGCCCATTCTGTTAGTGTAGGGGTTAGCACGTGGGATTTTGAGGATGACCTGATTTCCCGAGTCCCCGGTTCGAATCCGGGACGGAATGTATCCAGAATGTGGTTTTTTGCCCTTTTCTTTTTCTACTGACCAAATATATCGCATCCTAATATTTCATTTCATTTGATCCCCCTACTTTGCCTTGGAGCAATCCTCGTATCCCGTTGCTGTGGTCCTGCGAAGCACCCGTCGACCTGCTTTTTTGCTCAATAAAAAGTGGATATATTCAGTTTTGAGCTCGTGCAGCTGTTTTCAAAATATTCATACTATCATGTGCCGAAAAGAATGCAGTCGGCCCGCAGTGTCGATTTGCCAGTTGGGTGTCGAGCTCAAAATGAAAGTTCATGACAATTACGGCTCCTTCAGTCTAAATCCTTCCGCTGAAGTGACTTTTTACGTGTCAACCTGCTTAAAAATGTGCTACAAAATTTGCTGCCTCAATGTTTAATAGCGAATCTGACAATGGCAGTCTTTCTTTATCGAGTACCCAGTATTCATAAAATGCGGCCTTGTCACAATCCCCTTATTTCTTTGTGACCTGCCATATATAATCCCTACCTGAATCAATTCTTTGCGTTGGGTGCAGATTCTGCAAGACCTGGATTTCATTCTCACCAGCTTGGGAGCTAGGGATGGGGGAACTTCAAAATTTGCACCACTCGAGAAGTCACAAACTTGGAACATCACGCTATAACAAACATGTGCTGGAGCATACACGTGCTCAAGGTCTGCGGCTGTCCCATGGGCAGAGACTATATTCATCGCTGCGATAACGCCATTGATGGACCGACGTGCACCAATCGTCTTACTGTCGTTCGCAGGGGGAGGGTCTGGTGCGACAATGATGGCTGCCGATACCGAGCAGAAAGGCGCCTGATCAGAAACGATCAGTACTTGGAACAGGAAAGTCAAGACAGGGGTCAAAGGGCACAGAAGGCTTCATAAATCAGTGTGGCTGTGAAAAACTCGCATATCCGTTAAGACCAAGGCGAATTAGACTATTTTGAAATTATGTACCCAGACATGGTCCTTGACAGAGAGCTTTGTGAATTTTTGTGTGAGGTTTCAGGGAAGGGATTATACCATGGCAAGCTGAAAGCATATCGTCCACTAATAAATTCACTGCGAGTCGCTCGCCTTTTCGCCCTTTGTGTCCATTGTGTTTGCGGAAACCATTTCACGGCCAACGTCCATGTCTGATACGGACTGACCATCAATTCTTGGCGAAGCGTGGTCATCCAGTAGTTCTAGAACATATGGAGCTCCTGGAGGTGGGAATACCAAGCAAATCAGATAGTAGACCAATCCAGAACCGCAGAAGCCGACAATCCAAGTGACCTGGAACGTTCTTGTCCAACCCACACCATAGCTTTGGCCATTCATGGCACCAATAAACCCGGCTATTGTAACAACTATTAGCAAAATATTATCAAGAAAGGCAAGTCATGTGGCAACACTTACGGAAGGATGCCCATATTGTCACAGCCCAGGAAACAAAAGCTCTCCAGTTGAGACCAGCAGTGTACCAGTAAATATTGTCTTCCTTTCCTTTGTAGAGGTCTGGGATTTTCCATCTAAGCCTGCGGACTACCCAAAAGTCCACCGCATTGATACCGGCGAGTGGTGATACAAACATGCCAAACGAGTTGAGCACGCTGATAAACAGTCCCGCCTGGTTCACAAATCGCCAAGGCTGAATCAGGTATCCGACGACACACATGATGAGCGATCCCCGCGTCACGTCGATGTACTTGGGCGCCATGGAGGCGAGATCCATGCCGCACGCGACGGAGTTTTGGACAAGGTTGATGGTTATCTGGCTGGCAAAGAACCCGAGCCCAGCAAAGAAAGTCCCAGCGCGCGTGGTAGCACTGTAGTCTTGTGTTTGTAGATAGTCTAGGAGGGAAATCGGATTCCATACGGTCGAGCTGCTGCCGCTGAGGGAACTTGGATACATGGCGGCAATGGCGCTTGTGACGGCGATGCCCATGACTGCGCACACGATTCCGGCGATGGGCCCCGTGATCAGTTGGTTAGCAACGACTGCGGTCCTCGACTTTGTGAAGCGCGTCCAGTCGGCTTGGCGGATACAGGCACCGGTCCACGCTCCCGCGACGGCGCTTATGGCTTGCAATATTCGGACGATCTCTCACTGTAATGGATTAGCATTCGCACAGTTTTCTCTCAATCATCTCAGTATGACATGCCTTGCTGAGATTGTTTTTGAAGGCGCTAAGAAGGAAGCTCCGTGATTTTGGGACATTGCCCAAATAAATAGCCCGAACATGGTGATTGTGACCCAGACCTGAGAAATCCACACGTGTCTAGACAGCTTGGAGGGGTGAATGAACATCATCGATGTGAATATGACGATGTAGATGATGAATCCAATCAACTGCTTAGTAGTGATGCCAGAAGATGCTGAACGAGGTAAGCACGAGCATGCTTAAGAATTTCCAGGCACAACAATTTCCATTCGAGGGCACTTACTCGGTATGGTGTTCTCCAGATTTCGAAAGCTTGGAAAGATGGCTGAGAGTACAATGTTTGCTGCTAAACCGCCCCAGTATGATTGAATGCCAAAGAAGATGAAGTTGACAAAGCACTTGGAGTGCGTTAGTGTAAGTATCCGAGGTTCTCTGGTGTCTTGGAATTACCTTGAGCATACTAGCAAACGAGGGTTTCAGTATAGTCTCATGACTGTAGGTACCATTGTTGAAGACTTACATGACAAAGTACGACCCGTACATGCCAAAGGTGGTACGACTAATCATGGGGAAGCCAAGGTGATACCTAATGCCAGGCTCGCCACTGACGAAGGCAACGAGCGCAGCAATAACCACACCCACTGCTATAGCGCCTATTGTGGCTCCGGCATCGAGACCGTTGGCCAGGTTGCTGGCACCCAGCGACCATGTTGTAGTGTTGAAGCCAACTGCTAGCCTAGAGAGAAACGTCGCGGCATGTCAGGTTGATGATCGCAGTAAAGCAGATGCCGACTTACCAGTAACCGGCATACGCCTTCCAGTCATAGGTAATTTGGTGCCTAGGAACGGGGAGCACATCTGGATTGGCCCATCTGCTATTCTGTCCTTCCTCGCTGACTTCCAGAGACTTGAATGTCCTGGGAAGTCTCAATAGTGGACCCATACTTGCGCTCTTGCGAGTATCACTAGAATTATGCAGGTTTCCTGGGGGCAAGTGAAAACCAGTAAGGGGGCCAGGGACATATATGTTTCGTGCATTGCTTTCGGTAGCGACTGGGGATCAATGCACCCGCTTATATGATATGCTCATGAACACAATTGACTAAACCATAAGTGGACTGAATGCGACAATGTACATAAACTCAGAAGACTGCGCACGCAGCATGTCCAGTCTTGTTCACGGATCTCATCCGGGGTCCAACCTCTTCGGATACTTGAATATCACCCAGGGTCATTTATTGGTGCTCTTCCACTACATGTACCGTAATGACATGCATGATTGCAGGTTGACAGCCATATCATCGGCTTGGGGAGAATATGATATGATAAGAGGTTTCTCAAAGGGGGAAGGGGGGCGACATATGATCGGCAGCTTCCATCGGATCGTCGGGTCCGGCCAACTACAGTGGAATCAAGAAGCACAACCATGCGGGATGTCCTCAAAGTACCGGTATCATCAATACTCTATTCTCGCCGGACGATACCTAGATTACAAAGCTCAGTTCTACTATGACAAAATTACATAGAGACTTGTAGCCATCTAAAAAGTTATTGCATAGATGTATTAATTGGAATTGTGGGCTGGAGTGGGAGGGGCACGGGTAGCAGTTAGCCGCACCTATACTCCAAGTGACTATAGACCAACATCGTCGGGACTTGAATGAGGTTGAGATACATCCATAAAATTCCACAGCATCATTCAAGAGCAACAGCCATGCCGCAAGCCGTGATCACATCAGAGCCCGTAGAGGCGCCCGATAAAGAAGCCGAGATCAAGCGCAATCCTCACGAAGACTTTGCCGCCGTGGAGGCCAGTAGGCCACCGTACAACCCGGCTCTGAAATGGGAAATGTCAAAGACGCCGAGACCAGACTGGAAAGTCGGCGATGGCGCAACCACTGAGCACTGCAAGGACCGCAAGTTCCTGACCATCGATCCACAAGAAGATGGCCGCTCCGTCGTACTCAACTATAAGCTCATGATCTCATGCACGGTACCGAGGCCGATCGCATTGGTGAGCACTGTCACCGAGGACGGACAGACGAAGAATCTGGCGCCATTCTCGTACTTTCAGTGTGTTACAACTGATGTCAGTATGGGTTAATTCCGAAGGTATCGACGCAGAAGGGCTGATAGAAGGGTGATTGTTACAGCCTCCGACGTATTCGCTCTCATGCTCAGGTAGAGAAGCAAACGATACTCTCACCAATATTATGGCGACCAAGGAATGCTGCATTAGTATGACTAGCGATTGGCTGATTGAGTGAGTATTTCCACGTCCTTTTACGAGTGTAACTGATTAATTGTGAGATCAAAGGGCTGCCAACTTTACGTCTGTGAATACGCCACGTCATATATCTGAGTGGGAGTTGTCAGGATTGACCCCAGTACCGGGAGACATTGTAACGGCGCCGTATATTGCAGAATCGCCCTTTTCTGTGGAGTGCAGACTGCTCCATCATCAGGATCTCTTCAGTGTCAAGGACTCGAGCGTGCGGACGGCTACCCTGATGATTCTCCAGGCGGTGCGCTTTCACATATGGGAGGACGTGCTCAACGACGACCGGGCGACGGCAGATATGGCCAAGCTTCGCCCCGTCTTCCGCGCTGGCGGCATCACCTACGGAACCTGCTTCAATGGTTTTGAGATACCGCGACCGGAAGCATTCAGACACGTCAGAAAGGATCCAGAGGTGGAGGCGATTGTGCAGAAGGCTCAGGCGGCGAAAAAGTCGTCGACCATGTAACGCTGACCATGACTCGGCGGTATTGAGCAGTTCCTTGGAGAAGTAAGTGGTAAATTCGAGATCCGAAATCGTACAATGTGGGGTGTGGATCATCTGCTTGAAGCTTCTAAGTCATAGAACTACTTTTTATAGATAGATGATCTCAATAATTACACTGAAGATACTCAGACCAACATCAGAAACACTTGAAGCACTTTACATTTCTCCATGTCAAGCATGTCGAAGGTCTGCATTAGGTGAATGTGTACGAGGTGCCGTCTGGCCAGTCGATTGAAACCAGAAAGACCATTCTGCGGCCTAGCTAAGCCAAATCTGGCTGGTCGTCGGCGGGCCAGCAACTGAATGCGGGGCCTGCGACGCGGTCTGGAAACTCCACATCTCCGACCAGCGCGCGGAATCAACAATAACTTTAGCAGCGCCTGATTGCCAAATCGAGGGTCAAGTCTGCGATTGTTCCGGCTCGATTATTCGCTGCGCTTACCTCAATCTCGACCCATTACACAATCACGAAAACAACTTTCAACTGTTTGCGACCATCCCAATCGTATATATTGTTGCCCAGATTGCCGTTCTCGATCCCGTTGGCACAAGTCGCATCGCAGTTTGTTGGAGCCATGCATTTATCTTGGATCGCGACCAAGCAACCGTTCGCTTGACTGCCATTCACCCAGCCAACACCCGCCGACCCGTTCAGTTTGTCTGTTGAGGGAAGCGAGCTACCATGAGTTACAGCCCGCGTAGTCCGGCTGACGTGCTCGCGGCACGCCCCAACGGTGCCCCAAGTCGCATCCCAGTCCACTCCATCGTGGGCCACAAGAGGACAGGATCTGGTCGCATCGAGTACAAGGAGAACATAATCGACGAGGAAGGTGCCCCCTTCTCACCGAAAGAGCTTCTGGGAGGAAGCGCGACCAAGCCAAGGTCCCCCTTCAGCCCGATCGCACATCCAGTCTCGAGATTGGGCCGAAACAACCCGTCTAGGCTGAGCTGGCAAGCCCCCGAGTCGCCTCACGACTCCCAGATCCCACGACCAAAGATCTCTGCATCTAACTCCGACCATCTCAACGGCCATCGAAGTGCAGGCTCACCTATGCCATCACCGGCCGACAGTGGCCGTCGGCGACGCCAGCCTCTAGGATTGAAAGCCGCATTCCAGCTCGCCGAGGTACAAGAGTCAAGAGAACGGAGCGGCTCCTCGTCTTCGAGTGAACCGATCGATCTGAGGAAAGCTTTTGAACTGGCCAATGCCGAGGCGAATGCAGTGGCGGTGGGATCACCTAGCCCGGCTCCTCGTTCCTATCGACGTAGGGAGTCGATGGACACGAGATCGAATCAATATTTTGGCAGTGTTGGCGGCATTGACCTCGGCCAGCGCCTGAAACAGTTCGACAAGAATCACCAACTTGGTAGTGGCCATGGAGCTTCTGATGGACTTTTTACAACCAAGGGGCGCGCGGCAGTGCAAGTACCAGATAAACGCAGCCATGTGGAACGCCCACCAGATGAGGGGGGCGGGATCTCGGATCAGGGCGTCGCTGAGCCTGATGGTGCTCTTCCGTCTCCCGACTTTGATCCTTTGCCGCCAGTTGACTATGAAGACGAGGACGACTTTGGTAGCTCTCCGATTGTGCGGCCTACTAATCCGTCACCAGAGAAGAGTTTCAACTGGGACCTGGATGCTGACTTCACAGCTGGTGATCTGCAGGTATCCGATAGTCCTCGGATAAAACTGGGCAGAAACAACAGCGCCATCAATGATGCACCAGCAAACGGGACTCCACCGAAACGGACCAACGATAAGCTCGATAAGATCCGGCAGCTGGAAATCGAGGCTGCCAATGCTGAGATTCCCGAGGAAGAATCTAGTCTCATGTCAAGAAAAACAAATCCTAGATTGGACGAGATTAGAGCACGGGAAATGGTGGCATTCTCTCCTCGGGCTATGGCTCAGAGCAAATTGGACGAGATTCGCGCAAAAAATGCCGAGGCTCGGTCTCGTTCATCATCACCTGAAGAAGCAAGGAATTTTGGTGTTCAACCTACTCGAGAAAAGCCATGGAGCTTTAGTAAGGATAGGGAAAATGGCAACCTCGAAGTCGGCAAATCTGTTTCACCCAGGCATAATGCCCGACTTGACAAATCGACAAGTGTAGATGCTCGAAACCGAGGAACAAAGGAGAGTCCTTCTTCAAAGCAATATCAGCTAGACATCAGAGACGATTCTTATGACCTGCTTCGCCGACTGACAGAGGCAACGAGCCCGCCCCAGAAGAACCCTACACAATCTCGGGAGCCTCAAGTGTCTATTGCGCCTGCTATTGACGAAATATCAAGGGAAGCCGAAAAACAGTACCCACGTCCATCTCACGAGGAACAACATTCTGGGGACATGCGAGTTAAGAGCTCCAGAGACAGACTCGGGGTTAACCTCCCCGGCATGCTTAAGAGGCATGCCGCTTCCTCAGAAACCGACCCTGTCGATCGAATCGAGGCCGAAATGGATCTCTTTGCGCTGGCTAAGTCCCAGTCGGAAAAGAGTTCACAGCGTGCTCCTTCGCCCGGTCTTTCGGAGAGGTCTGAGCCAATCGAAGAAACACCAAAGCCCAAGAATCGTGTTGACCCTCTGACACTTCCAACACCTCGCGTGACAGGGGCATATGTCGAAACTCCAGCCACGGTTAAGGTCAAGGTTGAGAGGGACTTTGATTGGTCCGATGTCGAGTCAGACACGGCAGCCTCACAGACGAAGATATTTCCCAAGCAAACAGCAGATCCGAAGGAATGGAAAGGCAAACACGGAGACAACGACTCTTCCAAAGGAAAAGTTAATCGGCGTAGTAAGCGTCGAGTGAAACGTCGACAACCACTTGTCAATACCGCCAAAATACCAACCGTTAAAGAAGATCTTCGCTTGATCAGGCGCCAAAATCACATTGAAGATTCGACTTTGGATGATTTTGATGAGCTACTTGACAGCTTGGATGTTGAAACAGTTGAGCAACAGCAACTGGACGACGACACTATCAAGAGCGAAGACGACTTTGATGCGAAACTCGGCCTGACAGAACAAGAGCGAGAACAGTTGGCATATGTTCGGATGAGCAAGTCGCTGAAGACGGGTCTTCAAGGTATCCGCTCTGCCAAGCAGGGCATCGAACGCTTAGAAGACAGGATATCACATTCCAAGCACAAGTCGATGCACGACCAAGTTTCAACGAGCCTCGAGACACCAGGTGTAACGCTGGTACACCACCCGTCACTCGGTGAATCCTATGTCGCATTGCCACTATTCTATCACCGCTACCCCAGATTCCGACTTACGCCACTGGGCCTCTTCACCCTTCTGGTAGCCATTTGGTACACTATCGAATCTGTCTTCTGTTCCCTATACGTCGACACCTACGAATGCCCTCGAGGAATGACCTGCGACTGGTCACCGAATGAGCCCTACTTTCCATATGCAGCACCCTTCATGCTTGACGAGTGGATCAGCGGCGGCAAGGGACGTTCGTTAGTATGGCGTGTTGGTGAGGAAATCGGCGATGTGGCCGCCGAGGTAGCTGATTGGGCTACCGGCCATGACTTCACCAAGGACGAAGTCATGTACATGAATATTTGGGATAGGCGTAGGCACAGGCGCAGACTGCACAAGCGTGGCCTGCATAGAAAGTGGATCGAGCCCATACAACACAGGTTCAAGTTTCAAGCTTGGCGCGAGTCATGGAATGAAAAACAACGCGAGATTGATGAGGGCATACCCATTTGGGAAGACGAAAGTATGAATGGAGATGAAGCATTATAAGAGGTGTCTATATGCTGGAAGAAAGGTTGAAAGACAAGGAGAATTACGAGTCATTATATGAGAACGCATGATGTATAGAACGGCTGCAGTCGGTATCAAGTACCAGACTGGCTGCTATTCTGGTAAGCGTTTCTTTAGCGATGATACCATGGCAAGTTGCATTTACGAGGCCTTATGATTCAGCAAGGCGTTACTGGCTAGCTCTTCGCGGAAGACGGGAGCTTCTGTACATTGGTAGCAAGAGGGAAATATCATGTCAAACACTGTTTTGATAACGTTCTGTCCTACACAAGTGTCTAACAGGAACGATCCGACCTTCCCGCAGCCGACTGTAAGAAGTTCAAGACTCTGTCGGCGAGGAACCTTCGCGGCTCAGCCTGGTCGTCATCACTTAGTGCATGAGATGCGCCCGGCACAATACCACTGTTTTCCTGGTCCCAGACCTGATATTTCTCGTCGTGGTCCGTAATTCTCCTCCATTTTGCCAGCAGGGCGTCCTTGTCGACCCAATCTGGCACTGTCTGATCTTTGCCTCCGGGGGCAACCATCAATCGCCCCCGTAACAGCCCCCGTTCCTGAATTTTGCCAAATGTCTTTGCATACTCCTCATCGCTCAGGTCGGCGCTGAACAAGTCCTCCTCGCTTGGCGACCCAGGGCTATCGGGGCTCGCCAGGCTCAAGAATCGCCGGGCGCTCACTGGTGACACAAAGCTGAATTGACTGCACAGCTCAATCGGAAGCACAACATCATACCTATCATTCTGCGCAACAATTTCCCTCGCCATGGACACCAATGTATCATAGGTCTGGCGAAGCTCCTCGGGCGATCTACCCAGGAAACCCTCATGTAGGACCCAGGCAAACGCATCCCGGTCCGAGACGGGAGCTTGAAGGATGGCACCATCTATTACCGGCCGCTCCAAATGCACCAGCTCGGGATCGAACACGGGCCGATTCCGATGCGGGTTCGGCCTGTACAGATAATGCAGCACGTCTTGGCTGCCGCTCGAGTGACCCATCAGCACCACCTTGGCGTCGGCATGGGTGGTACCACTGCCATACTTGGCAGCCTTGTAGCTCTTGATGTAGCGTATGCAGTGGGCAATCTCGTCGGTATCCCGGTCGAGATGGCCCAGACCCCAGGCCGAGTATGATGATGAAAGGTTAAGTGTGAAAAAGGACCATTCTGTTGTCTCCAGCGTCTTTATTATGTCATGTGTATATGAAGTCGTGGCAAGGCCGTCGCTCAGTCCGCCAATGAAGAGAATACTATGGGGTTGATGGGCATTGGGGGATGCATATTCAAAAGTGACTAGAGTCTCCGTCTGTGTTTGTCCGTGTCAGTGCTACAAAGCGCGCACACAATGTGAAGCCTTATGCAATGGCGATTTGGCACAGGAAAACTTACATAATGGTGTAGAATCCCTGGCATGCCACCTTTGGGCCAGAATTGAGAGAACCCGATCATGCTGAGTGATAGATTGATAAAACCGCCGAGCACATTGGGCAGATACCATCAAGTTGAGCAGAATTTTAATGTATTCGGAGCTAGAGCTCAACCATCAGTAAGAACCCTGATTTTTTGCCCAGTAAGGCAACTTTGCGTCTGTGCAAAAGATGCAAAGTCGCACCAGAGACCCGACATCGGGCGTATTGTAGGATTCGCCGTAATCTAATCAGATCCTCCTGTGCATTATCTGATCCTCTCGGGCCCGAGGAACCGGGTTCACAGTGGGCCAACTCGCACACTAGTGCGTGGTAGTATGATCATCGTCGGATGCTCTAGGGTGGACTCGGTTACTGCCGAATCTATGGATGGTAGGGTTTTCCATCTTATCAGATCAATCATTCATTATCTCCCTTCACGGACCAAATCAAAGTCTCCACGCAATGGCACTACTAGGAATACAGGCTGTGTACTACAGACTGTGATGGCTCACTATTTAGTTGCCACATCACTATAGTCTGGCCCGGACTCATCTGGTACAGTGCACTCAATCGTGACTTACCCCTATGTTGCATGTGGCCCTGTTCTTCAGCGTCGCAAGCTTTAGTCATCGATTCCAGCTAGTGAATCCTTCAAGAGTCGACCTAGCTCTTAGCAACATCTGACCGCCATAGGCTATCTGATGTAGGCTTGCGTGCTTGATAGGAGCTATACCGTAAATACGCATATAGTCGGCCGACTCCCCACAGCTTCCAGCTGAGCTGAGTTTTCTCGCTTAGAATTTTTTCCATTACTGCCATTGAAGTTTTACACGCGTCTTCCCGAGATGCAGTGTCGAAATGCCGGTCTCGGGTTGGGCCCCATGTTGCGGTTTGACCTGGATCTTTTATGACTGAGTGCCCTCAAAATTTGAGATTCAACATTTCTTGGCTCTTTTCTTCCTACAGCTCCCTGTCAACCGCCAAGGAGAAACAGTCACAATGCCTCTCAATCTAAGAGCTGCGTTTCGTCGCCAGCAGGCCGAAGATGTCGATACCTCTGTACAAATGGATCGCACCAAATCGGCCACAGTGACAGACGTACCGATTTCCGAAAGAGACACTGAGGCCGGCAATGGACCTACCTCTGGTGTTGTGGACACCTCTGGAGGAGAGCGTGTCAGCGAGGATGCTCAGCGCGGTGTCCAACATGTCGAAGCAGTGACCTTGACTTGGTCGAAAAAGACCCTGATTGCAGTTTTCTTCAAGTAAGTGCTTCAACGGTGCCTCAGAGACAAGCCGTCGTTGTCTAACACTTTATAGCATCTGGCTACTTTATTTTGTCAATGCAATGCAGTCCTCCATTCTGTCCAACCTGATCGCGTACGCTACAAGTGACTTTAGCAGTCACTCGCTGTTATCCATCATTTACGTTGTTTCGGATGCCATGACAGCAGCAGTCTACATTCCCCTGTCCAAGACCCTGGATGTGGTCGGACGAGCCGAGGGATTCGCTATCATGGCTGTATTTGCGACATTGGGACTCATCATGCTAGCGTGCAGCAACGGCATCACTCTCTTCTGCGCCGCATACGTTTTTTACAATATCGGGTTTTCGGGCATGACCTACTGCATCGATGTCATCACCGCCGATGCATCGACGCTGCAGAATCGGGCCTTGGCTTTTGCCTTTACTTCTTCACCGTACATCATTACCGCATTTGCCGGACCCAAAGCCGCGGAAGGGTTCTACTACGACATTAGTTGGCGTTGGGGTTTTGGTACATTTGCCATCATCTTTCCCTTCGTCGCCGCTCCTTTATTCTTCATCCTCAAGTACAATCTGCGCAAGGCACTGCAGGAGAAGCTTGTCATTGCAGACACTAGTCGCACCTTCATGCAGAGGATGTGGGGGTACTTTCTAGATTTCGATATTGTCGGTGTCCTCATCTTCTCCATTGGCCTCGTCGTTTTCTTCCTGCCGTTCGACCTTGCGGCGGACCAGCCCGACGGCTGGAATACGGGCTGGATTATTGCCATGATTGTAGTTGGGTTCATGATGGTATTTGCTTTTGCGATTTGGGAATGGAAATTCGCTCCGTCTCCAATGCTGAGCCTGACCTACATGACTGATCGCACTGTCATTGGTGCCTGCTTGTTGGACGCCACCTACCAGATCTCGTACTACTGCTGGGCCTACTACTTTACGTCCTTTCTGCAGGTTGTCAATGACTTGTCCATTGCCGAGGCTGGATACGTGAGTCACACCTTTGACGTGGTCGGTGGCGTCTTATTACTTCTCGTTGGTTTCCTGATTCGCCGAACCGGCCGCTTCAAGTGGCTTCTGTACATTGCTGTCCCGCTCTACATCTTTGCCCAGGGCTTGATGATCTACTTCCGCCGGCCGAACCAATCTGTTGGCTATTTGGTCATGTGCCAGGTTTTCATCTCCATTGGCGGCAGTATCTTCATTCTTGTCGAGCAGCTGGCCATCCTCGCCGCCGTCGACCACCAACATGTGGCCTCGGCCTTGGCTGTGCTCAACGTGGTCGGCACTCTCGGTGGCGCTATTGGTTCAACTATTTGCGGCGCCATCTGGACCAATACGTTCCAGGCTGCGCTGGAAAAGTATCTTCCCAGCGATGTACTTGATAATATTGATGCCATTTATGACGACCTGGATACCCAACTGAGTTACGACATTGGCAGCCCCGAGAGAATCGGCATTCAGGATGCCTATGGGTACGCGCAGACACGCATGTTGACTGCTGGCTGCGCAATTATGGCGTTGTCTTTGTTTTGGTGAGTTTAGACTATTTCATCTTGTTCTCGTATCACGCTCGCATACTGTTCTGGACTGGTCGTCGCATGGACGCCATGCCACCATTGCCACTTTTGGATGCTACAAGATTTTGGCTAACAAAATGTTCCACAGGATTTTCCTTTTCCGAAATATTGACCTGAAGAAACATCCCCAGACCAAGGGTATGGTTTTTTAATTGTTCCAGATATTATCACACCGAGAATCACTCCCATTGCTGGAACATGCTGTTAGGGGAGTCCAGGTCATGGCCGATTCTTGGGATGGACGGAACAGACTGTCTAGGCAGCCAAGGCTTATTATAATACAAAATTGATATAAAGGTAGCAGGCATATCCATGAGCTTGAAAAGATTAATGAAATTTTCAATGACTAGCTTGATTTTGAGAAAGTTCTGCGATGGACTTGTTGATGATCGCGATGCTATCCGGGTCTTGGACATACTTGGCAGAATACTACTGGCGTCAGATGAAAGCAGAGAAGTGATCTTTCGCCCACATCAACGGCAATTAACCAGCAACGTTGTGGTTCTCGAGCTGCATCAGGATGATACTGTGGAAAGAATGGAAAACCAGGCTCCTATGCCAAAATTACCCACATGTGCTGCTCGTTGCGTTGAACCAGTGGACAGTACTTAGTGCCCTATCATATATCACAAATATGTGTGATGAATACTTGCACTTGCTACAGTTCCCAACGCGTATTTAGGTTAAAGATAGATCCAGAATGATCCCTCGAATATCATCAGAGTATTCAAAAGTATATCCGTCACATGAAGTTGATCCATTACCCAGTACTTTGTTCTCGCAAGGGCATAGGAGGAAGAAGTGAAAAAAGAAAAGGAGAGAAAAACAAAAGCAGCGAGATAATAGTTATAGGTGTCGTGCCGCACTGGCAAGAAGCACGCTTCTCACAATAAAAAGAAAGCGCATATGACCGAATAGTTCCCGGTACTTTCTTTGATAAAATTCTTATGGCCTCAGATATTGAAAGGTGCTCAATTCTGTACCTCAGGGAACAGAATGGCAACAACCGTAGCAGTCTCCTTTCTTTTTAATGTCATCACAGACCATGGTATTAAAGAACAGTGTTATTTTTGTGACGAGGGAACCGACCATCCTCGTCATCCTTGCGTGGGCGCAATTGAGGAAGAGCACATAGGAAGACAATCTTTCCAACAAGTTGATTTTTTCAAATTTTCTTTTATGAAGAGGACAGCGAGTAGGTATGTTGCTAGAAAAAACAACACCTCTACGAAATGGAGAGTGAGTGAAGGGGTGATGCAACTCTTTATATGAGAAAGGAAACGTGTCTTTTGCCATCAAGGTGGTTTGAGGTAGTGTCGGTCATGACTCTGTCATTATTTTAGAGTTTGGAAAGGACCTTGGTGCCACCTTATTACTGAGCTTCTCTACCTCTCGTAGCTAGTACCTGACTCTACATTCATATTCTCACCGAAGCGCATGCATAGATGTCTCCATGGTTGATGACAACGCTCATCTCGATAAAAATCACTCTTTTCAGTTGGAACCTGACTCAATTTGGAAACCTTCCATGTTGAAGGTGACTAGCTGTTTGCAGGACCGCGATCAAGACTAATGGTCGTCCGTCACTCTATTCATTTCAAAATTCTCCCACAGCGTTGAATTGATGGATCTTGAGCCCCGCTGAGTTGTGGAAATGGTGGCGTCGCCAGGCACACAAACCGGAGCAGGATGCGTCGATACTGGATTAAGCGGAACAAGGCCCGTCCGGAATTTTAGTCAAACTGGAAAAGAGTCCGTCAATGTTGTAATGCAAAAATCATGCGAATTTCTATAGGAAAGCCATGCTCTGCTATGAGGCGAGCGATACTTGTTGTTTATTCGGAGAACATTTCGTTGGGGAGACACCCGCGGCTAAGACTCCAAGCCGATGGCAGTGATTTCCATTTGTCCCTTTTGGAAGCACTACATACATAAGTGCCCGGTATGCGTTTGACTGGCAGAAGTCCATTGATTCACAGACTGCTTACCCTCTAGAGATTTCAGTCTTGAATTTCTTTCTGCATCAAAACCGCGCGCATGAAACCTCCAGTCGCATCGGATGTTGCTGGGTTAAAGGTGTCAGCAGCAAGCACATGATCCGGAAGTCGAATAAAGAGGCGCTGTTGCCTGAGAAGTGGATATAAAAGCATGCCAAGGTCGTCGGAGCAATTTCCCATGTGTATTATGTACGGAGTATATGTGCTGCCCAAAAGCTGCGGGGCTGGGATCAATGGGGCATACAAGTCCCTGCAGTCGTGGAGGGCTGCGATCTCTCCACGCACGCGCCCAGACCGTAGGATGGAAAGTTTGAAGTTTTATCTTGTATTGATTCTTGAGTTTGCTGTAAAGATCAAGAGATCTGCTTCAAGCTAAATGCTGGAGCTATCTCAATCCATCTTTTCTCTCTCTTTTCATCAGTGGTGCTTAGAAGTTCGCCAAGAACGAGCCGAAAGTACACACTAGGCCCGCTTCTGCACTGGTGCCCTTGCTTAAATGTCATTAATGCCGCTGCACGCAACGAGGCAAAATCGCTATGTATGCATGGGATGACTCACTCGGCGAGAAGACATAACGTCTAATCTTTATTATGCTCATATTTGCATATTCCAGCAGCACGGAAGAGTTTCAATCGTGTATCCAGCCATGGACACGGGGGCTTGGAGATCCATTCCCACCAATCATTCGGCACTTTAGTTGTTCGACGGATAAGTATGGCCACCATTCCCAATTGCCAATTGGCAATTAAATGTTGACTATACTCCATTGACTCCAAGTTTTGTGGTCAACTTCGCAGCCGCGAGCTCCTCGGTCCCCGAGCAAGATATGATAATGAATCCAAGCGGGATAACTTCAATTTGGATTAAATCAATGATTATCAGTTAGTCATATACTGAGAAGATGTCATACGTCATAGTATAGTAGAGAATGCTTTCAGAACTGCAATGGCAAAAGACGTCCATAGCTAAACCTTCAAGCATACTAGTATAGTGTTGAGGATGCTTTATTTCCCATTATGCATTATGCATATAGAGGTACGTAGGGTAAAAGCAAATAGTGCGCGAGAAACTGAGTATCTGCCAATCAGAACTCTTGCGGCGAGAATAAAACAACTATTGCTAGCGCAAGAGTCATTCCTGAGAAGCTCATCGGCGACTTCCGGACAGTTATCTTACCTGTATTGCGCAATGAAAAGTCTTGCTGCCATTATTGATCTTTACTGTACTTTACGAAGTCTCGTGCAAAGTTCCTCTTACTCCTATGTTCCCAGTCTCTTCAATCTTGTGTGGTTTGTCATGATGTCAAGTACTACCGATCACCAATTGATCATGATGGAGTATACTTCTGAGACCAAACAACAGCACAATCTACTCATACCTCCACCTGATACCGAGATGCAGTCAATATTCAACGGTCAGCTTATGTCTAATTCTGAGGTACCAGCCTCGCTCAACAATTTTCATGGCCAAAAGCACCCCACCAACTCGACAGCAGCACGCGAGGAGGAGCAACAACAAGTCACAACCAATGAAGAACAACATGAACCAGTCAATCTAGAGCCTACACATGGCCGCTCCAATGGCCAGATCGCCTTGATCATGCTGGCCTTGTGTCTTGCCGTTCTCCTCGGTGCTTTGGATGTTACTATCGTCACCACAGCTTTGCCCAGCATTAGTGAAGACTTCCAATCCAGTGCCGGCTATACGTGGGTCGGATCTGCATTTTTGTTAGCTAATGCTGCATCAATACCGTCATGGGGCAAGATCTCGGACATTTTTGGGCGGAAACCAATGCTCCTTCTCGCCAATGTGATTTTCATGATCGGTTCACTGATTGCTGCCCTCGCCACTGGCATCGGTATGCTCATCGCCGGCCGTGCTGTTCAAGGTCTGGGCGGCGGTGGCCTGACCATTCTCACCAAAATTGTTATTGGAGACATTGTGCCTCTAAAAACTTGTAGCATTTTCTACGGAGTTCTGGGCGGTGTGTGGGCGGTGGCGGCGGCAACGGGCCCGGCCATTGGCGGAGCATTGACAGAGAAGGTATCTTGGCGATGGTATGTTCAGAGCCAGCCTCATAAAAAGCAAAGTCTATACTGATTGTACCAGGTGCTTTTGGATCAATCTCCCCCTCGATGGGCTTGCCTTTCTCATTATTCTCTTCTTCCTTGACATCAGTTCCCCACGTACACCACTTCTTAAAGGGCTTCAGGCGATTGACTGGGTGGGCTCGGCTTTGGTAGTTGGCGGTACGCTCATGTTCCTGTTTGCTCTCGAACTTGGGGGAGTCTCAGCGCCATGGCACTCCGCCAAAGTTGTCTGTCTGCTCCTATTCGGCCTACTTGGCTGGGCACTTTTCATCTTCTGGGAGGCTCGTTATGCCAGATTCCCCGTAACACCAATGACCTTGTTCAAGAACATCTCCAATGCTGCCACGCTTTTCTGCGTCTTCATCCAGGGCATTGTATTCATCTCTGCTTCCTATTACCTGCCGCTCTACTTTCAAGTTGTGCGCGGATACACCCCCATCCAATCGGGTGTGTACGTCCTCCCTACTGCCCTCGCACTCTCAGCTGGCAGCCTCTGTACTGGTTTCGTGGTATCAAAGACAGGCTGGTATATTCCGCCGACCGTCTTTGGACTCTTCATGATGGTCCTTGGTTTTGGTTTGTTCATTGATTTGGATGCTTATAGCAACTGGGCAAAGCTTATCCTTTATCAACTTGTCTCTGGTGTGGGAGTCGGCCCACTCTTTCAGTCTCCAATTATAGCCCTTCACGCCCATACCAAGCCGCGAGACATGGCTACTGCTACCTCGACACTTGGATTCATCCGCCAGATAGCCCAGGCCATCTCCGTGGTTATAGGCCAAGTGGTATATCAAAATGAAATCGCCAAAAGGTACCCATCACTCGTTGCCTCTGGGCTCACTTACCCTCTGGAAAATGTCCTCTCCTTCAGCACCGGCGCCGATGCCCAAATCATTGAAAGACTTCCCGAGGATCAGCGCACCGCTGTCCGTATCGCTCTGGCAGATGCTCTCCAGCCAATGTGGCTCATGTACACGTGCTTTGCCGCCGCTGGTCTGGTAGCTTCATTCTTCATTCGACCCAGAGTATTGACACACGAACATGTAGAAATCAAGACGGGTTTGGACGCAGAATACGAAAATGCGGAGGCTCGGCGCCGTGAGCGTGAGGAGAGCAATAATGTTTAGCATTCCAGTGTCAAGGCCGTTGCTGCTTCTTACATCTGCAGGTAGATGACGAGACTGATTCAGGTGATTGAGTGGTCTCAGTCCCACGCTCCCCATATCGTACACATGGTCTACATTTGCACTTGAAAATTTTCTTTTCTATTCTGAATAGCTTAGCATATTCATGAGTTAAATGTAGGAGCACAAGCAGAGATTCAGCCGTAATGCAATGCAACCATTAAATAGCGAGATCAAACGTGCTTCAAATTAGGTTGACTTGAAGCTGGGAGGAGTGAGCAAATGCACTGATAAATTCCGACAATCATTTGAAAGTGACGTCTTCTCCCCAATACTCAAAATTAGGTGTGAGACAAGCGTTCGCTAGTGGCAAAAACGAGGTTCGATTGATATCAGATCAAGTAGGAATAGGACCGCATGAATCCTGCCGCCTGGCCCACTAGGTCGGGCTGTGCACACTGCATGGTATGGGCTGTAAAGCATTAGGGGCTGTCGTCTGCACGGGTAAATGGCACTCAACAGCTGCCTGGAGTTGCTCGTGACACGATACGTTCTAATATGCAATACAATTGTACATGGCAGTATGTAAAGGTGCAGTATAGTGTCAGTGCAATCATTACTTGCATAACAGAGATTTTTCAATATTTCCAGCCTCTTAAGAGTATTGTGGCAAAAGTGGGGTATGAAACGATTGTACTGCAGCTATCACATTCCCTCGGGGCTGGATACGTACTCTTTGTAGGACTTTAGAATTCAATCACCCGCGTGCTCAGCCTCGCCAGGCACAAATGGTGCGGGGTCCATCAGTTACAGCCTCAAGCTGCTCTTTGTCTCAACATCATTCGAATGCATATTCGTATTTGTGCTGTAGCTTCCAACACCATTAATCAATGCAATTTCCAACATACACTTGTACGTTCAGTCATGGCTTCGCGTGCATACGGTCTCAAGGTGGTTTGGCCTCCGCCAGAGAAAAGCGTCTCGGAAGGACCGGCGCTTGAGTAAGTCGGTGTTCTCCGATAGCCCACGAATGAAGCTGACAATAATTCAGTATCGTGGCAATTCACGGACTTGACACCCGCTCCCCGCACACCTGGGAAGCCTGGGAGACGGAAGGAGACCAACAAAGTCGCACTGTCAATTGGCTCAGTGACGATGACATGCTACCAAATGTTGTCAAGAACGCTCGGATCATGACTTACGATTATGATGCCGGCTACCATCACGACGCACCCTTATCAACGATCGAGAGTCAAGCCGACTCTTTGCTAAAAATACTGCCTTTTGATCGTAAAAATGTATTCCTCCACTTTATTTTAATCAAATCATGTATCATTATCAGTTTTCGTCCAAACGTAGGACGAGACGTATCCTAGTTCTCAATCGTATCTCTCAGACTTGGATAACACCTAATTGCTAATTCCATACTAGGATCACGCTGAGGACCGACCACTTTTATTTATAGCATCATGTTTTGGTGGCCTGGTTCTGATTAAAGCTATGAATCTAGCTTCTGTCAATACCTCGCAGCATCAGTTGATCATTTCCGCTGTCAGGGGCGTCGTCTTTCTTGGAACACCGCTTCGAGGAACTCCAGCCGCCAGACTCACGAGATGGAAAACGTACGTGTCTACCATCATGGGAGAGGTCACTTCAAATACCCTTATCCGCGATCTGGAACAAAATAACCCTCAGATTGAAGAGATGGTTCAAAGTTTTACTGTGTTGGCCAACGAATCTCGAATACCACTTCACTGCTTTTACGAATCGAAGAAAACGCCGGTACTGAAAAAAATGGGGTTGCTAAGCTCCATCTCTCAAATCATGGTCTGTTTCTTTGTATTATTTAAACTCGAAGACACCGCCTAACTTGCTCTAGATTGTTGACAAATATTCTGCAACTCTTGAGGGTGTCCGCGGAACAGAGCTGTGTGTCAAACATTCTTCAATGAATAAATTCCGTGGTCCATTGGACGTCAGCTTTCAGCTGGTGGCAATGGTTATCTCCAGGTTCGCAGACAACACCAGAGTCAGATCCCTCACTCAGCAAAAGGACGACTCTTGGATGACAGGTAAGTTGAATGGTTCGGATTATCGTATTCAGTTGAATAATTATTCACAGATTGTAAACGTGATCTCTACGAGGTAGTCCCATACTACGAGAATCAAGAGGAAGAAGTGTATCAGTGGGCCCCTGGTACTTGCCAATGGATTATAGGCCACCAGAAATTCACAGACTGGATCACACCCGAATCTTCGTCGCTGCTCTGGGTGACCGGGAATCCAGGCTGTGGGAAGACTGTTCTCACAAAGTTCCTGGCTCAGAAGTTCCTGAATCGGGAAATCATTCAATCGAGTCCTTACTTCGTGTGCCCTTTCTTTTTCAAGAAAGGCTTACTGGACCAGGAAAGAGCGCATAAAGCATTATCTTCGTTTTTGCATAGGCTAATAAGCCGAAGGCCAGAAAGCGCACCACTCCACCTTCATGATGAATACAAATCAAAAGGCAAAAAGCTTTTCGAGGACGTCAAGGCGATGTGGAGTCTGCTTCTCGAAACGTCCAAAACAATTGGACCAACTTTGCTCTTGATAGATGCTCTAGACGAATGCGATGATAAGTCGAAAAGGGTATTCATGGAGTGTCTTGTTTCAACATTCTCAGTAACAAGACCGGGAACCAGGAATACAGGACGGCTCAAAGTCCTTGTGACTAGTCGACCCGAGAATGATATCCAAAGAGCCTTTCATTCTTTCCAGGAACTTCGGATCCGAAGAGAGGATCAAATGGACGAGATACAGAAGGATATCAAAATTGTGATCGAAAATGAAATTAATGGGCTCAGGGAGCTAGGCGCAGAAATCTGCCAATACCTGAACGCTGCCCTTCAGCATCGTATATCAGACGGATCGTTCCTCCTCGTGCACATCATTTTCGAAAAGCTTCGCGGACTTGACCTCAAGAATATGAGGACTGTTCAAGCTATCGTTGAGGGGAGTAATCAAGATCTTGACGGCCAATATGACCAAGTTCTGCAACAATCCGAAAACCTTGCTCTCAGAAAAAGGTTGTTTGAGATTATTGTGACAGCAAAGACCGCTTTGACGGTGGATGAGATCAACATAGCTCTCAACATCGAGCCATGGTGTCGCAAATTTGATGACATTGATCCGTTCAAGGGTGATGTTGAAGGGGCGGTGAAAGCCATCGGTGGCTTTATGGTGCGAATGAGCAAGGGCCGCGTTTATCTGGTGCATGAGACTGCTCGTTCATATCTACTACGAAATCTTCATCAGCAGGAGAAATCGCCGGAATCTTTCCGCATTGCCAACCAACAACGCCACGGTGCAATGTACAGGAGATGCATTCTGTATCTTGGACTTGAAGATTGGCCTCCATCCCAAGTCGACTACCTGAAAGTCATGGAGGCGGAGGTGTATCAAGACATGCTCAGGTTAATGCATCATATCCTGTGGTCGGTTTCTGACGTGACCCAAAGACAGTGGGTCGAATTGAAGCTGAAACCCGGAGCCTTCGAATTCTTTGTATATGCAAAAACATACTGGCAACACCATTTCGAAGAAAGTGAAGCATTTCCTTCTGACGATAGTCTGAGGAATGGGAACACAAGCATACTGAACATTGCATGTCTATTCGGACGTGCAGACCTAGTACAACTGCTGCTTCCCCTGGAAAAGCAAAATGGCCAAGAAAATCAAATCCCGACGCTACTTCTTGCAGCATTCATGTCAGGAAATACCGAGACGGTAGAAACACTTCTTGATTATGGTGTCGACGCAAGCGAAGCCAAGTTCATTCACTTTACGCCTTCTCCATATAGGCAACGGGATGACTTAGGAATTTTCCGTTGGTTCTTGCTTCAATTAGAATCATGGGCCTTGGTGCACTTGTGCCTGAGCCGATGGAGCCGCTGGCCCCATTTTGAGTCTATTGAATTCTCACTGTCATCAGCAACCATTTTGAGCTATCAAGGCATGACAGATTTGTTGAGATATGACACGCACGATGTCCATCACGAAAATCGAAAGTTGCATCTGGACCTGGTGTTAGCTGCCATGGGCAATGCTACGGTAGTGCCGTTTGGCTTTAATCCAGACCAGCTGCTTCCAAGTGAGGCGGCTTTCAATTGTACGGCAACAAGTTTACTTGCAATGGCGACCCTCAACGATGTTGATTGGATCTGTCAAGAACTTATCAATCAGAATGTCTCGTTGATCAACTTTGAATATTCTTCTCAGCTCCTGTGGCATGCTATTCGTCACCACAACATCGGCCTCCTTGAAAGACTGCGTATAGCAGGAGTCAGCCTCACCATTCCAGTTCACAACAACAGCAGTGCATTGCACTTATGTGCTACTCCTAAACGACTAGATATACTCATTTGGCTGCTTGAGAATATGGATGACTACAATGAACCAGACAGTAACGGGAGGACGGCACTGCATGTGGCATCCAGGAATGGACATCTCGGGATTGTGGAGAAAATACTGGAACGGAGAGAAAGGTGCAACCTTGATTCAGTCGATACTTCTCAACAAACACCACTCCTTGACGCGATTCACAACAGAAATTTTCATGTTGCTCGGTGTCTGATGCATAGGGGCGCTTCTGTATACTATGTCCCAGAGACAGGTAGCAGTGCGCTTCATGCAATCCTATACGCTTACTACCTTCCTGCGACCCGTCAGCTTTTTGACCAGATTCTCAGTAGCTATCGCTATCAAGAAGAATCCATGAAGAACATTGGCAAAGCGCTCGTACAGGCGGCTATCAGCTCCAGCATCCCGATGAACAATCTCATTACCGCTATCGCTCGCAGTTTCTCAAGTACTTCAAGCCGGGAGGGATTCTACCATGAGATCATGTCAAACAAGGAGCTGTTGCTTGCAATGCGGTCATCTCGAAGATTGTCATTTGGACATTGTTCTCCAGAAACTATTCCCCTCGAAGCATTGTCCCATGAATCGTTTACATTCATAATTTGGTTCCATGTGAGACGAGAGAGAACTGTATCTGGTGGAAATATGCTCCACTGGGCCGTTCAATGTGTGAAGCAATTCGCTTCGGATCAGACCGGCGCTTTATTGTACGATGTTATTAACGCTCTCATCGATGGCAATGTTCAACTCAACACCATGGATGATCAGGCGCGCAATCCTATCGCTCTCTGTCAAGAATTGAGGAGAATTGAAGACTCTCAAGCTTTGATTAATATGTCGCAAGCTCTGGCCAGTCATACAAGTGTGGTTGAGATCAGAGGGGAAGACTTTGACATGGAGTTCGAATCATATGTGTTTGGAGATGCAAATGAGGTCGGAAGTGAATCTGAGAGCAATTTTGAAGAAGGTTCTGAGGGTGACCAAGACAGCGAGGGGGAGGCAATCAGAGAACCTGACCGTGATTTTGAGCCATTTTTTGGATTCGGGGACACAGAAGGACACCGATTGCGCCAGGAGTGACTTCGATGATAGTAATCACGGTGGTGGGCGCGTCATGGCCTAGGCTGTGCAAACTGGCAAAAGGCGAAGGCCTATGTGATGGGACCAAGGGGCACACAGTTTGTCTAAAAGACCAACACCGTACATAAATCATCATCTTTGTCTCCATTATCGTTCCCATCTAGAGTGTTGCTATAGTTTGTCAAACTTGACCTTTCAGGTTACCTAAGATATTTGATGCACGGACAAAGTTTAGCTCTTCCATTGTTTCCTCCCATAGTCGTTTTGTAATCTCCTTTCCCTCTGGTTCGTACCAAATCACAGGGTACCTACAATACGGTCAGTTTGTGATGCAGGATTATGAACAACATCCGAATTTGTGTGTTCAGATACAAAAAGGAAAAGGAATATAAAAAGAAATGGAGAGTAGAGCTGGTGCTTACGGCTTGATAGTCCATTCGCTGACGAAGGAGCCATGACTCTCTACTCCTTTTCCGACCACTGCATCAACATACGTGGTTGCACCAGTCTCCGTCGACCTCGCCATCAAGAAGTGAAGAATGCGCGTCATTAATTGATCCATCCATGACCTATTATTGCTCAGCCCAGTACTGGCGGTCATCCCGGGGTTCACGACCTGCAGCACGACATCATTGGAATTGACAAAGTCGGCCAGCTTGGTAACAAACAGCATCAGAACTAGCTTGGACTTTGCATAGGTCTGAAGCGGGTCGAAGGAGCTAGGCTCGTCAAATTGCCGAAGCACTGGACCTTGAGTCTCCCAGTTTGCCATGTACATTGTATCGGACCCCACTAGACTCAGTACTGGTGGACGGGCTCCTGGGGCTGTAGACTTCCTGGTCTTGAGTATGGGGAGGAGTAGTATGGTCAAGAGAGCAGTGGAAAGGTAGTTGACCTGCAAGGACGATTCATGACCGGTAGAGGCGTTTGTAGAGAATTCGCCGTTGAGCACGCCAGCATTCAGCAGAACAATGTCGATCCGCGAAAGTGTTTCACATCGGCTTGCAAAAGCCCGAATTGAATCATAGGAATTCATATCGATAACCCAGACATCAATAGTGGCGCCGGTGAACTCCTTTCGCGGCTCTTGCGCAGCTGCCTCGCCTTTGGTCTGCGAGCGGACACCCATAATGAGATGCGACAGCCCAAGGCCGAGAAGCTGGCGTGCTGCCTCAGCCCCTAGTCCTGCGTTGCTTCCAGTGATAATGGCATTTTTGCCAGTGAGCCGAATGTCTGTGGGCAGAGGTTTAGGTTTAGTGAATTGTCTACGAACCAATGCGAAAATTGATGATTCGGATTGAGCAAATGCTCCGAGTTCGTTAGACATGGTTGCTTAAATACAGTGGGAAGTACGATTTTGCTGGAGTCTCGAAAGAGCTGAGAAGATCTTGATTCCAGAGTCAAATAAGCTGCGACTGAAAGATGGCATATTTATAGAGAAATGAGTCCAAGCAAATGTGAATTGTATACATGGCTCGGTGTTATTGGAATATGTGGGTATATTTCTTCCCAAGAGCTAAAGTCCGGAGCCCGGATAGTCCCATCGGATATGTGGTTGGCTGTTTGGGGCTAATTCCGACTATAGTAAAAGGCGCTTTGACTCACAATATAATCGTAGGGCGTAGCCATCCGTATCGGAAGTAAGAAATAAAATAGACTTTATGACCGGCGACATGCCAAATAAGTTTTGTTCCCGTTGTCACGACGACAATTTTCGAGAAACCCTCAAATTTATCATTGAATTGTTAAGCAATCTCATGCATCCAGGGCATGACATGGTTAGGACGACAAGCGAAGAACACATTGTTCTTATCAATGAAGGGTGGCAGCCAAAGTGCATACAGATAGGAGAGAAATTCTTATGAATGAGCGAAACCATTTAGATATAAAACATTGCAGCATCTTTCTCAGTTTTATATAAGGTGCCCATATCCTCGTCTGTCTTGGATAAATTTTGCCCTGGCGTGTCTATATTTGCAGCTGCAACGGGTTCTATCAATCGCTTAAGCAATTTGGGCAACTAAAATGTAACGCGACAGACGAGCGGGGTATAGGCTGGGTGAACCAGTGACGTTCAGCACGCCTGGTCCTTGAAATTTTGCCATTGGGCGCTGAATGAATAAACTTGAATGCTTCTCGTTTTCACATTTGCTCTGGTGCAACCGTAGGAAATTTGACACTTCCAGCCCATTAGTGCTGCTATAGATTTGTACCATCTCACGAACTTTGTCTAATGTGGAATATGGTTATAAAGCTCTCTGGTGTGGTCGGATGACGACCAGATTACTACATATAGGTACTAGCCGACCTTTTTGTCTGGCATTGACGGGTGAATTCCATGGAGAAATTCTGGCACAACCATATGCCATGCTACTTCTGTCTTGTATTTCATGATGCTGAGTACCTAGAGAGACGAGTAAGTGCCCGGCAAGTGCTTCGAGGTAATAGCGTCGGGAAGAAATAGGTTATTGATTTTGCGTTGCGGAATCTGAATAAAACGTTTGTGGCGCCCTTAGTCATAAACTAATGCGCTTACGCCCATACGAGATAGGCAGATGCGTCTCCTCCAAATCTGTAAGGCGGAACATCATCTGGCCGCCAGCCGCGTCATCAGGGCTACAGAGATACTGAAAAATCATATGATGACGAATTTTAAGCTGAAACCTGTTCTCAAAGCGAACATTTATCTGCACGGCAAGACAGTCGCATCAGTGCGGCACAGCCAAGATATAGCAGCAGGTATTTAAGCGAGGATCTTACAGATGCTACAATTCAGCTAGGCTCCGAAGTACCGTGCATGAGGAGGTGGGTGGACAATGGGGGAGCTAGACAACCTGTGAATATAAGTTATCTGACATAGGTCCGTTTCTATACTGTGCTGGTAACGAATTTTGGATGACCCCAAATACTTCATCTTACTTAGAATCCGCGACCAAAATATGGAGCAAAGCTCAAAAATGACGTTATTTGACGAGTTCGAGAATCTCATTCTTTCTCAGCCACAGTCACATACTGAACCCAGCGAATTCTTCGCTTCGCTTGGTGCACCATCAGTATCAATAGCTGTTCTGGATCATGGGGAAATCACCACGAGGTGTTATTCCACCGTCGGAGACGGCGTCAAAACACGTTTCCAAGCTTGCAGTATATCCAAGCCCATCTCCGCCTTGGCCGTCATGAGACTTGCAGACCAGGGTAGATTGAGCCTGGACGACAAGATAGCTCATCTCCTATCAGATAAAGTTGTGAACAGTCTTGGTCCAGCTGATTTGGTCCAAGAAATCACCTTTGCGCATATACTGAGCCATACTGCGGGCCTCAACAACGGGGGCTTTCCTGGTTACAGCGACATCGACCACCCAAGTGCGACGGACATCGTACTCGGCAAGTCTGGTGTTAATACTACGCCTATCAAGGTCGTTGGGATACCTGGCCGACAATGGAGATACTCTGGTGGAGGATTTGTGCTTCTGCAAATTGCCCTCGAGAAACTCACATCGCTCCCATTTCCACAGATCATGAAGGAGTTGGTTTTGCAACCGCTGGGAATGCATGACTCTTGCTACGGGACGCCAGAAGAGGAAGTCGAATTGGCAAAAGCGTACTATACCGGCGTCACACAATGTTCAGTGCCATGGCATTATCTGCCCGAATTGGCCGCTGCTGGGCTGTGGACAACTCCCGGGGACTTGTGCAAGGCCATCTATGCACTGCAGCAGTCTTTGGCGGGAAGCGAGAATGCATTCTTGAAGTTGGACACTGCCAAGAGGATGCTCACCGAGGTCGACTCGAATGCCATGAGCTTGGGATGGGTTGCACCGAAGGACCCGGGCACCTACTTCGGTCATGGAGGTTCAAACGATCCCGGCTACCGATGTGTAGCTATGGGAATTGCAGATCTGTTGGGCCAGAAGAAGGAGTTTCCGAATGCTGATTGCGGTATTGCTGTCATGACGAATTCAGCCTTTGGAATTGAGCCGGCTTACGCTGCCCTTCAAACGATCAAGTATCTAAAGGGTTGGCGGGAGGCAACAACAGTCTCAGTCAGCATGCCGTTTGTCGCACCCTTGGCAGTAGTCCACCGCGAAATCCGTGGTGATTGGAAAGACTGGATGGGTCAATGGAGCAACGGTACTGATGTGTGGACCATTGACGCCGATAGCGATGGACAGCCGCAGGCACGCTGGCGAGAGAGGCAACCAATCAAGTTACTGCCTGCTGCTATTTGCCCTGAACAGTATCCTGAAGGTGAATCTCTCGATCTGGTTCTAAATGGGGTTGGGGTTATACTACGCTTGGCTTGGGCAGAGGGAGAGCGGTCTATTGAATCCATGGATGCACTAGCATACAAGACTACAAAGCTATCGCGAACTGGTTAGTATGAGTGGTTGGCTTGAGTAGAAAAGAAAAAACGAATCTTGTATTCAACAAAAACTACCATTGGTAAATTTCCCTTACGGTTGACGTTTTAGAAATGATGCGTGATTGTTAACCTTTTACAACCAATTCATGTGACACGTGAACAGTACCTCTCACGGTTGGGAATTTGTTTAAAGGTATGTGTCTACTCATGTCTATATAAATACGTCCGTACCATGTATCATGACTCAGTTCTTCTCAATTGAACCATTGTACTCGAGATATCCATAGCGACCGGCCGGAATGTGCAACTCTCTAGCCTCCAGGACCCCTTTCTCACGCACGACCTCGACAGTGCGCTGGTATTCCCTCTCCGCATAGCTTTCGGCGTCAAAGTTGAGCAACCATTCCTCCCGCCTCAATCGAAAGCTTTCAGGATCCTTTTTGGCGGCGCCGAAATCAGCCTTGTGCCAGATGTCCCTTGTCTGCTCGCCAGTCTTTTGCGCGCTCTTGACGCGCTCATACCTCAGTGCCTCAAAGACTTCCACTGCTTCACTGACACGACCTCTTCCCGCCTGTTTGAGACAAACGGCAATCGTTGCCCCGTCCTCCATTGCTTGGCTGGCGCCTTGAATACTTGTTGGCAGAAAAGGGTGAGCGGCGTCGCCTATCAGAGCAATGCGCCGTTTCGGGGAGATCCAGGTTGTGAGGGGATCCCGATACACGAGCTTCCAGTCTATCAAGGGCTCTGGTGTGCGATCGAGGATGCGTTGAATATTAGGCTCCCAACCTTCCAATACCTTGCGGGCATCCGACAATGGTGCCTCCCACTGCCAGGACTCGCCAATGTCTTTGTCATCTTTGTGCGTGCAAACCCAGCTTATGTCCTCGCCATTCTTGAGCGTTGCAGCGATGAAGTGCACATCTGGGCCAAGCCATGCGACATGCCTGTCTCCATTCTTTACCAGCCAATCCAGCTCAGGGTCCTGCGCTACCGTGTCTTTGGTTGAGAACCAGGAGCGGTACACGGCGTATCCGGAAGGCTTGGGAGCATCTTCGTAGCCAAGTACCGTGGTACGCCCTTTGGACCGAACGCCCTCGGCTGCCAAAACCACGTCGCCAGAGATCTTCTCGCCGCCTTCGAGCACTACTCCAGCCTCATTGTCATCCTCGAAATAGTCCACTACTGTAGCGCCCAGACGAACGTCGATACCACAGTGCTCAACGGCGTGCTGGAAAACAATTTGATGGAACTCGCCGCGATGACCATCAAATCTGAGACCCCAATTTGTTTCCTCTTCAGTCCAAACCTGGTGGTACAGTGTATCGCCCTTGAAAGACTTGATGGTGAGCCCTGGTGGCCTTAGGGAGATGGGGTCAAGCTTCTGCGCGACCCCTGGCCAACGGTCGAAGATTCTTGACGAGTTGGGCGCAAAGGATATAATGTCACCCAATGGCTTCAAGGACGGGAACTTTTCCACCACGATTGGCGTATGACCATGCCGATGGCATTCGATTGCCGCGGTAAGACCTGCGAAGCCGGCACCCACGATGACAACGCGGATCCCGGTCTTCGTTGGAGGGTCGTGGGGTTGGTGGCCGTTGGTGGTCATGGTCTAGTCTAAAATCTTTCTGGTTTCTATCGGGGTTGTGTCTGACAATTTGTGAGAAAACAATCTGAGGCTGATTTATACTTTGTGCCAAGGGATTATACTTCTAGTCTCTCAGCTGTTTTGAAGAGCCAGGCTATCAACAACCGAGACCTTGCTACTGATATAGAGTCACGCAAAGGTTTTTGGCAAGAGTAAGACCTCGTGGCAATCTCAACCAACTCTCCAATAGTAAACACGGCATTGAAGAAAAACCGAAATCAGATTAACCACGGCTCTCGTATGTTAGCTGACATTCCCCGCATTCCATCTCCACCGGCAATTGAAGAATTGGAGGCTCAACGTTGCTTGTTCATTTCTTTGTCATGCGGGGAAAACATTGATCGTTCAGCTTGGCGTCTGTATACGTTGCAGAACCAGGGCACCCGGTCACATTGCCAAATGTAAAGGGTTTAGGCTTTATTACGTCCATCCAGGGTCTGTTGGTTGACACGTCCGGATACATCAACTTATAAAAGCGGATTTCTCAGTTGGCCATGGCAGACGAGACTCTGCTGTCAGTCCATAGCCACTGGCATCAACTTGCAGTAAACACTCGTGTCTTGGAAGTGCACCGCAGCTATGCCTTGGGGACTACTTGAAGACAATCGCATGGAACATGTCCCCGGGACTGGTAGGTTTCTCACAGTCTCAATCAGTCCATCGCAAGTTACCTGTTGACATTGCGCAATCTAGTGTTTCTTGCGGATCAGTCCGACGTTCCCCACGAGTACGACGATGTTCCTCGCGAAGTCCTCAAGCACGGTACGGGAAAGTATTCCGACATCATTCTCGTACCCCAACCCTCCGACTCACCCAATGATCCACTGAATGTGAGTCTCCCCGCAGCTCGACGCACGTCGCTGGAGCTCACAAGCGATAGTGGCCCACATGGAAGAAGGATGCAATCCTCGTCATAGTTGGTCTCTCGGCCGCCATTGTCGGGGCGTACGGCCCAATGCTCTCGCCCGGATTCGTTGAAATCTCGGCCGATCTGGGTATCACGGTCAATACCTTGTCGCAGGCCACGGCATGGGTCATTCTGCTCATTGGCATCTCGCTGTTCTTGTTCAACCCAATGGCCAAAAAGATCGGAAGGCGACCAGTCTATGTCATTTGCAGTATTATCATGTTTACAGGTATGCACTTACTGATATATTTTCTTCGGTTGGCATGCCTTTAGAAGCTTAGAACAAGCTTCTGTCTGTTTTCCAATGCGTGTCAATTCTGTCTTACCTTTGGTTTGGCTGGCTCCTGTACGATCCGAAATCAGCAATTACTGATAACTTTCGTTGAATAGGCAGCATCTGGGGCGCACTTGCCAAGGATTACAATAGCTTTCTTGGAAGTCGCATCTGGAGTGGTCTGGGCATGGCGCCGTACGAGGTTCTCGTGCAGTGCACCATCGCTGACTTGTACTTCATCCACCAACGTGCAACAAGGATTGCTGTCTGGAACATGTTTTTGTTAACTGGAATATCTGGGGGCAGCCTTATATCTGGCTTTATCATTCAAGTAAGTAACTACAGCCAGATGCGAAATGTGGTGTCTTTATCACTCACATGGTGTAGAACCAAGGCTGGCAGTGGACATTCATCTGGTGCGCCATACTATTCGGCTTGCTGCTTCCACTTGTGTTTTTGTTCGTCCCCGAGACTGCATACAATCGCAACTCAGTTGGCCAGAAACTCGTGACTGCAACCCTTGACAAAGAGACAACTGCGGTCGTCCAGGAGAAGAAGAAAGCCGAGATCGAGCACAGAGAGTCTGGTGACACTGTAGAGAAGAGGAGGTCGTTTGTGAGCACACTACGACTTTGGGGCGAAACCTATACCTCGACTCCTGTGTGGAAAATCTTCCTTCGCCCCCTCATCATCTTCTGGTATCCTGCCGTCTTTTGGGCGTTCCTCCTATACGGCGCTACACTGACTTGGATCGTTGTCTTCAGTGTTGTGAATGCAACCATCTTCACCGCACCGCCCTACAACTTTTCCGTGTCGCAGACTGGTCTGATCTCGCTATCGCCCTTCCTATTGACCATCATTGGTGAGCTCATCTCCGGGCCACTTAATGACTATGTGTGCCTTTGGCTCGCCAAGAAGAATCGTGGCATTTATGAGCCCGAGTTCCGTCTCCCTACGATTATCATCCCTATGATCATTGGCATTGCTGGGTTTTACGGGTTTGGAGCCACGGTGCACTACCAGACCCATTGGACCGGACCGGTTCTGTGCTTTGGATTAGCCAATATGAGCCTCGCAATCGGCAATGCATGTGTGTTTGGATACGTGATAGATGCTCACAAGGAATTAAGTGAGGAGGGTAAGTCATCATCTTGCAACTCGCGAGCTTTTGGGCTTTGTACTGACCGCACCATAGCATTCGTGGCCATCAATGCACGCAATTTCTTGACCTTTGGCCTGACATATTTTGTTAATGACTGGCTGGAGAAGGACGGTGTCTTGACCGTGTTCAACGTACTCGGAAGCATCTTTGTCGCAGTGAATCTTCTTACAATTCCACTCTGGATCTACGGGAAGAGGATCAGGGGATTCATCGCTCGCAGCAAGACTCTTGACAAATTCATGCATGAGGACTAAGAGATAGGAAGTGACCAGGCAGCATTGGCCTTGATAGGATTGAGTACTCAAAATGCGCAGTGAAGAATCAAGTTCTCTCTTCCATTCGGCACTGGTGATCAACAATGTATTGACGCCGAGTGAGCACATGGTTGGCAATAACCGGACGACGATGGGTGTAGACGAAAAGCAGAGTGGGCCGCTCGAGTGTGGACGGAGAATGTGGGGGATATTGGTGCTGAATCTGCCCGTGTTGGCGCCTCTATTTCGCAATCCAGAAGCTATAACAAGGAAGTATCCACTGACTAGACTCGGCATCAAGTCCGTCGTTAGTGTGGGACTTGGATTAGGTACTACCTACTACACTTACCAAGCAGAAGTTTATGCATAACAAATATATATATATAAAGAAATTCTTCTAAAACTAATTCCATTTTTGAAGAAGAAAAATAAAAAGAAAGAGAAAGAGAACGAGAATTTATAATAATGGTAACACATGATATGATATCAGTGCGCAGGCATTTGCTCCTTTAATGCACAAACCCATTATACATGGGTTAGTTAACTCCAAGCTGCCACTTATTTCATTCCATGTTTGTGATACGCACTCCTCGATTCTGAAGCAATAAATTTGAGGCAAATTAAACTACAAATCATCTGCCACATTACTCAAGCAAATAAAACCACGGCGACCATAAGAGTAGAGGTAAATTGTAACAGTCTCGTAGATTCCGGCAGCCAGATTGATTCGTTGGAAGTTAGCATTCATTCGAGAAAGCCGTCAGAAACGACCGGCAACTAGCGGCAAGCGGGCGGCTGCATGATCTCTATGATTACTTGGCTGCCTTCGGAGAGAACACCGAGCTCTAGGGACTCACACATGTGGTCTTTTCATGCAAAAAAGACATCTTGTCCCTGATTCTTTCCGCGATTCGGCGAGCTTTGTCTATGCCATAGCCGTCAATCGTGAGTAAAACTACTGGAAGTGGGCGGAGTTCACCCGGCGGGCCAGACCGTTGTGCGCTACCCCACCCACAGCGCACCGGTTCTCCCATACAGAAGACTATTCGCGTGTCCCCCACATTCCGCACAGCACGGGACGAGCGTATAGAGATGTAATGATGAAGATGGTTGCTAAAATGAAATGTATAAATGCGAGCTGGCTATTTGTTGAAATAAAGAGGTGATTTGAGGAAGCAACAGCTAAAATAACTCTAGCTCTCTCTCAAAGAAATCCAAAACCATGGTCGCCCGGCACTTGAAGACGGCCGCCTCAGAGGCCAACACCACTATTGACAAGAAAGTTTCAGATATTGTGCAGGGCGTGATAGCAGACATCAAGGCGAACGGCGATCAGGCAGTCCGATCTTACTCGGAAAAGTTTGACAAATGGAGTCCCGAGGCATTCAAGCTGTCGCAGGCCCAGATCGACGATATCATCAGCAAGGTGCCAGCTCAAACCATTGCCGACATCAAAGAAGCACAAAAGAATGTCCGCACATTTGCTGAAGCTCAAAGGGCAAGCATAACGGATTTTGAAATCGAGATTCAGCCGGGTGTCTTCCTGGGGCACCGCTCCAATCCCATCAATGTCGCTGGCGCGTTAGTGGACACTCTTAACATAATCATCAATCTGAATACTCGCTGACACGGCCCAGATACATACCAGGTGGAAGATATCCTCTCCTGGCCTCAGCACACATGACCATTCTCACTGCCAAGGTGGCTGGTGTCAAGCATGTAATTGCATGCACTCCGCCCATCGCCGGCCAGATTCCACACGCCACTGTCGCAGCTGCCCACTTTGCCGGTGCCGACGAGATCTTCCTCCTCGGTGGCACTCAAGCCATTGCCGCCATGGCTCTAGGCACAGAAACGATACGCAAAGTCGACTTCATTGCAGGCCCGGGAAACGCCTTTGTGGCCGAGGCCAAGCGGCAGTTGTTCGGAGAGATTGGTATCGACCTGCTCGCTGGCCCGACCGAGGTCTTGATCGTGGCAGATGACCATGCCGACCCTTTCACCATTGCCACGGACCTTTTGTCTCAGGCCGAGCACGGCCCAGACTCGCCGGCGGTGCTCATTACCACCAGCGAGTCCGTTGGCCGAGAATCGATACGCTACGTCGACGAGATCCTAAAAAAGATGCCAACTGCAGAGCTGGCCGGCACCTCGTGGCGAGAGTTTGGTGAAGTCATTGTTGTCGATTCTCTGGATGAGGCCTACGAACTGGCAGATGTCTATTCGAGCGAGCATGTCCAGATTTTTACTCAGCAGCCCAGAGAAGCCCTGGAAAAGATGCGAAACTATGGTGCGCTCTTCCTGGGCGAGAAGACGTGCGTGAGCTATGGCGACAAGGTGAGTCTTATGTCTTTTCCATCATAAATCATCGGTCATAACTAACCGTCTACTCGAATAGTGTATCGGAACGAATCACGTCCTCCCTACACGAGGAGCAGGACGTTACACTGGTGGACTATGGGTAGGGAAATACCTCAAGACGCAGACATACCAAGAAGTTGTGGATCCGAAAGCTTCTGGAGAAATTGGCAGGTTGTGTGGCAGGTGTGCCAGAGCAGAGAATTTTGAGGGCCACGCCAGGTCGGGAGATCTCCGCGCCCACAAGTATCTCAGTGATGCACATGACTGGATCACTGAAGCGAAAGTCTGATAAACGGGACAATATTCACGCACTCAATTAGAAGTTAATCTCAATAAATCATATGCAGTGTCTCTCATTGGTTTTGCAAACGTTCAATCTGGTGAGGCAGATATGTCAAGACATTGCCCGCGCAAATTAGGATAAAAAATCAGCGGTTATGCGCCAGCAAGGAATGTAATATCGGGCGTGGCGAAAATGTCCCAATCCTCGGCGACAGTCCGGTCCCCGAATGGTCTTAACGCAGCCAGCCTGAACCTGATTCAATGTGTCAGTAATGAAAATATGAGAAGTATCACCTAGACGTACTTGTAAGATCCGGGTTGCGCTTGTGTACCATTGGCGTATCTGCCAAGCCAGTAGTAAATTCCTTGAGTATCTCTGGGAACCGCATAGAGTGGGAACGAGAAAATATCATCCTCGCTGTTTGTAGCAGGATCAAACCATGAGGAAGCCTAAGAAGTTGGATTGTGTCAGCTCTTCTACCCTATGGAATCCCAGAAAACTCATGAATAACATCACTTTGAGACTCACATCAGTTCCATTCCAGCTTGTGGCCGAGCCAACAAAGTGATTTTGGCCGGGGACTGGTGGGTACGCCCAGTCCGACTCGATGTAGTCGCCGTCGAATATCTGGAAGCGGTGTCAATGGTTGGCTAGTCTACTCGGGCAGAGGGTATCATCAAAACTCACATCCCAGCGCAGTTCTTCTGAGCCCCAAACCAACATGGAAAAGAGCTTGGGGAAATCTTGTGAGGAATACGACAGATTGAATGTGAAGCTATGGTCTGTAAATAAAGGAAGTTCCAGTCATATAGGAGGGCCCACGTACTTTGACTTGACATCTATTTTGGTATTGTATATACCTGAGGTCATGTAGGGATACAACTTTCCATAGTCGAAGACGTGGGAAATCTCGCTCTTCAGGTCAGACCCGACACCTGTTGGCATGTAAGTTATCTTGCTGGATATGTACACATCTCCTCTGCTTACCAAAGTACGGGACGCCGAGCTCTTCCCCATTATTCCCGCTAACGAGCACCTTGCCGCTATACACGGGTATGTTGGAGCTGTTTAATCCCTGAGGCTGAGTGAATGTGAATCTGATTATCACTGTTAGCGATCTCGCCATATAGACCATGGAAATAATTACAGCGAACTTACTCAGCCGTCGCCGTATCACCCGGACCAATGGTCAAGGCCTGTGGCAGAATGACATCTGGTATCATCTCTTCAGGAGTAACATAGGCGTATAGCTCAAAACCTGGGACGGCGTATTCCGTGCTTCCAGGTGGAAGGGGAGTCCAAGACTCGTAGCCACCTGCCGGCTGCAGGGAGAACTCATAGGTGACAGCCTCACTGCCAGTATTGGTGATATCCACCGAGTGCGTGCCCACGAAGTGGGCCGTATCGTTGAGCTCAAACTTGCGTCCCTCGAAACTCAACTCTGTAGTGTAATTAAATAGCTTGGTGGCATCAATGAAACCAGCGCCAACCTGAGTCGTGGGCGCAAAGAAGCCATAGTCGGTGGCGCTCGTAGACCAATCGGCCCATGCAACGGCGTGCGCTGTGGACATGAGACGTGCATGGAGACGTTTTGCCCAGGTGGGATCATTCGCGTTCGCCGCTCGACCACCGAACTTTCCGACATAAAGAGCAGCGACACCGGCAACATATGGTGTAGCCATACTCGTTCCACTGAGGACTTGGTAAGCGTCTGTTGGATATGTACTCAGAATCTTGCTTCCAGGCGCAGCAATATCCGGCTTTAGTGCTAAATCGAAAGTGCTTCCCCAGCTGCTGTAAAGTGCTGGACGTCCACCTGTTGCCTTGTTAGTCGACTGCGGTCTCATCGATCGGACACCAACAATTGAGTTGGCCGTTCAAGTATCGATATTTGGACATGGCATTCACTTACCGCCGGCATCAAAAAGTCCTACATAGTGACCAGACGTCACATTAAAGGAAGCCGTCACATTGCCACCTTCGATGATGGTGTTTACGATAGCCTCTCCGGCTCTCGCCTCAATCGCTTGGGTAAGACCAACAGTTGCACCAGTGACTGGTGTCTGGAAAGGCCCGTCATCCTCGTAAAACAGAATATACTGCGGGGAAAACGGGCTAATGTTGTCTTGTTTTGTCCTTAGTGAACAACCACCGTACCGAATAAGAACAATGGTTCCGGTCATATTGGCTGTGTCGGCAGGCAGAGGAGAGCACGCATCAGCCTCCACTGACGCGTTCAAAGTCACTGGTACAATCGGCCAGTCTACCACGGTACTCGGAAAAGATGCTGAACCACCGTAGTAGGCCAGCGAGGTTTGGTTAGATTCGCCATCGAGAATGAAATTGGCGGTGAACTCCTGCCCCGGAAACTCATCAGGCTCGGATGCGGCGATTGTGAGTACATGAGCGCCGGATGCGCCATTACTCATGTCAAAGGCTCCGTCTTGGCCATCATTACCAGCGGCAATGGTGACAACGACACCTTGATCCACCATTCTAGAAGCGACAACGGCCCAAGCATTGCTGGTGAAGCCGCTCTTCTCGCCTAGACTCGCGGAAATGATGTCTGCCTATTTCATATCGGATCAATCCTGCAGCTCATTTTGGATAGACTGATGACAGTCAAGACTTACCCCAGAGTCGAAGGCTTTCAGAAAGCCGTCAATGACCGTCTCTTCATTGGAATAGCCACTCGAGGTAAAGACCTTGAAGGACAGAATCTTTGCTCCGGGAGCGACTCCAACAAACCTGCCAAGTTAGTATATTTTGGTTTCATACCAGATTGGTTTGACGTACTGGTCACTCTTGCCGGCTACGATTCCGGCAACGTGAGTTCCATGACCAAAATGGTCCATAGGATCATTGTCAGGCTCCGGGGCTGTGTTCGGCCAGTCTGTCCGCGGATTGTAGTTCTTAGCTTCTCTCCAGGGTTTTTCCATCTTTTTTTCAGAGTTTTGACTAACCTCCATCGCCTACCAGATCATATCCACCAATAACAGTATAGTTGTCGCCGATACCACCACCCAGCTGAATACAAAGCTTTAGCGTTGGTCATGAAAGCCATTGAGAGTTCAGATAGGATGTAGAGCAAGGTGTTAATGGAGCATTCGAAAATGCAATCGAAGGAACACTTGATTTGAAAAAAGAGGAAAACGGGAGACTCTTACAGCTGGGTGCGTGTATTGAACACCACTGTCAACTATGGCGACTGTAGCGCCCTCTCCGATTATACCAGCGGCATGGAGCTGCTCAACTCCGGTCAAACCATGAACAGAATAGTTTGAGGCCGCGGCATCGTCGCTATATGACTCTCCCTCGATTGTCGGGAAGAGTCGCACCGGAGTCGATTTGAAGACGGTAGCCACGACACCACCGTCATCTTCATTGTCGTCAAGCGCGGCGGTGATGGACGCAGCGTCGCAAGCGTGGTCGCACTCGACGCTGACGGCTGGGAAAATATCATGATCGAATGTTTTCACAATTCGCAATCCGTCGATGGTAGCGACTCTTGTCAATTAATATGTTAGCCTCTTCAATGGAAAGACGTGATCAAATTGCTACCATGTATAATTGGGACAGATTAAAGGGTATGACAAGCATATGCGACTTGCATTGCATGAGAATAAAAACACCTTTCAGGATGTATACTTACTTTTCTGCCACACGAGTGCCTTGGTCGCGTGACTTCAATTCAACAATGTATCTCCGTGGCGTCGCATCGCTCGAAACTGTGCCGTTTTCTGACTGACGTGCAGATAGATGCTGTGCTGTGGCGTGCCCAGCAATGGCTAGTGCCACTGAGATGCAGGTCGCGCGCATTTTGTCGCGATGTACAGACTATGCAGCTTTGAGGCTATCCCAAACTCTGTCAGCATCACTTCCTCCTCAGTGGTGAAGAGGGGATTTGTCTATTATAATACTTGATTCAAATCATCTCTAAGCGCTCAAATATTCCCTTAAAGAACGATTCTGGCAATCATGCGATGCTTGCCAATAACAGCGGCAGGTTTGCTCGTATCCAGCGGATCTGTCCGTGTCAACCCCTGCTTTGCTTGGATGTAGCCCTGGCCCCCGGCAACGATTTGCTTGCCGACAGGCCCAAAATGCTTGCAATGCTACCATTTTGGGTAGGAGAAATGACAGATACGAGGCCACGAAGCTTGGCATCCATAACGCAGAGCACGCCATGATGTTTACGCCAACTTCTTTAAGAATCAACTCCTAGTTTTAAGAGGGAGTTGTAGAAATTGTATAGTATGACTGTTCCTGTTCCTATGCCGTGGTCTCCATATAGTTTGGCTCATTTCTTGTTGTCCCCTGTGTTGAATACGAGTTCGCTTCGGCTCACGAGTTGCATACTGTTGATTGAGATGATATCAATACGACTACTACACTCATTGGTGCAAAGATATGGCTTTGGTTGGCTGTACATCCCATCTAGGTCGAGAGCAATTGTCAAGGGTCATACCTCGAACTTTATCGTGCCATCATCCATGGCGACGCTTCAAAGAGAATCTCCGTACTTGTCATAGTCTGGGCGTTCATACACTCGCCAAAGTATGTGAGGAGATTGTGGTTCAACGCGTTCGGAAAGCATGCGCGCACTTGAACATCCGTATGGATTTAGATTTATTTTTGGCCTTGGCTCGAAGATCTGGATTCTGAAATTGTCATGCTGTGAGACTGCATTCCATTGGGTGTATAGAGTTGTCACTGGGATCAACAATTCCGCCAACGGGAACAGTATACTATTTCTTGTTAGACCGAGCACAGATTATTAAAGTTTTAGGACAAAAGACTCCATCCGTATCCTGCTATAGATTCTCCCCGTATACTCTGCCGATCTGAATCACACAATTCACTATTATCAGTATCTGCATATTTCCCAGGCTTGTTCTGCTTAGTTGCATACTTCCCGGACGCGCATTTCGCTTGACTCCACCTTTCGTGCGATTCCTTTTCAATGCGCTACAAAATACCCCAACCAAGTAACCCAGCCTATCTGCCATTGGACTTTGCACGCAGCTGTGATGTCTCGTCGTACTGCATTGGACCTATCAGGACTTATAAACAATCGTCCACCTTGTGTTTGAGATGGACTCCCAGATTTCCCGGCTCCCTTTGGAGCTCATTCTGAATGTGATGACATGCTATCTCCCATCCAATCCGACGACTCTAATCCCCGCCTCTCACCAAGCGACGCAGCTGCTGCTTAGCTTCAGCCTAGTCAATCACGCATCACACGATTTTGCGGTCCGCAGGATGCAGCAGCACTGCATCGTCCTTGATAGCGATGATAGACTTCGCCGTTTTTTGCTCTGCTTGGAGTCATCTCGTGAGTCCAAGCTTGCCGTACCATCAGTGTTCCACAATATCCACGCCATGTATTTGGCGCCGTTTGGCTCCGTCATGGACAACTTGCCCGTTGCTGCTTGGGTTCGAGACCTGTTTGGCTACACGAGCAATACCCTAAAGAAATTGATCGTGGACATGCCATTTGACAGTCTGCCACCTTGGATTGATCACCTAAATGTCGGCCCCGTGTTGCTGGAGGGGTTTGAAAGATTGGAAAACTTGGAGGAGTTTGTCTGCACCCGGAATGCCGCTCGCCTCAGCATCCGTGACGAGGGAGGGGAGCCAAAGTCTATATTGTACAGATGGCCGAAGCTCCAACGGCTGGCGCTCAACAGGCCGTCGTGCGACGTGGACTTTTGGGAGAACTTGGCGGACCTTTCACACTTACATCACGTCGTTCTAACGGGAGCCATTGGCAACATTCGTCAGAGCCTGGACTTTAGGGAAGTGTACCTACGACGTGCGAGGACACAAACTGCCCTTACAATTGTGCTAGCAGAGGTCAGAGAACACACAGTGGTGCTGAAGCCACGTCCGAGGCGCGAGATCGATGACCACGAGAATGATCGACTGCGACTGGTGGCTTTTAAAATAGGAATACCGGAGAGAAAGACATTTTTGGATTCAAACTCAGAATGGTTGATGGGAACAGCGCTTGCTGGTGAGCTCTGGGATGATAGAGGGCAGCAAATCGTTGACGTGCCTCAACTTGCAGTGCCGCATCCACAGGTGGCTGAGTTGGAATGATGCGTAGCTCATATAGACTTGATATGTAGTTATTGTTGTTGTCGTCTGCCGCCCTATTACTCCTCGAGCAAGCTGTCCTAGCGATAAAAACTATTCATGATAATGTATTGATGTAAAGAAAGGCCGCAAAACAGAGCTGACTGAAGTATAATATACGCAATTACATCCTGGAGCTGCTATAGCACAAGGCATCAATCATGGCAAGGAAACGTCTGATTTGAACCCTGTCTTGTTTCCAGGCCCATGGCTCACTTAACTTTGTGGGGTAAAACTGTGCCAAATGTGGTTCACCCGAGCCCGAAAAACGGGTCGCAAGGGAAATCAACCGCCAAATCCACTGCAGATCACGCAACAGTCATTATTACAGCGATAACCGAGGACTGGGGTGACGAGATTGGAAATGAGGTGCGCAGTTTTCATCCGAAGAAGCTGCTGAAAAACATCTCAAAAGCCACTGATTGCCCAGTCTCCAAGGTCTCAGCAGCCGGCCTTTCAAACATGGAGCACGATTGATCGCCGTGCAAGGCCTAAGATCAAGGCGCATGTACTGCATGAATCGACGACTGTGACGGAAGGTGATGCCAAGCAAACGGCAGTAACAAAATCCCACGTTTTCCTCTCTCCCTTGGTGATAAGCCGTCTTTATTAGCTCGCCTTCTGTATGCGCTACATTTCTCCGCGAGCTGACCTGGGTCATTATTAGTCTACCTAGGCAGGCTCTTTATTAGGGAGATTGTGCCTTTCGCAAATTTCACCATCGGCGCCCATCCCTGTCGCTCATCTTCGCCTACTCTCCACTACCAAAGTCTTCGGGGCAGAACGGGAAAATGCAGCTTCGAACTCAGCAACCCCGACAGATATCACTCCCTCAACCGTAAATACTTGCTGCCTGCCTGAAGCCTGAAGCCTGCAGCCATTGCAGCCGCCGCCGTTAGAGTAACGAGCAAGCTCATCCGTTGCCTTGCCCCAACGGTTAACGAGCCAGCCCACGGCCACCATGCCAGAGAAGCCGCTCACCGTCGCTACCTATGCGGCCGGCGCATCTCTGGCGGCCATCACGCTGGTCTACGTCTTTGCCCCGACCTACTTCATCGACAGCGACTCGAATTCTGCCCGGAAGAAGGGCGTTGTCGGCCTGAGCAATCCTGCCAACGATTGTTTCATCAACTCCGTTCTGCAGGCGCTCGCCGGCCTGACCGACCTCCGCGTCTACCTGATTCGCGAAACGCACCGGAGACATATCGACGAGCGCTGGGTCTATCACGAGCCCGTGTCGGATCCGCATCGCAAGGATGACCCCACATGGAAGATTGAGGGTCTTCAGACTGGCATTGTTACCGAAGGCCTCAAGGCAATTCTCGACGCCCTGAACGAGCGGCCCATTTACAAGAAGACCATTTCCGCCACCAATTTCGTCAAGGTGCTCGAGGTTGCCTTTAAGCAGCGCATCAGCAGGCAACAGCAGGATGCTCAAGAATTTCTTCAAGTCGTTGCCGAGAGGCTATGTGATGAATACCACGCTGGTAAAAGGGCGAGACAGCATGCTCGGCGGAAAGGTGAAGCCGGATTAGAAGCTGGCGCAGCTGCCCCGATAGACACCACAGCAGTGGACAAGCGACTTGCAAGCCTCAAACTAGGCAAGGATTTCGATAAGGGCGAAGCTACTCAGGATTCCGAGCCGACGTTATCCAGGGCACAGACCGAGGACGACGCAGAATTGGAACTCGAGGACGAGGAGGGCTTCCCCATGGAAGGCAAATACGAAAGTCAGGTCGAGTGCCAGACATGTCACTTCAAGCCCCGGCCGACTGAGAGCACATTCTGTACCCTCACGCTGAGCGTTCCACAAGCAAGTTCCACTTCGTTGAATGCCTGCTTGGATGGCCAGTTCAAGACGGAGTACATTGATGATTTCAAATGTGAAAAATGCCGCCTGATTCATGCCAAGGAGATATTACAGGCCGAGCTGGCAAGCTCTACATCGGAAGACTTCAAAGCAAAAGCGACAGAGGACATCGAGAAACTCCAGCACGCGATTGACACGAATCCCGAGGAGCCACCAGCAGATGTAGTACTGCCAGACACTAAATTCGCGCCGAAGCGCAGAATCGCAAGACACACCCGTTTAACCAGCTTTCCCAAGGTTCTGGCCATCCATTTGTCACGTTCCATCTACGATGCTAGTATGTCGACCAAGAACTCAGCCAAAGTGTCGTTCCCTGAGTTGCTACCAATGGGTGGGCTTCGGAATCAGAAAAGGTACAAACTTCTAGCGACGGTCACACATAAAGGCAACCACCATAGTGGGCATTATGAGTCGTTTCGCCGGCAAAATCTAGCTATGCCCTTCTTGACACCGCACCCCTTTCAACAATCGGTTGCATTTGCCAAATCCGCACAGCCAAGCCCTGCACCGTCGCCCGCAGCTGTAACTCCTCAAGTACGCGCTCTACCGAAACCTATTGAGGGCAGTCCTGCAACGTCGACGCCTGACCTTTTGTCCCCAAATTCGGGATCTGGGTCGCCCAATCCGTCGCTCGTCGATCTTCCCCAACCATCTGTCGATAACATCCCTCGCTCATCACCCAGCACCAATGGACGCTCCTCGTCGCATCACACCCCTGCAAGCGGTTCCAAAGAGCGTGATTCGGATAATGTCAGCTTGAAATCTGTTGCCGCATCGGCCAAGTCAACTCTGTCCAGAATATCGCTATCGGCAAGAAATAGTCGCTCGGGAAGCCCTGCTGGCAAACGCTCTACCAATGGCACGGTAAACCTACCGAATGGAATACCCGTTGTATCTGCCACGGGTGAGATTTCCGAGGGTCCTCCCCGACCGCGCAAGAGACGACAGCCAGAGCGATGGTGGCGCATCAGCGATGAAAAGGTCAAGGAAGCCAAGACGAGCGATGTTCTCGGAATGCAGAGGGAAGTTTATCTCTTGTTCTATGAGCTGGAGGGGCGTGCCGATCCAGCATCAAGCGAATCTTAGGATGAATTCGCGTTGCTAAGAACCACGACAAAAACGGCGGACAGGACGCGGCATAGACCTGACTCGAGTGGAGATGACCAGTCAGTCGGAGGTGAGGTTGCTGGAGAGAACTTGGATAATAGTAGCCTTTATTGGGGGCTGCAAGTTGTTCTGGGCAACTGGTGGTGGATTTTGCGTGGCCGCAGTTTGAGAGCCTGGCGATGGCTCAAGCGGCTGCTCCAAAACAGGCTGAAGGACTTTATGGGGTTCAATGCCGACTTGTCCCTATACTCGAGTGCATCCCAAGTGGATCACAAGAATGAGAACTCCGCATTGGATATCGTGGCTCGAAACAAACCGACTAGTGTGATCGATGATCTGGGGAGAGGGGCAAACCAGGAACCGACAGCAACTTGTCGTGTCACTTGTGGGCTATTTGAGCCCCATTCGTAAGGTTACTGACAGCATGTCTTATGTAACTCGAATGGTCAGCAAGGGGCTGACTCTTCTGCCAGATGACGGCGTTATTGTTGGTTTGTATCTAGCATCGGAACTCAGCTACATTCGTGGAGCATTGTTTGGGCGCCTTGCAGATTATTTTCCCGTACAATCTTATGATTGTTCATTCTGCGGCCAAGGCCCTACTAACCGCGAGTTTCTCTTACATTGAGATGCTTAAAGCATGAAATGTAAATATTGTGGCATCGGCACACTTTTGTGCCTGATTAGATAGTCACTTACTGTACAAATACCACGAGCTGAACTCAGTAAAAAACGCGTGCCAATCTTTTGCCAACTCATCCATTTTTATCTGAATGGACCGTTTAATAAAGATATGGCAGAGGAAGTGCATACATATTTCCACGAATGTCGTGGTGGGCATTCTCTTGACGAGGACTCCACTGGGCACCTCAGGTCCGAGGTTATTTTCACGGGAAATGGACGGAAATTTCGCAGGGTGTGCCGGGTGACTCCAATTCACTGAGTAGGTAGGTTGGCGTACATTGTCCACGGTCGATCGAGATTGACGCTCGTTGCCAAGAGACAGAAAAAATACATATATAACAGCCATTCAATATCTTCATTATTCACAGCCACGGCCTCACTTGAAGGATGAATTATTAGATGGCCGCGTGTCTGAGATCAGACTGAGACGCTGATAACCTCTTTGGACGAAAAACAACATAAATAGAGACCATAAAGCCTTCCACAATGCAAACGTTCTTGCTCTGCCCTTCACCTGTCCCAATCCCCGATCGGTCTGAAAGCATGGGTTTTATTATCGTGACCGGCATCATATGATCACAATGGTAGGAAACCCTTCCGCATGTTCCCGTACCTGGGGAACAATCCCGCACCACATCGGCGGGTCACGGAAGGACGAGGGGAAGCTTTCTCGGTACCCGAGAGCAACGATGACGATTTAAGAACGGGCTCAACCCCACCTTGGGGGGAGATCTAGCTGTTTGACGTCCTTCTGAACAAAGCAGCACATCATCGAGACAGAAAAGACGATTGCAATTCATTCCCAACAGAACATTTCTCCTGAAGATTACAGATTTCAATCTGAACACAGTTTCCTGTCGGCCAAGAGAAAATCTCGCGCGCCGCAATCGGTGTAAGTAACCTTGCCATGAGCTTCTTTTACTTTCGTTGCTATTTCCTTTTACCCCGCCATTGCCCAGAAAAAAACACACGGACAGCCCAAAGGACCTACTAGTCAGCAGCCCACTCTGGATATACTCAGCAGCGAATAGACTGAGGACTCTCACCGTGGTAAAAGGAGAACTAAAAGAGTACGACCGAATGCGCAATTGGATGCAGTCGAATGAGAAGCACATAATTATATCCATATCTACAGCTTGCTAGGTTTCTGCCGGCTCCGGCAGTGACTGAACAGCAATTTGGTAGGCTATAATGGGCAATTAGTTCTGTTGAAGGTCGGCCAAAAAGCTCAAGCTCAGAGCTGTAAGCTGAGAAGCTACAATTCAGCAGCTCAGAGTTCTTTTTTGCTTGCTCAACAAAACAACCAGACACGGCACAGAAAATTTTAAGAGTTAGAGACACACACAAAAGTTCTTGAGTCGGCACTCGGAGGCGGACGATCGAATGCACCAATGGAGCGGCATTTATTTCACGTTTCGGCCGTCATTGGATCGGGCGGCTTTCCATACTCCTGCGTCCTAGGCAAGGCGGGAGCCGCCTCGTCCCATAATTCCAGCGTCACAGTCTCGACACTTGACGGTGATACCATAGGCCGGCTGGACCAAGCAGTGGACCGGCTTTGCGTTCAGGACCGTCACTTATCCACACCAACGTAATACGAAGCTTGTCGAAGGGCCTTGGGTATCCCCACCATATTCGGCCCTGCCCAGAGGCTGCGGCGTCTCCTGTTGTCCTTAGCCTAGCCCATCTATCGATAGTGGGCTATGACATACCCTGGGAGGGACAGAAAACCCCTCCATTTGCTCCTGCTCTGCTTGCTCGACTCATTGTGTTTTCTGCTGCAATAAAACCCCGCCATCAAGAGCTAACCTTCTTCTTCTCTTTCAAACTTTACAGATCACATTATACCCCCTACAAACAACAAACCAAGCGATACGAGCCTTTTGAGTTCCTTTTTTTGGTAGACTCAATTCATCGCCTACGACCTTACGAGACCTTCCTACACCTCAATACATTTAAAAAGAAATATCATCAACAAAATGGGTGCTCAAGACGTTCTGTCCCGGAAGTCCGGTGTCATCGTCGGTGACGATGTCCTGGCCCTCTTCGAGTACGCTCGCAAGAACCAGTTCGCCATCCCCGCCATCAACGTGACCACGTCGTCCACCGTTATTGCCTCCCTCGAGGCCGCCCGCGACGCCAAGTCGCCCATCATCCTGCAGACCTCGCAAGGTGGTGCTGCCTACTTCGCCGGTAAGGGCGTTGACAACAAGGACCAGTCCGCCTCCATCCAGGGCTCTGTTGCCGCTGCCCACTACATCCGTGCCATTGCCCCGGCATACGGCATCCCCGTCGTCCTGCACACCGACCACTGCGCCAAGAAGCTGCTGCCCTGGTTGGACGGCATGCTCGACGCCGATGAGAAGTACTTCAAGGAGCACGGCGAGCCCCTGTTCTCCTCCCACATGATCGATCTCTCTGAGGAGCCCGTCGACTACAACGTCGAGACCACCGCCAAGTACCTGAAGCGTGCTGCTCCCATGAAGCAGTGGCTGGAGATGGTAAGACTTCTACACGCAAAATCAGTCGTGAGATATCTGACTAACACATTTACAGGAGATTGGTATCACCGGTGGTGAGGAGGATGGTGTCAACAACGAGGACGTTGACAACAACTCCCTGTACACTCAGCCCGAGGATATCTGGAACATCTACAACACCCTCTCCCCCATCTCCCCCTTCTTCTCCATCGCTGCCGGTTTCGGTAACGTTCACGGTGTCTACAAGCCTGGCAACGTCAAGCTGCACCCCGAGCTTCTCGGCAAGCACCAGGCCTACGTTGCTGAGCAGCTGGCCAAGAAGGGCGAGAAGGGCATCAACGAGAAGAAGCCCGTCTTCTTCGTCTTCCACGGTGGCTCCGGCTCCGAGAAGCACGAGTACCTCGACGCCATCAGCCACGGTGTCGTCAAGGTCAACATGGACACTGACATGCAGTTCGCCTACACCGAGGGTATCCGCGACTACATGGTTGGCAAGCACGAGTACCTCAAGACCGCTATCGGCAACCCCGACGGTGCTGACAAGCCCAACAAGAAGTTCTTCGACCCCCGTGTCTGGGTTCGCGAGGGTGAGAAGACCATGTCCAAGCGTGTTGCTATTGCCCTCAAGGACTTCAACACTGCTGGCACTTTGTAAATGCTTTCATAATTGCGAATGGAGTTGTGGTAAAAGGGTAGCCTCAAAAGATGGGCATTGATTTCATGTGCCGGTATATGGCATTGGTCAGGCACAGGACTCCTAGGAGTTGAGAGTACGAATTGAATGACAAACAAATTGACACTCATAATATGCCTCAACATTGTTGCCAATTGAATATGACGTGTGTGTTCTGCTATAAATCAACAAGTTATATTGGCACATAAAAAAGCGCAATTGTGGGGTTCAATGTCATGGAACTGATGCATAGCAGAATTAGTGCATGGGGTTTGTAATAGGGTCGCATTGCATAAAACTGCCTTGTGGCTGCCAGCAAAGCCCATGAGTTTGGCAATGAAAACAGAATTTCATACTGTAATATGATCCTTTTATTGTGATTAGGTGCTGGGCCAAATCATTAATATCCAATATATGCTTCGCCTGGGTCGCTCTAATGACTCTGGGAACACTTTTCTCTGTAACCGTAGCTATCATACAGGAATGCATCGCCAAACAGACCGATATGCTGTTTCCCCCTCCCGACACAGCTAGGACGCTTGAAGCATTGATTCGCGCCTCCCTCAGCTCCCACACTCGAGGAGGGCATGTGCTGTTGTGCATCTCCCACACGGCCTGCGAGAAAGACAGTAACGCCCATGTTGTTGCTGAGTACTGGGTGGCAGCTATGGGTTGTCGGGAACACATGTTGACGACCGCAAGATTAACATGAGGGCTTGGACAAGCGTACGGTACATAACATTATACTTGGGACCGTTGAGATTTCATGATTAGATGGGTCATCTTTTTAAGATGGCCACAACCCCGGAGAGAATGTGTCAGAAGCTACAATTCTTATGATGCATGCTTACAAGAACAAAGCCTCGAGACGAGCCGAGATATTCGGGAAAGTCGATCTAAAGCCGCCCGAAACTCCTAAAAGAAACTTATAGCAGCAGTTCCTATCTATGGCATACTCGGCATTGGAGAAAGAATTGACATGAGAATTGACATGACTGCTTCTCATTGAGAGCAAACAAACCTCATATAACATTATTGGAAGCAACCATCTCCTAACAGGAAGCGTTCACGCGCAAAATAAGATTGCAAAGACCGTTGGAAAGTTTGTTGTGTATTTATACAAGGTAAATCATATCAATCCATTAATTGTTGATACGCACAAAGTGGCTATGAAGTATGGTAGCCTCCGGGGCACACAACTGGAAGCCACAAGAAATGCACCTAGTTCACACATAATTTTATGGATGAGAACGATCTTCAATTGCATTTGCATCCTTTGTACAGCATACACCATACCCATAAATTTGCAGGGACCGTTTTGATTTGCAATGGACAAGCTCAACGTCGCAATTTTCCATCAGCCGAGCGTGCGAGTCAGCCTGGTCGGATCGAGTCAACCAACGCCGGGTATGATGGCAACCTTGCAACAGGCTTGGCCATTCAATTGGTGCACTTATTTCCTTCCAATTGAAAAGACCCAAAACTTTCAAACAGTCCCCTCTTTTCTATTGCTACCAACAGTATCCCGATCAAGGGACCGCTGTTAAAAGCATAAAAGGTAGGCTTGGGGTGCATTCCGGTGCTGTTTAACCCCAGCAATGCAATGTTTAGTGTCGTCATTATACTGCTTCCACCGGTGGTAACGGTAATGTAACCTTGCCTAACCGAGCGGGGTCCAGCCAAGCGGGAGGCAGTAACACGAGAAGCCGAATGCATTGTGAATATGCGCCTATAGGTCAATCCGCGAAAGGCGGTTCGAGCAACTGGTTGGTAACTTAAAAAGGCTTCGACTTCTCTTAAAACCCAAGAGCTGAGGGAACTAGCAAGCTCCCAACTCAGGGCAGTACTCACCTCCGCAGATTGTAATCTTTTGTGACATGAGCTTGGAACATTAAAGTAAACATGTATACAAGAGTATTCCATCTCAGCTTCTTCATATGGAGCTGCCTGAGCTTTGTGGCTTTCACGGTGGGCAGCTTTCAACAAAATCTCAAAGTCCGACCGTACGCTAGAGATCCTCTCCAAGATGTTGTACGTGTACCTTGCGAATATACCATCTACTCCTTACGGTCAACTGTCAACTAAACCTATTCAGGTGACTTGGGACGAGCATTCCATCTTCGTCAATGGGGAACGGGTCTTGTTCTTTAGCGGAGAATTTCATGCATTCAGGTTCGTGATGGGGATGCCGACATGAGAAAGGCTCTTAAAGTTTTTGGTTATTCATACTCACTCCAATCCAGACTACCTGTGCCGAGCTTATGGCTGGATATTCTGCAAAAGATCCGCTCCTTAGGGTTTACCGGTGTCTCCTTTTATGTAGACTGGGCCTTGCTGGAAGGTAAGCCCGGCGAGTACTCGGCAGAAGGCGTCTTTGCACTCGAGCCACTATTTGAAGCCGCATCCAAGGCTGGCATTTATCTATTAGCTGTGAGTCTTGCTTTACAACATGGAATCAGTGGTACCAATGCTAACTTCCCGTAGCGTCCTGGTCCGTACATCAACGCTGAGGTATCCGGCGGAGGGTACCCTGGATGGCTACAACGCGTAGAAGGCTATCTCCGAACCAATGCAACAGATTACCTGGCCACGACAGAGAAGTTAGAAGATCATCCAAAAATATAAAGTGGCTTTGCTAACGTATGCCAGTTACATGACCTCTGTTTTGAAGAGTATATCCAATGCGCAAATTACCAATGGAGGGCCTGTGATCCTCGTACAGCCCGAGAATGAGTACAGCCAAGCTGTCTCTGGAATCCCATTCCCCAATGCCGACTACATGGAATACGTCGAAGATCAATTTCGTAAGAATGGTATCGTCGTACCACTAATCAGTAACGATGCTTCACCATACGGACACAACGCGCCCGGGCAACCCGCACCAGTCGATATTTACGGACATGATGGCTATCCATTGGGCTTTGACTGCAGTAACCCCTCGCGATGGACCAGCTTCAATACTAATTTCCGCACCTTGCACCTGGAACAATCCCCATCAACTCCATATTCAATCGTCGAGTTCCAAGGCGGCGCTTTCGATCCTTGGGGAGGTGTGGGCTTCGATAAATGCCTTTCCCTGGTGAATTATGAATTCGAGAGAGTATATTACAAGAACAACTACGGCTTTGGGGTCACCATCTATAATCTTTACATGATTTTCGGTGGTTCCAACTGGGGTAACCTTGGTCATCCTGGGGGTTATACCTCTTATGACTACGGAGCTACGATTGCTGAAGATAGGAGCGTTGCTCGAGAGAAGTACAGCGAGATGAAGCTTCAAGCCAACTTTCTCGTCGCGTCTCCGGCCTACCTCACCGTCACGCCAGGTACACCGAGTACCACTCAGTACACCACATCTTCAGATGTGTATGTCACTCCGCTGAAGAGTAATGAGACACAATTCTATGTCGTCAGGTATAGTTACCCATAGAATAATTAGTGAATACTTGCTGACAATTTAACACTACCATCAGACATAGCCTCTTCAATTCGACAGAAGCTACAACCTACAAGTTGAGACTCGATGGGAGCAGCTCAGGAAATATCACAGTACCCCAGCTTGGCGGTAGTCTCACACTCAACGGCCGTGATTCGAAAATCCATGTCTCAGACTATGATCTTGGCGGAACGACGCTGCTTTATTCAACAGCTGAAATCTTCACATGGTATGTAATACGATTTATGCTTAAAATGACATTAATTAAAACATAGTAGGCAAAAGTACGGGAATGGTACAGTGCTCGTGGTTTATGGAGGCCCTGGAGAACAGCACGAGCTGGCAGTTTCTCAAATCGGAATAAGCAGCTCCGAAATCAACGCTTCATTAGACGTGCTGGTGAACAGCACTGAAACAAGCGTGATTGTGAACTGGCTTACAAGTGCCACGGCTCAATATGTCACTATTGGAGACCTGCAAGTCTATATTGTTGGTAGGTGCTTGAGCCATGCCTTGGTAGGAGAATATTGTACTAAAGCACAATAGATCGTAACACAGCATACAACTTTTGGGTAATCCCAAGTGGGAACTCTCTATACACCAACACCGAGGATGTCAATATTGTCGCCAAGTCCGGATATCTTCTTCGAACGGCCAATGTTACAGAGACATCACTCGATATTACGGGAGATCTGAATGCAACTAGTCCTCTGTGGATTGTTGGTGGTGCTCCCAAGAACTTGAAGACTCTTACTTTTAATGGACAAGAGGTTGAGTTCTCCGTTGACGAGAATGGGGCAATATCATCCAACCTTACCTACATCGCGCCCGAATTTGCCGTCCCTACCCTCAAAGACCTGCAATGGTACTACATCGATTCTTTACCAGAAATCCAAGGCGACTACGACGATGACGCCTGGACATTGGCATCATTCGCGACCACGAACAACACGAGCCGCGCTCTCACCACTCCGACCAGTCTCTATGCTAGTGATTATGGCTATCATGCTGGAAGTCTCATCTATCGTGGCAAATTTACCGCCAAGGGGAATGAGACCACATTCAAGGTGGAAACCCAGGGTGGAACAGCTTACGGGGCGTCCATCTTTCTTGATAGCAGTTTCCTCGGCAGCACGGTGGGAAACAAGTCGGCAGCGTCCGCCAATGCAACCTTCGCACTGCCGCAGCTGGGAGCTGATGAGGTACACACCTTTACGATCCTCATTGATCACATGGGTTTGGATGAGGAGTGGACTGTGGGCTCCAACACCATGAGATCACCCCGAGGTGTGCTTAACTATGACTTGGCCGGACACGACCAGAGCGATGTTACCTGGAAACTCACAGGCAACCTGGGAGGCGAGGATTATGTCGACCATGTTAGAGGTCCTCTCAATGAGGGAGCTCTTTATGCAGAGAGGCAGGGCTACCATTTACCCAGCCCACCGGTCGAAACATGGACCAAGGGTCTAAGCCCAATTGACGGAATCTCTTCTGCTGGCGTGGGCTTCTTTACCACGTCCGTTGATCTTGATTTCCCAAGCGGCTACGATATTCCGCTCTCTATTCGCCTCCCAGCCATCAACTTTACGTCAACCATACGTGTTCAGCTCTATGTGAACGGCTGGCAGTTTGGCAAGTACGTGTCAAACATTGGACCGCAGACGCAATATCCCGTCCCCGAGGGTATTTGGAACTACAATGGCCAGAATTGGCTGGCTGTTAGTTTATGGGCACTCGAAGCCGCAGGTGGAAGTATTGCTAGCATTGAGCTCGTGGCGAGTGAAGCTGTCCAGTCGGGACGGGAGCAGGTCCAGGTGGTTGAGTCACCCGCATGGAGTCAGAGAGCGGAGGCATATTGAAGTTTCGTAGAGTGGTGATTATAATTGCGTATCTAGGGTATCCTGAAATTTGAAAATCTTGGTAGCTGACCTTTTGGTCCATACACCTTCACCTCCCATTATTCTCCTACCAATCGCATCGGATGACCACCAGCAGAGATCATCATGCCCAATTCGCCATTGCATTAGCATGTTGTTGTGGTGAGAGTAGTTGTAGCGGTAGATCCCTGGAAGTGCATATACCACATCCTCAAGGCCGTAATGACAGCCATAACCGACCATCGTTCCCCCAATTCACCAGTCAGGCCGCTTCCTAGGAATTGAAACTTGAACGACTTGGTCATGCTCCAGCCCGCGTAAAAGGCCCAGACGGCCACAATCTCCTTGCCATCACTCGACGCACCCGGTGCCCTCTCATTTCTCTCGCCTCCGGGGCCGGCGGCTTCTGCGCTCACCCTCACCAGCTTCCATCCGCGAGTGCACTTGCCCAGCTGCTTGATTTCACTGCCGTGACTCTGGCGCCACTCAAACTTCTCCCGCTTCAAGTTGTCGCCAATACCGACCTCGATGCTAAATTCTTGCGACGTGTTCTTCCAGCCGACGTTGGTGCGCATAAACTCGGTGGAAGATTCGGCGCTGGACCCCGGCAGCGGCGGCAGGATAATAAAGCTATGCCTGCTCCACTACAACAACAGGTGTTAGCAATCGCCTATTCGGGCAGATAAATGAGTTTGAAGCAGCTCTTTTGAGCAATTTGTCTGAGTATGCTCTTTTGCAGCACCAATTTGGCCAATGTTTGCTCATGAGACAGCCCGGAGAAGGGGAGAAATGACATCGGAAGTTGCTTACCTGGTTTTCCTGCCCGGCGGCTGCCAGCGGCGGGTCCTGGTCGCTCGGCCCGTTATGCAAAACGATCCCCGGGTTTCCGGACCAGCCCGAATGGGTTCTGACGGCGTAGAGTGGGTGATCTTTTGACTCGCCCAGGTGGAACGTCTTGGTGAACTTCCACTGATAATAGGCGTTGAAGGACGCCGGGAACTGTTGTGGGACTTGTGTTGTAGGTCTGATAGAGGTTAGGTCCGACTGCTGTGGTTGTTCTAGAGATTCTTGTGGAGTAGAAGCCACTGCCTCTGAATATGCTGGCGGGGGAGCAGCATCTCCTGGTAGTGAAAGTTGATCGGCTTCCTTTGCGTGACCCATGGCAATGTAATCTTTTCTTTGAACTGAGGGTTACAATTATTAAATGTCAAGAACAATTTGATTTTTTGGATAAAGTAGTTAGAGTCTTCACTTTTGCAAGAGGAATGGATTAGAGATATATATTCATGCTGATCTCCCTTCATTCTTACAAGACGACAAGCATCATCATCCTTCGGCTTGTTTGTTGTGGCAGTGCCTATCCCACTAACGTCTACCACAACTTTGCAACTCTTTGCGCAGTCTTCAGAGTACCCACGCTAGGCGCAACTAGGGCGAACGAGGTAGTTATAGTCACTTTGGTGGGTAATAAAAGTGGTGCAACACTTCTATGATCAATGGATCAATCAACTCTCTGCATGCTCCAAGTACCTGAGAAACGCGCAAGTAAATCTTTAAATGAATCAGAGAGGTCTTCGTCCGGCTAAGCGGCTCTTTTGGGCATGCTTGCAGCGAATACTGCCTAGCCATACTGCAAGGCGAGTCCGCGCCTCAGCCACATCTGGTGGCCAAGTCCTGACCAAGCCAAGCAGGTTGATCATATGAGTGAGTAAACTCAAAGCTCATTGGGCCACGGTTCTAATAAAGTATAGAGCCAATCACGATGTAAACAATACTCAGTGCGGTATCATAAGTGATGGCCATGTGTTTACTTCTTGGGATACTGAGAACACACGTGCCGCAGTCCAACCTTGTACGAGACGGGAACTTTTGTGTGGTTGGCTCAGCCATGGGGTATGGGGCGTTTATACTCGGTTTATCCTTGGAACACCTCAAGTTTTCAAAGAAGGGGAGACTGCCATAGAAGAAGAGGACGTCGTAGAAGCAGCCGTATTTTCATAGTGAACATGCCTGTAAGATCTGTTGCGTAAAGTATCTGACGTCATGAGGTCTTACTCGGGAATACCTACCTGCCGTATATTTGAATCTCTGAGCTAGAAATTTCTTTAAGAGCAAATCAAGCTTTATCTCCAATCTTGATTAGCAACACTCAAAAAGCCGTGTATTTGTTATAGCACCTTCACCTTGTCAGATGTGGGTCTTAAATTAATAGATAGCACATCGGAAACATACATCATGTTGTGCGCATTGGAAGAACCGAGTTTTAGCAGCTTGTGTATCTGCACTGCACCCAGATCCCACTCACTGCACATGTGGTGGTAGGTAATGCAAACAAAACTTGGATGGCGAGTGAGTCTAGCGTGGTCCTCGGGAACACTAGCGCGTTCCAGGTATCACGAAAACTGGAAGCGTTGGCATGTGCATGCTGGAGGTTCACCTGGCGACCACCTGGAATCCCTAAGACGCGGGGCTCTCCCAGGTGCGGGTTATGCTGAGTTGCCAGGTCTCGACCCCACTGGATGGTGGTGCATGGCGGCCCGCAAGGGGTCTTGCTTGGGTCTTTCCACTTCAGGGGTTCGCTTCATCCATCAAAGACCACTTGAACCGCCCAGTGACAAGACGGTGTGCGACGGTTACCAACTTCTCCCTTTTTTTCTTTGAGGACTGAATTTCTAGAACAACAGCTCTTCTGGCTGTGTCCGAGATCTTGTCCACACGCGCAGCTCCGTCAGCTAAACTGTCGAACACGTTCCAGAGGTTTGGCTCCCCTGCGTCTCCGTCTGCGAGTCTGCATTTGCAGGTCAAGCTTAACGTGCCCAACGGCCCGCAATTCAATTCCAAGTCCCCCGCCTCCTTACCATCCCAGCAAGGCTCGAGGTTTCTGAGACTCGACAAACCTTCGCGGTCCAGCTGCCGACTGACTGGACTGATTTTTTGATCGATCTATTCAAAAAGAGCCTCAAGGTACTCGGAGGTCCAGGTCCAGGTCTAGGACACCCCTCACCGGACTGATCAAATCACATACCACGGTCCACCCACACTGCCGGTCTTATACCCCTCTGCTCAGGCAGCCTGCCGCTACTTGGCCATCGTTTCCCATTGTGCCCACGAAAGGACCTCGAGAGGCCTTTCAAGAGACTCGCGATAACGACGTGAACGTAAGCTACCCAATAAGATGGATCCTAACAATCCCAACAACCGCCTCTACCTGAACATTGGCAATAACGGAGACCGACTAGCCGCAGCCGATCGCGCCTATCCGACCACTCCCTCTGGCTTCCCCCAGCCCGTCTACCAGAACCAGCAACAAGCCATGGCTCAGCAACCTCACCAGCAGTACGGTGCTGGATACCCTGCCCAGTCTGCAGGGTATTTCATGCCAAACCAGTACCAGCAATACCAGCCCCAGGGCGGCCCTGATTACAACCAAGCTCCCCATGCCGCCACTGGCTACGGTCCCCGATCCAACACTCCGGGCACCAACGATCCAAACGTTGGCCTGGCTCACCAGTTCTCGCACCAGAACTTGGGAGGTCCCGGTGGCCCTGGCCGTGCTTCTCCCTATGCGCCTCGCGGCCCATCCCCGGGCCAGCGACCGCGGACTGCTGGTTCCAACTCTCAACAGCAACGAGACGCATACAACAGCTACCACAACAACCCCATGCCACCCCAAGCAGGCCGTACCGATCAAGTCTTCCAGGCCGCCCCCGAACGGAATCCCGAGAAGTATGGCCAGAATGCCAACAACAACCAGAAGAAGTGCTCCCAGCTGGCCGCGGACTTTTTCAAGGATAGCGTGAAGCGAGCCCGCGAGCGAAACTTGAGACAGAGTGAGATGGAGCAGAAACTCAATGATCCTAACCAAAACGCTGCTCGGCGCGAACAGATTTGGCAGAATGGCGGTAAGAAGGAGGCCCGTTACCTGCGATTTCTGCGAACCAAGGATAAGCCCGAGAACTACAGCACCATCAAGATCATTGGCAAGGGTGCCTTTGGTGAGGTGAAGTTGGTTCAAAAGAGAGCCGACGGTCAGGTCTATGCCATGAAATCCTTGATCAAGACTGAAATGTTCAAGAAGGATCAGCTTGCCCATGTTCGCGCTGAGCGTGATATCTTGGCCGAGTCTGACAGTCCCTGGGTCGTCAAGCTGTTTACCACATTCCAAGACGCCAACTTCTTGTATATGTTGATGGAGTTCTTGCCAGGAGGTGACCTCATGACCATGCTCATCAAGTATGAGATTTTTTCCGAGGACATAACGAGGTTCTACATAGCAGAAATCGTGCTTGCGATTGAGGCTGTGCATAAACTTGGTTTTATTCACCGGTATGTGGCATATTCTCTGGTGCGGCGGCACATGAATTCATTTTACTGACCGTGATCTAGTGATATCAAGCCAGACAACATTCTGCTAGACCGTGGTGGTCATGTCAAGCTAACTGACTTCGGCTTGTCCACTGGTTTCCATAAGCTTCACGACAACAACTACTACCAGCAGCTCCTGCAGGGCAAATCGAATCGTCCCAGAGACAGAAACTCGATTGCGATTGACCAAATCAACCTCACTGTCTCCAACAGAGCTCAAATCAACGACTGGAGACGATCTCGAAGACTGATGGCCTACTCCACTGTTGGAACGCCCGACTACATTGCCCCAGAGATTTTTACCGGTCAGGGCTACTCATTTGATTGCGATTGGTGGTCTCTGGGAACGATCATGTTCGAGTGTCTGGTGGGCTGGCCGCCGTTTTGTGCTGAGGATAGCCATGATACCTACCGCAAGATTGTGAACTGGAGGCAGTCTCTCTACTTCCCTGACGACATTACCCTGGGCCGCGACGCCGAGGATCTCATTCGCAAGTATGTATACCCAATATTACACTTGGAGCTTTCCGCTGACTGCTGCCGTCATAGTTTGATCTGCAACACTGAGAACCGTCTCGGTCGCGGTGGCGCACAGGAGCTCAAGGCACACCGTTTCTTCCATGGCGTTGAGTTTGACAGCCTGCGGAGAATCCGTGCGCCATTCGAACCCCGTCTGACGTCCAACATCGACACTACATACTTCCCTACCGACGAGATTGACCAGACTGACAATGCTACCCTTCTCAAGGCTCGGGATATGGCACAAGGCAGACAGGTCGAAGAGTCTCCGGAGATGAGTTTGCCGTTCATTGGATACACGTTTAAGCGTTTCGATAACAACTTCCGATGAGCGCAATTTCTGCTGTGTTGCAAGCGTTATGCTGAGTGGAACATCAATCATGCGTTCCAAAGGGCCTGTATACCGATGGCCTTTGTGTCACTTCTGCTTGGAATACAATGTCATTTTAACATCAGCATCTAAGATCTTGGCCCTAGGACGAGTGAAAGCCAAGAATCATATACGGACCCAAGAAACCCACGCCGGGACTCATCTTTTTCAACAACTTTGGCCTTATTCCCCAGCCACACTCTTTGAGCAATGTGACTGTGTGGCACTGTATCGGTCTCTACTTAGATAGGCACTTTCGGTTTTTGCATCTTACGGGAGGCTTGCGGCGTCTTATTTACTAGATGTTGCAAGATAATACAGGTCATAACATTGAAAGTATAGGTACTCACCCGCACAATATGCGACAGCATGGGATGTATGATCTATCTCATGAGAGGGGGAAAATACCAAATCACTCAGCAGACGAGAATAAATAGGCAATAATAGACTAGGGAACGCATCATGGCCAGTGGCTTACGCAATTTTGTGACCCTGCATCACCAGCGTGCGTAGGTCTTCATTGAAAGATACCATATCTGGCACTGTGAGTGTTCTGCATGTGAGAATGGACGCCACGAAATGGAGACACAAGCACCCTACTGTGGACGATTTGTTGTTGATAGGCAAGCAGGGGGTCATGACTGAGCGGCAGCTGGCGCGCAGCTGGCCTTACGCCTTATCTTATCACCGGATACTAGCACAGGTACCCAGAACTTGAGGTGAGCTTCAGTGTCGCGACAGGTCCCTTAAGCTTTCGCTTTGATTCTCGACATTTGCACAATTATCACACCATCCAATCCCCCCTTCTGGCCGCGGCTCCTTTCGAAAAACTGAATGCAGACGACCTAATATTGCACGGTTTCATAGAGAACGGATAAAACTCAACAGATATGGATTATCAGAACCGCGCCGGTTCCAAGTTTGGCGGCGGTGGTGTCGCATCCCACAGCGCGACCAACGCCGACCGACGTGAGCGTCTGCGCAAACTCGCCCTTGAGACCATCGACCTAGACAAGGACCCTTACTTCTTCAAGAACCATGTTGGATCATTCGAGTGCAGACTCTGTTTGACAGTTCATCAAAACGACGGTAGCTATCTCGCTCACACGCAAGGCAAGAAGCATCAGACGAACCTCGCGCGACGTGCAGCCAAGGAGCAGAAGGAAGGAAAGGGTCAGATTGATCCACAAACAGGTCTTCCTGTAGGTGTCGTGGGCGCCGGTTTTGCCGCACTTGGCTTGGGTGGCGCGAAGCGGAATGTCGTCAAGATTGGACGGCCTGGCTACAAAATCACAAAGGTCAGGGACCCAGTCACGCGGCAACAAGGACTTCTATTTCAGCTGCAGTACCCAGAGATCAGCAGCGACGTCACACCAAAGGTCCGCTTCATGAGTGCATTCGAGCAGCGCGTCGAGGAGCCACCGGACAAGAACTTCCAGTACATGCTGGTGGCAGCCGAGCCGTACGAGACCTGCGCATTCAAGCTACAGGCTAGAGAGGTGGACAGATCTGGCGAGCGCTACTGGACATGGTGGGACAAGGACCTGAAGGAGTTCTGGGTTCAAGTCATGTTCCTCACGGAGCGCGAGGAGAGGTACGCCGGTGTGCCTGGATTGCCTGGACGAAGATAAGACGAATGGGGAAAGAAAAAAGTAAAGATCAGGTGCCAGAAGCTTTGCCATTGAAAAGCAGCTTTGGTACGAGTTTGTCAGGATTTCGGCATAGACGCCGTGGTATGTACCTGATTACTATGGCGGCGCCCATACTGCACGCTTCTAATTCGCAGCACAGACCAAAAGTTTGATGCTGAACAAAGTTAAACATGTTCACGAAATCCATCAGGGGATTGTCCATGACAGACCACTCCAACACGGGACAACAGCCGAATCGCAGACGGAGATCACCTTACGCGCGGATGGGATCTAGTGTTATTTGGGCCTGAGTTTCAGAGCACTTGTTCTGGAGTACCAGATCTACACACTCCACCAACCAAGGCACTTGGCCAACATGCTCTTAATGGCATATCCCCTTGCATTCACCACATAGTGCCTCGCCCACCATGGTCTGCATAGAACCTGGTGGGATTCCATGTTTGTCAGATCTGCAGGCGGAGCTTACACAGTCGCTACGTGGAACACTCTAGGTTCTCACGATGCTTTCAACCGTAGCGGTGCCTCGGTGACCACGTCATGCACATCATTGCCTATACGTAACCCAGACAACGCAAATACTATAGTTGCTTGGGGGAAAGGAGGGGTCTTGTCTCCGTTGTTTCTCGTGCGAAAATGCGTAATCTGCCACCTGTTATGGCAGATGCCATGGCTAGGAATCACTTGAGCACATCGCGCCTTTCTCCACACAAAGTAATAAGAGATAGATAGCATGAACATGAACGATCTTCTGCCTACCGCAAGTATCTGCGCCTGGATCGGCGACACCCCGTAGCATAAATGAACTCTTCACCACCGAAAAACAAAGCACGATATTGATTTTTATATCGCCGCAGCCAACAAGGTAGCCTTTCTAACTTTATTTCAGCAAAGATCTCTGGCCACTCTGTGCGCACCACCCAAAGTGTGCCTGCTCGTCATCACCCTTCACATTCAACTCCACCAAGAGAGGGGCCGACTCAACTCTCATCTGACCAAGACTGCGACCCTCCGTCATGTATCTATTGACACTCAGCCGCCGCGTCAATTACGACTTTCTCAGGACCTGTGTGTAACGAGTCTGTCGTTCAAAGTTTCCACGCCTTCGTGTCTTGGATGCCATGGTATTTCGGCATCTTCCACTGCGCGTATAAACCCCCCAGCGATGCGAACTATGTTGGAGATTGCTTCAACAAGGGTGCTTGCGGTGACTTCAAGCCCGTGCTGTTGATGCTGCCTGACGGCATCGTCTTGTCTGCCAAGACTCCGGTCGACAACCGGCCCGCCACTACCCCGACCACGGCCTGGATTCTCATGGACCTCCCCGTATTTCCGGTAGCATCGACGGCATGACTTCCCACTAATGGGATACTTTAGGTCTTGTCAGTTCTTCCCAGCGCTTGGTCGGATTTGTCTTTGGTATTGAAACGTGTCCCGGCAAGAGTGATTAATACAAGCAATACTCTGCATCTGCCGGTGCTCAGGGGATATTTCCCAGAACTGATGCTTAATATTCCTTGCGTTGGGTCTGACTGACTCGCGGGATAGATTTCTATATTGCGTTGGTAGGGTCGGCACTTGGGATATTGTGACTCTGAAGCCACGTACACATGTTTCACGCTTGAGCTTATTTTGACCTTTAATAGCCATGAGTTCTTGGTTCATGCGCAATCGGTATTTGTATCCAACCACTTTTGCGACTCTTTTGATCATAATTAGTAGTATTTGAGCATCTGATAGAACCTACCTGATTTATCAAATCATCAAGTCACCGACGTGCCTGAAAAGAAGGAGTTTTCAGATCCTAGGTTGATCATTGCCAGATAGTCCAAGATCGAATTATCGCGATCCAGGTCGATCACTCCAAGCCTCGGCCTTTAGAGAAGATCAAGTGGGACTTGAGACTCTTCTTATCTGTTGTGGCCTGATTATTTCTTAAAATGGTCTTAAGAACAGGGAGTATAAAGAGCTAACGCCCGAATGGATTGCTGAAGCAGTTGATTACCCATGTAGCTGGTGGTGCGCTGGACTTGAAACGGATTTGGCGCCGAGCTAATTCAGAAAGGCTGAAAATGATCACCAAGTGCAGATAGTCACAGCTGTGAATCGAAGGCAGCGACCACGCCTGGTTCTCTTCTAAGTCGTGAGATTTTATCGCAGGGTGGTGGAAGGAGCTCATGTGAACTAACATCGGTATGGAAAAAAAAAAAAAATGTCGTTATACTCCGACAAATGTCGGCTGTTGCTATTAATGATGCACAGCGTGCATTTCTAACAGGGAAGCATGGCTAATCCATACGGCGCTAGGTACGCGAATGTGGCTGGCTGAAACAGAGGTGGATACTAATATCAAGAGGCCATTATGATGATCATCTTCGATCTGGCTTATATACAACAAGCCATAGCTCACCAAGCAAGCGTTCCTCCTACTGCTGCAGCCATAGCGGGATTATCTAATAATTTTAAGGAGTATACTTCAAAATCATACAAGGTTATCTACCTCGCGTCGAGATCATCAATCAAAATGTCATTCGCAAGAAAGAATGTCGCGTCGGGCAAATTTTTACAATTCCCAGAAACTTTAAGGGCCGGGTCGTACTTTGATAGTGACCCTCTTCACTCGACAGTGGATTACGAGGCGGCTGTCGCCCAAGCGAAGGAACATGATGACCTTCAGACAATCTTCTTTATCAACTTCCCAGCCAAAGTAGAGGGCGATGCCTTGAGAGAACAACAGAAACTCCAGAGCTTGCTTCAGTCGTGGCAGGCCTGGGCATCGACCACTTGCGAGGGCAAGATTCTGCAGCAAATCGATATCGGGGGGTTGCCTATCGATATCAATGGACAGGTTTTACGGGGGGCATACAGAGCCAAAGTTTTCGACTACCTGTTCCGTTCTTCTATTTGGTGCGTCTTGTCTCGGTCTTCGTGGAGCCCTGGTGATCATTATGTTGCTAACATTCCCCCATCAAGGTTTGCCAAGACCTTTGACGAGAACATGTCGATACATGTGGAGGCCAAGCAAGCTGACTTTCACTCGGAGATTTTGTCACGAATTTTAAAAGACTTTTCAGTGCCCAATACCGTTTTTGAAGATCTGGAAAAGATCTTGGAGCGGATCAGTGAGGGCATCGTATCGTCAAGTGAGAGCAGTTCTCGGTCTCCTCAATATTGGATCATGTTGACCAAATACAACTGGTCAGCCGACACCCAAACCATGACGGCTGGTAGGTTTTTATCCTGCAACGTAGAATATTGATTTTCACAACTGACTAGCATTGCAGTGGTTCGCGTTATTCAATTCAGGGTCGATCAAAGTGCCAAGCAGTATTGCAGTAACAAGGCATCTTATATCGCTGTGAAATGTGATTTGGAGCACCATCATTATCAAGCGGATTTCAACAGCAAATTTTACTCGTCTTTCATTCGACCGAAAATGGATGAAAATCTTGTCAAGTTAGGAGAGGAACTAGTGGCAAGAAACAGTGTTGAAGTCACTATTCCAGCTTGATCGAAGAAGCATCTGGGAGTCAACATTGATTGACTTATCTTTTTGCGTTCTCAATCAGGACACCGCTGGGTTACACCCCGGCAAGGCCATATGCGAACCACAGCCTCAGACTGGGTGTCGGTGGTGGTCTTGATCTGACCAAAGATTGTGTCACGACCGCGTGACTCAGCCTCCCTCCATTTGCACGTTGAAAGCTTGGAGAATCTCACCATTGCGACTCTCCAGATTCGCTGCTGGGAGTCGGTCAGACGCCTACATTTCAAAATACTATGACATATGTCAGATTCGTATATACCTGCAGCCCCTTGCATGATTACACGCCATGCATTTCTGCGAAATATCGACTTGCTTGGCAGAGGTGAATAACAATCGATTGCTGAGAATATGTGCCTCTCTTCTTATTTTATGCTGTTTTTTCCTTTCCCTTGGTTGACGCCTCCGGATCAAACCTTGGTCTTAGCAGTGAAGACTGTGACTCAGCAACTCGCAAAAAATCGTGCATATTTCTTTGAGCCATCGCGACAAATGCTACGCCAGCGCGGCAGTCGGCAGATCCCAGGCAACCGATCAATCTCGGAGCCTCACCAAATCGCCTTTTCCGACGCGCGCCATCATAACTGGTGAGGCACTGCAAAGGCGCCTTTCTGATTGTTGCGCAAGTCAACGTAGAAAAGACGGACCCAACTGAGTCACACACCAATAGGCAAAAGTCGACCTCACACAAATGTGACAGCGGCCGTATCCATGTGTGCGTCTATGTAACCAACGAGCCTCAATACCACACACCATATTCACCTTTTTGGAAAACGTCTCGCAGTTGTAAGAATCCTTTCGCGCCCACGTGTTCAGCATTGCTGACATGCGCGCTAGAATTAAGAGCCTCATAAGTTCGCAGATGAGCGCGCGCCACACGGTAGGGAGCAGCCGAGTGCCAGGGGTAAACCATACGCTGCAAGGGCAATATTTCCGGTTCGGTGGCCTATATGCAGGCTGTAGGAATCAAAGGATTGATTAGAGGCGGCCAAAGCTGCGTATTGGTGGGTAAGACGAGGTGTTCGTTGAGGCGCTGCGTTCATTGGGCAGCTGACCAGATCATATTCCAGGGTTACATTGTAGAAGATGTAAAATGGCTATTCTGGGAATCCTCGCAGCGATACAAAGGCTCGAACCAAAGTCCGTATAAGTAAACACGGTTTCTCCGGGCAAAGACAAACAATGGTCAAATTTGACTCACGAGCGCATCCAGTCTGAGCAGTCAGTTTTTTTTCTTTCAGGCGTTCGGTGAGACCTAAAAACGTGCAAACAGATTTGAGAAAAACGGCCTCGAGTTTCACACGTTGGCGCATGTGCTACAAAGTCGACAAAGCTACGAACATATAAAGTGAGCGTCTCGAGTCCTCTTACTCATCATGTCGGCGCCAAAGAAAGACGCGAAATCGCCTCTACTCAGTCCAACGATCAAGGTTCCGAACAAAGAGGTCACATTCTCAGCCAACACCAGCGGAGCAAACAGCACAGCAACAAAAACAGGCCCAGGAATGGCGAGCCCTGCCACAAAGCCAGACCAACCAGTCGTGATGCCGCCCAAAAAGGTCGATACCAACATGTCTTGGGGAATGCCGTTGGGCCTTGGTGTGCGCGGCCCCAATGACGAAAACCTCATTATATTCCGCAAAGCCGTGGGTATCAACTACTCCAAGTCCCATGCCGACTTCTCGACGCTAGAGGAGGGCCGCAAAACGGCGACGGGTATCTACAAAATGGTTATTGACGCACAAGTCAAGAAGCATATCCAGCACGACTTTATGACGGCCCTCATGTACTTTTTCTACTTGGCGCAGATTGTCATTGGTGCAGCGCTGACGGCACTGGGTCCTTCTGCACCGCAATACACTCTGCCAATCACGCTTCTGGGAGCCTTTAATACCATCATAGCCGGTGTTTTGGCCTTGATAAAGGGCTCAGGACAGCCACAGCGATTGTCCAAGGATCAAATGGGCTATCGGAAGCTACAAGACTGGATCGAGGAGACAGAGGCCCTATTGTCGGTTGGTGTCATCGGCAGAGACAAGAAGGAGGTCGGAATGCTGGTCGAGGTCGCTTTCAAGAGGTATAATGCTGCCAAAGCCAGCGAGGAGAACAATCGGCCAGACATGTATGTCAACCAAACCATTGAGTCTCTCGGGTATCGAAGGAGTTCCGAATCTTTTGACAACCAGCCGGCGAAGGCAGTGCAGGAGCCTGCTAAGTAGTATGAGAACTTTATGTTTTTGCGGATTGGGAATGATCAGATTACCTTTGATGGACATTAATCATAATCATAATCATGTTTTTGGGCCACAGGTGTTGGGGGCTTTCTCTTTTGATAGCACAACTCAAATTTATCTACTTAATCAATCCGCAGTAAGGTGATGACAAGAACCTTCCGGAAGCAAATAAACCCTTCTCGCGCGTACAAGTTTCCAGCTAGCCATCTAAAGTCTCAAGTGCTCGCCAATCCAATGTTCAATCTCAACAGCGATAGCAGGGGCGTATGACTTCTCCAGTAAATTTAAATGGCTTCCATTGACATCAACTGTAAAGTTGGCACGCGGCCACTTGGCACTCCATTCGTCCATCGGCATCTTATCCGACCGATCTCGGGCACGTACGAAGAGCGTTGACAGTGTGTCGGGCAGAGGGTTCAGCTCTACGTTCCAACCTCGCAGCGTCCTGGTATACCCACCCACTTTCGCTAATTCCAGATCCAGATCTTCAACAAAACTTCCGCCGCTTGTGCCTGTGAAGTTTCCTGATCTGAGCCCTCCGAGACGAGCAGTGAACACGTTGGCAGGTAACGCTATCAGCCAGTCTGGATCATTTTCACTCCCTGTCACATTGAGGTAGGTATCAATCATAGCAAAACCGGCTAGCCGAGGTTGTTGCCCATCAACTTTGGCTAGTTTAGATGCCACGACGTATGCAACAACGCCTCCAGCAGAGTAACCACCAATGATAATCCCAGGTCTGTCTGAGAAGTGCATTCGAATTGTGCTTACGTGCAGCTCCGCCAACGTATCAAGATCTTGAGGAACATATGGCCCTTGGGGGTGCGGCAACTCGAAGACTTCCCTTTTCCCTTTCATTGCTGATGCCAGATGGCTGTACATACTGAGACTGGCCCCACCGACTCTGATAGTCGGGGTGAAAGCCGGGATAAACACCACAGGCGTATCCGAGGTCTTAAAACTCGAGGGGCTGTTCGTGAGGCATTGAGGAACTGTTGCGTAGCTTGACATGATTGATCCGACTTCTGGAAAGGTCGGGACTGCTAACGCAGCTGCGTCTAGAAGAGCAGCTGCGGCAATATATTGTTCCAACAAGCACAGTCGTCTGTGAATGGAGGCCAGGCTTCCAAATATCTCGGGCTTGACAACGGCCGGGTCATCAAGAGCCAAAGTAGTTGGAGTTGGCGTAGTGTTTGACTTGGTTTCATTTTGATGTTCTTCCGCGGCCGCGGTCATCCCGTCGACCGCGGAATCACTCAAATCCAAGTCAACCGCCAGCCGTAGTTCTGTTTCTATGAGTGGCTCCAAGTATCGTGCCAGTGCTTGGGGGGTATCATAATCCAGCGCCAGCGTAACTGAAAGGGAATTCAACCCAGTCAAGGTCCGCAATCGATTGGTGAGCAAGACAGAAGTAAAAGAGTCAAAGCCGAGATCGTCGAGTCGCTTATCCGGAAGCATAGATTGACTCTGATATCCCAGTACTGCAGCAATTTCATCTCGAAGTAGCCCCAGCAGGGTGTTGAAACGGTCCTGTGGCGAGTTTGCAGCGTGCAAATTTCTGAGAAACGTAGTCCGTTCTCTTGATCGACCTTTGACATGAGACTTCTTGGTCTTGAATGCCACATCAGATGACATCGCAATAGGCAACGCCCCGCGCAGCAGCAACGGCAGAAGGACTGGCTGGGGTAATGCTTTAGAGTGTGCCCGGAGCGACTCGTGAAACAGGTCAAGACCTTGACGGTCTGTGAGCGGCTGTGCATTAGCGAGTCGTGATGCAATCGCCTTTGCCGGTAGTCTACTCTCGGCGGCCATTCCAGTCTCATTCTCCCATGGGCCCCAAGCCAACGATAGCGCAGGCAGTCCACGTCCGAGTCGGAAGTGGGCCAAGGCATCAAGGAAAGCATTCCCTGCCGTATATGCAGCCTGGCCTACATTACCAAAGACACTGGAAAATGACGAAAAGAGGATAAAAGAGCGCACGGTATCCGGTGAGAGTTCGTGAAGGTTCCATGCACCGTCGACCTTGGGACGTAGCACACGAGATGCCAGCTCCGTAGTTTGGGAACCCAATAGCGCGTCATCTACTACACCTGCACAATGTACAATGGCAGTGATTGGCGGGTACAAGTCGCGGCTCTCAATCAACGTGGCCAAATGAGCGCGGTCATTGACATCGCATGCCTCGATACGCACGGCGGCATTGGCAGCTCTCAACTCTTCGTACAGATCGCGCGCTCCTGGCGCTGCGATGCCCGATCGACTGATGAGGAGTAAACTCTTGGCACCATGATTGTGCACAATGTCTCGACTCAGCAGGGCACCAAGTCCATTCGTACCACCAGTGATCAGGACGGTCCCACTGACGTCAAGTGTTGTAGTTTGGCGAGCTTCCGCTGGTGATGTAGCCAGTCTGCTCAATCTGGGGACCATAATCCGTCCATGGTGCAAAACGAAAACTTCCTCGTCTCTGGAAGCAATTGATAAAGCCATTTCAGATTCGTCTGACCCATCCAAATCGACAAGCACTATACGATTCATTCCGAACTCTGCCTGAGCAGATCGTATAAACCCCCATACAGCGGCGGCAACAAGATCAATATTGGAATTGTTACCCATTGAGATTGCCCTCTCCGTCACGAATACAAGGCGATATCCGTCGACAGTATTCGCCATCTGAGTCCTCCATTCATGCACGACCTTGATCACCGCGGCGATAGCTTCATGGACGGCCGGGACGACTGCTGTCGACTCAAGATTGTGGGAACTCTGGATGCGAACAATCCGATCTAGCGTTGTAGCTTTCACGGACTGAGACTCAGGTTCAATCCATTGCAAGTGGTATAAAGCACCTCTGGATTCGGCAGGCCGCCTCGCGCGCAACCTCACTTCAGCAACTTTGGTAACCACTACACCAGTCGCCTCATTGGTCAAAATCAGGGAAAAACGGTCCTCGCTAATGTGACTGATGTGTGCTAAGATCGGACCAGTAGATTCCGCTGCCGCAAGATTCTGAACTCCTCGGAGAGAAAAGGGCAGCAAAACATCGCCATTAGCAACTTTTTCAGGTGAAGCAAGGCTTGAAGCATGCAATGCAGCATCAAAAACGGCTGGGTGCAAAGCGAAAGTTGACTTTTGGCCTTCACTCAGAGGTGAGCAGATTTGTGCTAGCACGTCCTTCTCACCCAGGCGCCAGATTGCACGTACGCCTTGAAACGATGGCCCATATCTGACGCCTCCGTCATTCAAGACGGCATATGCTTTGCGAACGTCCACTTCTGGCTCTGTGTCGGTTGGAACTGTACCGGCTACAAGCTCATCGTGACTGGGATTTGCCTCCGATATCAGCGTGAAAGCACCTGTGGCATGTTGCGTCCACTCATGCTGCGTTGCAACGCCGTTGGGGCGTGAATAAATATCGATGGTCCTTCGTATATCGCCGTTCTCATCTCCAGGCTGTGACTCCCCGATGAGTATTTGGATGTGAAGTTCTTCAGACTCCTCTTTTTGCGCTTCTTTATCCAAAGAAAATTCCAGCGGCGCAACAACAGTCACCTCATCCAATATCATCCGCGCAGGCGTGGAGTATTCTGAACATTCTTGGGCAGCCCGCATAGCTAGTTCGGTAAATGCCGTGGCTGGAACAAGCAACTGACCATCTATAGTATGATCACGAAGCCAAGGCTGTCGGGCTGTTGATAGGTAGCCGGAACAAATAATTTTGCTTGTCCCCGGGATAGATGTGGCACTTTGAAGCATCCCATGCTCCAGCACTGGACTGTGAACAATTGGTCGTTGTGCCTGTGCCTGTGCCGTGAATGATCCTACAGATGTAGCCGGCAAGAGTGGAGTATATGGAAGCCAGTACTTTTGTCTTTGGAAAGCATAGACCGGCAAGTTCACAAGATGGGCTCCATTTCCATCAAAGGCAGCCTTCCAGTCAATCGGAATACCACGAGCCCAAAGCTGGCCAAGGGTGGCCAGCAATTTGTCTACTGTGCTATGTGTGCTGACGCTGCCTGTTACATGTGGTGACAGGACTGCGGACGGGCCTATCTCCACAAAGATGGAGATATTTTCATTGGATTCGAGTTCGTTGACAGCATCTGCAAAACGAACCGGCGCACTCACATGACGGACCCAATGCTTTGCGGATCCAAGTTCGGCTGCATGAGCTCGTTTGCCCGTAACAGTAGAGATAAGTGGTATGGTTGTCAATTTTTCTCCTGTCATCAGCTTCTCACTTTCCATTGATGCCATCAGTTCTGCCTCCAGATTGGATAGCATGCCATTCATCATTGGGGAATGAAAGCCATGCTTGATGTTGCGTAATTGGGTGGCTCTTCGCCCTAGACCGGTGAATCTGTCTCTGATGTCGTTGACAGCCGCCAGAGTGCCAGAGACTACCACCGAATTCCGTGAGTTGATAGCCGCTATTGAGGCGACAGTGTTTTCCAACTGCGACAGCTCCTTGGCGACCTCCTCTTCTGTAGCTGATATACTTGCCATAGCACCCTCGGGAGGTAGAGTGGCCATGAGCTTTGCTCGCGCAGCGACGATAGTGGCAGCGTTACGCAATGATAGATCACCGGAGACATGTGCTGCGACGATCTCGCCAAGAGAATGTCCAACCACAAAATTTGGTAGGATATTTAGGGATTCCAACAGGCGAAACATGGCCACCTCAAACACGAAAAGAGTGGCTTGTGCGAAATCGACACGGTCTTGCAGTCTACCGCTACTATCACTCATGGCGTGTACGATCGGGCATTCCAAATGCTGGTCGATTTCGTCACAGGCTTCCTTGAAAGTCTTGCCGAAAATAGGGAAAGTAGTGCATAGCCCTTCGATATCGTCGAGACAAGGCATTCGACTGCCCTGACCCGAGAATAAGCACGCGAGGCGAGGCTTATCACCCGTATTCGTTTCTGCGGTCACAACCTCGGGGTGTCGTTCGCCTCGTGCAAGGATATCGAGTCTTGTTTCAATATCATTCTCGAACAAATTCTGGTCTGAAGAATATGTGATTGTGGCTCTATGTTTCAGAGCGGATCGCGCCGTGGCAAGTGTGAACGCAACATTGGCAGGATCCTGGTTGTGCCTGGAGTTGTCTGTTTGGCACCAAGCCTCCAGCAATGAGCGCGCCTGTGCACGTAAAGCAGCTTCACTTGCACCAGAGATGAGCCAAGGAAATGCGGCAGAGGTATTTCTGGAGTTTGCAACTTTCAGCTCGGCTGGCTCAGGCTGCTCCAGAATTATATGCTTGCAGACCTCAGAAATCAGCAAATGCTTCAGAGAGAACAATGCGCATAAGACTCACACTGTTAGTACCCCCAATACCGAACGAAGACACCGCTGCTCGCCTTGCTCTTCCCACAGACGGCCACTGCCTGGCTGTGCTGAGCAATTCAACCCCACATCCTTCCCAGTTGATATGTTGTGAGGGTTCCCGAATATGCAACGATGCAGGAGCGACGCCATGATGTATAGCTTGGACCATTTTGATGACTCCTGCGACTGCCGCTGCTGCCTGTGTATGACCGATACTATTTTACCACCCTGTGTGTTAGTCTTGTCATGCACCAAAGTCACTAGCCATTGGTACAACTCACTTAGACTTGATTGATCCAAGCAACAACGGTGAAGAGCGGTGAGTCATATTGACTTTGTCATTGCCGTAGCCATTGCCATAAGATGAGATCACAGCCTGTATCTCGATGGGGTCGCCCAGGGGTGTTGCGGTGCCGTGGCCTTCAAGCACGTCAATACTATCTGGTGACAAGCCTGCCTGCGTCAGCGCACTGTTTATGCACATTTGCTGGGCAGCACCGTTTGGTGCCGTGAGGCCATTAGATTTTCCATCAGAGTTCACGGCTGAGCCGCGGATCAAGCCGAGAATCTGACGGCCGTGACGCTTAGCTTCTGAATATCGCTCCAGGAGGACCAGCCCCACGCCCTCGGACCACCCAGTACCAGCTGCTTCACTCGAATACGCCCGGCACCGTCCATCCAAGGACAAGCCGCGACGCCTACTGAATGTGGTGAATGGTCGTGGGTTTGCCATTGTCGTAACTCCTCCTGCAACTGCTAGGTCGCACTCGCCATTGCGCAGAGCTTGCGCTGCTTGATGTATTGCTACCATCGACGACGAGCAACCAGTTGAGATGGCTACTGATGGACCATGAAGACCCTGAACAAGACTTAGTTCGACGCAATATAGCGGAAAACGGTAGGAGAGGGCAGTATGCGTGTTGTGTGAATTCTGAACGAATATCTCGAAATTATTCCCAAGATACGGACACCCTCAGGAGAATTCGATTTCCACGGGAAATAAATTCTACCTTCTCATGTTGAACTGACACGAATAATGAAATGGCAATGCAAGACTTACGAAACAATACGATACACGTCCAGAGAGTACGCTACTGGATGAACCAATGGTAATATGTGCTTCCAATGCTGTATTGTCGCTCGAGACTTATTAGAATGTCTGCAGGTGGATACATATTGGGGTTAAATGATGGTATCGGGGAATATTGGCTCACCGTCATTTCCAATGCCATTTTCGTCGTAGTTTTCGTACAGCGTGCCAATGAATACACCTGTCTGACTACCTTGCAACGACAGTGGTGGAATATTCCCTCGTTCTGCCAATTCCCATGTGGTCTCCAGTAATAATCGTTGCTGGGGATCGGTTGCTAGAGCTTCACGTGGTGCCATGCCGAATAGTCCAGCATCGAAATGGGCGAAGTCAGGCAGAAAGCCGCCGCGTTTCGTTATTGATGTATTGGGCATATCGGGATTCGTGTTGTATAGTGCCTCAAGATCCCACCCACGCTATAGAGCCGTGGTCAGCCAACTGTCAACCTCAAAATTAAGAAAGACTTCCAGAGGAAAAAGTAATGAAACGCAAAGAAGAATGCCAGAAACCGAAAAAAAAAAGCACCGGCAAGAGAAAGAGGGAGAGAAAGAAGAAAGAGAAAAACACAGCAATAAATCATTCTGGCATATTCTTACATCACTGGGAAATTCAGTGGTAGCGTCTACTTCATCCAAGACTAGCTGCCATAAGTCTTCAGGCGAAGAAACTCCTCCGGGATACCGACAGGCCATGGATATGATGGCGATCGGCTCAGCTCCCCCATTTGATGGAGTAGCACTTGGAGACTTTGGCAACGTTGACTCTCGTTGCAGGACTCGGCTGTAGAGGTACTCGCTCAATGCTGCTGGTGTGAAATAATCAAACACAAGAGTGTTAGGGAGACTATCAATCCCAGTAAGGCTGGCAAGCCGGTCCCGAAGAACCACCCCAGCCATCGAATTCAGTCCCAGAAACGAAAAAGGCTGGTTAAAGTGTTGATGGAGCCACTTGACATTGGATTCTCTTTCCCCAACGTTCATAGAACATGCTGCAATTGTTTCCGCAATCACCAGCGACTCCACCGAGTCTTTCGACTGCAATTTGTACCGAACGGCCAGTGGTCTGTTTGTGTATGAAGTCACGGCTGACCTTTTCGGTTTACCAATGACGGTTCGAGGGACCTGATCAATCTCGTAGAATGCTGTTCAAGTGTTTGAGTCAGAATCATCATGTGGAAACATAAAAACAGCTTCTTACCCGTGGGTACCTTGTAATCTGGCAAGACTTTACGGCACGCAGAAAGCAAGTCAGATAAATCAATATCAGCAGCGCTTCTCACGATAAAGGCAACAGGCACCTCTCCAAGCAGCTTATGCGGCATGCCAGCCACGACAACATCGACGACGCCCGGCTGCCGAAGAAGAATATCTTCGAGCTCGCGTGGATGAATATTTTCACCTCCTCGAATGATGAGCTCTTTTCTCCTACCAACCAAGGTCAAATCCGTCCCAGATGCTGAGCTAGAGATAACTGCTACATCTCCGGTAGGATACCACCCATCCGCTCCAAAGCCCGTCTCAACGTCTTTGTGGTATCCGATCATTAATCCAGGACCACGTATCCAAATCTCGCCTTGTTCGCCCTGTTTGACTTGATTTCCATTTGTGTCTACCAGCCTAATTTCGTGGTGTGGAAGCAATGCCATGCTTGAATTGTGGTGATATGTTTGAGTCAGCTTGCTAGTAGCGATAAAGCCGGCTTCGGTACAGCCATAGTTGTTCAGCAGAGTAGCACCAAGCAGTTCTTCAACCTGAGCCTTCATGGGTGCAGGCAATGGAGAACCCCCGGAAATGCATGCTCGTAACTTTGGTAGAGACGGGAATGGCACCGTGTTTGCTGCCTTGACTGCGTCAATCAAACCGTGAAAGGTAGTGGTCGCCCCCACGATAATAGTCGTCTCCCGAGCTTGCATGTCCTTGAGGCCGTCCAACGGTGTCTGTCCAGCATCCGGGATGTACACGCTGGCACCCACGACCACGGTGGTGATTAGGCATACTAAATAGCCCAAGATATGGAACAGGGGGAGAGGACAGTAGATCTGGTCTTCAGGCGTCAAGTCAAGCGCTGAGATAAGGCTGTTGGCACTCCACAGTCTACTTTTTTGATTTGACAGTACTCCTTTCGGCAAATCTGTTGTCCCCGAAGTATAGTGCAAAAAGGCCGCTTCTTCCTCTCCAAGGCCATCAATACTCATGCCCAAGGTCGAGCACTTGTCGTCTTCAATCCAGTCTCGATATTTCACGACTGGACTTCCACCTGCCATAGCGTATACATTGGGAACGTCGTTGGTTAGGACAATGAGGGTGCCTGCCCCAACAGCATTGCTGACTGTGGCAAAGTGGCGGCTATCCGTTATCACAACCTTGGCATCGCAATGCGTCAAGAGCTTAGCCAGCTCCGGTGTTGGGGAGCGAGGATCAAGTGGCACTCCGACGGCACATGCTCGTGTGATTCCGAGCACGGATTCGATAGCCTGTACACATCGACCAAGCAGTATAGCCACAAAATGTCCTCGCCCTATACCGGCATTAACCAAATGAGCTGCTATGCGCCTAGTTCGTTCTTCAAGTTCTCCATAAGTCTAAAAGTCTTTTTAGCACTCGAGGTATATCAAGTATCAGGGTACAGAAAAAAGAAAATACGCAAATCCATCAATTCGAATTCATACTCGTTGAGTTTGTGTATTTGCCGCACCGGAAGACTAGAATTACTAGGGTTCAAAAACTGTGCTGACGTACTATTGCCCATCCTGGACCAGAGAATGCCACCCTCTCGCAATGCTCTGTAGCATGATGGATGAGAATTTGTGGTAGCAGTTTGGATTCTGACATGTTTACGTTTGGAAGAGTAATCTTGATTGACCCATTTGTAAGGCGCGTAGTGTATTGCACAGTTTAACAAAGATATAGTCACTCAATTGACATGAACTCCCTTGTCTATGAGGAGATGGCTTACTTCGTATGTACCCCAAACCTTTCAGCCTCAAATCAATAGTGCACATGACTAACTCGAGGGATCAACGCTAATGATAGGCCTAATTCTCCCGCACTTGGCATTACGTGTGGCCACTAGCCTGAGCTTGGAATACTGAACAATTCTTGGTTTTATGCTTACCGTCTCACGTCAGCGGTCTTGACGATTTCTGGTACACATTAATCATGATGAAGCTTTCCTGGGGGAGTTGATCATGTCGTGATATATAGGTAATGATGTGTGTTCAACGCCTTTAGCTACGCTGCGATAACGGTCGTGCGAAATGACCCTTGAAACACTAAATTAACCCTGGACACTCAAGACAAGCCACAATTTTGCATGCATGATATCTGGGACCATCTAGAATAAAGCTAGTCTGGTCGGCCTTGTTTATCCTCAAGCTCTGGCAGCACTCATTATCTGAAAATTGTTTGTCGACCCTGGCATCCCGAGCAAGACCTGGGTATCTATCAAGGACAGCCTCGTGGCTCTATACCTTCTCTTGATGTTCTACCAAATTCTTATCACCAAGTATCTCGGTCTCCGTTCTCTGCTGTCTGGTCGTCGCAAATTTGACTGTTGCCCATACCGAAGGACTTTCTCTAAACATCAAGTCAATGTCCTCCAAGCGCATGCCCATTGTCTGTTATATTACTGTTAGTAGTGTATAGAAGACATGCTGCAATATTCTTACCTCTGGATACAGGAAATACACTGTTAGTGGGATGCAAAATCCAATGACCGTATATACGATGTAATAGCGATACCCGATATTCTGGATGGCAACGGGTGTAACCATGGTCACCAGAAAGTTGCTAGCAGGCGTGAGCTGGGGATATCCTCCTCCTCATCATCATCACCAGAGTGGACAGATGGACTTACCAAAGCCAATGATTAGCAGTACTAATACTGCTCATGGCGACTCTGAGCCTCAGGGGCGCTATCTCGGCGCAGTACAAGAAGTTGGCGCCTAGAAAGCCAATCGGAATAAAGAAGTTGAACAAGAAGACAAAGAGGACGCTGGTAATCTGGGCGGCATAGTTGGAAGTTGGATACGATGTCGCTACTGCCAGTCCCAGCATACATGTCGCCATACCGGTGCCAGAGACTAGAAAGGCGCTACGTCGACCAAGCTTATCAATCGTGAAGAAACTCACAAAGCAGCTGAGTAGTTTCCAAGTCAGTGTACCGCCAGAGAGTAAGCGGCTCGTTTGTGCTTCGAGCCCAAGGCCGTTCTGAAAGATGACGGTGCTGTAGACGGAGATTAGGTTTCCACCGCTCATTTGCTGGAAGAATTGTAGCAGGAGACAAAGTGCAAAGCGGTACAGAAGTTTGTCTTCGCCCATTTTCAAAAGATCGCTCAGCCTCGCCTGCTTGCCCCCTTGCTCCTCAAGACTCAGCTCGATGGCAGCAATCTCTGCTAGAATATCGCTGCTGGTCTCTTCCGAGTCCCGGAGTGCGCTCATCACCTCCTTGGCCTCGGACACACGTCCTTGATGAACTAGCCACCGCGGAGACTCGGGCATGAGAAAGACGCAGCATATAAGCACAATGCTAAAGAAACTCGCGATACTGATGGGTGGGCGCCAGGTGAGAGGGCCGGTTGGGAACTGGTAGAAGCCCAAGTTGATCCAAGCTTGGAGGACGTAGCCGAGTGCAATGAATAGTCCGCTGAGAACGACATGTCGACCGCGTGTATGCGAACTGCTGCATTCACTCTGCCATGTTGGGACAACTCCACTCAACATGCCGACGCCTACGCCCAGCACCACACGACCAGTGATGAGTTGTGCAATGTGGAAGGACGACGCTTCAAGGATTTCGCCGACCAATGTGAGTAACGCGCCTGATGCGATTATTGGGCGTCTTCCGAAGCGATCGGCCGTGTACGAGCACGAAAGACAGCCTGGCAAGGCGCCAAGAGTGAATGTAGCTATAACTAGGCCTTGAAGAGTCGCATTGGTTGATTTCTGCGTGCCCGTAGTGTTCTTGGTATCGATACTGGGGAAGACTTGAGTCTGAAACAAGTCCATGGGTCAGTATTCCCGCTTCATATATGACTGCCTGCATTTTCGTTTCTTTAGGGGGGAAAAAAAGCCACATACCCAGTCTGCTAATGAAACAAGGCCACCGAGGTTGGATTGATTATATCCAAACAGGATGAAAGCTGGCGCAACAACGAGAAGGAGTTGTGCCGTTGAAAGAGCACTGCCACGAAAGCCTAAGAAAGCTTTGAATAGATCCATTTCGAAAGATATTTGGGGATTTGGTGATGATCGTGGTGGTGAGTATTGGACTGTCGACTTGAACTGCAGCTTGTCAAGTATGCAGAAGTCTCCAGTCCTGTCATGCACTGCAATGCAGATCGTACATCGTTGAAATCTGGGGTTGGCCTCACTTAAAAGCCCGGGCAATGTCTTGGCCTGGGGTATTTCTGGGGTATGGGGGAGCCGGAATAAGATTTCTAAACCGAAGACGCCTTCTGCTATCTACAGCACCATTCGATTTATTGCTAATGGGGTATTTTCTAAGTGACCGGAATAAGCCTCTAAGCCGACCTCCCCCATGCTAGAGTCCAGACCTATTAGTTGCGCCGGTCCATTATAATGGGTCTGCGACCAAAGGGCACCAATTATTGGGCAGCGGAGAGCAGAGATCAGCAGGGCAGGCACCACTGTTACTCACATACGAGAACAAATTCATAATTCTACAAGTTATGGCGGCCATGAAAAGTGCTCAATCACGTAAACTTTTGAAATTAAGCAATTTTGTCATGACCCTGGCCGATTGGCTACGAGGAGTTTGTATGACTGTAGGCCCAAGGCATGCGGGGCGTGCTAGGGGATCGAAGTGGACTGTCGTGCTATTCCAACTGTCTGTCTTGCATTATTTGTCTACAAATTTGATTCGCCATTTAGGTACCTAGCAAAAAGCCTTGTATTATAGCAATCACCTAGGGATAAAGTCATGCAATATTCCCAAGGTTATACAGGCAAGGTTCAATCATTCCCAACTACAGATTGGTCAAAAAAAAAAAAAAAAAAAAAAAAACCATACATGGGTTTATTATTGCTCCATTCCTTTTTCAACCGAGAGGGCATCGCTCGATCAATGTCGAATTTATTTCCTTGGATATTTTCAAGTTTGATCTTCTGCTTAATGGCGGGAGAAAAAAAAAAAGATTGGTTTAACTATTTACTTTCGCCTTCGAGTACTGTAGCATCTCATCCACCATGAGCTGACTTGCGCCGAAATAGTTTATCGGATTGCATAGATCAGCAAGAGTTTCCTCACTAATCTTTGCCATTACTTCTGGTTGGCCCTTCAGTACGTCCAGTAAAGAAATACGCTCTTCAATGGACTTCTTACAAGCCTCATAGACAACGTCATGCGCGGGCTGACGCCCTATGAATGGCGCAAGCCCCATCATAACCGCCTCTCCAACGATCAGCCCCTTTGTTGAACAAAGATTGTTCATCATAGACTCGGTATTCACGACCAAGCCTCCAAGGGCAAAGTTTGTCTGATGCAGCGATCCGACAGCCAGCACAAAGGAGCTCGGGATCGCAACCCACTCTAGATGCCACGGTCCTGATGCGCGCTCAAAATCAACCACCATGCCATCCAGGCCCAGACTAGCATTCGCCCTGAGGAGTTTCGATGCAGCCAAGATAACCTCGCTAGATATGGGGTTTCTCTTCTGAGGCATGGTAGACGACGCTCCTCGATGGGGCACAAAGGGCTCAGAGACTTCTCCCATCTCATTGGAAGACATGATGATTATATCATAGGCAATCTTGCCCAGAGATCCGCCGACTAACGCGAGAAAGTTGAGAATCTCGGCTATGTTGTCTCGCGCAACATGCCAGGTGATTGGAGGGTTTTGCAATCCTAGTTCTTCTGCCAGTGCTGCGCGTACTCGCAGTCCAGTGTCATCAGAGCCGAGAGAGGCTAAAGTTCCTGCGGCGCCTCCGAATTGGACCTGCAGGCATCTTTCTTGAATGTCCTTGACTCGGGCATGGTGGCGGACGATACTGGACAAGTAGACTGCACACTTGTAACCAAACGTGCACGGCAATGCATGTTGCAGGTGAGTGCGACCGGCCATTGGAGTGTCTCGGTAAACGGCCGATAGTTTTTCCAAGATGGAGATCAGCTCTCGGATCTGTCGCTCGACAATTTGCAGGCCAGAACGAATTTGCAGCATGGAGGCATCGTCCATGATATCCTGCGTGGTAGCCCCCCAGTGAATATACTTGGCTTTTTCAGCCGGGCATTGTGGAAGTAGCTGTTCGATAAGAGGCAGCACTGGATATCCGACAATGTCTGTGTCGTGTGCCAGTTTTTCAAAACTATGTACAATAGTGTTAGTCGCTATAGAGTTTCAAGGGTGCCGAAACGTTGTTCTACTCACTCAAGAACTGCCGCTTCTAGCGCTGTGGTTATGGCGTCGCCTGCATCAGCGGGTATTACCCCCGTCTTTGCCTGCGCCCGGGCTAGGGCAGCCTCCACCCGTACCATCTGTTTTACATAGGCTGCATCGGTGAAGATGTCTCGTATCTCTTGCGTTCCAAAAAGATTGCGAAAGACGCGGGAGTCTAGTGCAGATGTTGCCATGATTCTCAATAATGAAGGGAGGTGAGCAAATTGCAGCAGTAAGAGAATGACCGTACAGCTCAAAGCAGGAGAATCCCTTTATACGGCCAAAGTCAACTCGGAATAAGAGCCTATTCCGTACCCACCCTAGCAGTAGTATACACTGTGGGTCCACGTGATTGTTCTCTTTTGGAAAAAGCCCTCGGTCGATGAATGGAGACTTGGGAACACGCCTGATCAACACACCTTCGTTCACCTCCGAGACTTACCCGGCTTCCCTGATCTCAACTCCACGAGCCATTACGCATTTCGCGTAACTGAGTCGCCGACTATGCATTTCACTTTGCCGATGGGACTATTTAAGATATGGAATTGACCGACGATGCCAGCGCTCTCTCCAGCCATGGCTCGTCGGACGCGGCCGCCACTGGACTTGGTCAGGTTTGGTATGTCGTAGAACTGACTTCGCTTACAAGTGCTCTGACATCATTACAGTGACCGATGTCGGCAGTAGGTCGCCATTTTGCTTACTACTTCTCTGATTTAAACTCATGGACTGTAGGAAGAAAGTGAAGTGCGACGCGGCACTCCCGTCCGTGAGTTCAATACTCGCCCCGACTCTGAAAAGGTCTAATTTTTGCACCAGTGCGGATCCTGTCTAGCTGCGGGTGTCCTTTGCGAGAAGTCGGCGAAGCTCCGGAGGAGAACAAAGATACGGGGCTACCAAATCAATATGGAAGACCAGTTAAAAAGAGCCCAGGCGGAAAATGCAGAGCTCAAACGTTTGCTGCAGGCGGAGCGTGAAGCAAACACGGTACTTCGCCGTCAGAATCAAGGACTGATGCCGGGCTCGCTAGAGGGCCCTGACATTCCAGAGACCCGTACAGCACTGCTTAGTAGCACTTCGGGAAAGACCCGGGAATCCGAGGTCGCGGCGGCAACACACGAACAATCGCCTACCGTGCTTATCCAGCATATGGGGCGGCTTGTCACTGATCAAATGGGAACCCAAAGGTTTGCGGGCACGACAACGGGAATCCATTTCGTCCTATCCACACAACAAGCGATTAAGACGCGCATGGATGTGATAGGATGGTTCCCAGAAAGTTGTTTCAGATTATACCTTCTACAGATGCCAATTCACGAGCCTGCTGCTTCTATCCTGGGCCCCGGGGACATCCTTAGCCTTGAAGATTCATTGCGACTTTTCGGACGTCTCTGTCCACATACCCCATCCTATTATGCTGGCCATGTCCACCGTTTCATCACTTCGTGGTCAGCTTACTGCCCTATAATAGCTGCATCTGATTTCCAGACCAAGCTCACCAGCCTGCTGGAACGTTCGCAACAGGGATTACACGAGCTATCGATTACAGATGTTGACTGCTGTATCGCTTTTCAATTGGTCATCATCCTATTGATAAACAACTCGAATATTGATGCGAGATCAGCCCATGACTTTCTGTCTGATCGGGATATAGAAGGCATGGGAGTAGTCTCAAGGACGCTGTTCATTCGGATGATGCAAATACGAACCCAGCCTAGCCTCCAAGGACTACTGCTTCTGGGCCTCTACTTCCAGCTAACCGGCCAGAACCAGCATATGATACAATTAAGTGGCCTTAATGTCCAGTTTGCCCATTCCTTGGGATTACATCGACACAGTCGCCGTTTCACCTATTGCGCCTCTGAAATCGAATTGAGAAGGAGAATCTGGTGGTGCGTATATATCTATGACAAGTAAGTCTTTACAAACAATTTCAAATAGAAAAAACAGTTATAAACAACTATCTAGGATGGCGGCTATTACGCACGGGCTGCCGAAATTGATCAACGACTCCAATGTCGACATTGATATGCCAGTTGATTGCGACCTTCAAGTTGTCACAGCCACTGACCTGACCTATCCTTTACCCGGAGAATCTACGCCGATCCGAGATTTCAATCATTTTGTCCATCTAAATCAACTTTTCTCCTCAGTACTCACACAGTTGTACACGACAACAGACCGTCGTGGCGGACCTGAGAAAATGGAGCGCCTGTCCGCCGCGTTGCAAAGCTGGGAACAACGCTTCATCATGCATAGCCATGACTTTTCTTCTGCTCTACCGGCACCTCCCAAGGACAGTGGTCTCGACCCGGCCGCATCCGTGCTTCCACTAATGGCCGAGGTTGCGAGATTACTCATCCATCGGCCGGGTCTTACTTTCGATCCGGGGACACCACCCTTTCGACAGTGCCTTGACGTGTGCACAGAAGCTTCTACGAACATTATCAATATTGCATCGAAAAGAACTGGCTGCAAGACTCTCAATATCATATACCCACCGATATGTGGTTTGATATTCCAATCTGCACTGATGCATGTTTTTTATTATTGTCACGCCGCGAAGGACCACATGCCGGAATCGTCTGCGACTGCGTCCAGCGCCGAAATCATTCAGAAGGCCATTGGCTTTCTGGACTGGACCATGCAATCTCAGAACAGAGAGGGTCAGGATTCAGGTGATACTGGCCGCTCAGTCGGCCAGGCGTTGCAACTTCTACGAGCCATCTTGCAAGTTTTGCCGGTACTTGCCGACCCCTCGAGCTACGTGGACGACTCTATCGATTGTGGCATTCCGGGAAATGCAGGTTCGGCGAGCCAGCAACCGGGCCCTACTTTGCCTGCACATGAGTTGAACACCATCTTCGATGAACTAATGTGTTCTCCTCTCGAGGGTAACGATCTCATGGGATCTCTTGATTGGCTTCTTGACACCGAGTTTAGCCCCTGGGCTTCGAGGTAGCTCATATAAGCTGGGTATCTTGATGGAGAATATGGTTTGCTTGGTAGCAGATTCAATGGCTTGAAGCATAGGTTACTGCCTCCTGTATCTCCTAATAGTTCGGGTTATCCCGGTGTGTTCATTCACGCCTGGGACCACGCTATCACGCTTGTTTCCCATTCTACGGTTGCCCAGAGGGTAAACCGTTGAAAACTTTCAAATCGTACAGGAAATAATTAAAGTCACCTAAGTAATAACTATAAAAAAGTGCAAAAAGTAAGAAAATAAATAAAGAATAAAGAAGAGAATAAAGAAGTAGATTGCACCCTCCCTTGTCATGACGCCATTCCCCGCATGCATCGAAAAGATGGGGTGCATATTTCTTCATCCATCTGATCAGCAATCCCCCGCAGTCGTCACTACCCGTGTTGATCTGCTGGATCGCACTTACCGACGGTGCTTATAATACTACAGCTTGGTATGTTATGTACAGTAACTTCTTGAAGCTGGGAGTCTTCCCCTCTCCAAGATCCGTCAACATATTCGTACTGCTGTCCCCTTATCCCCACTGATCCTCGTCTATCTTCAGACTATCTTCATCCAGTCTCGCGATACTTGCGATATGAGGATCATTTCAATTTTGTCGTGGGCCGGTGCTGCTACATCATATGCTGTAAGGAACGCTGTGAGGATCAAGAGTCAACGTGTTCAGCTGCCAGACTATCACAAGAACGCGGGGGTTCTTCGATATGTTAATCCACTCATTGGCACGAATGGCGCAAATCCCGATAACAACGGGGGCATGATCCCATCAGTCTCGATTCCCTTTGGGATGACGAGATGGACACCTCAAACAAGGGGGAACTTCATCTCACAAGTTCCATGTCATGACACTGACCAATATATTCACGGATTCCAAGCTACGCACCAACCAGCCATATGGATGGGAGAGCAAGGCCAGGTAGTATTGACGCCGGGGTGGAGCCAGGAAATCAAGGCGCTATTCCAGGAACGCGGTCTGGCATTCAGGAAAGAGGATGAAGTCAGCACACCATATGTCTACGAGGTCCTCCTCAATGCCGATACACAGGGCGAACATGGATGGAACCTTACAGAAGAGGCCGCTGGAGGGGGTCCCGTGCCTGGTGGAGCGGGTAGTGCACCGCTTGCTGTGATTGTAGGCGCGAATGGTCGCATCAGGAGGTCCAAAAGAGAGCCCAATGCCCGGGATCGGACAATAAGAGCTGCCATGGGTGCAACGGCGCACGTGGGCTTTCTCCGATTTGACTTCGAGGATGCTTTCGGGTCTGAAGGCCTTTCCACGGAGCCATACATCCATGTACAAGCATCACATATGGGCTGGAACGGGGATATTCGCATTGATCCTGGCAGGAGTGAAATATCTGGTAGCAATACCGAACGACAGGATTACAAGTTAGGACCTAATCGATCGGTCTCCTTTAAGGGGTTTTTCATTTCTCGATTTTCTATCCCATTCAGTTCATTTGGAACAACAAACGGAGGGAATGTTACAGGAAATTCTGCTCACATATCTGGAGGATTCTCCGGTGGTTATGTCAAGTTTCCCGCGAACACCACGAGAGTTGAAGTCCGAACAGCAGTCTCATTTGTGAGTGTAGAACAAGCAAGGAAGAACCTTGAGTTTGAAGTACCTGACGACATGTCATTTGAGGATATGATTGAGTCGACGAAGCACACTTGGCTTGACAAGTTGGGAAGAGTCACAATCGAAGGGGTCAACTCCACGGACAAGGAGCATGACCCAAGGACTATCTGGTACACGGGATTATACCACGCCTTACAATACCCAAACGACTTTTCGGAGCCTCTGAGCGATGAAACAGGGTCCGCCAAAGTATATTATAATGGCTATGCTGACAGTGTGCACAAGTCAAATGAGTAATATTACCAATCCTGGTCGATCTGGGACACGTACCGTGCGGAGCACTCTCTTCTCACCATCTTCGCTCCGGAGAGGGTCAATAACATGATGCACACTCTTCTCAACATCTTTGACTGGACCGGGCGCTTACCAGTGTGGGCCAACATGGTGGAAACGAACATCATGATCGCCACAAATGCCGATGTGGTACTGGCAAATGCAATCTCACGTGGCTTCCGTAGCTTCGATCTCGCAAAGGCGTGGAAAGCCGTATGGACGGATGCATATGTGGCCCCTGACAATGACACGGAATTGTTATACTATGATCGCGAGCCTGAGACAGGATATGAAGCTCGTGCAGGATTGACGAGCTATATGGAGCGTGGCTGGGTCGCGAATGATGGATGGTCGGAGTCTGCGTCCAGGACGTTAGACTATGCTTTTAACGATGCTGCTTGTGCTGTGGTGGCCAGAGCCATAGGCGACATCCAAGGGGCAGAATCCTTGGAGAGGCGGAGTAAGAACTACAAGACCATTTGGAATAACGAAACTCAATTGATGCAAGCCCGAAATGCGAACGGAACTTGGGCAAATGAAACTTGGGGTTGGACAGAAGGAGACAAAGGGGTATACACTTTCGATGTGATGCATGATATCAATGGACTGGCGTCGCTTTTTGCAGGTGGCCGTGATGGCCTCAAAAACAAGCTCGACGAACATTTCGCTGGAGGACACAATTTGCACAGTAATGAGCCCGCACACCACGTTTCCTATCTGTATTCTCTTCTTGGAGATCCTTCGTCGACAGCGGACCAAATCAGATCGATCATGTGGGAGGACTATAACGCAACAAGCTCAGGGCTCAGCGGCAATGAGGACCTAGGCCAGATGAGCGCATGGTATGTGTTCTCGGCGCTTGGATTCTACCCTGTCAACTCTGCAAGCGATGCATATGTTATTGGTTCGCCGAGCTTTGAAAAGGTCACTCACTATACGACTGCCAGCTGGGGCGAGGACTGGGGGTGAGATGGGCACAAATGAAGCGGACGAGAAGACCCTGGTGATCAGTGCTCCGGGAGCTATTAGCAAGCCTTATGTTAGTGGTGTTAAGGTTGATGGTAAGGAATTGTCTCGGCCGATACTCCAGCATTGCGAGCTGGTAGGTGCCAGCCTCATCGAGTTTGACATGAGCGATACACGGGGATCATGGGGCACTACCTAGCAACAGCCAAGGATCGATGAAGCATGCAAATTTGTGGTCCGTACCTAGCTAACTGTTCTTCATCGAAGTGTTTACTTAACCCCCGTGTTTCGATTCTCTTGTGCCGTCCATTTGCGCATCTAGATATCGAAAAGTGTATATCAACTACCAAGACTGCAAGACTGCATGATTTCTGTGTCTTAGGTTGGCATATAATAGACTCCGTCTTTATTGCTAGGGTGTGTCACTTAGATAATCCAGTGCGACGAGACCTTGCGTATCTTCATCGCAGTCGAGTGACTACTATAGGAACGAAGTGTTTCCAGCATAGAAACTTCTTTCATGCAGCCATGCCAACAACTTTGATCAATTCGTTTTGTAAATGAACTGGTAGGAGTGAACTTTGAGAGAGGATATGATTCGTTCAACAACCGAGTATTCGTCCTCTCTGATTGGCGGGCATCTCACAGGACGGAATACTCGGGTAGTTGGATCCCCGGATCGAGGAGGCGGCTTACAGTGCTTCTTAGGCGGGATCTAGGCAGCGGCACACTGAGATAAGGTTGGAATTGAGACACGAATGACTTGGCAATAGATGCCGACTTTGCGGAACAGGAATTGCGATTTAGTTCAGGGCCAATATCATGGAGAATGGCCTTTATGAATGGGCTGCTGTATTGGGTATAATTATGGTATATTTATGCGATACTGTCTGTTGTCGATTACATTGACTACTGGTGAAACGTCGAGGGATGGACGTGTTGTGTAATAATTGACTGGAGACGTGCACTGCCTCCCTGGGCTGGGTGGAGGAGAAGACGAGATTCGCAATCCTTAGGCGCCGATCAACCGCTGGCCGGGGGGCGAAAAGGCCAAATGCTGTGACTTGCCCTCCCGTATTCTGTGATTGTCGTGATTTCTTCCAACTGCAAGGACAAAACCACAGCGGCATCAAATACCACGTTGCGACTCCCGTCGCTGTCCATTTCTTCTTCGTCTTGTCCTCGTCCGACGACTTCCGTCCAATCTGCGCTGAGCGACTGGACACCTCTCCAAAGGCACGGAGCATTTCCCCCGCTCCTCGCAGTCTGACTCGACCTTTTTACTGCCTAAGAGTCCCTAACCTAGACCCGTCCAACTGCGACTTGAGGCGTATCGAGATCTGGTGCTTCAGTCTTTATCGCCCGAGCAGCACAGAGGGTTCTAACTTTCAACGTCATTGACCCGTTCTTACCACTGGAGCGGAGCCGCGAATTATCGCTGATCACTTCATTCCATCGACTTACCTGTCATACCTGCCTGCCCTGCGTACCGCCATCCCAAGGCTCGCTGGTGGTGAATTCTATAGACCATCTTTTTCATCCAGCGCTGGCATTCCAACCTCTACCTTCAAGATGACTTGGGAACTCACCCGGCGCCGCATCGCCCGTGCGGCCAACAGCAAGTTCATCTTCGATCGCATTGTACGTCTTACCTAACTTTGCGCATTCACTTTGAGCAAATCTCCCCAGAATTCAGTGTTGGCCCGCTATTCTCCCTCTATCGCAAGCTTAAGTGGCTACCAGCGAACTCCACCAGAACTCTGTAATTGCTATGACGCAAAGGGTCCAAACAGCTGCACATTTTTTCGATGCTTGTTGCAGTATTGTTATATTTTTGCTGACTGTTTCCTCCTCTCCTTCTATCTAGCCACTACTCCATGCTGTTATTTTCTTTATTGAGATGATGGTTGTGGCACGCCTTGTCACGAGGTTCAACGCCTACTATGACGAACGACCAGGTAAGCACCGCCCAAAAACGATAGACTGCGAAACCTTGATCATCCGCATCGATTACAATCTGACCCCATGAATATCAGTTCTCACCATGATGGTGACCAACGCCGTCCTGGGTGGCATCGCCGATACGGTAGCCCAGACCATTACCTCTGTGCGGGAGAGGGCCTTGCGCAAACCCGGCGGCATCTCCAAGGAGGATCCCGTAGCAGTCGAGATCCACGAGCTCGACCGCAAGAACCCATTATACGAGCGCGATCTCATTCCCGATTCCAAGCTGCTTCCTCCTCCATTCGACTTTGAGCGTCTCACTCGCTTCATGGCGTACGGTTTCGCCATGGCGCCTGTGCAGTACAAGTGGTTCTCGTTCCTGTCGCGCGCATTCCCCATCACCAAGGAGGCTTCTTTTGGTCCGGCAATGAAGCGCATGGCGTTTGACCAGCTGGTGTTTGCGCCCTTTGGTATCGCCTGCTTCTTTACGGCCATGACGGTCGCAGAGGGCGGTGGCCGCAGGGCTGTCTCCCACAAGCTGAGAGACATGTACGTCCCGACTCTGAAGGCAAACTTCATGGTCTGGCCTGCTGTGCAGTTGATCAACTTCAAGCTCATGCCTGTACAATTCCAGCTGGTATGTACTCAAGCCTTATATTTGTGGACTAGTACTAACATGATGAAGCCGTTCGTTTCGACTGTCGGTATTGCTTGGACTGCCTACCTGTCGCTTACCAACTCTTCCGAGGAGGTTCCTCAGGCCAACGAGGCTAGATCGCCCAACATTCGCCTTCCCTAAATGTTTGTCCGTGTCGGCCGTGGAATTGGCAGCATAGGGGAATCATGACACATGTATCCAGCTAGTCGGATAGGATAGGATCGAGCTCTTCAGCTCACACACTTTGTTGCCGTCCACTTCCCTGGACGCGGAGTATACTGCTTTACTTTGGCATGGCGTTTGGTCAAATTTTGGAGAAGGGCATTCAGGTTGGCGTTATGCATTTCCTATGTACCTAGGTTTCGTATTCAACTTGTATAGTTACAATGTTTGAAGGGGAAAAAAAATCAAATGTGCCACTCGTGTAATTCGACGTGACGGTTTATTTGTCGCATGTCATCTGGATTGACGGCTTGGCGGAATATCCAGCTACTTATGATACTCCCGCAAGGATTCCCGAGGGATTAATGTTAGTGCTGCCTCGACCCCCGCGAAATCCCGGCAAGTGTTACCAATGGTGTATTATATGAAATGCATACTCGGGAGAGACTATACACGAAATATCGCGGGTTGCCGAATACTGCCGCGGTCATACCATCTCGACGACCTGGAGCATGATCTTGACGAAAACCGATAGGAATGGCGCTAATGGTAGCAAGCGGGTAACGTCACTGCTCCTTGGGCATGGGTCGTAACCCACCTACCCTGGAGGTAGCTTGAGGGAAACGGACCTTTTTCACCCCACCATTGCGATTGCCCCTCCTTCGAACAAGCTCCCGAGAGTCCAGAACTCAACCAAACATCTGCGTGTTTTTCCTAATCTAATATTGTCCCAGATCACCGCATAGACCTTGACTTTTTCTTCTCTTCACAAAATTCCCATTATACCCTCATCCCTCCGAAATTTCTTTCTCCTTTCCAAATACAAATTCAACTTGCAATCGAGAATCCTCAACATGTCTCTGTCCAGCAAGCTGTCTATCACCGATGTCGACTTGAAAGGCAAGCGGGTGCTCATCCGAGTAAGTCAACAATACACAATCTTCAGCAGCAAATGGGCTTTCGAGCCCAGCCAATCTTGCTCAGGGCATTTGGGCCGGCCCAGAATCGACTCCGACTCCTAGTCCTCCCTCTCATCTTAGATATATAGTCTAACAACCAATTTACAGGTCGACTTCAACGTCCCCCTTGACGCCGACAAGAAGGTCACCAACAACCAGCGTATTGCCGGCGCTGTGCCCACCATCAAGCACGCCATCGACAATGGTGCCAAGGCCGTTGTCCTCATGTCTCACCTAGGCCGCCCCAACGGCTCTCCCAATGCCAAGTACAGCCTGAAGCCCGTTGTTCCGGAGCTCGAGAAGCTTCTCGGCAAGAGCGTTCAGTTCGCCCCCGACTGTGTCGGTCCGGAGGTTGAGGAGATCGTCTCCAAGGCCGACAACGGCCAGGTTGTGTTGCTTGAGAACCTGCGATTCCACATTGAGGAGGAGGGTTCCGCCAAGGATGCCGACGGCAACAAGACCAAGGCTGACAAGGCCAAGGTTGAGGAATTCCGCAAGGGCTTGACTGCTCTCGGTGATGTCTACGTCAGTCAGTATCCCCCGAGACATGAACTTTTTGGCTATCTTAGATCATTTTGCTAAATATTGCTCTAGACGATGCTTTCGGCACTGCTCACCGTGCTCACTCTTCCATGGTTGGTGTTGACTTGCCTCAGAAGGCTGCCGGTTTCCTCATGAAGAAGGAGCTCGACTACTTTGCTCAGGCCCTTGAGTCGCCCAAGCGGCCTTTCCTTGCCATCCTGGGTGGCGCCAAGGTTTCCGACAAGATCCAGCTCATTGACAACCTGCTGGACAAGGTCAACAGCCTGATTATCTGCGGTGGCATGGCTTTCACCTTCAAGAAGACCCTCGAGGGTGTCAACATTGGTAACTCTTTGTTCGATGAAGCTGGCTCCAAGACTGTGGGCCAGCTGATGGAGAAGGCCAAGAAGAACAACGTCAAGGTCACCCTCCCCGTCGACTACGTGACCGCCGACAAGTTTGACAAGGATGCCACCACTGGCTCGGCCACTGACAAGGATGGTATTCCCGACGGCTGGATGGGTCTTGACTGCGGTCCCGAGTCCATCAAGCTGTACAAGGCTGCCATTGAGGACGCCCAGACCATCCTCTGGAACGGCCCCGCTGGTGTGTTCGAGTTTGAGAAGTTTGCCAATGGCACCAAGGCTACCCTCGATGCATTCACTGATGCCGTCTCCAAGGGTAAGATCGGTATCATCGGCGGCGGTGACACCGCCACCGTTGCTGCCAAGTACGGTGCCGAGGCCAAGTGCAGCCATGTCTCGACCGGTGGTGGTGCTTCGCTCGAGTTGCTCGAGGGTAAGGAACTGCCCGGTGTTACTGCTCTCAGCAGCAAATGAATATCCCGTGGTGTGGATGCAAAGCTTTAGAATGCGCGTATGCAACCTACCATAACTCCGTGTCCCCAGCAGCATGGCTTCAGCTTTTCTGGACGATGATTCCGTCGTTGAACACTTGAACGAAAAGACTGTTCGAGCAGAGAACCTGTGAACACATCTTAACCATAAAACAAACGAATGAGCATCATAGGTCGGTTGGGTGTACTAGGATTCGGATCCAAAAGAACTATGTAGACCTTGATTGTATGTCCGTAAAATGAAACATAAATGCAGTCAACACAAATGTTCAAGATAATGATTGCGAAGAATGTGAATCCGTTGAGTCGCAGCTCATGGATATAGTGTCTATGATGTTTCTTATTTTGGGGTTTACGTACTACCGGCCGGTCAGGATCGACATGACTTGGTCGACCTGCTCGAGTTCCAGATACCACAGTGGCCGGTTGCATTATCACCGAGTCTATACAGTCTTGACATTGCCTCAGGTTGTCATTTCCCCTCGTTTTTGCCACGCTGGAAATGGGCGTTGCTTGATGTTGACTGTGTTATAATGTTTGGCCCGCTTCAATCTATCATCGTCTTCATTGTCGTTGATTGATCGATCGGTTTCTTTCAACCACACTCTCTTATTTCCTCTTGGCGGCATCAACCTTGCGCAGTTCCTCGCGCAGCTGTGCACTAAAGTCGTCGGACGTGTCGTCGTCATCCCATGACTTCTCCCAGAGATACTTTTCACCCTCCTTGCCCTCGCCCTCGGTAGCGGATTGTGCGGCTTGAGCAGCCTTTTCGGTCTCGTTCTCGGGCCAATCTGTCATGGTAGAAAGTCATTAGTATCCAACGGTTATGAAGATTAATTGGGCATGACCCGCACACGGGAATCAAGGGTCAGCTTGGGCGGAGGTAATCGACCACATCCCATCGGCGGTCATTTTGAATCACGATTGAGCGCAATGCAAGACAATGGCGCTTTGCAAGGGGAAGTAATGCAACGTACCTTCGACAGGGAAGTCTTCAAACTCGTCGTCCTCTTCCAGAGCGGCGGCCGACTTTTGCGCGGTCTGGGCCTGCTCAGGCTTCTCTGCTTGTGTCTTTTCGGCAGCCATGGTGATGATGGCGGGGGAGCTTGGTTGGGTCTTGGGGGAGTTCGTTATGCGAGAGTTTGTCTTCAAGCCGAGATGGAAGTCCCCGCTGGCAAGATCCGTTCAAATGGCACGAGATGGAGAGAGCGAAAAGGTGCGTTGCAGTGTGGCGCGGCTGAATGTGTTTGTGTTGTGGTCGTTGATTACGAACCCAAGAATTGAGTGTTGCACTAGGTACCTTTACCTACGTACAACAAGGCTGTTTGGGGGCGGCGGGATGATGGACGGACGGATAGGAACGTGAGGCTGGACCCAGCTTGTGGAAGCTCGACGAAAGCTCCGCTCTGCCCTCCAGCAAGGGCAGGGATTCGGGGGGCCATTTGAGCCGCTGCAAGGGAGATAAGGCACTGATAGTACGATCTTACAGTGGTCAGTCAGGTCACTGAGGGCAGCTACAACCACCAGCGAGCACCACCAGAGTCCAGTGTTGCGTGCCTGGCATAATCAGACCCCCTCAGGCGCAGCAGGCGAGACGGGTGACGCTGTAAAGGCGTCATGGTTTGAGGGGCTGTGTCAAGATCATTTCTTTGAAGAAGTGCCGCTGCATTTCACACTTGTATCCGCTAATTCCACAACATCCTAAAATGTGTGACCAGCTGCAATTCATTATTCATGCGTGTTTGTCCAACTTGATATCGTCCAAAGGTGCTCAAATACACGTGCACTCACACGATTTCAGTAGATTTGGGGATGACCTTCTCCTCCACTCTTACCTTCTCGAACAAAGATGCATCATGAATCTCTCGCAATAATTTCTTGCAAAGACATTTATATGACCCCCTACGTACTTTGGGGCCAGGCTCCGCTGCGTGGTACACGTCGAAACAAAAAGTCCCCGTTGCCGGGGGTTTTTGTTTCCAGCTATAAGTCAGTGGTAGTATTACAACGCCCTGTCAGGGTGTCACACGTCATCTTTTCTCACGCTTTGCCATTCGAGTACTTAATTGAGCCTACCTACTTCTTCAGATAGTTTTCTTACTGCCTACATACGCACCTAGATTAATGATTCAGCCCTGTCTCTCTAGTAATTCGGTTTTTCGTCATTCTCTCAGTTGGCTTATCGGTATTGTCGCTTTTGCCTACCAAGGTGGTTAAGTTGCTTCGAGCCTCTACCAGGAATCATCCGCCTGCCCTTCCTTCCTTCCTTCCGTCCACTATAAGCACGGAGTTACCTGGTCACGAAAGGATAGAAGACCCTACCTTAGCTCCACCGCTTACATCCACTAGACAGCGCATGGAGCGCATTAGCTCCGGACAAGGAGAGGGTTTTTCGATATTTTTTATCCGAAAATAAAGAGTAAAGAGGAATTTCTTCTTCTTCTTATTCTTGTTTGATTTCTGGGGTCTGCATAAGCTGGCAAGACCGGGTAGTGAACTAGAATCATCGAGATGAGCAGGCTCAGTGGTTGGATCCGGGGCTCGACCCCAAAGGCAACAAGCCATGAGCCCTCCCCAGCGGCCTCGACCACTGACCTCAGGGCCGCCGAGGTCAACCAGATGGAGGATGCCATGGTCAGTATGACCAAGATCATGAACGACGATATTGAGGGCGCCGAGGTGGGCCTCAAGCAGGGCAGCTCGGCCTTTCACTCGCTCGGTCTGGGCACCACCACCTTTATGCGCAGCGTCATTGGTTTTGAGAAGGACATCATGGCCGAAGCTAGTAAGCTGCTCAATACGTGCTCGACGCAGGCGTGGAACGAGCAGAAGAAGGCCGAGAAGAATGGGCCGGATTCCAGGATTCACCCGCCCGGAAGCGAGTTTGCCCTTGTTCACGCCGAAGCGCAACTCATGAGCGCCATGGTTGCGGTATTGCACGAGAGCTATCTGGAAGCCGCCAAGGGATTCTGGGGGCTTCGCGGTGCCTACGCCACTCTGGAGAGAATGATGCAGGCTGAAGAGGCATATTTGGCTAAGAAGGGTCTCAAAGTCGGCGGAAGCAAAGACGAACTACCGCCGCCACCTGTTGTACCTGCGTCAGAAGTCAAAAACGAAGAGCAAGACGAGGATGCAGATCTCGACTTTGTGGAAGCCCCCGAGAGCTTATCAGGAACGCAGACACCCGCACAATACAATGGGCACTTGAGTAAGGTTATAGACGAGACGGAAAAGAAGCTAGAAGGCTTGGCAGTCAGTGATGGGGCACCAGTAACACCGCCCACAAGGAAAGACTCGCCAGCATCAATGGAATCCCAGTCCTCAGCAGGTCTCCAGGGCCCCGATGCTGATGTTTTCACAGACCCCGTTGATGTGTTTGTCCACAGTGGAGCCAACATGTGTTTTGGCATCTTGTTGTTGATGCTGTCAATGATACCACCATCATTTGGAAAGCTTTTGTCAATCATTGGCTTCAGAGGCGATCGCGAGCGTGGTGTCAAGATGCTTTGGCAAAGCTCCCGCTTCGCCAACATAAACGGCGCCGTTTCTGGTCTCGTTCTACTTGCATACTACAATGGCTTTCTTGGGTTCGCCGACATTCTACCGACTGAAGAGGAGGCTGAGCAAGGGGCTATTGTCGGATACCCCAGGAAACGATGCCACGATCTTTTATCCACCATGGTGACGCATTATCCCGATTCACGGTTATGGCGTGTTGAAGAGGCGCGGAGTCTGTCCAACAGTCGTGACATTGCCGGCGCGATTGCTATCTTGGAGAAGAACACCGACTCCAAAATGCGACAGGTTACGGCGCTGAATAGCTTTGAACTATCTCTCGACTGCATGTACATTGGCCACTATGAAGCCATGCGCGACAACTTCATTCGCTGTACTGAGCTCAACGATTGGAGCCACTCTTTGTACTATTTCCTGGCTGGGTGCGCCGAGTTGGAGCTGTACCGCAACGCATTTCACGCCGAAAAGAAGGATGATTCACAAATCCGAGTACACAAGGCCAAGGCAAAAGAGCTCCTGTTGAAAGCTCCCTCCCTGGCTGGCAAGAAGAAATTCATGTCAAAGCCACTACCATTTGAGGAATTCGTAAAGCGCAAGGTCAGTAGAAAACCTGTGGTGTCTCTTTTGGTAGTTTTCTCTAGACGATTCCGCTCCTGAGACCTTGTTTCCCGGTCCCATGTTTTGGCTCGGGAAATATCTGTTTGCCCTGTAGCTCGAGCACTTGCTTGAGATCTCTTCGCGATCCAGACAAAATTGAGAGGCTAATACATATTGACTCACAGGTGCAAAAGTGGGAAAAGAGGAGTAAAGATCTCGGAGTCGACCTTGTGGATGCAATCGGCGTCAGCCCGGTTCAGGAGATGGTGTATCTCTGGAATGGCATCAAGAAAATGCAGACTTCACAGCTGGAAAGAGCTGTTGATACTCTCAGCTGGAGTCGCCTTACCGTCCCTGTTGAGACAGCGAACAAGATCAGAGCAGAGAGTGATGAGATTGCTGTTGGCGATCTGTGCCTGGCTGCGAATTATAGAGCCCTAGGCCGGTTGGATGAAGCAAAGGAACTGCTCAAGACGGTGCTTGCAATCGATAAGTATGTATATTCCATACTTGAACGTCCCTGAAATTTTGGGAAACTGGCTGACAAAACTTTTAGAACTGCTTTTGACGGCAAGATTCATGACGACTGGGCACAGCCCGCAGCAGCGTATGAGACGGCCGTGCTGGCATGGGTTGAACTACAGAATGCCAATAAAAAAGACACCACCGCCTCCATCAACGGGGATAGCACTCAAGATCTCGATATCTGGCGTCGCAAGAAGACTGATGAGTGTCAGACCTGGCTGGATAAGTGTGCCGGATGGGGAAACTATGTCTTAGACGCCAGGATAGGTATGCGAGTGCAAACGGGTACGGATACACTTCGATGGTACAAAAGGGTAAAAGGCTGGAGTTCGGAATAGATACTATGCGCAACACTGCCCATGGATTCAGCGGAAAAATTCAAGACTATTTATTGTCTTTGACTTGCTGTTCGAATGATACAAGCTCATTAGCAGCTCAAGTAGCCTTTACGAGTCCAATCCAACCCAAAGCGAATAGGAACACTAAAGGGTTTGTTGCTGTCTACAAAGTCCCTCCTGAGCACCTTCCAGACTGGCATCTCTCGTTTTAGATCGTTTGAGAAAAGATTGCAAAGCGAGAAGAAGCGATTGATTGCGGTTGGGCAGCACAGGACGAGCTTGACTAGTAGCGTTCTACGCCAGAATTCGATTTTGTCCGACGAGCCCGCTGCTATTGAGGAATAAATACATGTATATAATCTTTGTCAAGATGAGTGCAAAGCATGTTCAATTCTTAATTCCTTTCCCCACCGATCCGCTAGACCTGAAATATGCTTGCAAAGCAGCCTTACTGGCAAAAGTTCAGTGTACCTACCTATGTAGTATTTCCAACAAGCTGCTTGGCGAGGCTCACTTTTCAATACCTTTATGCATGAAGATACACTCTAGCAAATTAAGTGGCGGTATCGACAATCGTATTCACATTATTAGCCAGGTTGTGATAAGTCACTCGGAATGTTGTCGCTGGTCCCAATGTGTGCTTATAGTGGTGCAATCAATTGATAGCGGGGCCAAGCTCCGAATTGCGCAATAGCTACATGTCTAGCTCAACGATCGATACAATGTACTGTACTGATACTCCTATTGTGAATGTACCATTTATGTACCTTGGAATAATGTACGCTGTCTCAGGGTGACATGGATTTATAAGTCCAAACCTTCGATTTTGGTGTCATACTTTGAGTATTATGGGTGCCTGGTCGTGTTCGACCTGAAGGCATCAACATAACAGACTGGTCCATGCACTAAATGACCTGCGGAAACTCGTCTTGGCGTCTTACACATACAAGTCTGCTCCGTGTAGAAATTACTAGTGGGAATTATAGGAAAGAATATTGCTGCCTGGTATATCCGACAAAATATTTAGAGAATGGCTGAACCAAGGAAAAAGAAGAAGAATTTGATGATTCATCTTCTCATGCAAAGGCTCGTACTTCTCCTCTCAGAGAGCGCGATAATGGCTTCTCAAGGCATGTACAATGCTGCGACACTTTGTAAAAGGTAAGGGACAATTCTCTTCTCGGGAAACTTAGAAACTGTTTCTGACTGAAGATATAGATTGGAAGCTGTGACTGCACGGCTCGAGGATATCGTGTCGACACTGGACAAGACCGCGGATGCTGGTCAACCATCAAAATCGTCAATTAAAGAACACTTGACAGCTGCCCTCCAGGTAGCATCCGATGATATGTTGATTGGGCAGTCAGCACAAGAAGCTCCAGATCAGTCCATCTCCTCGGATCTTTTAGATTTTGACGCCTTTCTCGATACCACAGTAGCGCGCTACGTTGAGTTGAGCAACGAGATTGGTGGACCAGTCGCAAAGCAAGCTCAATGCATTCTGTATGGTCTTCGAGAACAACGAAACATCATAGAGAAGATATCGAAAATATCCAGTCCTGACTCAAACACACTGGACTCCCTCTGTCAGCCACTAACACAGGCCATGGCTACAGCCAAAGCCATTCAGGAGGCCAACCGCGGTCACAAATTATATAATCATCTCAGTTGTGTAGCAGACGGTATTCTGCTCTTGAGCTGGATCAAGATACAAATGCGGCCTTTCCGACACATTGATCAGATGTTGGAATGCGCAAAATACTTTGGCAATAAGGTCCAAGCTGAGCACAAGCAAAAGTAAGTATTTATTAATTTTCATATTGTATGGAAAACAACCGCTGACCAACCCAGAAATTCGAAAGACCGGGAGTGGATAGAGGCTTTTTTCAGTATCTTTCATGATCTTTCTTCGCTGGTAAAGCAGCATTATTCTTTAGGTATTACTTCGCAAGTGAAAAAGAATCGATCTCAAGCGTAGCTCATAAGCATGTCACTTTAGCAATTTTACATTAGATTTGGCCTGTATGCTAAGACGAATTTATAAATGCAAATGCTATTGAAGTCTATTAGAACCGTATATCCAATTATCAGCGCAAAAAAGAAAAGAAAAAAACGCATTTATCAATGATTTCCAATTTTTCATATAATTTTAAGCTTTATAATATTATCTAGTAAACTTGTCGCTAGAATAACAAAACCATTCTCCAAATCATATTTGACAGTTCAAAACTGCCGGTGCAATAATTGAAACCTGGCTGACGACAACAGGTTGTATTGCGGCATAAGATCAAAGCCCGAACATTTCATCCCTATCTCCCCACCCTGGTCGAGATACATTGAGAGCAGTGTCTATCGGTTCCACCACAAATTGCGCCTCACTCAAGTGGCTTTGAGACGAACTCATGCAGGTCACAATATTTCGTACGTAAGTAGCTGGTATTGTCAGACGCAATCATGGCGATCTAATCTAAGCATATACGAGGTTCCATGATCTCCGGGGTCTGGTAGTGACAACGTTGTATGGTCAAACAGATTCCTTTGCCATTGTTTTGCTTTATCATCATGCTCCAAATGTCCTTTTGATTCTCGGCCATGCGAAGTTATGGTGTTACAGAAGTTGGTAAATATCTATTTTGACATGATTGGGGATTTGAGGCGGAAGCAGATCGCCAACAAAACACGACTTGCTCAACCAGTCGTGTTTTCCAGAAGCTACCTCGAACCTGGGAAATGTCTTTGTATACCACTTGTCGTCTGAGTTAGCTCCAGAGCTTGTCGAAGCTGAAGCCGGGTCGTCGCCAAAGACACCCTCCATCACTTGCTGGCTTGCCCGGCCATATCCCTCATTTGTGATATTGATCAACACGCCGTCGTCAGCTTGGATGGTGTATTTGGCAAAGACGTGGACCACCCCGTCGGGACGTGCTGCATTCCAATCACCACCTCCTGCCAAAATTTTGCCGCTGAGCCGGCCTTCAACCTTGCCACCAGTGATAGGAATGAAACGCCGCATCCCGGAGAATGTGTGACCAAATTCGTGAGGGCGAGCAAGATCGACATGAAGCGTAAAGACGTATTTTAATTCTTGGCTGCCCATTGTGGGTATCGGCATTTGATGAATACGCTATCGAGTCCGTGGCGATGAGATTGGTGTGGTTGAACTAATGCAAAGCATTGACTGAGATTTGTAGGAAAGAGGCTCCCCGTTGTGACACTGCCCAGGCAGGGGATTCTATATGTGTCGTGTCCAGGGCGGGAGATGTGGGTACTATTCTTTATTCTCCCCGAAGATCGTCACGCTTCTCCTATGTCCCCGGCTTCACTTGCCCGTTCTTAGTATGGTTTCCATTGTGGCTTATTCGTTCCCCGTGGGGTTATATAGCACCTCGACTACCATGAAAGACGCTAAATTAGCATTGCAGGCCTGGTAGATATACTCTGGCCACGAAGCAGAACCAATTCATCCTCCTTATCCCCATTGCCCTTTCCTTAGATGGTTACGGACAAGTATTCCTGTTGGTTACCTTCACAACTTTATCTTATGCCATGGGTTCATTGCAGCATTCTCAAAGCGATCGCCCGGCCGCAGCTCGCCCAGCCGATTCCATGTCAAAACACCACGGCCTAATTTTTGTCCCTCAGCCATCTGACGATGAACGGGATCCACTTCGATGGCCAAGGTATCTTAAACACCTGGCGCTGGCTGTAACTGCATTTCTCAACTTCACTGCAAATTTCGCCGGCTCTGGGTTATCAGTTGCAACGCCTGTTCTAGAGGCTCAGTTTGGTAAAAGCGAAAATGAGATCAATGGACTCCTGACAGTAAGTCATCATTTGGTTTTTCCAGTATAAGCACACATTGAGCGTCAGGAGACCAAGCCAACATGAATAAAATAGTTCAACTTTTTGTTCCTTGGCCTAGGTAATCTATTCTGGGTACCGTTTGGGACAAAATTTGGCAAACGAGCATCCCTCATTCTCTCAACAATGCTTCTCTTCGCAAGCTTGATCTGGACTGCAAGAACCACAAGTTTCAACAGTCTACTAGCGGCGAGGTGCGTGTCCGGGTTTGCTTCGGCAGCTGGAGAGGTAAGTTCTGCTGCAAGAGTTACTTGGAGCAGTTGAGAAATGGTCTGACAGTTATCATCTCAGAGTATCGTTCCGGCAATTGTCTCTGATATATTTTTCCTACACGAGCGAGCAGCCATGATGGCCTGGTAAGAATACTTCCCTCTTCTCTCACTTACGTTCCTATCTAGGGAAATTTCTGGCACCGGTCTTGTAATAAGTTGAAATATTCTAGTTATACCATCCTCGTATCGGGAGCAACCGCAATTGGGCCACTGTGTGCCGCCTTCATTGTCCAATACTCGCCTGGTGGATGGATCGATTATATATGGGTGTGCATGGCCCTTGCTGGCGTGAACTGTATCGGGATAATTTTGTGTTACCCCGAATCCAACTTCAGACGACCGCAAGACAACTCGACGCAAGCTGAACCGGATGCTGTGCTCTATGCATCGGACCTATCCAAGCCTCGAGAGGAGCACCAAGGAGATGCACGATCAGAAAACCAGGCCGAAGCGGATTGTCCTTCGCCATGCAACGCGGTCAGCGTTGTTCCAAAGCCTTTGCCATCTGTCTGGACGACCTTCTTTACGATCGATCACTCTGCCAGTCTTCTTAGGGCCTTTATCCAGCCACTGATAATGCTTATGCAGCCGCCAGTGCTGTTGGCCATCTATGTGTATGGCACGTCTCTATCCTGCCAAATCATTCTGATGTATGTTGAGAGTTTCCAAGTCAATTGACACTACTGACACATGAGAATGAATAGCTTCGCATTTCCTTCATTTCTGACGGCGCCACCCTATCTTTTCAATTCAAGCGCGGTGGGATTGATGCAGATTGCAGCGGCAATTGGCTTCGTCCTCGCCTCCTTCATTGGAGGTTATTTAGCGGATGTCATTACTGCTCGTGTTATCGTACTGCAGCACGGCGTAGTGCGCCCAGAGCAACGCTTGATATCTTTGGCGCCCGCCTGTTTTGTGGCTCCATCCGGTTGTATCCTGGTGGCCTTTTCCTGCGCTTATAAACTGCACTGGGTTGCTATCGCATTTGGATTTGGCATGGGTAAGCAAGAGAGAAATCAAAATGGATATTTCAGTTTCGGTTGTTGACCATGGCCCATTATAGTCTCTTTCGGAACCGTATTCGCCCCCAACATCATCATTACCTATGTGGTGGAAAGCTATCCGCACATGGCTGCCGACGCCCTGGTCATGATTAATGTAGCCAAGAACTTGGTTGCGTTTCTGTTTCTCTACACAGCCGTGGAATGGATCGCTTCGAGTGGCTGGATTCAGGTTTACATGATCATGTTCATGCTGGTCACCTTGGGGATGCTGCTGGCCGTCCCGTTCTATTTCTACGGGGCTCGTATGAGGGCGGCCTGCCGAGGCTTACTCTATATCCTTTGAATTTTATCCGATTGTGGGCCTCTCGTGGAATCATGAAGATAGGTGGAAAGTTCACATGACATCAGTCATTTCTATATAAAGTCACTGATTTGTAGCTAGCTTCTGTTTGTAATGGCTTATGTACTGTACAACTCAAGGCAGGGTTTCTACGGATAGTGCTCAAGACAATGGGGGTGCTTCCTGAGGCAGGAGGATAAAGTTTTGTTACTTCTGCGAGCTCTTCGGCACTTGGAAAACTTTTGAATCCACAGCATATATATTAAATGCCTCCAACAGCTTCCGCATTAAGCGATGTACTTCTTTCTTTCTTCCAGCGATCGCCTATATACTTAGGTAAAAATGTATTAGTTTGACAACCCACAAACACTGTCCTTCCTTAGTCTTTTTGCCCGAATTCGATTTTAACGTTGCTTCCGTCCTTTTTCTCTTTTTATCTCTTTTTTTCTTTTGGCATGAGTTTCCTTGTTTCTTGTTTCTTCGTTTTCGAAAGTTGATATTTTATAATAAATGCCAAATTCCGGTCATTACGGATCCTCTATGTACTTTCAATCTTTTGCCCAGCCCTAATATTAACTTGGGTTTGCAGGTGCATTCGTCTGGAGATCAAAAGAACTCAGAAAGTCGAGATCTCCAGGAACCATGAACTCATTTAAATCCGACCCCAATGGTGTATTACCTATATCAATAATATCTGGCCACAATGCTGCTTCAAACTCATCGACACCGCTCCGGATGTTTCTGTCTGCTGCTACTGGCACGTTCCCTTCCTCGGGTACCTGATCTGTAGAGAAGGTCAATAAACTTCATCAAGTGCTAACACCATTTATTGAAAACAGGGAACATACTCAGGGTCCTCATCACTCTTTCTAGCTTCTTGGCGTATCGTGCACACTTTTCTGTCATAATGTTGCCGCTATCTAGCGAGACAAGACATTCCACAGCTTGAGGTATGAGATCACGCTCAAACTCAATGCCGATATCATGTAATGGGTCAAGCTCTGAAATTGACGATGTGAACTTTTGAATGAGGTAACCAGAATAGAGCACGAGCACGGCATTGAACGCTGTCACTGCATTAGCAAAAACATGCCGGGATTCTAGAGCCAAGACATATCTTACTATAGTAGAGGGAGAACCACCAAGCGCCCAATAACCCCTTGCCCTGTTTGGTGTTTACAGCATAGGCAACAAGCTTGATGATTGTGGTAGCTGAATGAACACAGGCACGTAAGCTGTTTCCGCCAACCTGACACAGCATACTGAATTGTGACTTGTTCGCGTCTGGGCCTCCGATGGCCTCAAGGTATTTGTGTAACAGGGGTCTATGTGCCAATATCCGTAGATTGTGATAGCGCAGCGTCAATATGACACGAAGCTTGAGCATAGGGACTGGCTCTGGTAATGTGTGATGCAACAAGTCTGTTACGTGCAGAAGCCGCAAGGTTTCAGGGAACTCATTCTGCGACTCTGATAGTTGATGTTCAATTTGCAAGATCTGACCAGCGAGTGAAAATATGTTCTGCGGCGTATCACAGTCAAGATTATTGTCGTACAAGATGTCGAGTACTTTACCCAAAATCGTGGATAGAGATCTGCATTACTCAGTTGATGTGTTTGAAAGTGATAATCTGAGGGGATCTAACATGGTGGACTTGAAGAACTCGAGGCTCAAATCATTGAGCCATAGCTGAGAGTCGTCATCCGAGGGCGTCATTTCCGATGTCCTTATTGGCAGATCGATCCTGACGTGCGCTTCGGGGATGCAAGAAGGTCGCCCAAGAGTCATACTTAAAGTGCTAGATCTCTCGTCAGGAAAACGTGCTCAACAGGGAGTTTAAATCGACAAATTACCGGTCCAGTAGAATACATCCATACCATGTCCGGATGCGTACCTCGCGATCTAAAGCACTGTAACGACCCAGTGCTTGCTTAGAATGCAGACCAAGCTGATATGCGGCCTTGACCGCCAGGCCGTGTATATTCCAGGTTTGAATAGAACTCTCAGTGCCTTGAAGATACTGACTCATCAGAAGTAGGAATTGCACTGTTGATACAAATTTCATGGTCAGCTTTGCTCGACTTATGTAGTGTATAATATTCAGGTCACAGGAACGAACCGACGAACCTATTTCCAGACTCGTTCCAAACCGGATCTGCTTTTCGCAGAGAGCCATAGCGCGTTGAAAGTATACCTGGGATTTTATTTTTCGCTGCTCATAGGACAAGTCACTAGGATAGGCAGTGCTTATCGACATGGCCAGGATCATATTGAGTAACCCGAGCCATGATCGTCGTACTTTTCGGAACTCATTCGCCGCTGCCACTTTGAACGTCGCTATGAAGTTTTCACGATGAATGTAGGGAAACAAGAGGCCAGTGTTTGCGAAGTACTCTTGAACGAGCTCCAATGTCGCTTCCGCACCGGGTATATCGAAAGGGTTGACAGCTCCTCTGTTGCGCCGTTGGGCAGCTGGTGACCTGTCTCGAGCCGGTGATGGGGCACGGGAGAGATGCAGCACATGGCTGTGCATTGGATCCTCGCCTTACATGTGCGATACAGACCCTGAGACATGCTGCTTGAGGAGAGCAGTGGTAGCTTTGACAATATAACGTGTGAACGCAATATTAGATGAAGGGCCTTGGATGCATTAATAAAATGACCAAAGTCTGAACGTAGTGTGGAGGGCAATACCAAAGAACCCAGAATCTTCCTCTTCTGCAAATGTTATGGAACCTATACCATCAGTGCCATCAATAGATTCTGCTGTCGATTGATTCCTGTCTTGATCGTCTTCAGCCATCAAAGGGTATCTGTTGGATTCGTAAAGTTGTACGCCGTTATTATTGTCTCGATTCTCGATGCAGTTGACCCGTCCAGAAAGCTTTTCGAACAGATGCTCGACAGTCTGCAATCGGATTTCCAGAGCGTCAAGGTAGCTGTACAACTGTTAGTCTTCTTGATGGGCATTAGAAAGGAGCCAAAAGCGTTATTTGGTAAGATGTAAGAAATTATACATTAAGACGAGGAGACCGAGATGACATTTCATACCCTTGTGATGCAGTCGTTGATTTGAGCGGGCCGGTGGAAGAGTATTCGCAATTGACTTTATGCGTAATACAATTGGCACATTTTGGCCTATCTCCGTCACACTAAGGGTCGTGAGCTGGCTCAGAGTGTCTAGGAAATTTCGCTTTGTGTCAAGCTTACCCTCGACTTACGCAACCTACAAGCAGAACACGCAACGGTCACTCGGCGGCGTTTAAAAGGTCTGCTAGAAGAATTGTTTTCATCATTTGAACGTTGAGTTGTGCCTCCGTCAGTGAATGTGACCCGGTGGGGCTGGTCGATATACTGGAATTTAGACGGAGCGGTCTCTGCCAGTCCGGCGGTTGTACAAGTTGAATCCATCCCGCCATGCACTTCTCAGAGCATGAGACCTCGCGGCATTCGATCCCGAAGTGACTAGCAGAGATCTTTTCTCTCTCCCGTGTGACGGATAGAGGACTTTCAGATAATCAACATGCCAGAGCCGTGTTTCCTAACTCCCCGGTGGAGGAAATAGAGGCTAATCCATTTCGAGGTTTTCTTGCCCTTGGCAGCTCTACAGAGCAAGGATCACCTCTCATTCTCGAATATAATTTAGAGATCATATAGTGCGCGTATCTGTAAGGCACTCACGCTCTGCAGTCAGAAGAGAACCTTTTTTGAACTCGGAAACTACATCTTCAAACCGACAAGCAGTAACACCACGTACATCGGGTATATACAGCTCCATGTCTTATAAGATGGCATCAGAGATTGTCCCACTCATCATCAATGGGGAAAACATAACTACCTTTGGGTCCTTGCAGCCCTCGGTTCTTGTGCCTAGTGATGAGACAAGGGGCCCCCAAGAAACGGTTGCCTTGGGTGCAACTCCCGAGCTTTGCCTCAAAGCAGTTGAGTCCTGTGAAACTGCATTCTCTAAATGGAGGAAAACTTCACCACTTGAGCGACGCGCATTGTTTAGCCGCCTGGCTTCGGTAAGGATATACGTGTTTGTATCTTGAGAGAAATACCGTTGGCTAATCAAGCAAAAGCTCCTCAAAGATAACCAGAAGACCATATCTGAGGTTATACAGAAAGAACTTGGTTGTTCCGAGAAATGGGCCCTGATCAATCTAGGAGATGCAATTGGCATCGCCGAGCATATCGCCTCTTTGGTGACCTCAGGTGTTCTTTCAGGCTCTGTACCAGAGTCCAGCGCGAGCGGATCGTGCGCGGTAGTGCTCAAAGAACCTTTAGGGGTTGTTCTGGGCATCGCACCTTGGAACGCGCCTTTGATTCTGGGCCTCCGCGCCGTTGCTGCCGCCGTTGCTGCAGGCAATACCGCTATTTTGAAGGTGTGTCTTTGGCCAGCCCAAATGGAGCTGAGGTTCTTTATTGTCTGGTGCATTTGGAAACTCATCATCTATCATAGGGCTCCGAGCTGAGCGCACGCACGCATTGTCTGATTGCTCATCTTTTCCGGGAAGCTGGATTTCCACCTGGTGTAGTCAATTTTCTTGTGCACAAACCCGAGGATGCAGCAATATGCTATGAAGCCATCATTTCGCATCCAGCTGTTCGGAAGTGCAACTTCACTGGGTCAACCATTGTAGGAAAGAGCATCGCGACACGAGCTGCCGCACATCTGAAGCCAGTACTCCTTGAGCTGGGCGGCAAGAATCACGCGATTGTCCTAGAGGATGCAGACCTCGAACATGCGGCAGAAGAAGTCCTGGTTGGTGCTTTCTTGAACGTGAGTATCCACTGGTGGTTTGAGACCATTCATGAACCTGTGACAGAAGACAGTACTCTAACCATTTTCCATCCTCTCAGTCGGGCCAAATATGCATGTCTACAGACCTTGTTTGGGTGCACAACAGTGTCAAGCAAGACTTTCTATCGATATTACGGACCAAGATCACGGGCATTTCTTCTTCTGAAGTTACCAAAGTTATCAATTCAAAATCCGACTCCCGAGTCAAGGCACTTGTCGATGATGCGCGTTTGAAGGGGGCGAATGTAGTAGCCGGATCCGAGGGCGCCACGGTTTTGGAGAACGTAACTACAGAAATGGACTTTTGGTCTACCGAGTCCTTTGGTCCCCTCGTGGGTGTCCGCGGCTTTGACTATGAGTCCGAGTGTGTGGCCGGGGTGAATGGGTCGGATTATGGCTTGTCGGCCGCAATCTTCACCAAGAGCCATTTCAAGGGCTTCAACCTCGGGCGTACTTTGAGCGTTGGCGCCGTCCATATCAACGCCATGACGGTCCACGACGAACCAACTCTGCCGCATGGTGGGTACAAGGCAAGCGGATATGGTCGATTTGGCGGAGTTTGGGCGTTTGAGGAATTTCTGCAAACCAAAACAATTATTACCAATCCATAGTTCTGGTAAGGAGCACTAAAGGGCAAATTGTTGGAAAACACCATTTCATCTCATACACTCACACATATATGGCTGTAACAATAGATTCATAAAAGATTATGATAATTGAAATGTAAAATGGATATATAGTTACGAGTTTTCTTCTTTTCTTCTTCTTCTTTTTTCTTAATTTTTTCTTATTCATTTCATTGCTATCAACATGTCTTTGATAATTATTAATATGGTGACTTTAGCCATTCCCTGCGCATTTTAAGATTTTTCAACAATTTGCCCTTCAAGCAACCGTATTCTAGCACAAGGTCCCTGGTGTAATTCTTGAATATAAAAGCTCTGGTTCTTCTACTTCACTCAAAATCGCCTTAGTGCTGCCAGCTGCCGAATGAAAAAAAAAAAAAAAAAGTCAATCGAAACTCCTAATGATAGTGGTACGAGTGTATTTAGGTAAACATAATGGAGGATAGAATATTATCATTAGCGCGTTGGTTTTCTGGTCTGGCCAGCAACGCCCTAACCAATAGCCGCCAAGTCTTATGGCCCGACCTCGTGCGGGCTCAGTTCCGGATCCAGATCCCGCCCGACCCCCCGAGCAGTACTCCCGGGGAGATAGGAGATGATTCCGGCAACGTTGCCGCCGGCGGTAGTTGCGGACTCCAAGCTACTGCGTACGTGTCTGGGGGCTTGGCATCCAAAGCAAGGCCGCCTGAATAGCAATAGGTACTGTCAGTCTACCAACCTGAAAAGTTGGGTAATTCCAGTATTTGAATCGCATTGATTTGCTCTTTTTTTTTCTTCTCGGGAATACATCATTAATCTGCAGTCGTAGATTCTATCGAATTAATTCCATCCTGCACCTTCAGTCTTGTAACCTTGTCCTTCCGGACCGAAACATCTCATTTCTCTCATACGCTCGCAAGAGAGGACGTAAAATGGCAGGACACTTCAGAACTTCACCAGAACAAGCTTCGCAGCTCTTTCCCGCTTACCCACAGTTCTCTGGGTTCATGAAACCATGTCGTTTCGAGGGCGAAATTCAAAATCTCGAAGTCCAGGGAACTATTCCACCCGAAATAGATGGCACGTTCTACCGCGTGATGCCAGATCCGCAATTTGTGCCCTTTATTGAAAATGATCCGGTTGGTGTTGTTCCATGTCTAGACTTTCGCCTGTTGGGTTTCATTTTTCTATCATCTTTCGCTAATCTATTCGCACAATTTTAGTGGTTCAATGGCGATGGAAATGTCAGTTCCTTTCGCATCAAAGACGGCAGATGCTGCTTCAAGCAGAGGTTTGTTCGGACAGAAAAGTTTGTGAGGGAGCGTGCCGCACAAAAGGCATTACTGGGTAGGCTGAATCTTTCTCGCCAGCGGAACACTCCAAGGCCATTCCTCTAAGCCTGTACTCTTGTAGGAAAGTACCGGAACAAGTACACAGATGCGGTCAGCTTCAAGATTCGGACCACCGCCAACACGAATGTCGTGTACTTCAATGGTCGTCTCCTGGCCTGCAAGGAAGACGCACCGCCCTATGCTCTGGACCCTGAGACATTGGACACGATTGGGCTAGAGGACTTTGATGGCCAGCTTCCGAGCTTGACATTCACTGCCCATCCGAAGCTTGATGCCAAAACAAAAGAATTGGTCTGCTTCGGTTACGAGGCCAAGGGCGACGGCACGCGGGACGTCTGTTATTACTGCATCAGCCCAGATGGGAAATTCACAGAGACTGTCTGGCTCGTCGCCCCAGTCGCTGGTATGATTCACGACTTCGCGGTGACAGACAATTGGGTATGTTGTACTGTGTCTTGCCCGACGTAGGTATATCGTATGACTAATTGCCCTCCTCGATAGATTCTTTTCCCAATCATTCCCCAGATCTGTGACATCGACAGGTTGAAGCAGGGAGGCGAACACTGGCAGTGGGACTCGAGTGTGCCCTTTTATCTTGGTGTTTTGCCCCGACGTGGCGCTCGTGGGGAAGACGTAAAGGTACCTATCTACATTGCCCACAATGCCTCAAGTAATTTATTGCAATTTTGAACTGACGGTAGTTCTTCGAATAGTGGTTCAAAGCGCCAAACGCATTCCCCGGCCACACCGTCAATGCCTATGAGGAAGAGTCGGGCAAAATTGTTTTTGATCTGCCTTTGACAGATAAAAATGTCTTCTTCTGGTGGCCAGATGCGGATGGGAATGCACCAAATCCCGAGTCAATCAAGGCAAAGCTGGTCCGATACACCTTTGATCCTTGTTCAAGTGACTTGGATCTTCCGCCATTCACTGTCTTGTCTACGGAAGACTGTGAATTCCCCCGCATTGATGACCGCTTTTCTATGAAGCCACATAGTCACAGCTTCTTTGACTTGATGGACCCTAAGCTGGGCACAGATTTTCCAGCCATTGCCCCGGTGATGGGCGGCGGACATGCTCCATACAATGCCCTAGGAGCTTTGAACCATCAGACTCTAGAGCTGCAAAAGTATTTTCCGGGGCCAACACACCTAGTCCAGGAGCCAGTCTTCATTCCTAAAGCAAAAGATGCACCAGAAGGTGACGGATGGCTCATGGCTTTAGTCAACAACTATGCTACAATGTCCAGCGAATTGCACATTGTGGATACTACCGACTTCTCACGTGCGCAGGCCATCATACTTTTGCCCATCAGGCTGAGAGCTGGATTGCATGGAAATTGGATCGATTCTGAGGATATGAAGGTTGCAAATGAGTCTTGATTTGCTTTGTCTAGTAACGACGTATAAGTCGAAAGGAATATTAGCATTAGCGCTGTGTGGCATTAAAACCACCTTTAGAGTAGCTCTTCCTTAGGACTATGAGATAGCTGTACGCAAACTGTTTCATTCATCTAGATGCCGCTTTTTAGTCAAACTCATTATCACTACTACCTATGCTACTTCTAATAAAGTTGCCATAATATTGTACCAGTCCAATAATCCTATAGGTGACCCAAAAAGTGTTAAGCCAATGTCACAATTCCGAGGTGCTAAGCTGTTTCAAGCGGGCCAAGGTGTGTGGGACGACGTGTTGGGCTGGGAGTCGCTGGACCTCGGTTATGCTTGGCTGCCCGGACTTGCGCTGTACCGCTTTGGCTGGCTGAGCTGCAACCCTACAACTGATCAGACGACACTCGCACCACAAACATGCTTTGACAGGGTCATCACCCCAGGTATTTTGCCAAGGGTCACGGAGTAGATCTTCCCCGCTGATGAATCTCTTTTGCTGCGGTGGACTTGTTTTAACTGACTGTGAGCTTGCATGTGTGGTATTCACCCGCCCGTTTCAATGCGGGCTGGGCAACCGCCGCTGGCCCATTAGCGGAACAATTAGGAACATCTCGGGTATCACTTGGGGGTGCATTGCTTGAAATGCGGCTGCTCCAGTAGTCGCTGGGCAGCATAGCAGATCTTGCCCGTTCTCCTGAATAGTACGTATAACCGGGGGCCCTCTTTCGATATTGCGGTCTTCCAAGGTTCTGAGACATGTTCAAATATATACATAATCCATATGATCCCCCATGACAATCGCCTGATTCTTTTGATTTGGTTTATGACGCTCCCATGACTTTTGCAGGGCAACGGTAGCATTGCATTCTTATTTACATGTTATTTTTCAAATTATTAGACTTCGGCTGGCCCCGGTAATAAAAAGATTGGCTGTGCAAATCACCTCGCTACAATGTCTCAGCGATCGATCCGGCCTTTCTCCACCATTTCGGGAGTTCACCCGGCATATTTGCCTGGTCTTCACAAAGCTAGCCGGGTGGAAAAGAAGTTGTACGTTCTTGTTGTCGTCGTGTCCTGAATACCGAAAAGAAAAGTCTTCCTCCTCAGGCAGACAGATGCATTTGTCCAAGATGTTGACGCTCAAAAGAGTTCCGGCAGCGGTGGCGACTGTTGGCATCGGTAAGTCACAAAATCTGGGGGAGGGGCTCGTCTGCGAGATCCCCCCACGACAAGGGAGGGTCTGCGTCTTTACTGAGAAAATGCGCCCCCATGATAGGTTACGGCATCGTCAAGTACAAGCAGACGCAAGCTGTTCTGCAACAGGCTCAATCACAACAGGCAGAGAGCTCGCGCCAAGCTGAGGCAGATATCATGATGGCTGCGTACGGTGACCGTTCCAGCCTGGCAGAGCTTGAGGCGGCTATGAAAGCATATGAAGAACAGCGACCACAGCGCTGATGCCCGCTCATCTGAAAAAACGATGGCGGATGTTTCTTGGTTATCGAACCATGATGAAATCAGACTCCCCGGGTTGCATTCGGAACACAAATCAGTACACGAATACCTGAATTTACAACGGTGGTGGCGATGCAAGATGATTTTGCATCAAGCGACACAGAAGAGAGGCAGCGGAACACGACAGGTAGCCGCGACACATCTTGCTTGTTAAATCGATATGAACCGGTTGTTAGCCCCTAGAAATTCGGACTAACTACATACCTGTCCCGACAAGTGTGTAAAGGACAGGCGCATCGACCAAGGCAAGGAAGACCTTTTTCAAACAACCTTATTACAATGATGGACGACATGGTGTTCTAAATAATCATGGGAGGAGGAATCAGCGACATCAATCTGAGATGAGGTATCGCCAATTCATCTTGGTGCTTGGGTGGGCTGGCGATTGGGAGATTGGGAGATTGGAAGATTTGAGCGATGAATCGGCGACAGATTTGCTGCCGACGACAGTGTATGGGAGGCCGCGTTCAGTCACCTACATGTTTCTGGACACCACGAACCTGTAATTACTCTTGGAAGACACAATTCTAGCTATTCTCAACTCCAAAGAGTTCTCTCGACAGAGTCCCAAATCTGAAGTAAATTGTTCGGCCAGTGCTTTCGATGGTTAACGCTCCTCCAGTGTGCGCATGAATAACTAGGTAATCGCCCAAAAAAAAAAAGATATTCTTGGCGGATGTTATTTGTCGCTAATAAATACATACGGAATAGTGAATAGTCTTCTTGTACTAAACTCGGGTTTAGTGATCAATTATAGTTTTAGTGCAAGTAACCACAATCATTGATCCCTCTTGTCGCGTATGCAAGAAGCTCCCGTGTCGTCATCATCGCCGAATGCATAGAGACTATATGCACAACCCGCAGAACCATTCACTATGATCCATGGGTATGTATGCACTTTGAGTCAAGTCCACCCTCAGATGATGTGACGACTTGAATATGTGTAGTTGGTATGGGACTTTGGTGGTGCAAGCTGGACAACTTATAGTCTTACGTAGACTCCAGGTCCGGATAGGATCGTCTTGACTGATGACTAGAACGATCAGACTTGTGTTCAAGACAGGACGTGAAAATCCCTCTTACATATCCTACTACCTCCACAATTGCTGACGGCCTTAAACTGCGCAGATCCTTCAAATTGGCGCTTTCTATTGGTGCGCATTGAGATTCTCCAGAAGCATGGAATTCTAGTAAGGTCCAGCCGTGAAATGGATACAGACTGCAGCAACCAGCAAAGCATATTTGACCGTTAGCATTATCCCTCATTGCCTCGCTTGCAGGAACGATGCATACCCAGGGCGCAGGTTCGAGAGTATAATAAGGCATGACGATACAGACCCTTGTCAGGACTTGCCAGGAGACTATAGATTGCTCCTCTAGGCAGACAAGAGCTGCCAGAGGTGGGGGTAAAAGATATCGGGAAGAAGTGAGACCCGCATTAATGACGATGTTGAGCGGGCTGGTGGCAGAGGTGGTGATGTGGGATTCCACCACTTGTGTACCCGCATTCTGGCAAACCAATGCAGAACAATTTGAGTTGTATTTGCAAGAGCCATTTCCCGTTTCCCTCTTCTTGAACCGTTTCTCTTTCATTCAGTAATACTACACATCAATCTACCACGAAAACAAGCATCTGATACCAACAATGGCCCCCGAGCACACCAAGAAGACTTACACCCTCGCCTCTGGCGACAAGATGCCCGCCATCGGCCTCGGCACATGGCAGTCACCCAACAACGCCACAGCCGCTGCTGTCGAGGCCGCTATCCGTGCTGGATACCGCTACATTGACACAGCACTGGCGTACGGCAACGAGCACGAGGTGGGCGAGGGCATTCGCGCTGCTGGTGTTCCGCGCGAGCAGCTCTGGATCACCACGAAGCTTGATAACCCATGGCACAAGCGCGTCGCCGAGGGAATCGATACTTCGCTAAAGAACCTTGGTCTCGACTACGTCGATCTCTACTTGATGCACTGGCCGAGCAGCACCCGTCCAGATGATCTCAAGAAGGCCTATGATGACTGGACCTTTATCGATACGTGGCGCGAGCTGCAGAAGCTGGTTGGCACTGGCAAAGTGAGGAACATTGGTGTCTCCAACTTTGGCATTACCAACATGGAGAAGTTGCTCAACGATCCGTCCACAAAGGCAAGTGAATAGAGAATGCAATGCACAAATGTAGCTCACAAAGACAAATCTATATATTAACTCGCTGTTCAGATTGTCCCGGCTGTCAACCAGATCGAGTTGCACCCCAACAACCCATCGCCCAAGTTGGTCCAGTACTGCAAGGACAAGGGCATTCACGTTACCGGCTACTCGTGCCTCGGTAGCACCGACTCGCCCCTGTACAAGGACGAGACGCTATTGACACTGGCAAAGGCAAAGGGCAAAACGCCACAGCAATGCATGATTCAGTGGGGTATTCAGAATGGCTGGGATGTCATTCCAAAGTCTGTCACCAAGGAGCGCATCGAAGCCAACTTTGACATTGACGGTTGGGAGTTGACGGACGAGGAGCTGAAGAAGCTTTCGAGCTTGCCGGATCGCTTCAAGGTGTGCGGCGACGATTGGTTGCCCGTAAAGGTTTTCTTTGGCGACGACGAATAGATGCCCGGCCAGAGAGGAATAACGGAGTTCAGGCACTCAGGACCCATAGAGGCAGTCTAGATTAATTATACAAGACATGTGTTTATGGCATTTTCGCTGGCCAGTTTCAAATCCCTGGCCAATTATCTGTAGTGTCGATGATGTTTAGAGCTTGCCCCTACTGTTTTCTTCGCGCATGATGGCAGCTATACCGTCTCGTATCTTGGCAGCGAGCACAACGGCCTCATCGTCATCGAGCTCTTCTCGTTGGCCCCGTCCGAACATAGTGAAGCTCTCCCGTAGTTTACCGCTGGCTCGAATTTCTGGTCGGGGAATGAGGTGGTAGTGTACGTGATCCACGACTTGCGCGGCGGCGGCGCCGTTGTTCTGGACGACATTCCAGTCGCCTACTCCGGTTGCATGAACCAAGGCTTTGCTCAATATCCGTAAATATGTACCAAGTTCGGCGGCTTCGCTCGCAGTCACGTCCGTCAGCTTGGATGCGTGACGTCGTGGGCAGAGCAGTAGGTGACCTGTAGATAGTGGTAAAATATCGAGAAATGCTAGAAGGACTGGCGTTGAGAGCACAATGAAACTAGCAGGGGCAATCTTCTCAGGGTCGAGGAGAGACTCATCAGCGCCCGGTGGTGAGGTTGGATCGAAGGTCGCGTAGGCTGTCGAGATCTTACAGAACGGGCAAGGGCTGGCCGGCGGCAGTACAGTCGGATCAAAGGCCTGTGACGCCATGATACCCGCGCGGATATGCGGTACACGGTGCGCTAGAAGTTCAAGCTGAAATTCCGGCAGAGTGAGGGTGACGGGCTGATAGTATTCGGGTATCGCATGTCTTGCGCGTTGTGTAAAGATGAACGATGGTCGGAGCAGATATCCAAGCTAGATATAACCCTTGGTTTTAGTAAACGCCGCCGCAACGTGAAATCATCCGAGTCAAAGCATGTCGATCACAGTCAGATGCCCACAGCAAAAGTCAGAACGTAGATAATGAGATGCTGCCCTGAAGTCACCGCATTCCTAAAGAGTCGAATCCCCAGGAATTCGCTGTTTAGTAGCCAATACAAGCGGTTGAAGCGAGATAGGGCGATTGGAAGGTCCGGGGCCGAGGTTCAGGCCAGGGGTTTTAGTAGCAGTTGGCAATGGCGGATACATTTAGGCACGCTGCAATTCTGAGGGACAACCCATCAAGCCTCTGCACTACAGTCAGCGTTATACGCAGTACATACGTGCCTCATGTACCTTGAACCTCTTCGACGCTAGGTACTCTAGTGTGTGTGACCCCCGGAATTAGAAAGTCGAAGTGGGGGTGGCATCTAAAATTCTGCCACTCCAGCATTCTCACCGCCTGAATTTCTCTTTGAAGTCATTCCAATCTAGCTCTGTAGATTGCGACGAGCATCTAGAAATCGATCCATGACATATTCCAGTCCAACATCTCGCTTTGCACAGCTACCACGGACTAAACTCGCAGACTCCTAGAGTCTGATCTCGGCCACTCTCCATCCACGAATCGATACCTCCTTTTTCCGTCCAAATATGTCTCGCGAGGGCTACCAAATTCCCACCGGCAGCTCCGGCGCTCCAGGCGCTGGAAACTCGGCCGTCGCCAGCCGTGCCATCGAGACCGAGGGTCTTCCCATGCTCTATATCTGCGGCGACTGCGGTACCAAGTTCCCTCTGAAGCGAGGAGACACGATTCGTTGCATTGAGTGCGGTTGCCGTGTGCTCTACAAGGAGAGAACCAAGAGGTGAGTCACGCATTTGCTACGATTGATACTTGACATTTATACTGATCTGACGCTTTACAGAATGGTTCAGTTCGAGGCGCGGTAGAAAACCTTGAAATTTGGAAAGGGGAAGACGGAACAATCCGAGCATTCATGGCCAGCCGAACGGCCTATACGGCCGCAAGATTTTGAGTCGGAATGCTTTTCATGGTACAGCATTAGTAAAGGGGGTCTGCGTATGCAAATGCTAAAATTGACCGCATTGGAAAGGTCTTGTGGAGTTCAGGAGTTTCAGAAATTCAATCAAGGGGAGCCCGGTAAACCAAGACGGAGAACAAAAGAATCACAATGGTATCATTACGCCGTCCAGCCGACCCTACATACATCCTTTTCTATGATTTTTGGAAAATGATATCAACAAAGACATACGACGATGCTGGTGTGTCTTCCAGCCGCAAAATGTTGCCTTACTGCTGTCTTTGTGTGTGTAAAAATTTGGCAAAGCTTGCCTCTTCCATATTGGACACTGCGCTGCCCTGCATGGCCGCCTCGTACCTTGCCTGAAGTCCTTCACGGTCCATTTCATCGTCATCCGCGTAGTCATCTGCTTCGTCATTATCGCTGGGAACATCAACGTCGTCATTGTCGTCGATAGGAGCGTTGGCGTCCTTGGATGAGCCGGCCTCCCTTGTGTCCATACCCATTCCTTTCATCATCTTTTCCAGCTCCTTCTCCCTTGTCTTGCGCTTTGTCTCTTCCCGTTCAGCACGCTTTCTCTCCAACTCGGGTTGGTAGTCACGTTTGAACTCCTCGGTCTTGTCCTTGACGGCTGCGAAGAACTCGTCTACACCCTGCCCGGTCATGGATGAGACTCCCACGACGCTCAGGTGCGTATAAAACTCCTCCAGCATCAAGCTCATGGAGTTTAATAGACTGCTCATATATCCACTGCCACCTCCCTCGCCCTCGACACCGCCAAATGCGTTGTTTGCTTCATCGGCCTGGAGAGCCTCCGAAAATGCATCGTAATCCGTCATCCAATCCTTTGCAAACGACGGATCCTTAACATCAGCCTTGTTGAAGACTAGAATCATGGGTAGCTTTGTCTTGTAGAGAATGGAGCATGCATAAAGCATGTTTGACATGAAGGTGCTTGTCGAAGCCGTCCGAGGCGTGTCGATGATATATGCAATGACTGTCGGGAAAGAAGAGGCGAGCGACTCGAGGAGAATTTGGCCGGATGCCGACCACACAAAGACTTCGATTTGACCAGCTTCGCGGCGCGACATGTTAGTAACGTTTGGTCCAGCGTAAAGATGGCGTTTGAGACTCACGTGTATCCACCAAGATGTTCTTGATGGGTGTCTTGCCATCTTCGGGGTTGGACCTCTTCTCTAGAAGACCCACGATCTGGTCGACTTTGGTGGCAAACAAATTCAAACTTGTCAGGATGCCTCCATTAGGACCAAGATTGTATTGCTTCATAACCTCTTTGTAGTTGACCGAGTCGCGGATGTCTATATTGGATTCGAATGGGACGTTCAAAACCGCGGGATCTAGATTGATGACGTATGGTGGCTCCTTCTTCCCGTGAAGATGCGCATTGATCCGTTGCATGAATGTCGTCTTGCCCGATCCGGCCATGCCGACACAGACAATGGCGGTGGGTTTGTCGCCGCCTGCAGGGGCGCTGGCGCTCGAGGAAGCCATGTGCGCGTGCTTGACACTGTGTGATGGGCTAAAGATCGTTTCCGGCGAGGTCTAGAACGATCGGGTTTTGTTTTGATCTGGACGAAGCTCAAGTGTATGCAGAGCCGCTGTTGAAGAATGTTGTCTTGGGTAAAATCATGATGATGGAGCTGTAGATCTAGATGGCGGGGCAGCTTGGTATCGATTAGAGAAAATCTAAGCGGAGCAATTCCGTCCCCCGCTATCAAACGCGTTGTAAAGTATCAGAGTGGGGCGTCTGCGACTTGTAAGTTGGTGCCTGAGAACGATTCTTGCAAGGTACGGAATACGTATCTCGCAAGTCTTTCTCTGTACATGGGAGGAAAAGGTCAAGTTCATACATTGGCTCGAGACAATATCATAGGATTTATTCTGCCGGCATAATTCCGACTTCGACCAGCTTATGCTATGTTGAATGTTCACAAAATGGGTGAGTATTAATTCAACTTTGATTTTTATTCTTGGAAAGCTTTGGGTCAAGAGTATCTCGAGGTGATACTATGGCCATTACTATCCATGCTACTCTAAGTCAAGTCTATTGAGTGGCGCATTGCTGCAGCTACAGGTAGCGGCTCATATTGAAGTCTACAAATGTGCAATCGCTTGTGGCATTACCATCCGATCAGTTCAGCTTCGCCTTTTACCTCCACCGGTAGTGGAATCATCGCCTGTCTCCTCAGCGCCTCTCCTCCTCTTTTTTGGCCGACAGGCGGAAACTGGTCGTGGCGGTTTTGCAGTGAAATCAGAGGCCCCTTGAGATGCTGGCCATATAGGCATATCTTCCGCCGGGATGTACACCTGCCTCAAATTCGATTGTCTGACACGTTCGACGATGGCTTGAACCGCCAAGTCAAAGCCATCCCACGTGGCCGGCTCGATTCCACGGGTAGCCTCTCCGTCGGCATTAGTCGCGGGTTGCTCAGCTTCTGCCAGAATTTCCTCCAGACGATTCAGAAAAACACGAAATCGAGCCTCGTATTCTTGCAAACGCGCTGCAAGCGAAGGCATCCAATCACTCTCATTTCTGTGATGACGAGGAGGTAAAGGGACACTAGTATCAGGATTATAAGAAGAATTGCGATAAAGCTTCCCTTCCTGCTGACAAACATTTTGCTTCCAGTCGAGATATCGATCGATGAACTGCAAGGACCAGGCAAATGCGGCTTTTATATCCTCGGGGATGGCTTGATCAAACGAAGTAGCCATATCTCTGATCCTTCTTGCATCTTCTCTGCGCATTTGATACACGTTCTCAAAAATGTTGTCGGTTTCTATCCATGATTTCCATTGCCTCGACTCGTTGACCAGACAGTCGACCGCGATATTTGGCCGATGCACTACCTCGTTCGCCTTTTTTCGTGCCTCGTCTCTGCCTTTTTTACTAGACCATTCCCAATGTTTTGGGTCAACCTGGAGGAAGAATAACATCTGACGCATTCGTGCCTGGTGCCACGACTCACTCCACTCAAACATGTTGTCAATCACGACGGATTCTTCATTTTTGAAGAAGATGAAAAGTTCGTCCTGGAATTCTTCTTTCACTCTGGTCCTGATCCACTCCCGCAACTGCGCGTCAGATGCTGGAAGTTCTAGGGCCGTACGTGTCCGTACTGTGGCTGCCGTCGGTGCCGCCATAGTGAGCTTCGTATGTTATTTTGGTCGTGTATCTATCTGGTAGTCGCGGGTAATGAGTAACGTCGGCGTAGAAGTATGATAATTTGAACATGGATGGTGTCGAACCAAGCTGCGTTGCTCTTAAATATACGGCTCGTGTGAGCAAGGCTTGGTGAATTTTTGTGACTTGTTGACTACAAGGCTTTATTGAATCAATGCGGCTCAGAACAACGACTTATGATGATAATGTGTTGAGATGACAATGCCAAAGTTCCGCCCCAGTCATTTGAGTACTCAGACAATGAAACGTAGGCAACAATCTTTTAGTCTCCTACCGCTGTCATTGTGATATTGGGCAAGTATTGTGCCTGTATCCCATGTCAAATAGAGTATAGTATGGCGAAATCGATTTGGATACCCTCAAGAATTCTACAACCCATCAGGTCGGGATATTTCGAGTCGCAAGGATGTGTCGTACTTCCCACCCAAGTGTTTAACAGCTCAGCGTAGCGTTTTTAGAAGTCATTCAAACAATTACTCCCGTACCTTGAAAAAAAAAAAAAAGTAAGTAAAGAAAGTAAAGACTGCGGACAGGTCGACAAACGTACCTATCCAAGCATAGTCGAGGTAAGGTCTTAGGGTAATACATTCAAGGGTGGGAGTCAGTACAATTACGCACTATCACACAAGTCATATCACATCAACCACTTGCAAGAATAAAACACCTGGTTTTGAGGCGGCCGGATTTCTCATTACCTCAACTGACGAGGGATCAAGTCAGGGGAGCACATCCACTAGGGATGGCGTAGGAAAGACTAGCCATCTAGACTAACTCAATTCCATCATAACTGCCCGCTTTCACGATAGCGGAACCAATTCAGCGTTTCTTTGGAGTATCACAATCTTTGTTTGACACATAGGAGATGTCATGGCAGCGAAGAGGTGCGCGCCAGCCTGTGGTCCATTCGTCCTCCACGCATGCCCAAGGCGAGGGCATTCCGAAAGGGTTCTCCATATGTGGGAGATCCCTCCATCGCGCCCATCGCAACAGTAAAAAGCAAACGCATTCGAGAAAAAGACAAATTTCTTCGGTATCGGTGTAAACTTTCCCAATCTTCTAACCGATGTCTTGTTCTTCAGGAAAGAAGAACTGATTCGCAAAAGTCAAATCCGGTTCAAAGCCGGCCTTTCAAAAAATCAAACCCAGCGCAAAAAGATTCCAAGGGTACAATGACAATGTAGAGTTGCGATTCGGGTCATTAGAATAGGAGAGAGACGTAGGCAATGAAGATAGCATGTATGTTCATGCCCCTCTCTTCGCGAAATAGCTTTCATCAAATAGGTCGGCCAACCTCAGAAAGAAGTGGAAGGGTTCCCAATCTGGTGAGCAATTCTGGGAGAGACTGAGTGGGGGTGAGAAGCAGCAAGAAATCATCATAAACCTCGTGACAGAACTCCAATCCTCGCCAAGGTGAACGCCGTAAAGTCAAGGTTCCCAAAGTGACCAAGTTTCGTCAACACAAGGGCATCATATTCCTTCAGATGGTCTTGGGGGTCCGAGCATTGCTCATCTCCACCACATCGTCCAGATGATTGCACATGGCAACGAACAGGTCAAAGAAAAGTTTACCGCCCCTTTCCATCTCCGCCTGCATGGTTCCGCTCCTCTTAAATGTCTTGCGACATCGAATGATCAAGGCGAGGTAATGAGCGCGGAGTCTCGAGTCCGAGTCCGGCGTGTTGTCATAGGCATATTGCGCCGAGCGCAGAATGGTTGAGACGTCGATTCCGCTCTGGAGGCCCTGCTTGCGCAGAGACAGACGCTTGAGCTCCTCGAGCCCGTACCGTTCAGCAGTGCAATATATGACAGTATCCCTGAGAAGGTGTTGCCCCACGCTGGACATGTAGATTGTTGCCTCGACGGCCCCGCGGCCGCCTCCGTTTTCTGATGGTACCGGCGATCTTCCAGTGGCTGCCTTGGCATCCTCAAGTTCCCAAGAGTTTCGGTGCTTGTTGTGAAGCAAGCGTGGATAATAGTCGCCCTTGTAGAGGTACTCAAGCACAGCCGAGAAGACCTCGGGTTCTTCGTCGGGAATAGAAATCCTCTTACTCTGCGCATCAAGGTATTGGTCACGGCAGACGCGCTCAAAGAACGGCGACTGGCACAGGACTTCCTCATGCGCCGCAAACAGTCTTCCTTCTCGGCCCACGGTGAGAGTAACGATGGGCGAGCTGAGAGTCTTCTTCACAGGCATGCTCTCTTCAATAGACCGCTGCAATTTCGACAGCTTCTGGGGATCATTTCGAATGGTGTTGGACTTCTTCAGCCTCGACGCCTTGTCGACTCGGTCCTGGGACCGGAACGAGCGCTTGCTAAACATGGCGGCGGTAGATGAGTGAGATAGTTGAAGAAATCGAGATTATGCTGTTTCGAAATGATGATGAACAGAAAGACAAAAAGAAACGCACAAAAAAAAAACCAGACAGTCAGAAAAATTAGACCGTCACTCGTTTTTTTTTATCTGGTCCTTTCTGGTTTCGGTACAAGTTCAAGAGAGCGACGAAAAGAGTGTATAGTTGATGATTCGGAAGAGGATTCCGCTAAAGAGTGTAGGTGAGTGAGTTGACACACAAATGATTGACACGGGTCCGTGCGGTATATTCCAGAGATCGGTTCGGAGGTGAACGAGTGACACTGGAGATATCCTTGGAGGTACTTTGCGACCCTGATGGTTGTGGTGGGGGAGGGAGAACAAAAGGGAAGAAGGTCAGAATTGGAGGGGATGGAATCTGATATTTATAAGGTGACGCGCAGCCAGGGATCCAACCAGGATTGTGTCACTCTATCATTGTGCAGGCTGGGGGCGGCATGGGAGATGCCAAGACTCTTCATGATTCGCTCGTGTCGTGCTACACCGTCGCCTATCTGCTGCGTGAATTCTGGTGAATTGTCTTTGCAGAGACAGGCACCAGCGGCGGCAGCCCTAAACCAGCCGCCTGGGAGCCTTGCGATTGACGAATGTATTGATTATTTGTGTCCAAAGGTGGTGTCTTTTTTCTTCCCTTTTTTCTGTCTCGATTCACTACGCGTGGCAAACTGCCTGGAAACACTGGTCACAAGAGTTCACAAATGGATTACCCAGGGGAAGAGTCATGGTGTCGATCGATGAATTTCCGTGCATGTGCTCTGTATGGTGCGCCCATCAAAGGCGGGTTTTTTTTCACATCAATACGATCTTAATATCATCCCTCCGAAGGCACAATATTGACAGCTCACACCCCCGCCAGATGAAGTAAGACCCTGGTTGCCTGGACATCCTGAACTGTCTGTCTGGCCTGATGTGAGGCAGTGCTGGTAGACGCATGCTGAGGCCCAATGGTGGCGCTTAGTTGGATAAAGTTGTGGCCAATTGAAGGATTCAGTGCTATAGTGTCGGGCAATCAGCACCAGAAAGAGCTGGGCAAGCTGGGAGATCTTTGTTTAAATCCAATAAGCGAATTGGGCCTAAGGTACAGTCGGTACCAAAGAGGATACGTACTGGATGGGACAGGGCGTTTGCCGGTGGTTGGGCCGTTAATGAACTACCTTAGCATCGTATCCGGCTCGTGGAGAACAACAGGGATGGTGCGTGCTGTATATCTATATAGGTACTAGATAGTGTACAACAAAAATAAGGTACGTCGTCTATACTTGTATGTGATTTAAAATGCATAATAGACCGTCAACTAATGACGTACCACGTTGGAGCCTCCCAAACTTGTTGACCCACGCTACAGCTCAATTCCAAGTCACTTTTTTTTTTTTAAAGTCCTATCATGACCACGGTCCGTACCTAGGTTTGTTGGTATCGAAATGTGCACGCACAAACACATTGCGTACCATGTTATACGCAAAGGCATGTCACAAGCCAGTCCTATTTCTGTCTCAATCAACACAATGGATTGGGCATCCAACTAGGTGACTATCATCAGGCACTTGGAGCGTTTCGCTGATTGCAGCAATCGACATTTTGATGAATCGTGTTTTCAACAGCCTTGGCTCAAACTCAGTATCTACCGAAGCCCTGATCAAGCACCATTGGGACTGCCAACAAGATTGAAACCCCCAAGTACGCAATGTATACCCCAGCATAATCAATTTAAGCTTAATGGGTGTCCACAGGCCCAACACCTCGTCCTCCATGCCCCTGCTGCTTCACGAGGCACTATTATGACTCACAACGCTTGAGTAATATTAAATCGCAACACACTGGAGCATTTGACATTGTCTCGCCAGAGGTAAAAAGTAACGTCATTCATTACTGCTCCGTCTCAGTTGTGTGCGGTCATGCTTTCCCGCATGGCAATCAAGCCGTACATGTACGAGAAGACTAGAAGTACTGGTCAGCGTACAATTCGAGACATTGTTGAGTTTGGGGCTACCTACTTCCGGGCGTTGAAGTGACAAATGCCAGGCACGCAGCAACAGTAGCCTCCGGCGCGTTGCCCATCTTGGCGGGATCCAAGAAGAAGAGACCCGAGTGGCCAGTGAGGAGCCTACCGAACCCAGCCCAAGCAAGATACGCACCACTGGCGAGTACAACACCTGCGACGTGTCCAGCAACAGGCTGCCAATTCGTGCATCAGAGAATGAAGACTGCAGAAGATTCCAAGTAACTCACAGTCTGGCGCCTGATGCTATTGAAGAACAAAACCTCCGCAAGTGCAATGATGGAGGTGACCGACCAGACATTGATGATGCTGAAAGCCTTGATTGCGCCTTCTTCGAAAAGCCCCTTGTCTGCATCGCATATCAGCACAAAATCATCGCCTTGTTCAGAAACATTCGCGACACTGCTTACCCGGGTCGAAAGCCAGTGTTGTCTGATTCTGTGGGGGTTCCTGAGGTCGTGAAAAGGCCGGTGCCGCGAAGCCACCATTTCCAGTCGGTACAAGCACAGCCCAGTACATGATGGTGTTGGTAAAAGTAAAGACATGAGTAACTGTATAGAACAAGCTGAAGAAGAACCGTCTTCGGGAACTTTCGACACGGCTAGGAGGGGAGATCGACGTGATGATCTTGTTGCGGAGTCGTGGCCAACGACCCTCGGGTGTCTCATCGTGGGCCGGCTCGGGGACGAGAAGGTGCATAATCGTCCATATCTGTTCAACGGCGTCAGCCTTCATGAACCAGCGCCCCGGACTGCATAATCCCTAAGGACTCACGGTGACTTGAACATTGTATGCGAGAAGCATGGCAAATGTGACGGTGGAGAACTGGAAGGGAATGCGCCAGTTCGTATGGGTGTCCTTCATTTCCAGCTTGTACTTGATGGAGACACCGGCCACTGCATTGAGATATGCAGTGATGGCTAGACGGACAATCGTAAGGATCTTGGGGTTGACCATACGCCATGACGAATGGCAAGCTCGCAAATAGATGTTCTGTGAACGTTAGCAGAGACCAGTGAACATCATTTGCTGCATGTATTGCAGCTCGTCACATACATGACTGTCGATTTGGGAAGTCACAGGGCGAGGCATCAATGGCGTTGTCTCCGACATGCTTGCGAGCGGTACGAGTCGGACGTTCGAGATTAGCGAGGATTATAGGTTGGCTAGCACTGATTCAAAGCAATGTTTTTTTTTTAGGAGTGTAGGGTTTTGTACAACGCGTAGTTGGAACAAAATTGAGGGCTGAAGAGAAGCGTGATGGAAAAGAGCAGACAAAGGCAGAAAGGAAAGAGAGGCAGTTGGAGGGTGGTGAAAGATCAGGTGCACAGGTCGCCCGGTCAAAATGCCACTGGTAGAAAGACGTCTTCTGTAGACGAACTGGATTTAAGGCAGGAGCAGCCACGATATCACCAGCTAGCACTTCGTGAAACTCATGACGACAGGACGATTGTAGAACGTGCCTTCATTGAATGACCAGGACCGGCCTGCCTCCGTTTCCTTCCTCATCTACGACTTATCGGACCTCTTTCCGTTCTGGCATTGGGAATAAGGAGTGGCGTATGATAGCTCTGTATTCAATGTGCGTTCACCTAGATGTCGGATACCAGATGACGAAGTCGGAATCAGGCCGCCCCAGTACTGTTGGTACTGTCCCAGTCGAGCACCAGCATGAAGATTCGTCATTATCATGATCATCACGAAAGGCCAACCACCTGTGTCACCGGTTTTCTGGTCGCCCGTTGCTGATCCATGGAATTGAACGTCGGGGGATATCGATTATCATGATCTCTTCTCAATTTTTACAAGCCGCGGCGCCCTCGACTAGCTATGGCTTTCTATTATTCCCGTTGTAATACAACTAGCAATCCCATTATACCCAGCATAACCGTCTTCAACCACGGGTGTTCACTGAGCATGATCGTCACGTAGCCCACAAACGGAATGTAAGCAAATACGCTGCCAATGATGTCTTTTCGCTCCAGGTAATCTTGTCCCAAGGCGTACAGTTCGGTGTCGTCGGCTGCGTTGTTGTCGCCTTTGGTGAGAAGCTTCGCGTGCTCGCCTGTCCCAAACTTGCGAACGATTCGGTGGACAATCGGAATATCCTTGTCCTTGACATTGTATACAACAACTTCGCCTACGTCTGTCTCGGCAACAAGGTTCCGATTCCAGAGGAACAGCAGATCGCCTCGCTGGAAAGCTGGCTCCATAGACCCCGAAAGAACGACGACTATGGGACTGGGAGAGTCGGAGACGATAGAGAGACCTTTCCACATCTGTGAAAGACATGAGTCATTCATGTCAGCAAGTTACCACCGAGCAAGTATTTTTTTTTTTCTCTCTTTTCGCTCAGAAAGCGCGTCCGCGACCGACATACCATGAACGCTGTCGAGAGAATGAGGCCAAAGTTGAGCAGCTGGGCGGCCATCTGCCGGGGGTTTTGGAGACCTGACACCATTTTCGCTGGTGAATCGGTTGGCTGATTGGTTATTTGGTCGTTCGTGACAGAGAAGGGAAGGATGTTTCTCCGTTTTCAGGGAGTCCAAGAAGAGATGTTTGCGCAGGGAACGCTGGTGGACAGCCCAGAATTTGGACAAAAACACTGGTCGACCGCGACAAGCTGACAGCTGTTTCTTGGAGGTGAGGTTAGGTGTCCTCAAAGCTCCGGGGTTCAATGCTTGACAATTTAGCTTGTACGGAGCTTTAGTTTAATGTAGCGGCCAGGGGTTACCTAATGTATTGGTCGGTATTAAGGTAGTGCAGATGCACACTGCAGCCATCAAGGTGGGGCCAAGGTGCTTATGGGCACCAACTTCTGGTAGCAACCATTGATATAAGTCGAGGGGTAACATGCAACGGCCATTTCAACATCTGTGTCTTAGCAGAAAATATTGCTACAACTAAAGTCTCCTTAGGTTGAAAAGGGGTGATAAATCATAATGCCACGAATGAACTCAATAAGAGCCTCACCGAGATTCTGTAGCTAACAATTAATCTACCAAGGAAGCCCGGCTCTGCCTGTACAGAGTACTTATGACATTCTGCATAGTGAAGGCAGAATTCGTGAATATCAGACTCATAGTAAGCCATCAACTGTCCGATAGGACTCGAGTCCAGTCAAACTTGTTCCAGCGCTTCTTGAAGGTATCTGCCCTGATATCATCCTTGCGCCAACGACCCTGTTTCTTAATCACGTCTGGCATGACATCCAGCATCCCGCCCAGGATCTCGCGTGCAAAGAGATCACCTTTGGGCCAGCGATTTGCATCTTCCACCACGTGGCCTAGGCCACCATCCAGCGTAAACCACGCATGGAAGTACGGCATTTCCTTGGCAATGGATCGTCGGAATGCTAATTTGCCCAATCCATTTCTTGCCTTGGCTCCTGTGTCAATGATTTTTTTGTGTTGGGACCATTCCTCATCAGCCGAAAGCATGGCCTCCCTGAAAAATGCTGGCGCCGTATCACCCTGTTCGTACGGGATAGGGACAGCTTGCATGGCGGCGTGCATATGTCGATGAGGTGCAGCAGCATTCTCGTAGAAAACAACCTCACGGCCTTGGTCATGGTACATGCGCGTCAGGCATTTCATGAAGTTGCGAATCTCCTCCCACTCATCATCATCGCACTCTAGCAGATTGGTGCGATGTTGGATGGGAACGATCACTGCGCCTCCCTCAGCTAGTTCTGGCTCTGTGGGCAACGTGAGATAGACACGGGTCGCCAGAGAGATCATGGGCGCAACCGGTGGCTGGTTTCTGTCTTCGTGATGGCACAACTGGCATCTGTCAAGGATGCTATTGATCTTCTGGTACTCATTAACCGCGGTATTTCGGAGGTTGATCTCTGATTTTTGGATGCGCTTGGCGAGTTTTTCGGCATTCTCGTCCATATAGTCGAGGTCGTTATCGAATTTACCATCTTTGGCGATACGCTCAGCAAGCCGAAGACCCTCGCCTCCACGTTGATTGCGAGTTCGGCGCTCTTCTCGTACCATATCCTCAATGGTCATCTCGTCGTTCTCTTGCATGTGGCCCCTTTCGCGGCCTCGCTTGGTCTCTACTGCCTTGGCCTCGTTTCTCGTGCCAGCCAACATGCGATTGTCCATGACGCCAAGGACAACATCACCGGAACCGTGGGCGGCAAAGGCGGCGGCAGCCTCATTGTACTCCGTCTCGAGCCTGGCGGCGTCTGGTGCTTTCCTCAATTTCGCCTTCATCATCTGTGCGCGCAACTTGTTGAGTCCGGTCTGGTCGACCGTCGTGGTAGCTGGTCTGGTGGCATCATCGGGAACGACGGTACCTTGCTCAAGATTTCCCTGCTCCATTCGTGATAGTTGTCTGGATTCGTGAACACCCGCATCCAGCTTTCGTTCTTGAAATAACTCCCCACTAGGTTTTCCCTTACCCACGTAACCTTCGCCGTATGTTTTGCGACGGTCTAGCTCTATTTTTTCTTCTCGAGCGTCGTCAAAATCTCGTAGACTACCAAATCTCTCCACTGCCACTTCATCCACAGACCGGCCAGATTTCTCTGCCGTATTATACACGGCCTTGAGTTTTGTCATTCGCCATTGACTGCCATCATCTCCGAATGTATAGCTCACGTTGTGCTGTGCAGGTCGGTCTAGCTCGTCCAAATGTTTTCCTTCATTGAGGTGCTGCAACTCGGTCGCATTGATCTCTCTAGAGTGGACGGCACGCACAGGTTCTCTCGATGGCGGAGGGGTCTTTTCCCGCTTCGCTCCTCGCTGCGTGTAGTCAACACCAAGCGCCGATGGGTCTGTCATCCAATCATCACGAGCTAGTTTCTCAGGATTTGCGCTGGCGACGGAGATCTCCTCGTCGGGCAGAGGAAGGTCCGCTTTTGGATCAGACCCCTTTACGTAGTCCCACTGTCGAGGCGATCGTACGCCATCCTCCCGGTGGCGACGCTTGTCGTCTCGGTTAGGACGGTGTTGCCTATCATCTTCCCTTGCGTCTTCACCATCGTCCCTAGAATGCCTTGATCGCTTGTGGCGATGATGGTCCTCATTCCGCCCCTGATCTCGTTCCCTGGAGCGGTGATGTCGGTGCCGATGTCGGTCGTGGTGGTTAGAATGGTCATGTTCGCGGTCGTGGGATCTCTCCCTGCGATGGCGATGCTTGCGACTCGCGCGTTCTTCAGCTCGCTCTCGTTCTGCCTTTTCTGTCGCCAGTGACTTTTCAAACTCGTCGAGACCGTCCATATTGGAATTGATGATTCGCTGGATGTCGGGCACGCAGCCTACTATGTCAGCGATAGATGAAGTGCAAGTTGGATATTGTTATCAGAGATTAAAGCTCCAACTTGGGTAGGCAATGAAGGAAAACATTGCAGCTATGACGGAATTTGAGATGCGACTTTCGCGCACTAATATCGGCACCTACCTGCTGGCTGGGGACAAGCTCCAAGGGACATGGTGTAGCGTCTTAACTCCCTGTCGTACGTAGGTCGCTGATAGCGCTAACAAAATGATACCCGCCCGTAAAACTGAATGTGTCTACATTACAGAGTACAGAGTAAAATAATGCTTTATTGTACCAGCGTGTAAGGTGCGCATATTGATGCTACAGAATTTTCAACCCCCGACTACATCGTGTACTATTCAGACACAACATCTTCTCAGACTACATTACTTTTCTCAACGTTTTCATTCGCGCATCTGAGAATCATCGGCTGCCATCCAGCTATAAAATCTGAAACTTCTACTATTCCATCTTGCATTTTATAGTCATATCTCTCGAGCCAGCTGCAACTTTGGACATGTTTTGGAACGCAATTGGATAAAAGAAATAAAAATAAAAAAGAACAAATCGTGGCCGACCCAGGTATTCGAACCTCGAACCTCGACCACCTCTTTCTCAGCAGGCAGGCGGGGGACTTCAGACACCCAGCTAGCCAGCTAACTTTTGCTGCCGCCTTCACTGTCAGCGTGTAAAAATCCGTTTGGCAACAACCCAAATTCAACAAAGTTCCCCCACCCTGCCCACTGGACCATCAAACCTGCAAATCGATTCTCCTCCCTCCGGACTCGCCCTTCCCCACCATCACATTTCCCATCCATTTTTGCAACTCACCCAACACCACCGACCGACCATCATAGCCAGCCAATACCAACCGCTCGCACGCCTTACTTTCTATGGTATCTCAGGTGCCATACCATCACTTATACGCGCGCTGGTGCATTGAAACCATTTTTGCGAACCCATTCAGAGCAGACGCCTTGCGAACGTTGTGGACAATTGTCAAAGTACCGCCGTTGCTTAACGGTGGCTCTTCTTTTTTTTCTCTTGCTCCATATCGCTCGTGTCGCATCAGACGATCATTGACTGCACTGTGCCCACCCACAAATCTGGCTGCCGGCGACAGGCATCATCTGTCCTACCGTAGGCAGCCATGTCATCCTTTTTCAAACCCAACAAGACTCGCAAGGCTGGCTTTTCCATCAAACCAAAGGGAGCCGCAAGCAATCGTCTGCGAGATGCTGTTCAGCGTCTCGACCGGCAGATGAGCGTGACTGGCTCCCCAGCACCTGAGGGCCCCACTGTGTCTGCCACAGCTTCCAACGTCGTGCCTCCCAGTCGCCGCACATGTCCCAATCCACAGTGTGCAAATCCTTCTGCCCCCGTGGATGAGGGTTACTGTACTGGTTGTGGTCGCCAAGTCGAGACTTTGGAGATTGTCAACGAAATCCAGTTTGGCGAAAATGCTGCTGGAGCCGCCGTCCTTCAGGGAAGTTACATGGGCGCAGATCAAGCTGCTGCTCGTCTAGGAGGACCAGGCATGCGTCGCATAGGAGGTGTGATTGGCGACTCCCGTGAACGAGTCATTCGAGAGGCAAGGAACATGATGGCGCAATATGCAAATCAGCTGAAATTGTCCGACACTGTCATCAACGAAGGCATTCAGATTTTCAAACTGGCGCTCAGTATGAACTGGATACAAGGTCGCGGCATGATCAAGGTTGTCCCTGTTTGTCTCTATGCCGCCTGTCGAAGACAAGATAGATGTCGCGTTATGCTCATCGATTTCGCCGATTTAGTCAAGGTCAATGTTTACGAGCTCGGCCATGTTTTCAAAGGTCTCAACGATATTTATGACTTTAGCCACAACAAGATCAAGGCCATCATTCCCGAGGATCTCATGTATCGATTTTGCGATAAGCTCGACTTTGGCGACATGACGAGAGATGTTGCCGAGCTTGCAGCACGTTTCTGTCAACGTATGGGCCTCGATTGGATGGTCATGGGACGGCGCCCATCAGGCATCTGTGGTGCTTGCATCTTCTTGGCTGCTCAGGTGTGGGGCTTCCGTCGAACGGTCCGGGAGATTGTCTATGTTGTCAAGGTTACCATGCATACCATTGAGCAGCGACTAGACGAGTTCAAAGTTGTGGAAAGTAGCGACTTGACCATCGAGGACTTTCTCAAACAAGAGCTTTTGGAGTCGCGGCACGACCCGCCCTCATTCTACCGTACACAAGCTGAGTACATTCAGAAGATGGAGCAGCGCCAGAAAGAGAGCGGACGGAATAAGAGGAAGCGAGCCACTGATGATATCGACGAGGATGTCGAAGATGAAGCCCATAGTGGCAGTCTCCCAAGCAACTTGCCACCTCCGCGTCGGTCTGAACAGTCTATGCCACCACCCCCGCTTCCGCCCCCAGACACATCCAAGTTGCCTCAGGTTACACAATTCCTGGAGAGGTCCAAGGATCCGGAGACAGGGCAAATGATTCTTGAGGCTTTTGATCCTAATAACATACCTGCTCCAGCACCTCGAGTCGCTGCCGCCGAGAAAGATGTTGCAGAGGGGGTTGATGCCGAGGACCCGACAGGCGAGGAGGCCATCGATCATTTGGCTGAAACTTATACCGATGACACCAATGAGACCGCCCAAGCAAAGCGTCGCAGAGGCAAGCGGGCACCCGTGGAACCTCTTTTGACCTTTAACGAGGAATGGGAGAACGCGGAAGAAATGCTTGTACAGCAGATCGACGAGGTCATCAGCGATCCTAGCAGTGATACTCATAGAAAAGCTTTGGCTACTGCTGCTTACCATGCTCGTGTCAAAGCCGCTTGGGCGCGCTCGCAATTGCCCGTGCAAGAGACCAAGATGGATGAGGTCATTGACCCTTCAGAGTTTGCCGACGACCCCGAAGTCCAGAACTGCATGCTCGGCCCTGAAGAGATCCAGCTCAAAGAACAGATTTGGCTAAACACGAACAAGGATTGGCTCCGAAAGCAACAGAATAAGCTGTTTGAAAAAGAAATGGAGGCTTTGGGGCCCAAGAAGAAGAAGCGCAACCGTCTCAAGAAACCGCGCATTGGCGAAGGTCAGCTTACCCCAGCCAGTACTCCGGGTGAAGCCGCCGTCGCGACTATGAAGAAGTTTACTATGAGTTCACGAATCAATCTCGACGCGATTAAGAACCTCTTCTCCGAAACTGGCAAGGGTGGACCGGGCAGTGTTGCACAAAGCAGCCGCGCTGAGAGCGAGGATGGGAGTGAAGTTGGTGATGCACATGAAAGGCTTCAAGCAAAGACCAAGCAACACACAGCCACTTCTAGCAAAGATGCCAACGCTGATGCAAACGAGGAAGAAGAGGACGAAGAGGAGGAAGATCAGGAGCCTTACGAGGACGATCAAGGCTACGGAGAAGATTACCAGGAATATGACGAAGGAGAGGAGGAATGGTATTAAAACTTTCCGGCGCTTGGCCTCGGAGCGGATTCTTTCGGCTATATTAGATACCCAAGGAGACAGCATAGACTGAATATTCATACACAAGACAAGTATAACATCCATACACTTTTGAGACTGTATCCCGTGAACAGCCATGCCAACACAGTCTCGGGTTGATGCCCCAAGAGCATACGATGAGCCAATTTGCCATTGGCCCCACAGCATGAAGTCTTTGCATGAATACCTAGGAATGCAATATCATATCGCCACTCAGTGTTAACGTAGGTTTACACACTAGCGACCAGCGAGTTGTACGAGGACGAATAAGTAGATCAAAAAGCAGAAGTTCTTTCCCCCTCCCTAAACCTGAGCTTCAGAGGGTAATCGGTTTCGACTTGTTTTCGACTTTGTCAACGCTTCCCGACCCGGTAAATATCCTTGAAAGTTCTTATTCTGCATTACTTCACGATCTGATACAAGTTAGCAACGGGATATGTCTTATCTGTAATCATCTAAAGGTCGCTTCACTGATGATGCAACCAATAGCGCAAAGCAGAAGTTTTTCCATATATTCAAGGTTGAGGGGCACTTAGACGAGAGCGTCGTTGCGGCTGTATTTGGCAAGCTCAAGCCTATTATCCCCGAGGTCCTCAGCGGAAATTGGAAGTGTGGCAGGCTTCGATACCGGCCACCCGGTCCACCAGCAGCTGGGCGGCATGCCGTGGGCAGGTAAGGACTTCCGCGGCGTCGACGGTGTTGATCCAGTCATGGTCATCAAAGACGGAGCCCGGGCCTGGGCCAGCGAAGTTGGTCACGCAAGAGGGTATTTTTGCTTTGCTGTTGCCCGCACATATGTAATCTAATAAAGAACCATGAAAGAGCTAACGCGCCATCATTGTCCACAGTTGTGTGAGGTCAAGTCTCGCCTGCCATGGTTTTACGACAATCTACCCAGTATCGACCAATTCCGCCACGTTGACCAGAACTCGGCAATTGAATTCATGGACAACAAAACCTTGAAAGATGCCAGCACCTACTACTTTTACCTCACCAGAATGTAATGCTTGCGAAGTAATTGTACGAATTTCGATTTGGTGGTTATGCTGGGGCGAAAACACCATAAGTCCAGCTGCTAAGTGTGTCTGCTATTCGAGTCATCTGGAGCATTTTCAAGTACTCCATAGTAGCTAAGAACTCAATTTTAGAGGTGCGCATTTTCTGCTTGTAGTAACTACAATGCAAGTGGTATATCTCAACAAATCCTTGTAACGCTACAGTTAAGTGGATGATCCGACGACGAGACTATTTGCATGGACTATTTTAGTCTCATGGAAATCCGGGGTAAAGGCTACCGAGCCGAGGCACCATTCAGGCACCGCCAATCCCCATCTCATCTCCCGAGACAGATGCCGGGCTGGAGCGAACAGCTTTGCGGAATCCGGGGAACATGCACGAGGACGTCTAATTCAGGGGCAGGGGCCAACTTCCAAGGTTAGTGGCTGTTGGGACATATGAGCAATACTACTATGTACGTCACTGATGAGATATCCACTTCTCAGCACCGGGAGAACGTTCAAGTGGAAGTGTGGGGTTCTGCTCTTCAACTTAGACTTTTCCGCCTCCATACTATGAGTCCTGGTCGGTGATATTGGCCAATTCGGAAAAGCCGTAATACAGGCCGAAATGAGATGCTCCAGAGGAGACATTGGCAGTGGTGCCCACTTGCCGATCTTCCCTAGTGACGAGTAGTATATCATCGACTCCAACTTCTCGTCTTCTTGTTCCCTCAACTAACATGTCGAGAAATTTGTATATGATCATCTTGACATGAGGACCATGTGGTTAAATAGCTGGGCGCTCCCCATTGGCTTGCTGCACGTAGTCACTGCGACTGCTGCAAGCGTGCCAAAAGTCCAGAGGTAGGTTTGGGGCAAGTGTGAGGAATTATCAAGACAAACACTGACAAAGTCCTAAATAGAGACTCGAATACGAATGTGTTTGTGCCTCGTGGTGTGAGCGTGGGAACGGATCTAGTTGTGGATACGGACAATATCACGGCTTTCACCTTGGACGCGAAACATCCCCTAGCAACGTTGGACTATGGAACTGAGCGAGCGGGGTATCCTTTCTTTACGGTTCTAGAAGTTGCAGAACCCGTGCAGATCGAGGTCAAGTACAGCGAGTCCTTTGTTGGTCTGGCGCACCCTTGGGCGGATGGGCCGTATGCGTTCTCGACAGGACTCTCCAACTCCTTTCGCGTCGAGACATTCAACATCACCGCGTCCGGTCGTTTCTCTGCGCCCCTCATTCAAGGCGGGCAGCGCTGGCAATCTATCCGGCTGCTCTCTGAAGGCACCATTTCGTTTTCCGAAGTTGGCCTGGAGGCCACTATAGATACAACAGAGGTTGCCGATTTCCCTGGCCAATTCGACTGCGATGATGAAGAGCTGAATGAGATCTGGACCCTGGGTGCAAAAGCAGCTTCTACCGCCTGCGTTGAAAAAGGCACACAAAAGGCAACCTGGGAGATTGACCTTGAAAATGGAGCATACATCAGATCGCAAAGGGCTTCTCAAGCACTCTCGGGGGCTTTCTTTTCCAACTATACATTGGTCTTTGAAACCATGATTGAACGAAGCGGTGTCTGGTGGTCCGTTGTACGTATAATGCGGTACATATCTCGTGATTGAACAGATTTTTGACCGTGATACTAGGCATTCCCCTTTGGCCGGGGAGAAGGCCTCCAACTACAGCTCGTCAGCGAGCTCCCCGAAGGCTCGTCTTTTCTCAACACGAACACGACCCAGACGCCTCCAAACTCCATCTTGCTGTCGTGGGGTTACGACTTTGTCAACCAAACAACTTTGACATCTTACTATCTAGACACATTTACTGTACCATTCGCAGTCAAAGAGGGCCTATGGCACTCAGTTTCCACGGCACTCACACCAGAGGGTCGTATGGTCGTGACTCTCGACAGTCAACTCGTCTTTAACATTTCCATATCTGACTATTATACCCCTTCGACCGTATCTTTTGATGGCAGTTTCGGTTTTGGTGCGTGGCAAGATCAAGCGGCATATGTACGCAACGTTGAGGTCACGGACTCAGTCAATGGAAGTACACTCTACACGAATCCAATGACAACATCGGATGTACTTGCCGAACACGGAGTGCAAGCCAATCTCGAATCGGTCTGCCTTGATGGACCAAAGCGGGACCGACTTGTCTGGCTTGGCGACTTCTACCACACCGCGAGGATCATTGGTGCCAGTACATCTCGTTATGATCTAGCAAAGGGCACCTTGGACTTCTTGCTCAAGACCCAGATCGCTGATGGCGAGGTCAACATCGCACCTCCCATGGGCTATGATCCGACCGTGACTGCGCCCGCTGCACCAGGCGGAATTTTTGGCCTCTCTGACTATCAGATGCTGGGACTTGACTCGTTATACAGTTACATCCGTCAAACAAATGACCTCGAGTTCCTGCAAAGCACATGGAGCGGTTGGCAGTTGCAAGCACAGTGGTTGATCAATCAAGTAAATGCCACCGACGGGCTGATTTACGTTCCCAGTGCTTTCTTGGGTGCTTCTAGTGCAGGTTCCGCCGTGTCCTGCTTGGCCGTACAAGCTCTGCGTGAATTGGCAGAGTTGGCCGGAACTATAGGCGATGAGGAAGTTCAATCCAATTGTACAGCAACCGCTGATGCTCTATCCGAAGCCATCAATAGCCAACTGTGGAATGACGATATCGGTGTCTATAGTCTATCGACAAGTCAGCCGATAGATTTCTCAGTCGCCGGAATTGCCTTTTGCATCACTTCCGGAGTTGCAAACTCTGAACGTACATCTCGTTCCGTCGAGGCTCTTGAGCAACTCGCTCTTACACCGGGCTACAAGGATTCGACCACGGCGAACTCGTCGGATCCAACCGTGGTCATCTCGCCCAATACAAACGGCTTTCTCCTGGATGCGCTCTACAAGGCTGGCGCCTGGGACACTGGCGCCTCCTTGATGAGGTCTCTTTGGGGCGCCATGATCAGCAACCCAGAGACGTCATCCGGCGCCAGCTGGGAGTACGTCGATCAGAGCGGAAACCCGGGACTGAGTCTTTTCACGAGTCTCGCTCATCCGTGGGGTGGCGCAGCGACGTATGTCCTCACGGAATGGGCGGCCGGCTTACAGCCAGCTGCCGGCATCCAGGGCTTCGGCTACACACATTGGGTTGTCTCTCCCGATGCAGGCTTGGCCATGGGTTTGAAGCATGCAAAGGCTAGTGTAAAGACACCATCAGGTGTGCTTTCCGTTGAGTGGGAAGTGTCCTCGGGCGGTGGTTTTAACGTCCAGATAGGTGCGCCGCCAGCCACGATTGGTGTCTTCAGACTGGGAAATGAAACAAAACATCTTTGTGGCAACATTAATTACCAAATCAGCAGTCATGTATCATGATTGATACATCATTTAGGTCAAAATTCACGTTTTGAAGATAAAGTTCATCATATGGATGCAAAGCCCTTCCGCAGCTTTCTCTAGAATTGACTATTGTTTATCTTGGCTCAAATGCAGATCAGGTGTGTTCCGGGAAGATGTTCATCATCTTCTAATTCAGTATTTGAACGCATATTTATCGATCATACCGGTGCCCACCATGCTGAAAGACATGTTGTGATACCTTTTCGTGGCACCTCTGAGTTGTCAAGCGGATACGTATATTTTACAGCTTTTTCGTAGTACCAACGCTCCATTCCTGTTTCAGGGCTAGCAGAGGTTGAACAAGCTCTCATAATTAGTGAAAACTTGCAGATATCACGTCTCTAAACATATGAATGTGGTATTTGCAATATGTTGCTCGCTAACAATTGCGTCCGTAGATTTTGTGGTCTCTTGAACGTGTTTGGCGCATACAATCATATTCACTTCGATCTTTTTATACTCGTCACGCATATGAATATTACGTATCCCGTCTCCTGGCAAAAGCTGAGGTTCACGCAGTATGTCGATATGAGTATAGGTGACAATGCTGGAAAGAAGCTAGAAGAATAAAGACAATATCACTCGGGATGTGTCTACACAACAGACTGTTCTCAGCTACCTAGTGTTTGCGGCTGGACTACACTAGCTACCAAATAGGAAGGTCGAAGACGCTGCCAAAAGTGGCTTGACAATCTGTTGCTGCGCAGGGCTTTTTATATGGCCCTTCGCAGGCGTACATGACTACAGTCAACCAACTCAAGATAATCTCGGAGTAATAGTCTGCTTGTCTCTTATTGGGATGAATAAGTGGAGAAAAGGAGTACACTATAAAAACCACCATGAGGAAAATCTTTAGCATTAGTACCATTATCAAAGCGCTTGACCTTTGAGTTTGGTCGAGCAGCTTAGTGGCCTTCAGTCTGTACAATGGGATTGGGACAAGTGGGAGTCGCGGTGGGGAGTAAACCAATCAGTAAGTGTGAGCAATTACTCCATACAAGGTAACCTCGTGTTACATGCAGATATGGCCTGGAGAATGCAACATCCAAATTTCTGGGTTTCCAAGAGTTCAGCCTGCTGTACTTCATACATTGATACCAGATAGCTTTTCAGCTTATCTGTATTTCGGCCGTCTCTCGGTCTCGTCAGTAACTCATCAGATATTTGCACACAAGAGAGGTACGCGTTCGCCCCATCCGCCAAGCCACATGTTTGCTGAAGGAGCGTTGCCAAGAAATCTCGACCGAGAATCGAGTTCGTCGTGTCGCTATGGTGGAAGAAGATAAGGACGAAGCGCAATTGCACCATCAATTAGTGGTCGATTTGATGAATCAATACACAAAATTCTTGCCAGCTACGTTTGATGCTTGAAAAGTCCAAAACGCTCCGGCAACCGGCCGCAAAAGGCGGCTGCCGAGAATAATCGCTATGATCATTTTACCATGCATGGGCGCAATAAACAGCACAGAAGCAGCATACGTACGAAGTATATGCAACAAGTTCGGGCGGTTTAGTTTTAGTCTCATGCGAGTCTCTTGAAATTGACAACTCAAGAACTCTGGCGTCTGCTTTGATCACCAATGTGAGCATTTATTTATTATTTGCTTCTTCATCACCGAAATGCCCTCTGTCGGTGACGCCGGCCGGCCGACAAGCGAACGAAACTCTCGTTCACCCTTGGGTGATCCCAGAGCATCCCCACTTTGGCCCTTGGGTTCTGGCTTGGCGGTCTTGGACATGACCAGGGCTCGGTCCTTATGCCTGACCTGGGATGATTCGACAGGAGGATTTGTGGCAAGAAACTTCAATTGGCCAATTGTCAAAGACGCACATATCATCTCAGACTCGTCCCGTGTCGCCCGTATAGGATCTCGGCGGTACATCTGGTACATTTAAACCCAATGGCCTCCTCTAGATTAATACTCCCCGTCGCCCCGGTCCTTCTAGACGTCTTCTAGTGGCACACAGCACCGAGGCAACGCCGGCGAGCGTCCTGTGTACGCAGTGCACTCCCGAAAGTTCGACTGGTCTTTCCCAGAAGTTTTACCTTTGAGCCACAAGAAGAGGGCTCGCGGAGTGCAGATCTTCTCCCTTCTGCCGTTCATTTTCTAGTATAAGCGTATCAGTCTTGTTTTCCTTCAAAGTTTGCAAGAAATCAGCTTTTACGCTAACCAACAATCACATGCTTTTCAATCCAATAAGAGCCTAGCAGATAACCTTGCTATAATATTTGAGTCTATTGCCATAGCTCATGTCAAACAAACAGGATACGGCTTCCATGTTTGCCCAAAGTATTGCAATCCTACCGGTGTTATGGGCAATAGACAAGCGTCGTTATTCCTAGGACGAGCGTTGGCTGCGTATTGCACCGATAGTGGCTTGCACCGGACTACCAGGATCGAAGACCGTGTTATCTGAACCAACCAACTATTCCGACGGTTGCCGCTGGCCAGTAGCTAACCTCCATTTCCCTACCGTGTACCAAATTGCAGGCATCTTAATAACTCTAATGTATGGGGTGCCTAAGTGAAGGTAGCTACTGTAGTGGACGAACTGCCGCATAGCGCTAGCATCTACAACTTTGTACCCATGATTTCAACTCTATCTTTGTTAATAGAGACTCACGTGGCTGACTGCTTGATTGCCTCCCTACCTCCATATCTGCTATGCAGACTGGTAGGTAGGCATACAGGTCGGACAGGGAACCATTCATGAGTCCCCCGGGACAGATTATCGGGAACAGGGTTACAATACGATGGAGTGACGGGCAAATTTTGACATGCATGCATAATTGCTTATATCTGTGATTTGAGCAGCATTCATTGTCCGACTTGCTGCTTGTCTGACGAGGGGCAGAACAATCGTTTGTTCACCCATACACAGCATCTCATCAGTCAAGGCCCAGCACTGATGTGCCGCCGTTCGCCGAAACGTAAAATGTGCCTGGGCAAAAGGACTGCAGTGCGAGTTACACTACACATGCACTGAGCTTCTGACGGGCTGGAATGGCCATGCAACCTGGTCCTTCTAAGGGGTCCAATGACACTTCATTTCGGCTCACTTACCCAGCATTCGCCCAGATACTGGCCGCATCGCTTACAAGATCCCAACTCGAATTCGTTCCAATGATATGCCCCGGACTCCTCACTTCTTAACGGTCCCCAGCTTAGTCTACCCCTGCCCGCAGCGGTCGGACATACTCCCCGCTTCGGACGGCCAAGGCGCCATAGATAGGCGTCCTTCCAGAACGGGCAAACCTCCAGGGCCCTAGACTCTAGGGTATCGCATCTCTCGCCTAGACCACGCGATCATCGCCGGTCTGCGTCTCGGGAGGCGATTGTGCGCATCTGGAGGAGCTGCTCGGCGGGAAGAATATATATCGACTGATGCATGCCCTGCCCAGCCTTACAAGTTACCAGTTCTTCGGGTCAGCTCTCCTTCTTTCTCCCGCTGCAACGCTGCTTGTACACAGTAGTGTAAGTGAGCGCCTGTCTCCATCGTAGGCTCTTGGGTTGTTTCCCTTTGGTGACATACTCCTTATACCTTGTACCAGAAGGAGTACAGAGAAAAGAACAGTCCAGGAAGACCATTTTTCTTTCATTTCAACATGGTTTCTAGCAAGTCCAGCAAGGAAGACTTGGGCCATGAGGCTCAGGCTACTCACAATGCCTCACCTCAGGTTGGGGTTGCGCCGAACCCTGATCCGGCGCTCGACTTTACACATGAGCATCAACACGCCCATATTCACCACCACGGCGCAGCTGCTCGTGACAAGGAGAAGCACGATGATGTCTTCTACACTACTGGCACAACCGACAAAGGCCGCGACCTACTAGATGCTCCTTCTCAGGACTACGAGACCCACAAGCTCAAGGAAACACCCGTTGCCGAGAAGTCTTTGGACGAGGAGAGCGGCAACTATGGAATCACTCGCGATGAGGAAGAGGCGAAGCACAACAGCAAGTGGCGGCGCTATTGGAGAATTATTCGCCCCTTTGTGCCTCTTGGTATCTGGGTCATCATGACTGGGTAAGTAAAAATGTCTTATGGTATGGCAGGGAAAAACTTCAGAGCTAACCGTCTTCTCCGCGAATAAAGTTGGTGGGTCGTGAGTGTAGTCAGTGTCACCGTCTTTGGCATGCCCAATGGCCTTGGGTGGTTGATTCCATTCCTGCTCTGGCTTGCCATATCGCTCCGCGTGCTCACCCTCTGGGTGCCGATTGCATTCTTCTGGAGACCCGTCCGCTTCATCTATGATCGCACTGCTTACAAGGTCTATGAACTTACTCCGAAGAAATGGCACCAACCCCTTGCTGCCGCCATCACGGTCGTCGTCTTTTTGATTGGCAGTTTCGTCCCGGAAGAGACTGGCGAAAACACGCGTGCCAACCGAGCGATTTCCATCTTTGGACTTATCGTCATGCTCGTCGTCCTTTACTTGACATCGATGAACCGGGCCAAGATTCCGTGGCACACCGTCATTGGTGGTATGCTATCGCAGTTTATCATCGCCATTTTCGTCTTGCGTACGCAAGTAGGCTACGACATTTTCTCCTTCATCTCGTTCCTCGCCCGGACGCTGCTCGGTTTCGCCAACGAAGGTGTCACTTTCCTGTTCGACGACACCATTCCCGACATGCCTTGGTTCTTCACCAGCGTTATCCCCCCCATCATCTTCTTCGTCTCCCTCGTCTCGCTGTTGTACCACTCGGGCGTTTTGCAGTGGTTCGTTGTCAAGTTTGCCTACTTCTTCTACTGGTCCCTGCGCGTTTCGGGTGCCGAGGCTGTCGTGGCTGCCGCGACCCCCTTTATTGGACAGGGCGAGTCGGCCATGTTGATTCGACCATTCGTGCCTCACTTGACCAAGGCCGAGATTCACCAGGTCTTGACTTGTGGTTTTGCTACCATTGCTGGCTCCGTCTTGATTTCCTACATCAACATGGGTCTCAATGCCCAAGTTCTAGTCTCGTCTTGTATCATGTCCATCCCGGCCTCTCTGGCCATTTCCAAAATGAGGTACCCCGAGACCGAGGAAACCCTGACTTCCGGCCGCGTCGTTGTTCCTGATGACGACGAGCACAAGGCCGCCAACGCTTTGCACGCCTTTGCCAACGGCGCCTGGTTGGGTCTCAAGATTGCCGGTATGATCTCAACCACCCTGCTGTGTATCATTGCCTTTGTTGGTCTCATCAATGGTGTGCTTGGCTGGTGGGGCAAATACCTGCAGATTCTGGATCCTCCGTTGACGCTTCAGCTCATTCTCGGATATCTTCTCTATCCGGTTGCATGGCTGCTTGGTGTTCCTAATCAGGATCTTCGTACTGTTGGTGAGATCATTGGTATCAAGATCATCACCAACGAGTTCGTTGCTTTTGCTACTCTGACCGCTGAAACCACTACTCTTACTACTCGTGGTCGTGTCATTGCCACATATGCTTGCTGCGTAAGTTGAAATCCCAATATAAAGACCACAACCAGATCAACGCTAATGCCCCACAGGGATTTGGAAACATTGGATCTCTTGGCAACCAGATTGGTGTTCTTTCCCAGATTGCACCCGGCAGAGTTGGTGATGTATCTCGGGTCGCTGTGAGCGCTTTGTTCTCTGGCATTGTTGCGACACTGTCTTCGGCTTCCATTGCTGGTATGCTGTACACTGATGCCATTGCGCAAAACGTTTAGTATAGCCACATGTGGTCTCGATTCATAAAAGGCTGCCAAGATAATCATATATCCGTTGTTCCGCGGATCATAGTAAATTAATATAAATGTAGACGCAAATTCTTGTGCTGGGCTGTCGGGCTTTCGCTTCAAATTATCACCTTCCCCTGAAAGTAATACTGAAATGTAGTCCAAACATATGCCAATCGATCAAAAGTACATCAGGAAAAAGAATGGCATTTATACCCAGTAGTCATGCATGTCTAGTTGAATTCCTGTGCAAGTCCTTCACGTCGACTCAAACTTGATGGATCAAAGTATGGTCTCTCTCCAATACTGACTGCCCTCGAGCCAGTTCTCTCCCCAAGTCCTTCCTCGTGTACATAATCGGGCGTGGCCGCGTGATATACGCTGCGGTTGTCCCAGATGGCGAGATCGTTGACGTTCTGCCAGCGGTTGCGAACCTGCAGGTCGTGATTCTCGACGATCAGCTGAACAAACCAGTCGAGAAAATGGCGGGACTCTTCGTCTGTGAGACCGTTGATCCTCTGAACGTGTATACCGACGGCGAAAACGCTCTTCCATCCAGTGATAGGATTTGTGCGGATGACGGGATGAGTCGCCTCGAGCACGTCGCCTACATTCTCAGGAGCACCACGAGGTCCTGAGAAGATCTTGAACCCGTGCTTCTCTGCAGCTTCATTAAAGCCAGGTTGAGCATAGTGAGCCGTGAGAGTCTCTAGGAAGCCCTGAAGCGGCCTGGAGATACGATCGTACACCTCGTACCCTGAGGCCCAAAGTGTGTCTGGTAGTCTAGGTTAGCATAGTTCGCTAAAAGGCGCAATGAGAATCAGGACACCATACCCCCTCCGGTTTTAGGTAGCTTGGTCATTCGGAGCAAAGTATAGTCACTTGGGACAGGCTCGAATGTAATATCGGAGTGCCACTGTTTCCGCTGACTCTGCGTCTTTTGCAAATATTTGCCGTATATCTTCTTGGTCTGCTGGGATGAAATGACGCTGATCTCGTTATCATCACCCCCAAATTCGACAGAAGGATTAACAGAGGGGTGAATATGTAGGGTAGATGTCCCGGGCTTGCCCGTGACCTGACCCAGTCTTTGCACCAGTTCTTTCTGCAGATCATTGGTAATGTTGTCTTGCTTGCGAAAGAAGACAACCCCCCGACGAGAAACTACAGTCCGTTAGCAAGGCCACTATTGAACTCTTACACATCACAGCTCAGCCTTGCTCACTTGTAATTGCGAGCTCGCGTATAAGATCATCCGAGTTGGGAGCTCGTAGCCACTCGGCCAGATCAACGCCAACGAATTCGCGGCCAATGACCGGCGTCACATCAAAGTGATCATATTGGTCAAGTATACCAGTCGGCTTCAATGGATCGCTGTGGCTTGTGTTGAGCACGGAATTCGAGCTCGCGGTTCCCGGGGATATATGACCAGAATCCGATGTGAACTTCTCCTTGATCTGATCAATGACTTGTGTCGTAGTTCCGATCGTTGAAGGAGCCATTTCATCGAAGTAGGATTTACTGCTGCGTGAGTGAGTCTGCTTCTGCGTTGTTTCAAACGATGTCCTTGTAAGCCGATGCCAAAACCCAGGATCTTGTTGGGCTTTATAACAAGCCTCGCAACCGGCCCACCGAAAGTCTTCCCCATCATACAGTCGTATGTACCTCTATCTCTACATCAATAGAAAGATAGAGTACCACGATTACGCAATAATAACAGATATCTCGCCATCAAGGGAGGGGACCCACATCCTGCTTGCTATAGGAAGATTGCATCTTGAGTACCCAGTAGTTGCTTGGATTATATGCACCATGCACTGCTGCTGTTGGGCCCTCGAGCCAACCAGACATGGCACAGTAACCCAACCACATGGGAGCGAATGGTGTCCAAGGGATAAGTGATACGAAGTTATTAATCATCTGCCTTCAAGCAGATGCAAGCAGGAAACGGCGAACGGCCGGTATTAGTTAATTCTTTCAGCTGTGACTTAACATCCATTGCTGCTTGGCAACAAACAGTCATCCATGCCAGACACAATGACAGTTGCAGCATTTCATTCCAGTGATGTAGAATACATTCTATCGCTCGTCACTACGAATGCAATCATTTACACATGCCTCTAATTGCGATACAGCTGTCCACCAAGGCCAAATGATTGAATGAGACGGTCTGGCCAGAAGAGCCAGTGCACGAATCGATCATCCACGTCTCTATGCTTGTGGCATGAAAATATCCCCTCTATGAACCACAAATCAATTGCGCCTTGTATTCGACCGACAGGGTTTGGGTCTTCCCATCATGAATGGTAAGTATCTGGTCATCAGAGTTCCGTTGCCCAACGCCCAATTTGGGAACTTTGCCGCGCGTCCGCAGCAAACAAATGAGATGAATTGTGCTGCAGCATCCGTTCTGCCAGAAATGACTAATGCTATGCTTGTGACAAAAGGAATCTTGACAATTAAAAGCCGAAGTCCGGAGCAGGGCGACCGCCCTCACCGTCGCAGCAGTGGCATGTCGACACCACCTGTCAGCAACCAAGAACTGTCGCAGCTACTGGCTTGGGACTTCGAATTGATGTCATGGCCGCTGACAATTCAACAATTCTCAGTCCAGTGTTGACATATTGGCCCTGATCTTGTCGAGAAGCTGACCCATGCAAAAGGCGAGTGCTCTCAGATGCCCGCTCCGAAGTCTCACTTCTTGACCTCCCCCTTTGCATATCTGTCGACGTACTGCTTCGCGTTCTTTTCAAAGCTTGCGCGATCGTTCTTGTACTCGTCGGCGATACGGGCCTCGAGAGGATCATCGGGCTGAGGCTCAATCAGCAGATTGCGTACAGCCTCGAGGACGCCCTTGATGCGGCTAGCGGGCTTCCAGTTCTCGGCCTTGAGGATCGAGAGGCAGATATTTCCCATGGAGTCGTTAGTGATATTAGGGTGGTAGATGCGCGTCGTGAAATTGACCACAGGTGCCTTGAAAGGATAGTCGGGTGGAAGCGACAGGGTAAGGTTGAAGGTGCCGCCCTGGTACGCCGAACCCTCGGGACCAACAAGTGCGATATTCCACTTGTGGATGTCGGCTTCGCTGTACGAGATGGTGATATCTGGTGGAGGCGACGATTGGCATTCGCCAAGCTCCTGGCGAAGGCGGTGGTTAGTTGCCGGGGGGGGAGACAGAATTGCTATTCTCTTGGAAGGAAAGCCTCCAGAGGGCCAGATATTGTCAACTTACCTTGATGATGCGCTTGGATGCCATTGTCACGACCGATGTACCCAATAGATTTGTCTGGTTCGTCGCAAGACGATGTGTTTGTTTGCGATTTCTGACTGAGCAGGAATTGATGATACAGTGGAGAGTCCGGAGTGAAGACAGACTTGCTTGGGGCCGCGCGACCTCAAATAATCGAGGACGAAGAATCTTTGACTGGGGAACCCTCTTCTGTTTGCTTGTCTTACAAAATCAGCTAGTTTCTGTTGGCTTCAGGCTGCAACAATGAGTTCCTGAGTGGTAGGAGGTACGGTGTAGTATAATGGGGGAAAGACAAGAAAGATATCTTGAAACTACCAGGCAGGCGACAGTGATGTCAGGCTTCATTCAGCAAACTACATGTGGTAAGTACCTTGGGAGAGGTGCACAGTCTACAGAGTACTTACCCTTACAACGGCGGGGTAGTGACACCTCACATAGGCACTCTGCCAGAGCTACCCCGCCAAACAGGTAACTAGGTACCTAGCATGTATTCCGTACGCCATGCCATTTGTACCCATGATTGCAGCAATAGAAACACCCGTGCAACAGTGAATCGTGCACACTGGTTATACTTCGTACTTCCTTCCATATTTTGCTCAATTTTCCCTTTCTTCCTCTCTCTGCGACATGCATACTTAGTAACCATAGCACCATGACTCAAGGCCGGACCTCATGGAAGATTGTTAATGCCACGTTCTGCAAAATGACAAAGGAGTGCAGGTGTGTATCATGAAGGGTCTTTCTTGTCATTCCGTGGAATGTTCTTCTACCAGACCAATTAACCAACCAAGAAAGAGAAAAACAATCTGCCACGCTTTTCTTTCTACCTGGATACAGCCCTGCTGTCAACTGATCTCTTATGTATAATATGCTTTACAATGCACCCAAATGCTGAATCTAAATGACCATGACCCCATTTCGCCAGTGATGCAAGTTTTATGAGTAATCAAACCATGAAATCGCCCTTAAGCCGACCTGCCGTGTTTTCTTTTCGGTACCGTGAGCATTACCCTGAGCATTGCCCTTTTCTGTTCGGTCGCTCCATCTCGCCTCGATCTTCTCCCTCTCTCATAAATAAAGTCAAGCGCATGTGGCCGTCAAGTCATAAGTCATCTAAATGTGAAACCATGCCGCCCACTTGGGGTCGAATATGACATTGGTTGGTAAAGTGACGACGGATTGTAACAAATGGAACAATAAGGCAGTGTGTTGCTGTAGTCCAGTGCATTGAGCAGAAACCAGCTGCTGTTTCTGTTTCTGCGCTCAGACGCAGCTGTTCCGTTACAGTTGCGTTTTATTCGGACCTTTGGGTTGCGTCTGGTATATCTGGATTTCAAAGCCTTCAAGGCTTCTTTTTCCCAAACAAAGGATTTTTGTGCTTGAGATCGGCAGAATCTTCAGTCAGTCCGGTGGCGATGCGTTCCTTCTCCAGCTTGACGTTTTTCCTACGCTCCAGGCGTCGCTCCTCGATCGTTTCCTGGCTAATATGACCAAACCCGTTCCGGCGCCTAAAGCATGCTTCCATAAGCGTATTCGCATTCAGCAAGCGTCGAGGCATAGCCTGAACTACCTGGAAGATCTCCATAGGATCTCCCACGCTCTTGATCTCATTCTCGCCAAGCTTGAAGATGGTAAGCGCAATGCGAAATAGTGTCTTGGATCCCTCATAGAAGAACACATCCCACACCCGCAGAGTTGTCTCAATCGGCAGGGTGCCGATGAAGCAGCTCATGAACCATGCCGTCATGCAAAGTGTCACTGGCGGGAGTCGTGTGGGGATCGTAGGGTTTCTTCTATGCCTGCGAGACTTGGGCTTTACGGTATCGGTACCGTCCAATTCGCCCCCGATCTTTGCCCAGACATTAGGCATAGTCTCTTGAACCGATGTCATCAGCACGCCGAGATCGACGTTTGCACCCTCTAGGCTAGTCTCGTGAGTCCCTGGCAAATAAACACGCGTGATGATATTCAGTAGCCAGAATGCATGCTCCTCTGTTTCGGTGAAAAGAAGGAGTAAGCCAGCTAGAAAGTTCAAAGACTGGCAATATCCAATTCGTGGGTTGTATATCGAAAAGGCATGCAGGACGCGGCGCAACGACGATATCATTTCGGACTCGTCTCGCCGCACAGGGTTGCCGTCTGCATCGGTCGCTGTGCTGCCAGGCTCATGATACTCGGTATTGGGAATGGAAGAAGCATTCGCCGCGCGGAATTTGATATTGTCCGGGAATGTGCGATGAAGATCTCGTTCAATGGCTTCCGTATCGATGTCCTTGGCCTTCTGGGCCAGGAGTTGGTTGTAAATTCCTCCATGTTTGGATAGAATAGCAGGCCCACCAGCATAGTAGAACCAAGCAGCGCCGCGCCATTCTGGTGGAATCCCCTTCCGCACAAAGCGTTTTGTTTTGGCGCTCCGCTGAGGGAAACGGGTGGGATCATCAGTGATCAGTCCACTCTCCTTCATGAATGCTTGCCATTTCCGCCGTCTCCTGTCCATGTAATCCGAATAGCTAGTGTTCCAAGCATCGTATTGCTCTTGCGTAACATATTGGTTTTCCTTGCGGAAGCCATACCGATCCCTTGTAACATCTGTGTTCTCAATGCTTGTACGTGGCGCAGGTGTTTGTCGCGACCTTGTGGGGAAATCATCGCCCTCAACATCATCCACCAGCTTGCCCGAGTCATGCTTCGAGTCGTTCTTTTCTCGTTCTTCGGAGTGGTCGGTCGACTCTGTTACGGAAACCCGGCTTGCTGCCAGACCGTCTGTGCTGTGTGCCTGTGCTGCAGGGTCGGTATCGTGTTCATCCTCATCCTCCTCATAGGCGGCAGCTCCATTTTCAGCTCCGTTGGGAGCATTACCACGACGCATGGGTAAAGAGTCCGAAAATGCTTCCAATAGAGCAGTACGCCTTCTGTTACGTTCGGACTTTGCTGTCGGCGGTCGCGAGTCGTCATCTTGTTCATCTTGTTCATCGTGTCCATCTGGGCGTTCCGGAGAGTCGTCACGAAAGCCCTCTTCGTATATATCCATGACATCGTCGACGCTGAATGCTTCATCTACGGGCATGGAGATGGAAGTGATTGAACTACTCTTGGTTAGAACGCTACTCCTCTCAGTCCGCAGTGTCCCGGGTGCCGTTGAGCTCGACAATTGCGATCTGTAGCTAGATCTGAGCTCATCAGATGGCATGGACGCCATTCGTGGAATCATTTCCCTGGTGAACGGGTGGCCGGTGCTCTCTGCGCGACCGTACCCCAGAGGATGCCTAGCGAATGGTGGATGCGGATGCCGACTTCTACCTCGGACACTATCAGGGTAGTGGAGGTCTGGCGGAGGGCGAACTGGGAGCGAGACAAAGGTCGAGGCAGATTGATTAGAGGATATGGATTGGCCTCGGTCACGCGCCCTCAGGTACTGGTTCGGTTGTCCCAGCTGATCGAGGTATGATGAGTCGGCCTGTGAAGTGTTGGAAGTTCCGGAGCGCATACGAACGGAATCTGGCGAAGTATGTTTGATACTGGGAGGTCGAGGACGTGAAAAATTCCCGACGGGCAGGCCGTCTGCGCCGACTGGGCGGCTCTCGTGGGCAGCCATCATGTTTGCTCTCCTAACGGGACTAAGCACTGGCACCGGCCGGGGAGAGTCGTCGCTCAGTTCCGTGGCCAAGGAAGCAACAGCAATGTTGAAGTGCTTTCGCGTTGGCGTCGTGGGAACGGGAGGGCTGCTGGCTAGTGTTGATGCAATTACGGGAGTATGTGCATGGTGGGAATGGCTACAGATGGCGGCAGAATTGTAGGAGAGAGAATCCCATCGCGGGGAGATGGGTGCCGTAGGTGACCTGGGCGGCGATGGGGTCGGCGAGTCCGTGTAGTAGTCTGTTGTGGACGTGGTGTCGTTGGTGCTGCTGGAAAAGCGAGAGAAGTGGTGGTGGTGAAGTGAGCCGTCGTGGTTTGTAGGATAGGCGTGCCAATCGGTCTCGTCGGGAGAATAGAAAGGATCGTAGTAATGAGCGACTGGTGCAGCAGCGACTTGATGTCTAGGTGTGATTGGTGCCGACAACGGCGGGGATCTTCTCGTTGTCGTCCTCGTGGTGGTTGTTGTTGTTGATGATGATGAGGTGTTCGTTCTTGTTTTTGTGACTACGGGTGCTAGTCTCGGGTGTGTGGTTGACCTCGACCTTGTTGATGAGTACGGGGCGCCGGGCTTCGACTTGAGACTGGAATTAGAACGGCTAGAGGCATTGGGGCCGGACTTGGTTGTGGAAGCGTAGAGCCCAAACTCCCTAACGTCGAAGCTCCTGCTCCGCTCTCCTGTCACGCTTGGCCCGTGAACCGACGTTGAAGTTGCAGCCTGTAAATTGCTGCCGGGGAGGCCCTCCACCGCTAGGGGTCCCAAAGATCCCAACTCGTCCAGTGCGGTCATTGTCAATCGGACTTCTGCACCCTAGATAGGGTGAAGCAGAGACCTGACCAAAAACGACTCGGTGGACGTTTTGGAAATTGACAGACAATGAATTGACCGGAAGAGGGGCGGCTAAACACAAAAAAGACAGAGTGTGAAGACAAGGGAGGGAAGCGAAACCATTGCCAATTGCAAGAAAGAAAAAAGCTGAGTAAGAGGGAAATAATAACAGGTACAGTACATTTTACAATGGAATTCCCCAAATGCAACAGAACAAACAATCGAATGTTATTACCTACAGTACAGCCCATGAGAAGCACGGAAAAAAAAAAAAAAAAGCAACCCAGCCCAAAAGAAGAAAAGTTATCCACTACGTCTTGTTATTGGGACTAGTGCCTCTGGGTGCGGTTGTATTCATTGACGAGGCGCGTCCGGTGCCAGATCAAAGCGTACGAGCTACAGTAATGATCAATCCATCTACATTAAGGTAGGTACGGGTGTTCCGCAGGTAAGTGTAGCGCTACCTATAGGTACCTGGGCATAAATCATAGGGTATTGGAGCCGTGGTACCTTGAGCAGCATGCTTGGTCAGGTACCGTACATATGCAGTAAGTAGCTCGTAGCCATACATTGCACTTATGTAGTTGTACGTATTGAACAGATCAAGATTGAAAAACCATCTGCAGGGACTTCCGCGGCTTTGGGACCGGTAAACTCTATGCGGGCCATGTAATTATGGATATTCAAAATCCAAATATGGCCCGAGGGAATGGCCTTGAAAGATAATTGACGGACGAGTCCATGTGTTCGTTACCTAACTCAAAACGATCCGCACGACTCTGTCAACATGCCCCAAGCATATCTATGTAGGTATTGTACCAGTGGCTGTGATTGCTCTTCGATTTCTTCTCTACCATGTTGGTCCCTGTCGGACGCTTAAAGGATTTCTCGGATCTCGCGTGGTGTATTGAAGGCAGTACTAGTGCGCACTGAAAACCCAGCAGCTTCCGCTACCAGGTAGGCAGAGATCTTACCCGATCCCCCGATCCAGGACATCAAGCATGCTCCTGGCTTCGCTCAGGGACTAACCCGCCTCTGCTAGAATTTTTTTCCCTCATAGATATTTAATTCCCTTTCATCCCGTACTGTTCTCTCCACCGACATTATTACTCACTTGTCCCAAAGAACCAGGCTGAAATTAGGCGAAACTCTGACTAAGAAACAAAAGTGGGAGGAAAAAATTCATTCCAGCCGTTCACATCCCATCATGAGCAGAACTTGCAGCTGAACGCCTATGAACGAGAATTACCGTACATAATTGGTACCTTAGAAAGCAGGGAATTATTTGTTTAAAAAAAATTGGGGGTTAGTTGTAAAGCCTGAGCAACTGGTACTATCAATTGGCTTTCAACTTGAAGACAGAGAGTAGACGAAGACTGCCAGGATAGGGCAAAACACCATTCCCTCTTTGAAGCCTCCAACTGGTGTCGGCTGAGGCCGCACCCTGGTTTTTGGTCCGCGATCTAAAATGAACCGTCATAATTGCCCAGTCAATCAAGTATCGATTCCGTGCCGATGTGACCTGACCTGGGTTTGATCGAGATCATGGAGTTGCGCGCCGAGCACTATGGCGCCTCATATCCTTCGGCACGTTTACTCGTGTTGCTCTGATGTAGGAGAGCAAAGAAGAAAAAGGAAAGACAGGAAAGCGACGACGACCTTGGCGTCTTCGGCTCTCCGTGCTAGCTGCCTGAGCTGGGTATCTAATCACCTAAGCTTAGTTTAATTGAGATTAAAACTTGATTCTTGGACACAGTTTGGAAAGTATAGTTTTGGTCTCAGACACCTACCTAAGCATCTCAGACGTTCTTGGTTCATCAATGATGTTTCCCGTTTTTACACAGAAGATTGTGAATTTTGCAGATTGATCAGGGAACACTGGTACATCCATGCTGCTCAACACGGGAGGTCTGCAGCTAGTCACGATACGTATCGAGGGAACATCGATTGGACGCTAGTAGCCATACTCTCGGGGTTCCTGCGTCTGAGCGCCTCGCAGGATGAGACAATACGGACGCCACGGATTCCAAAGGAGAGTCCACCGGCCCCACGGCGTTACAAGAGCAATTGTGTTTCAGACTGCCCATGTGGCTAGCCCTGGCCCTCCCCAGCTTCCTGTGACTCCAGCATCTACGCCGAGCACAATGAAGACTGAGCCTCAAATAGCTTTTCGATGGGGGAAATAACTGAGCCAAGCATGTTCTATGTCAGTTTAGGTATTTACTGGGTGTACTCTCTAGATAGCTTCAGGAGGTGATACGTCTGTATTGACAAGGCACAGTCTTGACTAACGACCATTTTACTGATGACGCTTTTGTTTTTCTCTACTAACTTTGCCCATTCACTTTCATGATTGAAAATCTCGTAGAGATGGCTCAGAAATGCCATGCTGATGGGAATGATGTTCAAAGCACAAGATAGGTATGTCATCGCAATTTCAAACACAGCAGCCGATCTGTTCCAGTGCTCGCGAGGAGCGCCCAGCCGAGGCCAGCTAGCGTCAAATTCATTTCATAGAGGAGAAATGCGCGGGATAGTGATTGGCCAAATGTAACACGAGGTACAAGAGGCATGAGAGGAAAAGAAAAAGTGAATACTCTTTAAAGCGTACATGGAGAAGATCTCTCGTCAGTATATGATGTCACACTTTTGGGCAACACAATCGGTCATTTCCGACTAGGCAAGTCTCCGCACGCTGTTTAAGATCCCATAATCCAAGATGAAGATGGTTGGATGGCTGGGCCGAATGGCTCAGTGAGCATTATGTACCTAATCTACATATATGTGTAGATGTGAAGATGACCAAGACTTTTGGACCGATATTTCAAACAGAATGCTTTTGTCTTTCCACTCACCTTATTTTGCCCATCATATCCCATAAGCGCGGGGAGGCATACGACGCAAGCCCTCATTGTTTTTCAAACGTAAGTACCACCCAATCGAGCCCATTACTTTGCAGAGCACACAATGTCACTACAGACGGTGATTTGCGCAATGAAACATAACAACAAACGACTCACGTATGATTGACTCAGAGTCCAAGGTGTCTATCTTAAGCTGTCGACTTTTGTACGAGACTTACGCTCGTCAAAGTGTCATTTACGTATTGGCGATGATACAAGCCTCGAATTTTCTTGCTGCAACTATTGACGATTTCATAAGAAAATAGAAATAGACACTATCCACGTTCATGAGAGTGAGAATGAAATACTCGCGGGGCTATATATTTTAAGGCCCCGCCATCATGTTGCTCAGCGGGCTGGCGGAATGCTCCAATCATCACGGTTGCGACACTTTAACAGTCATCTGAAAGGTGAGATGTACTATAATGATGTCTGCCAATAAATGGTGTTAGTGCATTACCCGGCAATGTAAACGACTGTACGAGATGAGCCGTTCGAGGAGCTTACACACATTGCATCTTGTTTGCAAAACACCGTCCGTGTTGACCCAGAACGCGCTCATTTCTTGCTTCTGTACCTGCAGAGCGCATGCGTGGGATCCCAAATCTCCGAACGACCTAATTCTGGGCACCTCATGGACAGTTGACATTTCAGAGGCCATCATTCACTTCTATGCATTCAAACGACAAAGCTCGGGCTGTTGCATTTCTGTACACAAACGCGACCGCTTCAACGGCGCAACAGTAAGCCGGTTGGTCAATAATGAGAAGGTTCCGTGATACTCTCATTTCGGCACGCGATAGGCTTTGTCCCGTATTCGGGCCAGGTACACATGTGGGCCGGCTTCGTTCAGAGATTGGCGGCATCGAGGAAGGGTGGGGAGAAGGCTCGGCCGCGGAAGAAATACAATGCTAAATTACCGAAGATACTTTGTGTGAAGTTTGCTTTTGCGGCAGACTTCCTTCCCACATGATCGTACTGTTGGTTCGTACCATACAAAACTCGACCGCGTCTTTTGCTGTGACCAGATGTTATGCCAATAGCATGGGCTACAAGCTGGTCATCTCATCTCAAGCCGAAATTCATAGCTTTCGAAAGGCTCCGCGCGAAATCATTATGGCGGTTCCCTACTGCGAAGTATCGGTGGGTGGTAGACGCGTTCGCCATGCACTGCGTCAGGAGCATACTATGTAATCTGTACTGCTTACCTAGGGCCGGGGTTGTACTCCTTCAAAAGCTGATGCGATGCGACCCGTCAACCCCTTTCTCAGTACTACGACATACTGTGCAAGCTACCTTCGTGTGAATCTATTGCTACTACTTCTATCGAACATATAATGTACCTTTAGAACGAAGTACACGCTACTCTTCGGACAAGGCTCAAGCTAAGCCCGTCAGCTTCGCGGGAAGCAGGGATTTAGTTCGGGGAAAGAAACAGAGAGGACTGCGAAAGGGGTCTGAGCTCCTTGGCCTCCAAGATTCTCAATGTTCCCCTCATGATTATGGCGACATCAAACCAGCCAACCAGCAGCCCAGCCCGACCCAGCCCAGCCATTCGCTTTTTCCCATATGTCCTCTGGATGCCCTTTATGCCTTTTCTTAGCATCAGACCTACCCCAGCATCAAACCGAGCCGCCATGGGCAGCCAAAGGTCCGAGTGCTCCATCACTTGCAGCTTGATTACACTCCTGCCACTACCTACATTGTAGGTTCACCACAGCAGCTCTTTGGGGTGGTGGTCCACAATGACAGAGTTGGTTTCCCCAGAGGGACTCTTGGGGCCACCTGCACTGCTTCGGCCCACCTCATACTTCATCCCCAGAAGTCATACTTTTTAAGAGAGGATCTAGATAGTGAGGGACCGTCATGGGTGTCGCGCTCTCTGCGCCAAGCGGGTAAGAGCTTGGGCAGATGAGCCAGCCAGCCTTGAGAGTGATGGATAGCATGGATGGGGGAGGAGAAGACAGCTCCAGAAGCAAGCAAGGCAAGCTCCATTGAGCTTCCCCCCTCTATCCCCCTCCCATGGGCTCCCCAACTGCTTCTGCTTCTCCATGTCCCAGCTTATGGTCCTCTGCCACCCATCTAGACCCCCAGCACTGTCCATGGCTTGCGGTTCTTTTCGACCCTTCCAGTGCACATGTAGTATGTAGTATGTAGTATGTAGTCTTTACTCAGTTTGAGGTAGCCACCGCTTCCCTCCTACCGCCCCAACTGTCCCCGTTCCCTCGCCTCTCTTCTCTTTTGCTCCCTCTCCCGCTCTCCCTCTCCCTCTCTTTCTCTCTCCCTCTCTTGCATTGCTCTTCCCTCCCTCTTTTTCTTGTCCACAATCATAGAACAGAAACGTAAGGACCTGACTTACAACGGTCTTTGTCCTCCAAAATACACGCCTCTGAACAGCCTCAACCTTGAATACCGAGCTCGGCCATGTCTTCCCGCAAGAGAAAGCAAGACGAAGAGGAAGAGCTTGTTGCTCTACCCAGTGACGAAAGTGAAGAAGAAGAAGAGTGAGTTATTGCCAAGTTCATTGTGTTTTGTTCCATTTCCCCAAGCATCGTCAGTTCTGCTTGAACATGGTTGCGCCGTCTCCAAGCTTCTTGTAATTATGATTGCGCGCACCGCTATGGTGCCTCAATCTGATCGCGTTCATGGCAGTCATGATCGCACCAGCGTGGTATCGTGGCTCTGATATGAAATTGACAATTTGCAATATTGATGCATTGCGACCTGCCGGATGTCAAACGCTGACATCTCTGCCCAGATATGTCTCAGAAGGAGAGGACGACGATGAGATTGATGACGACGAAGAAGACGATGAAGAGGAGTACGACGAAGATGCTGAGCCAGAGGAGGAAGAGGAAAACGGCGTCAAACGTAAGTCTTCATACTATAGTCGCAAAGGCACCAACTCAAACGCTTGTCGCAATCGTCTATTTCTGCGTCTAAGTCAGAGCTGACTAGGTTTCGGAGCAGCGGAGAAAGCACCTCCTTCCAAGAAGCGGAAGACGACTGCTGCAGCAGCCGAAGACGCACCTGTAGCCGATGAACAGGACGAAGAGGCCGAAGCAGAACTCGAAGAGGCTGACGAAAATGGTGATGCCGAAGAAGAGGCAGATGACGAAGAAGAAGCTGAGAAGATCGAGGCGCCTGTCGAAACTGTAAAGGCTAAGGTCGGAGACGTAGTCCCTGCCGCCGAGGTTAAGGACACCGCCGAGAAACCCATCGCTGCTAATGGTGATACCGAAGACTGAAGAGATTGTTGTTTAGATTAAGACACTTTCACTCGTCTGTCATGTCGCATCATCCCGTAACACCCTTTACTGCAATCAGCTCCAGTCGTATGGTCTTGTGCGAGACTAGATATCATGTAAACGAGCGAGCGATGTTCTCATGTTGGATATTTGCGTCGGTGAAGCGGAAGGTTGGATTTGTTTTTCTCGTCTCGTGTCTATAGCCGAATAATATGCAGCGACTAGTTGACCAATAGCATGATGATGGCCTTGGCACGAGAATGCCACGACGTTCACAGGAGATTGTCAGACCTGGGGTTTTGTCGTATGAGCTGCCGCCGTGGCCTTCAATGACGCGCTCGTGAAGCTTATTAACGTTCAACCCCGTGTATGCATCGTATTGAAATGACCGCAGTAGCAGTTGCAGACACCATCGGGACATCTTATAGTCGACTATCACGAAACCCCACATGCTATCCACTTGTGGAATTTCGCACGCCGCCAACCTGCGCTGGGAATGACAAGTGTCAAAGCTCTGGTTGGTAGGATTCCCCTGTGTTAATGCGACCTCTTGCGTTTTGCGGCCCGATCATACATCATAGTACTACATAGTATGTGCCTAATACCAATATTTACTCGGACGAGCAGGCTCCACAAACATGCATCTCTCTCTCTTGGATATGCCAGCCGTTGGTTTGAATCTTGTGTGCTCCTTAGCGCAACTCGAGACAATCGATGGCTATTGAAATGGAATGACACGTCTGGGGATAACTCCAGTCTAGTTTCGCGGGAATAAAACAAAGTGTTGCTTCCATGAGCTCAAGTAGGAGCACCAACGACCAGGTATCACTCAACTTCCTAAGCTTAGAAAAATTAACTAGCCATCGTAGCTTAAATTACAAATGATTGTCAGTGGCGACGCTAGCGCAGTAGGATATACATGAAATGTAGTGTATGGGCCGTCCTTGAAGCTCCAAGAAGCTGACCGATCTGCCTGCCAGGATTTATCTACGAACCATTCGTGGACGGTACGAGAGAATTGACATAGACCTCGATATTCGCGTAACCTGAGCTGCTGATCTCCATTGCGTCACTGGCATCCTGATAGTTGAGACCATTTGACTATATTTAACAAATATGTTAGCAAATATTCTTGTCGATTAAACACGCAACTGGCAACAAAAGCGACATGATATTCAAAGGCAACTGTATAATGGATGCTTTGAAAAGGAAATACACAGTATGAGAGCTGAGATGGTGCAGAATACTGACCTGCTCCCAGGCATCGGGAATACCGTCACCATCAGTGTCCGTAGGCTTGCTGCCGCCCGCAATGTATCCTGGTCCGTACATGGGACTCGCGGTTTCGTCACTGATCAGCTCACCGGTGGCACCCCAAGTCTGTACCTCGGAGACGAGGCGCGAATCGACACTATCGCGCGACGGATAGTTTGCACCCACGTTATTGAGTACCCAGGTGACAGCATTGGGTGCAGTCATCAATGTAGCTGGACCAGGGTAGTCATATTTGGTTGTCAAGATGTCCATGTCGGAGTAGCAAGTTGTAGAAACACAAAGTGCCGCACCATTTAGTGTGCCATCTTGATCGCTGTCATAATAGTTCTCTGAGACGTCTAAACAAGGTGTCAGTAGGGCCACTGTCGTGAAGACGGGCGGAAGAGATCGCAAAATGTGGGGCATTGATCCCAGGTTCGTTGTTGAAGAGTATTTGTACTTACATCCATGGAAGTTTGCGTTACCTCGAGTGAAAGCCGTCACACTTGTGCTGGGCCCCGATATGAAGTAATTGTTTACGATATTGGCGTAGCTCTGGCCATCGCTGTCACCAGCAATATAGCCACCTCCGCCTCCCCAGTTGTAGACAATCTGTATCATCATGAGTATCTTGTTATCGTGATCTTTGAAAGTAAGGGTATCTTACATTATTTTGAAAGTCGTTCATGCCCTTGACCTTGGGGTTCCGAGTCTTGTTGTCGATGTAGAGGTTACGGAAGAGGCTGACACCATAGTCTGTCTGTATGAGACCTCCACACGAGTGTGTTTCTAGACCTTGGCCAATGATGGAGTTTTGGATCGTCACATTGTACACATCTCCGTTGATACTAAAGGTCTCGTCACGGCCCCAGGTAACAGAGACGTGGTCAAAGATCATGTTCTCTCCTTCAGCAATCGTTATGCCATCTGCAAGGTGTAAACATTAGGCCGGACTCATTGGAGAGATAAGGAATCTTAACCTTTGCCCGAGTCGCCTCCCTTGCCCATGCGAAATCTGACATATCGCACAATGGCGTTGTCGGCGTTGGAGAAGGAAAGTCCATTGCCGTAAATAGTAATGCCCTGGTACACGTATCAATATAGGATTCTTATAACCCACATACGGTTGAAAAAACAATTACTTACACCGCCTGGTGCGGTTTGACCAGCAATGTATATATTTTTTGAGACCACAACCCGATCGGTTATGTTGATAGTCCCGCCAACATCAAATACAACAACCCTGTTGGCCGCCGAGACAGCATCGCGGAAAGATCCTGTCCCTGAGTCTCTAGGTGAAGTATAAATACAACTGGCCTCTATTCAATAAAGTAGAAACCTACGCAAGAGTTGTCACGTGGTAGACAGATCCGGTTCGGCCACCGACTGACTCACGCCCAAAGCCTTCAGCTCCTGGAAAGGCCAGCAAGGCTGAGGCACCAGGAAAGGCCACCGACAATGCCGTGATCAAAAAGTGCTTGAAAAGGACCATGACGAACAAAATACAAAGAGTTGGTCAAGGATAATTAATCTGTCTTGGAACGCGCTCGAGCCATTCGAAGCAAAACACTCGCATATATATCAACGACAAACAACTTGCTGGGCCCGTATTATTTTCGATTGGTGAACAAATACGTCCAAGGCTTCGGAGACGGCACTCCATGACTATAAGTAGGTAGGTAATTATTCCGACCATACGTGACGACCGTGTGCACGGATTACACACAGAAACTTCTCCAACAGGCATATGTTCGGAATATAGTGTAGCAAGGACCAATGTGACGTGAGCACCACGGAAGAAACTCCGCAGGTCAAATTCGGATAGAGTGGGGCAGGGGCCGTTGGCGGGACCGGAAGGACTCCTGGTTTACCATGGCAGGAGCTGTATAGTTGAAGTCTACAATCAATTGCCAAAGCGTGTATGCTAGCAGGTATCTAGATATTCCGGATTCTGTACATAGCGACATTTATGGGCAACAGCTGCACGAATGGACGACGGTCAATTTTTCAACCAACGAATTTAAAAACAAACTTATGAATGAACTATAGACATTCTGTACATTTGAGTAGTTACCTACCTACGTACCTAGGTTAGATAGTCTTGTTTCGAAACGAGCCCCACAACAATTGATCTTTCCTTGACTGAACTTCGGATGTATTATACTAGGCTGATAGATTATGTATCATGCAGAATTTAAGGTAGTTTCAATACCTAGCACGAAATGATGGAGCACACGAGAAAGGCGACAATGAGAAGATTGAGTATTGTAGTGAAATGGTCGCACAAAGATCCATGGGAAAGAAGGTATATTTCGGAAACCCGGGCAGGACGCCAAGACTTTGGGTATCATGAAAATCTGCAAGGGAAGAAGATAAAATCGCTAGCCCTCTTCAGCATCCATGTGATCTCGTTTCCTTCTACCACCCTTAATGTACTTGCCCTTGAGCACGGCTCCCTTTCTACCTCGATCATTAATCAAGTTCTTCACCTCCATCTTGGCGTGTCGTTGTGCTTCTTCAACGCGAGGCTTGAAGATCATGACTTCTGCCTTGTCGACCTCATACTCAACCAGTTTTTTGCCAAGGAAATGCTCAATTCTCAGGTAGATTTCGAGATCGTATTGTGTAACCAGGTTGATGGCACGTCCGCTCTTACCAGCACGAGCGGTTCGACCAACTCTGTGCACATATGTCTTTGAGTCTTGCGGCAGATCGTAGTTCAAAACCAAATCAACGCCTTTGATATCCAGACCTCGGGCAGCAACATCAGTGGCGACGAGAATTTCTCTTGATCCAGCCTTGAACTTGTTAAGGGCACCCAGTCGAGCCGATTGAGAGAGCTGACCATGAAGTGGAATCGCACCAAAACCGAGTGTGCGCAGGAGGATAGAGATACGCTGTGTGTCGACAATGGTACGAGCGAACACGATGATTGTTCGGCCAGCAAATTCATTACACAGATAAATCAAGTATACGTCCTTTTGTGCTAGTGGGATAAAGACGTAGTTTTGAATGAGCGTCGAGACAACCTGGTGGTCGTGACTGCTAATGCTGACACGAAGGGGGTCACGCAAGGCCGCCCGCTGAAGACTTTCAACCTTTGATGATATGGTGGCGGAAAAGAGGAAAGTCCTACGCTCGCGAGGAAGACACTTGAGAATTTTCTCGATGATCGGTCCAAAGTCCATATCCAGCAATCTATCGGCTTCATCCATGACCAAGTACTTGATGGCACGTAGTGAGAACCCCTTTGTCTTTTCAAGGTGATCAAATAGTCGTCCAGGCGTTGCGACAACGATGTGAGGTTTCTTGCCAAGAGCGATTGATTGGGGCACCATGTCGAGGCCACCGACAATGACGGCAACGCGGAGCGAAATGATGCTTCCCAGGGCCTCGAATGATTGTCCGATCTGGTGAGCCAACTCTCTTGTAGGAGCTAGTACAAGGCCAAATAGTGGTTGAGGTTTCTCGAGAAGTGCTTGAAGAATAGGCAGGGCGAATGCGGCGGTCTTTCCACTGCCAGTCTCGGCAAGACCGATCAAGTCACGGTTCTGAAGGGCCAGGGGAATCGATTTCGCCTGAATGGGGGTAGGCTTCTTGTAACCAAGAGCATCGCAAGCTTCGCACAATTGATCCACAATTCCCTAAGTAGAAATATTATCAGTAATGGTACTTATTTCTGAGCGATGATGGGGACACCCACCAGATCTTTGAAGGTCTCGGGTAGTTTCTCGTCGGCATCTTCCACTGCTCCTTCGCTGGAGCCGGTCTCCTTTGCACTGTCGGCTTGGTCGTTCTCACGATCGCTAGCATGTTTGTCCTCCTCGCCAGCGCTGTCGGAATCAGAATCGTTCGCCTCGCTAGGATCGCTAGCAATAGAGCTATCGTCATCACTATCTTCTTCTTGCTCGATCTGTTCTTGTCGTCTTTGCTTTTGCGGGAGTGGCTTCTGACCAGTGCCCTTGGATTTGGCGGGGCCGGAAGCTGGATGCGACAGCTTTCTTCGCTTCGTTGACAGCATCTTGGACTTTGTACCAATGAACTGGGAAGCTCAGGTCGGATAGTTCAAGACTGATAACCAGGTGAAAAGCAGTTCTCAGTCGCCTGAGTAACTGGCCGCCACAAACGATTGTAGAGGTAATGCCTAACAACAAGTGTAGGTAATGTTGGTTTGGGAAATTTTGACCGCCCTGAGGTTATCAGTGGGGAGCGGGTCTTATCGTGCTCGCTAAATGATATACTGCCATGGCGATAACGCTGATAGCGGGACAAGACCAAAAATTTCTGGGAGAGGACCCGGACCCATCAATGCAGCCATTGTCACAGCCGAGACTTGGACCTCGCAACATGCTTCAGATCTGATCAAACGAATTTTCCATCCGAGAATTTTTGACAGATATTGTCAGGTTCAAGCTCTTGACGTTGCCCTTCTCTGCTTCAATATATCCATCAATCCAGCTTGAAATTTCTCAACAACCATGGCACGAAGACGCACCAAGAAGCGCACCCACGTCGGCGCCAGCAACCCCGAATCTACGGCGACAAGTCTCGGCCATGCAAGCGTAAAAGACCCCAAGAGCATGGTCATCCGTATCGGCGCAGGTGAAGTTGGGTCCAGTGTCAGTCAATTGGCAAAGGATGTCCGCGCAGTGATGGAGCCTGGAACCGCAACCAGACTCAAGGAGCGTCGTGCGAATCGGCTTCGAGACTACATTACCATGACTGGGCCTCTTGGCGTAACTCATATGATGCTCTTTTCGAGATCTGAGAGCGGAAATACGAATCTCCGCGTCGCGGTGTCTCCTAGAGGTCCTACGCTCAACTTTCGCGTCGACAAGTACTCCCTCGCAAAGGACGTACGGAGAGCACAACGGCACCCGAGGGGTGGCGGAAATGAATTTCTGACCCCACCGCTGCTCGTTATGAACAACTTCATTACTCCAGACAATGATGCCACCTCTGGTGTGCCCAAACACCTCGAGTCTCTAACGACGACTGTGTTTCGCTCGTTGTTTCCACCAATCAACCCCCAGCAAACACCTATCAAGTCAATCCGCAGAGTGTTGTTGCTGAATCGCGAGCCCACCAAGGATGGAACTTTCATACTCAACTTTAGACACTACGCCATTACTACGAAAGCGGCCGGCCTTTCGAAGCCCCTACGAAGATTGAATGCCGCAGAGAAGCTGCTCAATGCCAAGAAGACAAGGAAGGGCGGCGTGCCTAATTTGGGCAAATTGGAGGATATCGCAGACTACATGATTGGCGGGGAAGATGGCAACGGATATATGACAGATGCTACGAGTGATGACAGCGAAATGGAAGAGGACAACCAAGTGGAGGTTATAGACACAGCAACCCGCAAAGTGCTGTCTCAGAAGGCCCGTGCCACGGCATTAGAGCACGGTGAGGATGCCGCGGATGACCACCAAAGCAACATCAAAAAAAGAGCAGTCAAATTGGTGGAGCTGGGTCCGCGCATGAAACTTCGCATGACCAAGGTCGAAGAAGGAGTCTGTGGTGGAAGAGTGATGTGGCACGAGCATATTCACAAGTCGAAACAAGAGATTCAGGAGTTGGAGAAACGGTGGGAGCAGAAGGCTAAGGAGAAGGAGGCTCGCCGGAAACAGCAGAAGGAAAACGTTGAACGTAAGAAGAAGGACAAGGCTACGCGTAGCGGAAAGAAGGGAGATGATGATGACGAGGATGAAGAAATGGACTACGATGGATACAATAGCGATCTATTTGACGACATGATGGAGGAGGACGCAGTCGACAGCGAAGGCTTAGCTGGAGATGCCGAGGAGGCCAATGCGGCCAAAGAGGAAATGGAAGAGCAGGAATGGGAAGACGACGAGTAAGAGAGGTTTTCGGTGCTGAAAACTTGTTGCGAGATATGCTCGCCTTGCATAATATCTGGCGTTCGGCGATCAAAGACTGTTTACAGGACATGTCCAATATACCATAAAAGTTCCCACTTTCAGAAAGCAGAGTGTGCCCATCTCCACTAATCTACCCTTGTTTAGTATTGCAAATCGCTTTCATCCTTGTTTCTTGCACATTCTGACTCTGCAATCTCGGACGAGGAAACCTCGGAGAATCCGTTGCGCGGCGGAATATCCAGGAAGCTGACGCAGCTCAAGACAGCGGCCAGCATCAATGGTGCGGCGCAGACTATGAATATAACGTTCTGATACTCTTCTGGAGGGTGAGTGGTAAGCATTGACATCATGATATGTAGTGGCTGAATATACCGAGACTTACCTCCATCTCCATTTGTCGACAAGAGCGCAAGAATCACAAACAGGAAGAGGGGGATATTCATGAGCCCATATACACTTGCCCGTCCACTATCACTCACGATCTGACCACGTTGGAAGGCCATGCTCGGTATATATAGGCCATTACAAGCTTCGAGCAACAAGAAGGAGCAGAAAAGTTGGGCTTCTGTTTGAGCATATGCGGCCGTGAGGAAGCTGGCGCCTGCAAAGAATAATGCTGCAGACAGCAAAAACGTCGAGAGTCCAGAGTTCAGTAAAGTGGCTGATCTCTCCAGAATGGTCCCAAAAAGGAGTGCGCCAAGCACCATTGTCGCCATGAGGTTGGCAAAGATGACTCCATGCGGTATGATGTCGTCGTCTTTGCCGACACCGTGAGAATGGTTATGAGCTTTCTGCAATGTACCGGGCCAGTAGAATCTGAACAAAAAGATCGTGCCTTCGAAACAGCACGAAATAAGGCTGAGGGTCAGAACTTTCCAGTCGCGGAGCGAGTCTGCAACCTCCTGGCGCCATGACCTACTAGGCTCTCGGCTGCCAAGTCCAGCTTCTGCGTCAAGCTTGGCCTGAATCCCACGATTTTCGTTCCACGACCTCATCATGAGGACCGCTGCGAGGGTGTCTAGAAGTATTCCGAGCATGAAAGGATGCGTCTTCGAGCCGAGCGCCCACACGATGCAATGTGAGAGTAGCCCGGCACACATGGCGGTGATGCAATTGGCGATCGTCATGATACCAAACATTGAGCTCAATGGTATCGGACTGTCTTCAAGATTCTGTCGCCTATGTTCACTAATCATCCAACTCTCAAAGACTGTCCAGAGCAATGTAATCCCAACGCCCCCAAGCACCCGGCCTATTGCGAGGATCTCGATTCGATCGAAGGAGACAGAGAATGATGACGCCGAGTGTATAACGCAGAACGTGATGCAAGCTCCGCGCCTTCCACATTTATCGGCGAGATATCCTGTGAATGGTGCCGATATTGCTGCGGCACAGTAACCAGTAGCGTAGAGGATCGCTACGGTTTCGGAAGACAAATGCTTCTCATCGTGAAGCAGCGCCCACAAGTAGGGTCCCTAAATCTTTTTCAGCATGCTGTGTAAATTTGAACGTCCAGAACTTGGCCACCCCTGCACTCACTTGCAGCCATTCAGATCCCATGACCATCAGATAGACGGAGAGAAATCCCCAGAGAAATTGCTTTGCTTCTTTTCCTCGCTCATCCGTGGCGTCTTTCCCAACCGGTCCACGTTTGTAAAGCCATGGCAGGATCTTGCACCCCAATATGAGCCCTACACACAGTGACAAAATTATCAGACTATTCCAGTAAATATTCAGACGCATTGCGACTCATTATGTGTTTCTTGTTGTTCGGGCATGGTTTTTTCCCTTCCTGCGGTTCGATGAAAAGCATACACAACAGTCAAGGTAAAGTAGGTCATTTGTGATTTCCTTCGAAGAAAGCAAGTGAGACATTGATGGAATTCCAGGCATTCATATCTCCCTATTGAAGAACATGATCGACAGAGATTGTCATATCGATGGAATTCCATGTCTCACCATTGGTCTCGACGCAATCACAATAGCAACTAAAGCACTATCCCTTCAATCATTTCATTTCGTTGCAAGTTTCGTTCAGCCCTAGCCATTGATCGTTTTCATCTTTCGCCATTTGGTCAGTTTGTTGATCGAATAATTTGCAACACTAGTGTCAAGTTGCGCAAGCGGTCTAGACAAACCGTACGATGGCCTCTTACTTGACGACAGAATCCTCACATGCCTCCGAAAGCTCATGAACACCGCGGCTCACAGGGGCAATTACCCCAGGTTCATCAAGGGTTCCCCAATCTTAGCCCTTGGGACCTTAATTTTTCAACCAATCGTGATTTAACCATCCCATTGCCACAGAAATAAGCTGAGAAAATGTGCATACTTGGGTTACATCGGAATCTGCCGACCCTGACTGTAGCATGAGGTGATGTTGGGGAAATGAACAGGTCTAGGTACCTAGATGGCTGGTCCAGACTATTGGCGTACAGCCCCAATCGGCATACTTACAACATGAATTACTGTTGCGTTGTTGACGAATATGGCATTCGAAGCGAGTGACATATGATACCGAGTGAAGGAGCTTGCCAATGACGAGCAAAATTGATCCTCTTACTATAGAGTGGAGGGGCTTGAGCGAAGTATATAAGCCACCAGTATATCGTGACAGACTCACGATTAATACAATATTCAAACAGTTGCACGTCGTATTTGGTATTACGTTTGTTCTGGGTCTCATCGTGTTTTCCCCGCAACCAACATCATGAGGCTATCACCCAGTTTGCTTGGACTTGTCTCCCTTGTGGGAACTTGCGTTGCGGATGGAGCAGCTATCGCAGCAGCGCTTGGCGTCATCAGCGCAGATACTATCTCTCTGAATCAAACTGTTGCGTCCTGGCCGGGAGACATTCTAGGGGCCTTGCCCATCACCGTCCAGTCTACAACTCTACTCATCGACATCAACAAGGCCACTGGCATTGCCGAAGACTCTGCCGCACTCAACGATACCGAAACTTTGGCAATTGCAGTCACCACAGCCGACTTGATCACAGACACCAACTCAACCCTGACGGAGATTATAGCAGCGAAGCCAAAGTTCGATAAATTGCTTCTCAGCCCAATCATCTATCTGACCTTGAGCTCACAAAAGGACGCTAGCGGAAAGCTGAGTTCAGCAATTGCAGAGAAGGTTCCGGAGGCATATCAAACGGTTGCTGATGCTCTCGGAGCGGAACTAGCTGCATCTTTCGACGTAGCTCTCGATGCTTATTCCTTTCTGTGATAAGGGGACAAGTGATGGAAATCTCAACGAACGGGGCATACTGCAGATAACATGATCACGAATATCAATGACCCAATCAAGGGGAATCTCACAAAGCTTTGGGTATGATGCAATGGGAAAGCTGTGGTGGCATTTTGTATCTCGGCCACGTCTCCTTCAACTAAACGCACAAAGGTACAACTTGTGCGAAGGGAAACACTAGTCGGTCATTCTCTTCTTAATATATATATGAAGATGATTTTCCAATTTGGTTAATCCTTTCTTCTTCCAGCTCGCCGTTTCTTGATCTGGTCAATCCCGCCTTGCACCATGTTTCCGGCATCGCTTGCTGCCCTCTCGCTCCGCTCTTTAATTCGATGCTTCTCTGCCTCGTCTTGTAGATCTTCTACGACGTCTTTGCCAACACTCGTGCCATTCATCCAATCGAGTAGACCCCAGGCGCCAAAATTGCCCCGGCCGCCGCTCGCATAGTGAGTTGCGGTGCGACGCGCGACGCCGCTCATGAGAATGCCGGGAACTACACTGTACCCTGACATGGACATGGTCTCTTCCACCGTGGTGAGCAAGGTGAACAAGAAATATGTCAGAAGATGTGGGCGTATAATGAGCGAGGGCAGGTAGACGGGCAGCAATCGGTGGAACATCAGAGGTAACGGGTGATCTGTGTAGAGCATGAGAGAATACGGGGCTCCGCGATGGTGATGGCCATAACATTTATGCATATTCGTGAGTGGACCACGGGAATGCAGAAGTTTGCGATGTATATAGTAGGTCAAGACTTCTCTGCACGAGTAGAGCCAGCCGATGTGCTTGATGATCTGCCAAGGTAAGGGCAGGGTAGTCGAGGTCTTGAAGAGCGGGGCTTGCAGTAATGTCGTCGCGCCGATCGATAAGGCGGCCTGCAGAGCAGTCATGAGCAGCAGATTGAAGACGGCAAGGAGGATCTGTTTGGCCACAAAGGCGGCATTGCGCCGTGGCAGCGACGACGATCCATATAGCTTGATAGATTCGGAAAGGCTCGGTATGCCGCTATCGAAGAGGAGGAAGAGGAGCGACGGTATGAACCAAAGTGCTACGCGCACAGCGAAGATTCCCATCAGCTCAATTTTCAACGGGCTGTGCGACAGGACGAGAGACATCCATGTCATGTAGAAAAAGAGCAAGTTGAGAGATGTTGACCATGATGTCAGGGCTGGGGCGGCAAAGTAGGAAAGAATTGGGAGAGACAAGAGTAAATCCAACATGATGAGATGCGTTGCACTCGACTTTCGTGGTCCACAGCAACAAGCATGTACAAGCGTGGCGGCGCTTCGACAGCAGAAGTCGTAGATGAACTCCTTATTGCAGCGAAACGGTACAATGAATACAATCACGAAACTTATAATGAAAGGGAGAGGGGAGTCTCTCTACCCCATTCATAATTCGGCTGAATAGTCAGATTATCTAGCACAGTCGTCGTCTTATGCTTGAGCTGCCTTGTTTCAGGCTGGCTCTTGAGGAATTTGGAGGGTATGACGTAGGTGCTCCTTTTGAATAACCCCTGTCCGAAAAACATAGTAGGCACATAGATTTGTAGGTAGGTCGGTAGGCATTCAGACGCAAAAATATCACATAACCTTTACCATGAGGCTTTATAAAATTTACAGGTTCATCTTACATTAATTTCCATTTTTAGATCCTCGAGCTGAATAATATGGCTGCCAAGCTTGATCGAAAATTGTACCAGCGTTTCAGTTGTCTACGTGGAAAGATCTACTATGCAGGGAGATCCCCAGTTTTGCTGTCAATCGGCACGTGTGTTTAACCATAACAGCAAAGTGCATTCATAAAAAGTTCCTTCCTTTTTGCTGTCTCACTTATGCTTTGTCACTGAAAACGTGATCGTTGACCTTTAGACGTCTTCTAAAAACTGTTCGAATATGACATTATTTGTTATATGCTTTTAATTGTTATGAGATTTGTTGTTTGCCAAACTCATTAACATCCCACTGTGTAATAGCAAGCTCACGACCTATGATTCCGAGAAGGTGAACGGAGTGACAATGTCCATATGTCTAATGTTCTCTATAAAAGCAATGATTGAAACTGCCCTTGTGTTGCAATCAAGGTGAACTCTGACTATATTAGGAGTATACACACATATTATTCATCATCTGTATACAGAAAAACACACAGCATGTCTCGATACCTACCTAACTTACTAACCATCGTAATGTTTGCGGCAGATGACAAAAGCAAGCCTGCAAAATGCACGTACGTATACAATGTAGCGTGCGCCCGTCGACGGATGGAGTGGTAATTAAGAAGGACCCGCCGGAGGCCTTAAGGGTTGCTTTATACCAAATCCGGAGCAAGTTTCATTCATTGGTAGATTAGGTATTTCGCATGAAAATGACAGGTCAGCAAGCATGTCTCAAGCGTCTTTTATGTGTTGGAATGGCGAGGGAAGGCATCAAGCGCACCTGATCACCTGTATCAGGGTGCTCGCTTGACTTTCCAATATCACGATATGCTCTTGGTAAGGTGGTGGCATACCTATGTCTATGATTGATCACGAAGAACGGCTCAGAGCGTCAACTGCCAGCAGCCTAGTGGGTAATGTACATAGTAGGCTTCTCCTTTGAAACCCGAGTTCCTGGGATTACAGAGCCCACATAGCATGGAGCGATAGAGCTTTGACCCGCGCGATCTACGGCCCCGCTGATACTAGACTGGGTGCTATAATATAATAACAGGGAGACATCCATGTCGCTCGTCTGTGCTGTGTCAAATCAACCTTGATTCATTTCGTTGATTGGTATGGGCATTGCATCTGGTCGAGACGTGACCAAAGGGTAGCGCTGTGATGCGATGCAAGAGCAAACCCAGAGCGCACGTCGTGTCAAATCACTCACAGATAACTCGAGTCACATCTGGCAACGGGCTCACATTTCCGCTGAATTGACAATTCTCTTTTGGCTTTCCATTGGTTCCTGGAAACAGGGAGAAATTGACTTGTCCCTGTGGCCCTCTTCTTGTGCTTATGGATTGCCAAGGCTCGAGGCTTTCTCATTAAAAGTATTGGACGCGACACGCCATGTACCTGCATACCTCCCTCCTGACATATTATTGTACTGTGTATATATTGTAGTAGTCCTAGTAGTGACTCGTACGAATTAAGCATACTCTCATTTCCTCAAGTACACCCTGCCCCTGAGCACGACCAGTGACATATGGTATGCAAGAGTCAGATTGCTGGTGCACGAGACTATTAGGCGACATATAATACCTACCTACTCAAAGACTTTGGTTACTGGTAGATCATGTCAACCACCGCAGACACTGACCTGCATTTTTACACTACCTACCATTTACATTGCTGGCCAGGTTGAGCGCTTCTCTAGCCGCCACAGCGCGTGCACAGGTCTCAAGCTCTTATTCCCTACTCTGTACACAGTACCTTGAAGCACAAGGTGAAGGAATTTCTCGAGCTTTTGCGAAGTGAGAAGTAGTAGGTACCTAGTATTGCCTTGTATGCGTGGAGGTTCCGCAGTGCGGTTGGACAACCGACTCGGACGGTATCTCGGACCCTGCAGTCTGGGCCCCATTTTCTTCTATTGAGCAATTCAAGACTTGAGACTTGTCCGATAGGAGCAGAGCTTGGGACGGGGGAAGGGGCAAGAAGAAAAAAAAAAGACGCCTCTTTGACAATTCTGGAAATCTTTCTCTAATCCCTACACATACCTACATTACACACGGTCGTGAACGTACATCTTTGCCCATCTTACATTACCTTCACACATACCCTCCCCCTACATACTGTACAGCGAAGCGCGTATTACAGTGGCAGCCGCACACACCAGACTGACGTCCGCCCTTCCTGCAGGTGCGCCGTCAAAGGCGGCAGTCAGTAACAACCCCACGGCTAGTCGCTCGCAATTAGGCAAATTCGACCGTCGCATCGGATTTCCAATTAGGTTCTGCAAGCTCACTACATCGCCCGGCGCATTCGAATTCCGATTCCCACCAGCCAGCAGGTGACTGATTACATTAGGTTCCTGGGAAAGGTACCTCCCTGACTTTCCATTTGCAGTGCTGGCTGGCTGTATGTAGGCAGAGGTAGTAGGTAGCAGCAGCAGCTATGGGTTACGCGCCGTCGTCTTCCACCTCCGCCGCCGGTTCTTATGCAGCAGCCCCTATCCCTCGCCAGCCGTCGCAGTATCCGCATTCGTCTGGCCGCAGGTCTCTCCGACTCGATGTCCGTACCGGCGACGATGGCACCCGTCGTCCCTTCACGCCCGCCTCTCCCGAAGTGATTTCCTCTCTCATCACCAGTTTGTCGGGCATATCGGAGCCTGCCAACACATATTTCAACAAGCCTCTACCTGTCTCGCCCGGCCACGGGAGCTTCGGTGTCGACTACGGCGCCTTCAGATCATCCTCGCTTAGGGCCGACCAGGAGGACAACGTCCCCCTCGACGAACTGGCCGCCTGCCCACCCGTCATCCGCACCGCGCCTCCCCCATCAGGACTTTCACCACTGACGACCCCCAAGTCACCAAGATCCCCACGTCGCGAGTCCTCCGGCGGCCTCAGATCCCTGCTGCGGTCCTCGCGCCCCTCGTCCAGGAGCTCTGCGTCCTCGTACGATGACAATCGCAGCACGCGAAGTATCGGTAACCCTTCTATTGAGCCTGGAACACACTCCACGCAGGAACTACATCGACAACGATCTCAAGACAGCTGGGGAAAGAAACCAGGGCGCAACAGTAAGGGACTGATGTACATGAGCTCTAAAGAGAGGCTGCGGGCCGGTGAAGCCGAGCGCAAGCGATCCAGTTTCGGGGTCTTGGGAGGCGCTCTCGACAGTGTCGTAGGCGGGCCCCTGTCGCCGCGGACGGATTCTTCGCTCGCAGAGACCCCAATCAGCGAAGAGCCCCCCTTCCTCGAGCTCGACACGCCTTACGAATTGTACGAGCTTCCAGAGCCGAGTCCTACCTTTGATCAGGCATTCCAACGACCGGTCCCCGCTCGTGATTCATCCCTGCGCAGGACTAGCTCAAGCACGAGGCGATCTTCACGTCGATCAAAACGAGAAGGCGAAAGCAACGTCAGGAGTAGTATACCCGAAAACGAAGAGCACGATCACTTCCACGACATGTCTCTTCCTAAGCGTACGATGCCAGCGCGGTCTGCGTCGGCAAACGATGCCAACAGGAGAAAGGAGGATACATTGCGAGCAGACCTGCCAACCCCTAGCAGACTGAGCGTGTCCCCCACCAAGACGTCTCATGAAAAATCAAACACGAACAAAAGTAGAGCGCATTCGGAAGACCCCCTCGAGGATGGTGCGCCGTATCCAGCAGTCTATTCTAGCAGGCGCAGGACTTCCCGCAGCGCTGACAGGAGGAAGTCTGGTCGCACTACCCCCGAACCAGGCGATGCTCTCAAGATGAAGCGGAGCAGCTCCCGGTTAAGCCGGTTGTCTGTCGGCCCCAAGAGCCCTGAACAAGAAAAGGCAGCAACTCCGGAACGGATTGTTAGCTATGAGAGACCGAAAAGCGTGGACTCTGTAGACGATGCGGTTGAATCGTATCTCTGCTCTCCACGACTATCGCAGAAGATCAAGCACCCACAAACGGGTCGTGTGATATCTTTTTCAGAGGTAGGCGACTCAGAAGGCTCGGCAGTATTTTGCTGCGTCGGAATGGGTTTAACGAGGTACATCATGGCATTCTATGATGAGCTCGCACTGACCCTGAAATTACGGCTCATTACTCCTGACCGTCCTGGTGTTGGCGATAGTGAACCATATGCGGATGGCACAGCTACGCCGCTGAGCTGGCCAGGTAAGTTATTTCACGCTTCATTGTTGCTTTGTTCGGTTCTCACCACCAGCCAGATGACGTGTATGCCATTTGCCAGGCATTGAAAATTACGAAGTTCTCCATACTCGCCCATTCAGCGGGGGCCATCTACGCGCTCGCTACGGCACTTCGGATGCCACAACATATTCGTGGACGCATCCATTTGCTAGCACCATGGATCCCGCCCTCGCAAATGAATGTGTTTGGTACTTCTCAGGCAATGCCACCCACAAATGCCATCCCAACCTCGCAACGAATCCTTCGCGCTTTGCCTACTCCATTTCTGAAAGCCGCCAATAGCTCTTTCATGACAGCAACAAGCAGTTCAATTACTAGTTCGCTCCCGAAAGAGAAAAGGAAAACGAAACGGAAAGCGACCGCTGCTGCTACTGGACGCCGTGATACAACTCCAAATATGGACAAGGAGAATATGGCAGGGCTTCCTGTTGGAGACAAGGACCTACCGGCAGAACCCACGGAAAGCATGGATCAGATCAAACCTCATGGCTCTGACTTTGGCACACCGCATCCGGCAGCGCCTGACGCAGTAAATGATGATGAAGCGGAGAAGGAGCGCCAAGTTTCTTATGACACCCGCTTGACATACGCAATATGGGATCTCGCAACAACCGGTGCAAATCCTGCTGTTGATCTTCTTGTGTGTCTGGAACGACGGCACACTGTTGGTTTCCGCTATGTCGATATCACTCGTCCGGTCGTCATCCACCATGGTAGCCGGGATAACCGGGTCCCTGTGGATAACGTAAGATGGCTCGGCAAGACTATGCGAAGATGCGAGGTTCGAGTATTAGAGGGCGAGGGTCATGGGCTCATGGCTAGCGCAACCGTTATGGGTAATGTTCTCATGGAAATATCCAAGGAGTGGGAGGATTGGAACAAGGCAACTGGCAGCCAAAGGGAAAGAGGGAGAAGCTTTCGGGTAGGCGGGAGGTAACTGTCTATATATGCACATACCTCATTTTCACAGGATTCAAGGATATTTGATGAATGGGCAAAGAACCAATAATCCGGCGTTTTATTGCAGGCTTGCTGCATTCACTGGGGTATAGTGATGGGCTCATGGGCTCATGGCACCCGACCCGACGAGGAGATATTACATACTCGAGACATATAGCAACCTAATAAGTGTATCTAATTACCACTGACTGACATATATGAGCGTGGGACAAGCATGGGAATGGTATCGAATAAGCACCAACTTAACGCCAGCGGCTGTGTAGGCATAAACTCAAAGCATAACTAACCTTTTGCGCGCACATTTTACTACTGAGCTCCTACTGCAGCGCCATGTGACGTTTCCACGCTTATTTTGCAAGGCTAATTCTTGCACTCAAATGTCAAGTGCCTCGTGGACATTCATCGCAGTAGGTCTAAAGTATGATCGAGCTCCCACTGCAGTATTTAGCGGCAAGGATGCAAGGGATCGGATCGACTGCAACGGGCAAAGGGAACTGGGCCGTACAACATTCCATAACCAAATCACCAGTGATATCAAACACTCACAGTATAGCAATGACAGATCATAATGACCATGTTCCATCATATGAGACTCCAAGATAGGGGTATTATGGAGAGCTTGAGTGCGACAATCGATTTCGGTGCGGTAGCTATGATGTAAATTGTTCATTTTAATGCAATCAATTTCAGATCAGCTTTATCCTAGATGTGTCGATTATAAACATTATGATCTTTTCATTCCATGTTGTCTACCAAATAACGGCCAGAGACCAGGACGCCAAACTCCTCTCAAACCCAAGGACGCCATAATGAAGGTGTACTCGCCCCTCTGCATTGGTGCAATCAGCAGGCACCGGAAGCATTCAACTCATACCGTACAGAATGAAGAACAGCCATAGTTTGTGCGCCTAGCCAACGAGTGATTTGCCCTGAAATACAAATTCACATAGCTTGCCAGGCTTCTCAGCAGGGTTTCACCTCCACTCGCCAAAGATCTCTTTCTCCGACATATCGCGCGCAATATAAAGGTCTGTTCTGGAACCCCTGATTGGCTTAAAGCACACCATATTCTCCTGCCACTTGTGCGCAATCCAGGGGTCGCTGAATCGGAAATAAAAGCCGGCGTATCCGGGGCAGCTTGTGCTCGAGACAATTTCCACCACGCACCACGGTAGGCGGATCAATACCCATGTCCCGATAACACGGGTCTCAAGCCGCAGATGGTGATGGCACCAACAGCCCTGAATCCGATCTGCGTATCGTTGCGCTTGCCAGCGTGTGCGAAAGCCGAGTTTGAGCCAGCGCGGTTCAAATTGGATTGCTACCTCGATGGCGCAGGACATGATGTGATGAGGTGGTTCTGTGATACCACTGTAACTTTGACAAGCTGGTATATACAATGAGTTTCTTCTCGTTTGCGATTCGCAAATGCCTTGATATGAGGAATGGCGATAATGCAGGATGGCATATCGTGAACGGCCAAGCTCGAAACGTCGTGAAGAGAATATATAGGCCTTTCTGTTGGATCAGAGTAACCTACCTGGCTATGTCTAGCCTTCGCAAGTTTTACTTTTTTAATTTTGTACCATCCACTCTGCTGAACTGTCCGTCGCTAGAGATGCCCTAGAGCGCCGACGATCTGAACTTACCAAAGGTCTGCCGCCGTGGCGGGTCTTGAAAAGAGGTAGGGTCAGCTTCAGAAGACGACTTTTTAAGTTTAGCTACGAGTCTAAAAGGGCTCATCCTCTAGCAAGCTGAAAGACCTCCACGGTAGCACGGCAATGAAAATAGTTGTTTTATATATGCTTTGTTCTAGGCCTGTGGCACTACACAACTTACATGTATTAGGAGTATGCCTCGAGAATCCCTACACCGCCTCTGTGATATGCCTTGCAGGGAACGATATCATGAGAATGCAAGTATAACATGTGTTGAACTGTCCACAGTTGCAAGCATATTCGAGTACGGCGGGACATAGTATTAGGGCAGTACTAAATATAATGTACGGTCCCATGCCCTTCATTTGGGTTATTAACATCGACCGTCCAAACTTGGCCGCCACAAATGGAAATGTTTCACCAGTCTACTAGGAACTCGTCAAATGAATGAATTTGTTATAGCTAGGACTATAGGGAATATCTAGAAAACACAAAGATGGAGAGGAAGAATGAAAGAAACCCATGAAACCTGTCTGCATTGACATTAACAATGCCAATTTGGCACTGTATAGAAGCCCAGGCTGAACAATCGTTACTCATACCCAAGGCAAACACTCCATGTCACTATACTGGTGACTCCTGTGCTTCGAGCCATGGTTAGCCGACGAGAGGGAAGATGTCGTTGGAAGCGGTGGCTATGCATTAAAGCAGACAGAGGGTTCACATTCGCAAAGTCTGCCGGGTGACCCGAAGAAATGGGCCATTGCCTGATGACGTCGGTGCTGGTGTTGGATGAAAACTGAGCCATTTCAATTCGGGGCAGATGACTACGACATCGATATAGGTAGGCTGCATACTTGACGCAGATTGTGAGTACATGATAGTTTGAGTAGCTGACTCAGGCCACCCAACTCTTTGACCCAGCAAGCCACACCCTCATCCCTTCGACTAAAAGGGCCAATGGCCAAGCGTGATGAAAAGTATAATGAGCAAGTCTGTTGAGTATTTCTGCACGGGAGGCTGACGTAAGGCAGAATCAACATAACCAATTCGAGATCGTAGCCAGCCAAAACTGTAAAGTCTTGCAGCAACCAAGCTCATAACCAATTCTGCTCCAATACTCGACAATGTATGTATTCCACTACATATCCCCCAAATATCGAGAGCAAGAAATCCATTAATTGTCTGAAATGGCAACAACAAGATGGTGATGCAGCACGACAAAAATTTCACATGAGGGAATACTTGATCTAGACTTAATCAGCATTTTTCTTTTTTTAAGTGGGAAGAAGGGGCATGCTGTGATTTTCTTCTTACACCCAAAAAAAAAAAAAAAAAAAAAAAAAAACAAAGAGCAACCAGTCCAATAGAGATTATATAGTGGTCTCGGCCACGGGACGCCTTTTATAGTCGCCACCTGCTACTCAAGCATAAATATCATGGCGATACTATGAGTCACGAAGTATTAGCTGCAATCAAACAATTACTGCATCTAACAAATATATTTTGCACAGGGTGTGTGGCTTCATATTGAACCAAGTTATACGACATTAATCCACATCATTGTGACAGAAGTGCCGAACCATGTCGTACCGGATTATTTTGAATTATATTCAGCAATGAATTCGTCTTTTTTTCAGAGAGTTACTGCCTCTGATAATAGCCAATGAATTGCCCAAGGGTTCAGACCTACATTGCATGAAGAGGCAGCCATGCCCTGCAAGTACGTGAGCCAGATTGCGGGCCCACACTTGGACGAGGAGTCTTGTGCTGAGTCACTCGAACGCCGAGAAAAGAGTCATCCAGTGATAGGTATAAATCGGGATCCCATTTCCAGTTACACTCCCATATTGTCCTATTCGTCTTTTTCTTCCCCTCTAAAGGACAGGAAAAGATCAAAATGGCCCAAAGTGAGTCACCGACCAATATGGTCTTATATGGCCTCTGGACAAGATACTCCACTAAGTTTTCACCTTGAACATACCAAGCAAAGCATGGAGACTTACACAGCTGCTTAGGCTGGACGGCTCGAGTAGTCCTTTTACTTGACTTCTTCGAGATTCCATACAGTCCTCGATACTACAACATCTATGATTCTGCAAGTCGTCCGAGCGACAAATATCTCGAAGGCCGTTTGGTTCCAATGCTTCAACCCATCGCAAGCGATTCAAGTTTTATAATTGAGGACTCTCTCGCAATCTGCGAGTATCTTGCAGAGGCATTCCCGGATCGTAATCTCTGGCCAAGGGATGACAGGTTGAGAGCGTTCGCCCGCAGCGCAGCAGCACAAATGCACGCCGGCTTCAATGAACTCCGCAACACATATCATACAAACTTCGTGGCGAGATACACTGGCGACATTCCAATTAATGACACTGCAAAGAAGGAGATTGCGAAGATGCTCGGTATCTGGTACCACGCAAGGATCCAGACAAAGACACGGCTGGCAGAGCTTGGCGAAAAAGATCACGGTTTCTTGTTTGGGTCATTCAGCATTGCCGACGCATTCTTCTGGCCAGTCCTTTGGGTAAGTGATTGATTTCCTGGAGCGCGCTAGGAGTAAAGACTGAACCAAGATGCAGCGGTTCAGAAGCTATCAGCTACCGCTTGATAATATCACTGAAGATGCCTTGCAGTGGATGAACACGATGTGGGGTCACCCTGTGATGCTAGCTCAAGCCCGCGGTTACTTTGAACAGGCCAAGGACGCAGCCACACGGGTTGACAAGTTTGACGACATTTTTAAGCATGTTCCAGGGGTGCATTATGGACATTTTGATCAAGACTGGTCATTCAAGTCCGGATAGACACATTCTGAAGATCCGAAACTTTATAAAATTTGAGCTTCATGGTCAAGCCTGGGCATGGAGGAATGTTGAAGGAATGTGTATTCGTATGCGTATCCGTTTGGAAGTCTGTGTGAAAGAAAGTTCCCCGGCTGTTCTAGCGCCAACAAGAAGGCAGTGCTCGTGCTTGCCTGCGCTAATAACAGTGTCCATTAATTCTGACAGAATATGGGACCTCTTTTTTTTCTTTTTTCTTTTTTTTCCCCCTCTTCCTACCCCTTCCTGCAGTCAAACCGTTGATGGAAGTTGAAGCCGGAATCCACAGGCTAGATACGGAACACCGTGGGCCAGGACTAGCCTTGAGGCTTGGGGTCTAGATTCCAGACCAAGCTCAATCACACCTTGTCTAGTATACCTAGGTAAAGCACTTTGCCCTGTGCTGCTGGGTCGCTCGTACCAGGAATATAAGCTGGCGACTTTGCAATACTGACAGCTTATAATCTTCAATGCTATTCAACTCAAACATAGGCCATGTAAGTGATGCCATGAATCTATAGAGTACAGGTAGGTAGCTAGCACAGACATCATTATGTGCGGTCTCGGGCAACAATGTGCACGGGTTCCCCAGAGTTGTTGGCTTGGAATTTGACTGTGGAGATTGCTGCATCTAACAGAACTACTAGTACTACGTTCTGCGTCGGCCTGTGTAATACACTACTGCACTAGTAGTACTAGGTGACGGCTGCTACGTGCCACGAAAAAGGTCTATTAGCAAGAAACGACCAGTGTGAAATATTTCCAAATTTTGGAGTACATACTCGGCAGATGATTCTCAAGTGCTGGATGCCAATAGGCAGTACAATGTACGTGGATAATGAAAGTCGAGAAATCATTGTACTCATATTATCTCAGGGTCCCCCCCCCCGCCCTCCTTCCCTCGTATCCCAAGGCCCTAGCCGAAACAAGAACTCTGTACCTGACTATTTCAGATTGTCCAATCACAGCAAAGGAATCGCCATGCCTCCGTCGATCCTCAGGGGTCGTCATTTATGCAGGAATTCGCCGGCGCCCACGGAAATGCCCTGCGTCCCGACTCTCCGGCAATCACAAGACAGAGAGAGGTCACAAGACAAAGAAGCAGACAGACAGGCAATATGCACACAGGGGAGTACGTACACAGTAGTGACCAACAGCCCCCATGACGAAATTGAAACTGTCGCATGTTTTCATTTAGATGCACCCCAATTGCAGTCATTTGTCACTTCGGCGATTCCCTCCCATTGTCCGGGGTCCCGCCATGCTTTAGTTAATAATAGTAGGACGAGGTACCTGCTAATGTGTTTTTCTCTTGTCCCGAATGTCTTGATTCCTCTTAGCCTCTGGCTATATCCCTTCCCTTGTAGGGGGCGTCGACACATTCTCACCACGCAGGCCGCAATCCATCCTTCTTTGTCGCTCCTTTAGTCTACATTCCCTTGCAGAGAGTGCTCTCGAGTTTTGGCGCCGACAGCAACCTATCTCTAAGAAAGAGGATTTTTGGATATCCCCTCTCAGCCGTGCCATTGTCCCAGACGTAGGGTCTTTTTTTCCCTCCTTCCCGCTGTTCAGAGATCCACTTACACGAGTCGCACCGGTTGGAGGGAAACATCTATTGCTTTCGACTGCCAGCGACTGCCAGGGCAGCAGAGCAATACCAGCTCAGACGGGCTTGGGTTGCCACAGCGTTTGCGATCTGAAGCCTCAATTTTGCAGCAGCAACACATTCACCGAACTATCATACACCAATCGCTTGATACGTGGAGGGATTGCGACGACTCGCAATCCAGGCGCGGCCGAAATGTCACTCTTCACCATTCTTGCTCGCGACGACTGCACCAATTCCGCCGGCGGCGACACCTGCGAAAAGCCGGCTAGCAACTCCAAGATCACTGCCATCGTCATTGGCGTCATCACGTAAGTGCTCTATGCGCGGGTAGTCATCAGATGTCGCGCACCGCATCTATAATTCTCTTGGCCTTGCTAACACGTATCTGCCACCAGTGGTGTGCTCCTTGCCTGCCTGCTCGTCGTCATCGTCATATTTCAGCGCCGAAGAACTCGAAGAGACAATCAAGAGTGGACTAAGGACCCGCAAGAGTTGGAAGACTACGGCATGGGCACCATGGACCTGGACAACACCGCCAAGACTGGCAGTGTCAGACTACCTCCCGAGGCCCACCGCGCTGAAAGACCCGTCAAGGCAGAGGGTGCCGGAAGCGAGATGCCGCCGCAAAGTCGCATCTCGGTAACCTCGACAGTTTCGCTGGCACGACAACTACGGGGACACGATGATACTTTGAGCTCGACGGCCCAGGTTCCTCGTTCCCTGGTCTAGGAACCTCGAGGCACAAGGCTCTCAACAGTCTATGAGTAAAAGCTAAGCTATGGGGAGAAGAGATAAAAAAAAAACAGATGTGTCGGCAAGATCAAACCCCAAGAAACAGATCCAAGCACGGTCAAAATTTGCTGCGCCTGACAGCTTCAGGTCATCCCCTACTCCCGCGTTTTGCGCCGAATGGATTCAAAACGGAAATCGCGATCGCCTTGTCCATGCCTACAAAAGGTTCTGTTGCATGTCTCGAAAGGACATCTTCTGGAGGGAGATGGCTTGGAGCCAACATGCACGTACTCAAACCCATCCACGGAGCAGGATGGGTCTGCTGCTTGATAGGCAGCTGGGTGTTGCGCACATGTTCTTGCACATCTCAAACCCGAGGTCAGTGTGAGGAGGCCTTGGCTTAACAGTGGAGTACTGTTGAGCTGTAGGGCCCCGGGAGATATGCACTTGAACACTCAATTTTCACTGGTCATCTAGAGGTGGGACAACGTTGCACAGTTTTCCACCTGGCGAAAAGCCGAAAACCAAGTTATAAATGAACATTTTCCCACATTGTTTTGTGTTTCAGAGTATAGTAAAACTAAACTTGAATACTACCTTCAACCATAGGTATAATATGCACTACTACTCTTGCCAAGCTTGAAGGGGGCTTCTTGTCGGCGCGTTGTCAGTGTTGATTATCATCATCGCACAGCAGTGATTGATACCACTCCACAACTTTTCTTGCTCCTCGGTCGCTACTGGCCACCTGCTATGGGTCCTCGATCATATCATAATCAAATAGGTGGGCTCGACGATATGTACCAAGCCCCCTGAGGCACCTTTCATACTGGCTCATGATATGGGGGTTTCAAAAACTTAGAGAGACTGGCAGACTGGGATGTATGGCTGTTGTTCATTCCGTCGCTTGCCCTTGGGCTATGTCCATGCCTTATCTAGAGGGCCTGTACTTGGTTCCTGTCCAACCGTCGCCGTGTTTCGTCAGGCGCAGCAGCAGGGACTTGCTCGAAAACTGGTCTTCTCGGGTTTGGCCAAAGTGTGACCCTTTGGCTCAACTGAGCGCATGTTCATAGCGTTGTAACATGTGGTGCAGTATCACAAAATAAAGACAGGACACTCTTTTTTCAATATGAGCAAAGAACTTTCCATTTGAGAAAAACTTATAGTACCACTACTTAAAATAATATGGTATCTGTATACAGATTTGTTTATTTAGTATAGGGTGTGATTTATAGAGCAGCAGTTGCAGCTCCAACCGAGAGTGGGCCTCGTCGACACACATTCCAATGTCTTCATAGCAACCAATCTGCCGACTTTTAGCAAATCTTGAAAGCGAATTCCCCAAAAGAAAAAGGAGGAAAAACCCCACAGCCGAGCAATATTTAAACTGTTCACCCTATGTTGCCAGATACTGCATTCTATATCAAACTACAGCGAATCTGGTAGTAATGACATTCACATATGTTCAGCCTAATTTGGTCTCTCGATCCTCATCGCCCAGAAGTCTCCTCTTCAGTAGAAGAATATCGGACATAGAATATGACATCTCGTGCCGCTATGGCACTTGATCACAAACAGTGAAAGCCGCAGTAAAAAGTGCAGGCATCAGTCTATGCCATTGTACAACACGTCATCACATCACGAGCATCCTTTGCGCCTCAATACTTACCCATTGAAGCCCCCAGGCTGAATCTCGGACTCAAGATTTACTTCTCTAGCAAGACGTCTTAGAGGTACTTTTGCGGCAGATGAGGACGCCATGACGGCTACCGCTGTGAGACTCCAGGGCTCGCCGGGTGGAGCGTCGCGACAGGAGTGGTATCCAAGAATCAGCAAGGTCCCATTGAAAACGAAGATACCGGTAGTAATGTTAGAATCATGAACTTTGCACGTCACATCAATGCCGCAGACGCCAAGGATGGGGATCTATCGCTCTTCATCAATCCAAGAAAAGACGCAACAGGATGACCAGTTGCTCTAGGCACAGAGCCAACTCTCCTGATATTCTCGCCGACTTCGATGACGCAAGCCCACGCCGTGCTGCAAGCTTCCCGTCATTGCGGCACGGTTATATATCATATTGCGCGCCCTTATGACAACAGATGCAGCCCGTATTTCAGCTTACCAGATCTCTTGGTCATACAAGTCAGAGGCGCCAGAAATCAAAGACGCAGAAGATCATAAGTGGTGTTTGAGGTCGGCGAACTCATGGCCTGAGAATTACCTGGCAGAGTCCTTCTCTTACGAGCCCTGCCCTTTGACATGCGGCTCCGAGATCCAAAACCGAGCATTTGTGCCAAGATCAAACATCATTCTCCATACTCCTCATGCTACCGATTCGATGTACGACTCCAGTTTGGAACAAAGTGTATCACTTATATCACTCGATTTCGGCACCCTTCCGCAGGCTATCCTTCGAACTTGCAAGAGCTCTCCTGGAGTCTTGCGCGAATCTTGTAGCCTTTGTGAGGCGACGATTTCCTGGCATGACATGTGGCGGCCAGACATAGTCTAGGTCAGCATAGGACTACTAAGACCCCAGAGGGAGCAGAGATATGGCTAGAATGATGAAAGGAGAGGATCAGCTTCAATAAAGACGCTAGCAAGGGAAGATCGGGAAACATAGCATCGAGAGTGGTGGGCCTGGTCGACAATTTGGTGGATGGATTAAGAAGAAATGCTTGCTATCGATTATACAAAGATTCCAAGATTCGGCAACGCGCAAGTAGCCCATGCTCGGCAATACAGCTTCATGATTGTAATGCTATAGTCTCGGCCACGCCGGCGATACTTTCTAGATATGAAACATGAAATTCGACGAGAACCAAAAAGATACCAACTTGAAATTGAAGATTGATACTGATAAACACTGGGTCAAGTGATATTGCGCACTTGAATTAATGTGTCAGGATTATCTGCATTCTATAGCGTCAAGTTTCGAGGATGTAGACTGATGGGCCAACTCTGATATTCTCATCACATTTCATTGTCATGTGGGAGATATCTCTCACTGGTGTACTGGAGGGTGATATAAGCCATGCCCTTGTGTGGGTAATGGTTGTGAAAGAGGGGTTGAGCCTGTGAGGTTATGTTGGATTGGACCTGGACCTGTCTCTCTCTGGTGATCAGTCGTATGGACTTGTTGAGGTTGTGGCGGAAATCCTTGTTGCATGAGAGGCATCTGCTGTATAGGATATTGCGGCATTTGCTGTGCATAGTACATCTGTTGTGGTATCATCGTCACAGGGGCGGCCAGCCTGTTACGCTGATGCGTTTCCATACACGCGCGAACAAACAATACGAAATGCACAAGACTAGACAACGTCAATCTCCTATCTCACCAGAGTGAAGCAAGGACGGTTGAACTTACATCAGCAGGACCAGAAAAGCCAATTCAGCCTGCATAATAGACAGATATTGACTGGAATAGTAGTCGTAGTAGCGCTGGCAGTAATAGCCGCATTCCGAAGCATAGGCCACAATCCAACCTGTGAGTCCCGCAGCTACGACAAGACCCAGCCATAATAGAAGGTGAAGGGCTACGTGAGCTCCAGGGTGAATACCATATTGACTCCGTCGAACGCAGACCGTGATGAGCTCGGCCACATCCCAGCAAAGCGCAATGCCGGCTTGTGGTGCCACCCAGATAATTTGGTAGCTCTGATATATACTAGGATCGACGGCGAGAGCGATGGAGATGCCGAGCACAATAACGCAAAAGATAATGGAGAGCGAATAGAAGACGATCTTTGTGATATGCCACCCTTTGCTGGAGGGAATCATGACCGGAGGAGGAGCTAGGTATTGCTGAGGATAAGGCTGCGGGTATGGTTGAGGAAATGGCTGCGGCTGACTGTATTGCGATTGTTGTTGTTGTTGTTGTTGCTGTGGATTCTGCTGCAGTTGCAGCTGGGTAGGCGGTTGATTCGAATCCATCGTGTTTATAAGCAATGTAGGTTGAGCCTTGCTTCGTATAAGATGTCTGCAATGCTCTCTTCCCACAGATCTGCGCGCCGGCCGTGTATGACTGCCTGTTGTACTCTAAGGGGAAACTCGTGAAGGAAAAGGAAGAAATGTGTGCTTGCGAAAAGTTTGGGCCCAAGTACTCCTCTACATGGGCATGGAGATGTTTTGCATTTCTCTCATCCCTGGTCACCTTCTTTCATTGCTAACAAGATCAACACTAAATTTAAGCATATTAGCATGGTTCCGTCTTTGAAACTGAATCACACTAACCTAGTCATTTTACGTGTAGCGTTTGGTCCAGCATTTTGGCGCCAGTTGAGTTAGTTGGAAGGATTCGTCTTGGTATTTCAGCTGGCAATCTGGTAGGCAAAATCGTTCCTGTCTTGAGACCAAATAAATGAAAGGAAATGAAATCTCGTGCTGAAAGCTTGCATGTGCTCGATATGGGCATTGTTGCTTCCACTGGGAATAAGCAAAAACCTGAACAACAGGAAAGAGACTCAGTCAAGCAATGCCACCAATTTCTTGAGTAGCCCGCAACGGCTCTGGCATGGCTCTGACTTGGAATGACTACTCTCGCCGCCAAGGTGCCCGGATGCAGCTTATTGCATAGCTCATCTTCCGTCGGCTTGGCCGTTGAAGATCCATGGAAATAGATCAGGCAGACACTTTGAGCAACCTACTTGCCTATTAGGCATTGACACGAAGCTTTTGTGCTTTACTAGATCAAGGTTGATTTGGGCTTTTCCCATCTTCATAGTTTACCAATGTGGTCTAACATACGGTGAGTGGCCGATCTTAGTGAACCACGTTTATGAAACTATCATTATTAATTAAATTGCCTGTCTACCACCCCCTGTCATCTTCGAATGTCGGTTTATTCATTGAAAATGGTCAATTTGCAAATATTCGTTCTCGCGGATGCCAGTCCCTGCTGACCTTTTATTCTCAAAGTCATTTTCTAAAGACAAGCATAGGACTAACTAAAACTAGCCGCATGTTTCGTTTGAGACAACTATACTGATTCTTATCAATTGATATATTATTATCTTGTAGGCGGCTCTTCAATTTGATTTGAGATCATTCATCATTTTGGAGAGCGGAATTAGGGAATTGGGCGTTCTCGATAATTTCTGACGAAAAGTAGGTTGATTGTGTCGGCCTGAAAATAATTTACACCAAATCCCAAGCATAGGTATGCGTATCATCACTTGAAGGAATAACATGTCACTCTCAAGTATGAGCATGTGATGAACTCCCAAAGGCACTTTTCCAATTTATCCCCCGTTGTGTGTCTTTTCGTGTCTACGAACTGCGCTAGATGATTTGATTTACAATTCAGCTATTGTCCTCATATTCCTGACACCATTCCCTTCTATAGTTCTTGATTCTTTCGCCAGCAATGGCTGCCTCGGCAACTAGACCAATGTCCTCGAGCAGATCGAGAACATCATAGGAGCCTCCCTCCTCGGCATAATCGCAGCGACGAATAATCCTCAGAAACTCATCAGTGGGAGAGTGCATAGCGAATCGCGAGACGCCTGTAACAATTCTCAGCCAAGTGGCTACCCACCTTGCATCCATTGTACCCGCACCTTGTCGCCATTCAATTGTCTTCTTCTTGCTCCATCCAGTATGGCCCATGTTGAGGCAGGAACATTGCAGAAAGCTATAATTGGCTCTGTCGTTGGTATGGAGCATTCCCTCAATCTGACAGGACGACTCCGTCCGCGCTATTTGTTCTATGCCGTACCAGATACCACGGTCCTTGGCCAGGTCAGCGACTGATAATACGTCTCCGTTAATCCGGTTCATCGCCTCCGCGTCCTCTTCGGTATACCTTGGTAGTTTGAGCCGCGGAAACGTGTTGAGACGTTTTGGCTTGCTCAGCATGTGATCGGGAACTCGTGGCAGAATCATTTCTGATTGACTTGGGGTTGCGCCGATGGCAACACTCGTCGTTAAAGTGCTGTTTTCAATAAAGGACTCAAAACAACCTGAACGTCTTGTCCTAGTGAATGCTTCGACTGTACTCTTGTCAATATGGGCCTCCCGCCACAAGGTTGACTCCTCCCCAAACCGAACGGCTCTTGCGATGTACCTCTCACATAAAAGTCTCTCTTCGAAATTGTGTTCAAGGTGGTCTTCAAGTTGCACCCCATGAGCGAGAGGGCTATATCCACGGATACTCATGCAGTGAGTACAAAAGCTTCGAGTCGGTGGGTGCAGAGTTGCCAAAAGCCGCTCGGCTGCCCAAGACATCATACTTATCCTCTTGACCCATTGAAATGGCATATAAGCAGCGCCGTTTCCAACATCTGTCCATAGTAATAGTTAGCCCTATACTAATATGACCAAAACATAAAGAATGGGGGGAGATCAGGGATACTTACGAATATGGAGGCCCATGGTTGGGTTGATCTGGATCCGGAATTTGGAGGCAAGCAAATTAATCATATATCGCACAACCTCGAAACTGAGTGGCGATTCCCACTCGACAGGAAGCCCAATCTCGATTGCGGCATATCTGAGTGGTAGTCTCGCCTTAAAGCCCTCAAGGCCAATTACTTTGATAGTAGTATCGCTCGCGACTTGGCAGTGTCGAAATGGATCGAGTTGGCGCGCTTCTTGCGTTTTTTGTCCACTCACTTCAGCTTCTTCTGTAGGAAATCCAGCATCCCGCAGTGTCTTGATTATCGCCTCTTGAACAGCTTCCTGGCCTATGTCGTGTAAATTTGGTCTGTGTACGCCTTTTGGGAATTCAATCTCCAGAGGCTGGGGCAGATCGTCATCTATAATCTTCTCCTCAGCCTCGCTGCTAGATGCATCTCTTGTATGAAACACGTAGATGACAGCAAACTCCAACTCAACACCAGTGCTAAGCCTCGGTGGCTTTGGCTCAGACTGATGGCTCATTTTCAATCTCCATGAACTTGAAAAAGCAGTAACTTTCGACCTTCCCAAAGAAAGGACAATAAGAGGTCAGACTGTAATAGTTCACAGAGGACAGTGGACTGAGGTGTCGTGACGGACTTTTGACTCCGTTTTAATTATAACGAAAGGAGAATATTGAGTCTGCAAAACTGTTTCTTGTCTTTTTTTACAATCCTTTATTCTACACAATGTTATTGTCAAGACGCAAATCATCCGTGTGTGTGGGGCTGAACAAGAGTTATGTTGCGGCACCAAGAGCTGTAAAAGAGGGTGGCTAGGGCTGAACTACTTGTATAATGAGCAGTTCTTTGTTCTCAGGAAGCTCACTCAGTCATTCTGAATTTGCCTGGATTTCAAAGGCATTCTAATAACAATGTATTTTTTGCTGCTCTCTGCGCCGCTTACAGTACCCTTTCCGCATCTAAAAGGTTAAATTACAGCTTGTTACTTGTATATCGTTCAGCCTCACTGAACAAACAAGCATTTCTAAATCTATCCACAAACTCGGAAATTGTGTCGCCATTTTGAATAGTATACTCAGCATTGCATACGCAATTCATCATAAATCGAGTTATTCAGTCATCATGTCCGTCTAGGCTCGGTCCAGCCCTATCTCTGGATTCATCGAAAGTGTTGTTCTCTCTGCTGATCATATATGATCGGGATTTCATTTGTATTGTCATTGCATCTCATTGCCAAGGTCTGTGGTAGCTAATGGATTGAAAGATGCTTTGGGAGAGACCGGAACTTGTCCTATTCATCTCTGGAGGTATAACATCAGATCATGCGTTGCAAATTACTTCTAGGGTTGCTCGAAAGAGCAGCAATATCGTACGGATCAGCAGCGTTTGTAGATATGAAACTAGGATTGCGCACACATTACGTCAGAAGGGAATACACCAATTTATTCAGGCTTTAATGGTTGTAGGTATAATGGACTCTTAGCCACTCGTAGCTCTTCGAGCAGGCCTCCAAGCCAGCAGGGTATCTAATCAATCAATAATTTTGAAATAGTGTAGCCTTGAGCGCAGTCAACATAACCACGCATTCATTACGATGCGCCAAGATAATGTAGCCACCGGAGAATTTCCATTGCAATGAAAGGTCATTATTAGAACGCGTGAATCATTTAGAGGCCTATGCCTGTATCATTGCGCCGGCCGGAGAAACTCCACGCATCACCGAGTAGGAGGTTGGCTGAACAGGTACTGTGGCGTCTGAATGAATGGCAGGCCGGGCCGCTGCCCCGTCAGGCTCGGTGGGCATACAAACGCAAGCCCGTGTTATCATGACACTGCAAAATCTGTAGCCCAGATCTCCAACAATAAATTTTCGTCGTGAGCTCACTTGTTGCAGGCAAAGATTTCTTGTTAATTAATTAGAGCCGCATCTTGGTCCCTTGTCCATATTTGTAAAACATATTAGATAACCCGAGCAACGCAGAGGCTAATAACATAGAGAGCCAAAAAGCACATCAGCCGGTATCCGTGGAAAGTCAAAGTATATTAATTTGGCGATTGGTCATGATAAGAGGGCGCCGATGCACTGGATTAAAGTCCTCACGGGATCGTCCTCATAAGCAACCCTTATAGCCAGAAAGCAGCTTTGGCATCAGCACATGGTTTGATGCGGATAATCTTGTGCCATACGAGCACAAAAAATACAATGCTAGCTGGTGACTGTATCAAGAATAATGGTAGCGCAGCGCAGGCAATCATCCATGTGGAGAGTGGTCTCCAAAAATTTGGTTGCTATACCGAAAACACGGAGAGAAGAGCGAGATCGTATTGGATGTGTACAAGGCATTGGAAGCCTTGTTTTGAGGCAAACGACTTACAATCGTGAGATGATAATGCCACCCATACCAGTGCCTGGCCAAACGTTTCATTGCTCGACAGTGCTCAGCTGCAACGGGAAAATTACATGCTAGTCGACGAGGTCGCACACTCATTGGCAAAGCTGACAACAAACTGGCATGGAACGACGACGATCAAATCTAATCGTACGCGGGACTTGTGTGAAGCGATATGCAGGTCCAGATTGCGGTCCAAATTGAACCGCAAAGCCGGCACAAACTGGTGCGGTGAAAAACAATATGTCATAATGCAGTTGGCGGATAAACTGTTAAGGTTCCCATCAAGAAATGACGAATGTATATCTGTGAGGCCCGAGGCAGGTCAAGCAACCATCAAGAGACACAGCCAACTCCTATGATGCTACTCAGGCAACACGGGTTCGTGAAGCGAGACCACAAGGAGGTTTTTGCTCAGCCAAGGACCCCTAAGGCACCGATCTACTTACCTATATGGGCAGGGGGTACGCACACAGGACGGGTCGGTGCAGAGGATAAGTTCTCGGACAGATGCACTGCGACCTTGAAAAGAAGCTTCAATCCTTACGAATCGCGTCCGGACGAGTGGCTGACGGCTCGTGCTACTATGTTCGCAAAGCTAACAGCAATCAGTCGTTCATCTCTCTTGGCGTAATAATGATTTCCATTGGTGACGTGGGTCGAATTTATATGGCTTAACTCAGGCCACATGTAAAATATGCAGCTGTAAATTTGCCTTCCCAGGAATATGTCCTGAACGCGGTATATAGATGTCACACGAAAAACTGCTAAAGTACTCTGTAGCTTGGGTTCCCTGCGTCGATCGGAGTTTTAAGACACAGATTCGCTAAAGTTCCTCAGAAGGCAATAAGCGAGGCATGCCCTTACTAGGCTTGTCAAAGACCACGCTGGCATCTAGGTCAACAGTGGATAGGTATGTGGGAAGGGAAAAAAAAAAAAAACAAGATCGCGCGCGAGACAGAGAGAGACAAGAGAGGCGCCCCGTCGGGGCGGAGTGTAGCGAAGCGAGCAACTGCAACGAGCAAGTACCTAGATGGGTAGGGCCATCAGCTTCCCCTGCTTCCATCATGGACTGCCCAAGTTGTTAGGTAGGGAGGAATGGTCGCGCGAGGAAATATCACCAATTGCGGAGAATATAACATGGCCCATCTTTGCAGCGCGGCTCTCAAAGTAAGTGGGCCGCTGTCCCTGCCCAAGCCCAGAGAACGATGCTCGTCAAGCCGCGTGGAGATCAATTGCTTCGAGTTTTTTTAGGCGGCCGTGGCATAATTCCGTCCGATGCGTTATTGCTGGGGCCTGCATCCCGAATGTATGAAAAGTGTACAATGAACTCGAGCTGGAGCTTTTTTTTCGTGGTTCATGGAGGGGTGGCGCCTTTACCATGTGTCGTGCCCTAGGCTCAATAGAGTACGACATAGGTATCTACCTTATTATAACATTACGTCGTCTGCTGGTCTATCTCCGAGTCTACTTGCCTCTGGGTATTTTGGCCGAGTTACCAATTCATGGGAGCTCATATAGGCGTATGCACGTATATCCAGGATGATCCATTCGTTTACAAAGTACATGTCGTCAAGGCCGTGTGGGCACTCGACGACTGACCGGTCCAGCGCCCAAGCCGGTGGCCGCAGTGGGTTGATTTTCCCAAAGCATGAAATACATTGCGCGGACAATCCCCTGATCTGCGCCGCCCATGACCTGCTAACTGAAATTGTTCCATTCCCCGAGGAGAGGGTCAGCGGGCTCTAGGACCATGGGGCCTGCTGCGTATGGATGCCTGCACCCCTGTGTTGGTCCCGTCTCGGCTATCGTCCCCAAGCGAGGCTCTAGAAGACTTCCCCGTTAGGCGAGCTATCCGCCAGACAGGCGACATCACGGCAAGCTGCGGGGAGTAGTGTACACTACGAACATACTTTGGTAGGTACCTAGCCCAGGGTTGGTCGATTGCCGCTGATCACATTCGTGTGCCCATTTCTCCAGACCTTTCTCGAGTGCATGTGTCTGTAAACAGCCCCCTTGATAGCCTCCAAGATCCGGAACGCAACACAACGTTATCAGACGAGGTGTCATACCACGCGCGTCAATAGTAGGCGCCCGCGACGCAGAGACGCTGCAGAGGCTCTGCAACAATTTCAGCCTCCCTGGCTTGCCTGGCTTTGCGTGGCCGCTTCCACTTATGCGCTTATATGCAGCAGGCGTCATCCTGGTCGCGAGTATAACCGCCCGTTGGCCAGCGCAAGAACCAGCCCCAAAGAAGAAGAAAAATTTCAAGAGAAAAGAAAATACCGCTCTTGAGTTGCATTAAATAATCTAGCCACCGACGTAACTTATTAAGATTAGATCTTACACCGTAGTATATTGAATAGCAATAGATATGCTTTAATACCAAAGCAGAGAAACTTGAGGAAAATAATAATACCTAATAATTAAAAACTCTGCCTCCTTGGGCTTTTCATTGTACGGGACCCGGAGCAATGCACAAAGATTGCTTGGGCGGGGACTTGCAAGGTCAGATCCTAGGGCTAGGCAAGACAGACGACGGGAACATCATATGTATTATTAGGTAGGGACGTTATGTGCGTACATAGTAGTACGTCCATATTCTGCAGCCGGGTGTTTCTTACCAGGAATCAAATTCTGACCAAGGCTAGCTAAGCTTGCGAGATGAAACGCGTTTCTTTGTTCCGATCGATGAGTATACTCACCTAGGAAAATCCACTAGTATTACTCTCAAGTTTAGTTGACAGGCAAGGCCTTGTCACCAAGTAACGCCCCCTCCATTTTACTTTTCGTGTCCTTCCGCAGTCGTCACAGGTCCCGATATTGGACCGTGACGAACACCTCCTGCTTTGAGCAGGCGAGAACTTGTTGCCGCGGCAGATTAAAAAACAGAACGATGCAAGCTTGGAAATGCATTGAATCCTTGCAGCTGCCTCGATCGTTAAAATCATTCCGAGCTTCCCCATCACCCCAGAATCCGCAATTTCACTACGTACCACTGTAAGTATGTCGATTCAAGTTCAGGGCCAGTGAATACAACTCGCAGCAAAAGAGCATAATGAATAATTCATTCGGCTCCGACGTGCGATCGTTCGAGACCACCATCCCATCTCAATTAACCAGAAGCGTCGCAAGTTCAGATGAACACTGACAAACTACTTCCCACTTATTGTTTTGCTTTTTCCTGTCCTTGTTCTGGGGTCCATGCCAGAGCTGCAGTTCGCAGTGCACCTTTGAACCTCGCACAATGGAGTCACACTGTCTGCGCTCGCTTGGCCTAGCACGCCTCTAGCCATCTCATCCTTCAGCATTTACACTGTTCTCTCAGTGGCACGCCTACATGGACCAAAGTGACTCTTTACAATACGCGGCGCCTAGGTAGACGAACATATCACGACCTTGGAGTCATGGAGGGAAACAGAACGCGTAGCATGTAGGAAATAAGAGTAGGTTGCCCTACTGCATGTGCATCTATACCCAAGCTTAAAACTTGAGTAGTCCGTACCTACGAGCTACCTAGGTATAAGCGGTTGCCAAAACCACGCACTCAACGGCTGCGGCACGAAAGATACAACGTCTAAACGCCTTTTACACAGTACCTGCTTGCCTGCCTAGGTACCTACCTACCCAGGCCAATCCACAGTCTTGGCATGCCTTGTCCACCCAGTCCCCTCTCTCCGAATTCCTACCGAATTGAACGAGGTGCAGGACACGGTATAAGTACTCTAATACGAAAGGAGCAACAGTCGATTTTGTGGTCTAAACGGAGCAAGTGACTGACTCCCTCAGTCCCGGGATCCGCAACAATTGGGCCGAAGCTTTCTTAGCTCCAACGCTCCCCCCAATTCACCATCCCAATTAATGATGAAGTTTTGTCACTGCTTCTCGGTATGTGTGACGTTCTTATTTTACGATGTATACTGGCTCCAGTGGTTGCTTGTTGTAAACAACTGGCACTTCGCAGCCCATTAATATATTTTGCCTGCTAGACTTACAGTATTATATTAGAGACTCGCTTATTAGGACCTGGCACTTTCTGTATACTTATACCTGAGTTTTGGTGTAATACTATGTAGGTAAAGCACCAAGAGACTGATTTGATGTATGTACGTACATAGATGTGTCTAAGAGGCGACCAGGTCATGGGTTTGTACATACATACTATCTTAGTAGTGTAGAGGGACTAGGTATGGAAGTACGTACCTGATCGCTTTTTACTACGAACATACCACGCTGCTACCCTTACATGCCCTTGTTCAAGCAGCTGGCTAGCCCCAAGAAACTCGGCCCAGGGTCGCGTTGGCTTGCGAGGGACGACCGAGGCGTAAGAGAGAAAGAGGAGGGACAAAGGAAGGGGAAAAAAAAAAAAAAAAAGTGCCCGCCGCCAATTCCTTGAAGGAAGCATTTTTTGCGCAAGAATTCAACGCACCATACCATCGGAGGAAAGGCAGCGTTGCTTGGCACCACAAACCCGTTCAGACTCTCAACAGCACTGCTTCGTACAGTACCGTACAGTACAGAGCATTAGTCTGCCGGTTTTGTGAAGCTTGGTACATTTGTATGGTACGGATTTGTTGGTGTGTACAGATGTCTGTGAGTGTATGTACATACGTGTGTTTGCGCGCGTGTGTATGTGTGCCTGGCTGCTTCTCGCTTCTGTACCTTGTTCTCCAGAGTGTGCCAGCCAGACCAGGAGAGTTGCATTCATCCAGTACCTGCCCCGGTCGGCCCTCGTCTTTCGACTGCGCGCCGGCGCCTTCGATTGAGTCCCCCTGCTCCTGATCTGGGTTCCATAAAATCCTCAAATTAAAATCAAATCAAAGGGCCAGGAAAAATAATAATAATAATGGCAGAGGCACAGGAGCCGCCGCTACAGCCACAAGCGCAACAGGTACAGCCGTCGGCGCAGGCACAAGCTCAGGCTCTACCTCTGCCACCCGGCGGCCCTGTCATGTTAATTCCAGCCGTTGCCAACGAAGAGACAAATAGCAGAAGTCATGGCTCTCTACCTGCTCTTGTGAGTAGTAATTTGCCTGATCCTTCCGTACTGGATAGAAGCCCGTCGCAACCGTCACAAGCCCCGGCCGAGCTCGAGACACATACGCAATATTGTTCAACGACAAACGACTCTGTCCAAGCACATGTAAAGTCTTCCCAAGACAGCCATCGCCAAAGGGAAAAGCCACAACCTGAGGGCATAGGACCGTCCACGAAAATACAGCAAGCCTCCGCATATGGAGCGACTGGGGCTGTCGAGGGGATAGAAGCAGAGAGAAGAGACGTTGATAAACTCCCCGGCGACGCGACCCATTTTGCGCCGAAGGCATACCTATTGCCGGCGCTTGTTCATGTGTCTGGTTCGGTCTCGACTGCCACTAAACCGAGCACCACGGCCGGCGTCACTACTACGATATCTTCTATTGCTGTGCCTTTCGACCTTGTACGCTCGACAGCAAAAACTCCGTCTGCGCGTGACACAAACACGGTCTTGGATTACGAAATCATTGCCGACGATATAGATCAGCTGCATACCTCGTCGGCGCCGCCATCACCAAGTCCACCCGTCATTATGTCGAATCCACCGCAGCATCCAGGCCACCAGCGGCCGCCAGTAGGATTTCCAAGCCCGACTTATGGTTCACAAGGCATATATGGCTACGGGAGTCCAACTGGCCCACCCGGTGATCCATACCGTGGACCGTCTGGCGGTCATCAGCCCATGTCTCTGCCGAGCATGAGAACGTTCGATCCGGTGCAACAGCAGCAGGCACAGCAAGTGCCAATGGCCCAGCAAATGATGCAAGTACAAGCGACTATGCCGCCGTACTACGCGCATCCAGTACCGCTGCCAGGGAATCCGTACAGCATGCCTCCTGATGCCATGGCATCGCGATACGCCTTGCCGCCGACCGACCCCAGATTCTTGGGGAACCCTCGCAACAAGAAAGTGGGTATCGCCTCCGATGGTTGACCGTTCTGTTTAGAACTCATTTCGGATTCCTCACGCGGCGATCTGTTAGCTGACAAGTTGCCTGAGCAGGAGATCAAGCGCCGAACAAAGACAGGATGTCTGACGTGTCGCAAGCGGCGAATCAAGGTATGTCGTCATTTCTTCCGGGTTGCGCATAGGTCCTCATGACGCTGGAGTTTTTCTTCTTCTTGTGTATTCTCTGTCTCCATATTCTTCGAGTTCGCAAAGTTGCACTCCCCTGCCGTTTTCCACCGACGACACATCTATCTGCTTCCCAAGAGGTATAGATTTGAGAGTCGCGAAAAGAAACACCTTAAAAAAGAAAGGGAACCATTAAAAGTGCCCCGTTCCGTTAGAGTTTTGGAAGTGGGTTCCGACCTTGTGCCCACCCCGTCCGTCCGTCCGCCCGTTGCTTCTCGCTTCGCTTGAAGATCGCCTGACTAAAGGCTTGTACCATGGAGCGAGCCAGTGAACCGTGGTTCGTGGAGCGGCGGGCGGAACGTGGAGCAGATGAACCAGGACCTTGCAAGTTGCCAGTCATTGATTCACTGTCTCTACTATGATTATTGGTTATTAGCGTGCACTACATTTTGTGCACCACGGGCCTGAGTTTCTTGGCCGCGATAACTGCACCACCAAATATTCCTGCTGTCTAGCCCCTATCCACTTTTTTTTTCTTCACCTTTCCCTCTTTTCCTGCTCGCTGTAAGCCCCTCCAGGCTTGACCAGCAGGCGAGAGGAGCTTGAAGCCACAAAAGCTAGGGGCCCTCTACTTCAAGTTCGAGCTCGCAACAACCACCACTCAAAGAAAGGCTGTGGAAATAACTGTTCGGGGAGATATTAAAAAAAAAAAAGACAGAGAAGAGGTCCACCAATATCGCGGTAGTGTCGCGATCGTGTGATTATATTATTCTCACAAAATCACTTGCTTCAGCGCGAAAAATCGAGCATTGAGCTGGGTATGGGACTATTTTGAAGTTTCAAAACACATTTACAGAGTCCAGGAACTACTTGTAACCTGCCTCAATCCAATCCGCATAACCAAAGTTCTAGCAGCATTCGTCCCGCTGGAATTTGCCGCTCTTGCCAGGCTTGCATCGATCAAATTGACTACTACACATACCATAGAAGCTAACCAATCCACGCAAAACCACCAGTGCGACGAGCAGCATCCCGTGTGTAAGAACTGTCAAAAGTCAAAGCGGGAATGTTTAGGCTACGATCCCATATTCAAGCAGCAACAACAGCAACAGCAACACACAACCATACAGCCAGCGTCCAACACCAACAACATTACCAACACCACCACCAGCCACCCCACCCCGTCGGCTTCTGTCCCGTCCAACGGGCCATCGTCTCTGCTACCACCAACCTCATCGTCTTCCTCAGTTGTACCTGGACCAAACAGCTCCGGCACTTATAGCTCTCTCCCGTCCGTTCTGCCAAGTTCCTACAATTCTGGCGCCTCATCGTCCAGCAACACGCCGGGTCATGCATATGAGCCCAGCCAGTCAGCACCGCCACAAACAATCAAGGGCGAGCACTTTGAGTACGGCCCCGCCATAGATCCCGCGTTGGACAGTGTGGGTGCACCTCCGAGTACGTCGACGTCGCATCTTCCACCAGTCAAGTCAGTCACGCCTATCGCTAGTCCTCTCCCCCAAAGACCGCCGAATAGTACTCTTACCCTGAGAGGTGGCGGTCCCGTCTTTACTTCACAGTCTGCTCAGCAGTCTGTCTCCCCCTTCCACCACTGGACTCCGGCTTACTCTGACAACTCAGCCAAGAACATGCGCGTCGATGAACTCGTGAGCTTGGGCCGGCCCCTGCCGCCCGAGGCCAAGTCGTTACCTGACCAGGCTCAGATGGACGAAATACGCGGCCTTTATGATGAGATCTACGCCCCCGGTCTTGAAAAGTTTTTCGAGACAAGGTGGTACACCCAGGAATCAACCGGTACGCAATTGGTCACGGTGCATGACTCTGTGGTCAAGAGGATCGCAGCATTACTCAGCCTGGTTGGGAGAGCAGACCAGCAAAAGCAAAATGCCATGACAGAATCCGCCAATGCCGAGTTTCGAACGGTTTGGGATCTTGCCTGTCTGCCGTTTGCAACACCTCCAAGAATCAACCCGCCGAGTGTCATCCCCCCTGATCACGATTCTGCCGAGGCTCGAAACCGTGTCTACGTCATTGAAGCTCTGCTCTCTGGCACCATTCTGATGGATAACCCGCTGGTTCGTCCTCCGCCTTCAGGCGACCTCCGCCGGGTGAGGGAACTTGACTTCTGGTACCATCTGGGGGAGTTCTGCCGGGTGGAACCGCTCGGAAATCCCCCGAATCCAATCATCTCATCTCAGCGTGATCAGATATTGAACAGAATTCGCACTCTGCTCGATGGAAGAGAGAACCGAGACGTACTCTATTCAGTCGCCATAATGCGTGCTCTGTCGCCTGAGTTTCCCCCAGATTTTGAGAGCACACTTCCTCAACATTTAGACGAAAACGACCCCAAGAGCAAGCTGGCGGTTGCTCGCAAGTTTGTTCAGGACGAATCAAAGGTGACTGGAGGCACGACCAACATTGTCCGTCGATTCTCTGAGTTGGCTACTCTGGCCTTCATTAATCCTGGCGTCAACGTATTACGTTCTGCTTGATCGGCTATGTATGTATGCGTCTATCCTTTGGCATCAGCACTTCGTCAACTGTATGATTTGCCTCCAGCGGCACAGGCCTGTACTATAAATTTTCGCCTTATTTTTCGACCATTGATCTCAATGGCGTGCGTTCTGGCTGCGATACGCGGGCAAGCTTGCTTGCCATTTGCAACCACAACTTTTCTTCGCCCTAGACCAGGAGAATGCACGTCCGCGCTTGATGAACGACTAATATACCCCGCCATCCATGCGACGGCATGATGACATGAAGTCACTTTCCCTTGGGAGGTTATAGATGTATGTATGATAAGGATTTCCATGTACGACAATCAAGGTTCTCAGAGAAATGAGGGGCATATTATGAAGAGTCCTACCACGGTGGTAGTAAACACGAGGGTCAAGGGGCATACTTGGACGATCTCATGGCATCCGGTTGAGGAACACCAGTTATAGAGCAGAGTATATTAGTCAATTTTGTACTGGAGGAAACTAGTAGATGCGTGGTAACTCGGAAAACAAAAAATGGCTATAGGATTACCCCACAAAGAGTCGTGGGGGCTCTAATATCTGACCCAAGCGCTTCTTCTTCTATAATATAAAGTCCACATATAAAGTCCACGTTGATCAATCCATTTTGTTCTTTGTATTGATTCCTTTTTTCCTTTTTTCCTTTTTTTTTTTTTTTTTTTTTTTTCTGGGTGAGCAAGTCATCCTTAACAGCTAGTGTCTCAAACTGCCGTGTGAAATCTCGAGAGATCCTTCCTGATCCAAAACCCTTACATCGAGATCAATGAACAAAAGAAAGTGTGTTTTGCTCTCAATACTTAGGATTCTAATACTCGGAGCCTCACTGCATATGGTGGGAAGGAAAATCATGGAAAAATCTGAGAGTCACTAGTATGGCAATTCAAATTGCTATCCTGCAATTGACTGGTCATGGCAAGTGGATATCAGTGGTGGCGAACTTATTTGTCAGTTGTAAGTTTTAACACTCGTTTTTGTAAGTTTTAACACTCGTCTTTCTGTTGAAAACAGACCAATTTAGGATCAATATCACTATCAGTCCCGACTTGAATGAGATCGACAAGTCATTCTTTCCAAGTGAGTAATTTTACTGCTTTATTCTTGTTCACTAATACGTACGCATATCAAGAAGTCTAGACTCAACTGAGTGAAGAAACGGTAATATTTCCGACAATGACAATAACACAATATAGACTCGGGTTCGGTAGGATGTCATGTGCTTGGTTTTGGCTGAACTCACTGTTGACATCTTTTACTCGGCAACCCAGTGTTTTTCTTTTCTTACCTTTTTTTTTTATTGGATAGGGGAAACAAGAATGCAAGTTGGCGTCGCCCCTTGGAGCGCATGCTGGCGAGTCATGGTGTGGACTTCATCTTGATTCAAGGTACGCTTGATGCGCCGAACCAGGATGAAAAAAAAAAAAGACCAACGGGGAAAAATGAATTGGTAGTACCGATTAAACCGATGGGTACCGACTATCACCTCAGACTTTGAACCGCGAACACTTCCGAATGGAGCGGGTATGCAAGACAATGCTTCCTTATCTTTCAAGGGTCGACAAGTTTGTTTACACGACGAACGACGTTGAGTACCACCATAGTTGATGTTCTCCAATTCGTTGCAAGGTCGAGCGCGCTGGCAATCTTGCATATGCTTTGCCTTGCCGCATACACCTATAGGTACTCATTCTCCCGAAAATGTGGACCCGTCACACATCCGACCGTGTAGATCTATCATCTCGAGTTTGCTTAGATTGATGTTTGAAGCATTGTTCATGAAAACGTGTTCAATGGCGACATTGTGCATTATATATCCATGCGTCGGTGGCACCGGGAACATGATCATTGGCAACCTAATGTCGCATTGCATCCTTTCTTCGAGGCGGATGGTATCAAGATTTGACGGGATTGCGCAATCGGGCTAAAATGGGCGGCGGCGCTAGGTAGACGGCAGGTACTAAGACCATTTGTTGTGTTGAATAGGCTGTAAGACAATGAAATCCATGGATCGACCCTGCTTGACTTTGCTTCTCAAAATTTATTCGCTCGCAATATCGGCCGTTGATAGCGACATTGGTGAACTGTACTGCGTGTGTTGGCGGTGAAGAAGCTGCGAAGCCGCTGGGTCGTCATGCGCAAGGGATACATAAAAGACGGTTGCTCCATTGTTGGGCCACCCCGAGTCAGTCTGGCATGAAAGACTACCTTGGAGCTGAGAATATTTCTCTTGCCGTAGCCACGAATCTCAAATACCCTCTTTGGCCATTCCGACCTTGTTTGACCCTCTGTTCCTTTTTGTTTTCCTCTCTCCTAATATTAGTAAAATCCTGGTTTGAGTACAGCCGAAGACGTCGACACTCATTCTCCAAAACACTCTCAACACACAAGCGTCATGGCACTCGTGCGAGGATACCCAGGCCAGACCATTGCTTCCAATGTGTTCTTGGACAAGCAATCGGATATCGTTGTTTCAACCGAGACCGTGGAGAACGACGAACTTGACCATGATGACAAGGACAACTACTTGATCGTCTCGCCATATACTGAAAAGGAGCACCTGCTTGACTTGAGAACTCTGGATAAGGAAAACGCGCTCTTGGCAAAAGCACTTGTCAAATTCAGGAGCCTACGTCCGGACTACGCCACGGCACCCTACACCGAGACGTTCAACTGGGACCAAGTCATGGAGGAATTGACGCGATTGGTCCGTGAGGAAGGCCACGTGTGGAAGGAGACGTCGTTTTATATCGTCGCTTTCCGGTCGCAAATCCCCCCAACAACAGTATACGCAGAGCTGGGTGTCCTGGACAAGGCAGCGCATGCTGAGGCGACAGCCAGTGGTGGGTTTCTCAAGTGAGTAGTCGAGTCATGAAAGCCGGAAGCTATAAAGATACCTACCCACCTACTGACGCATTCCAGGTACTGGTTCGGAACACCTGATCAGGAGGGGAGGAACTTGGCCACATGCGTGTGGCGGTCTCAGCAGGATGCCAGGCAAGGAGGAGTTGGGCCAGCACATCGCAAAGCTGCAGGAGCTGCGCGTCATTTGTACAGCGAATGGCGTATTGACAGACACCGACTTATTATCCGGGACGACCTGGTGAGCTGGCAAATTGTTGACTGGGCCGATTGAGTGAAAGCTGGCCTGGTAGTAGTGGGCAGGCATTTAGCTGTCTGCATACGGCGACAGAACCCATCCTGGCACTCTTGGATGGGCCGCGGGACGAGGGGGAGGGCAGGGTATGCGACCGGTGAAGGGCAAGTCTCCGGAGCAAGCCCTTGTCCCTTAGCCTTGTTCTGCCTCGCTATCCTTCTCATGAATCTGTGTTTAGCAAGGCGTTAACGGTATAGATATCAAAGCAGTAGAGCGGATCCGGATTTGCCGAGCGTGGTACTCAGAGGACGCACAGTAGCTAGAATGAGTAGACCTAGAGAATAAAGCTTATCGTGGATAAATGCACAACGATGCTCTGGATTGCTTTGATAACGCAAACGAACCCATTTGGCCAAGGGTGTGTGTACACATGGGCGTCCCACTGCATATATGCGACGTCCTGCAACCAGTCAATTGCTGGCGATAAACGTCAGACCATCACTGGAATGGTCCTGGGGTCGCAGGGCCAGTCTTTTTCAACTCAGACTGGGAGTCATGTCTGATGGAAATGATGGTGTGCTCAGTGGTGGCATCGCAGCCAAAGGGCAGGAAAGATGCTTCAGTGGACATTGCTCGAACATGAAGAAGGTTTCCAGCCGATCAGGTCACGTTGGACAATGGACAGAAAGGAGTTTGTGTGGTAGTTGTAATTTTTGTGTGGTAGTTGTAATACGGCTGTATAGCACAGCTGAAAAACGACGATGTCAGTGGTGAGAGAAGGGAAGGGAGTTGAATTGCATTGAGGCTCTTTTTCCAATGGCATGTCGTTGGAATTTAACTTGATTTCGGCATATATTTGGCGTGGGGGTTCAAGTGGGATATTCGCCAATGTCAAGCTCGCCATCGTCAAATGGATCCGCGTGGAGGACACCGGGCGTGGGATGACTTTTATAGAGCTAGGTCGAACAATATTATGTCTACAATTGACTACCTGCTACCTGGGAAAGTTCGTGTTGGTCAAGATATATGTATCTTGTGCCAGGTACCTGATGTGGGCAAGTAAGTACTGTTGAAAATCGTGTGCGCTCTTCTTGGGCATTGCAGACCTTCAGTGTTCAGGTGTTGTAACAGGCTACCTACCTCAAGCACTGGTATTTGCAGTCTGCTCTGCCTCACCTTCTGGGTACCATGCGTACATTAGTGCTTCCCATCTCTTCTAGGCGCCATTTAAGCGATTGTGGCCCAAGTAAAGAGTACACCACCTGGGCAGCTGGGTCAGAGCATGTAAAGGTATTGGCCCTTGGGGAGGGGCATTGAGCGCTGGACTGCAAAGGGCTGCAATCGCCTCCAATCATTTTTCGCACCTGGCCCTTCTCGCCGCAATTCTCCGCCCCGCCCACAATTCCGCAATTTCGCAACAAAACCTTCAACAAAGCATACTGCGACCCCGTCTACGCGTCTCCGAAAGATAGAGGCCACGGCTTGAGAGAAGGACCGCGCATTCCGACTTCTCCGTATTCAGGTTCCCCGAAGCATCACCCAAAAGCCGTACCATCGCAATCATGGCCGACGCTTCAAAGGACACGGGAATCACCTCCGTGCAGGTTGAGGCTCTGGTATGTTTACGAGAAGAATATCCCTGCCCCTCATTCGCACATGTCTGTCCGTTGGCCAATATTGATGTGTTCTGGACATCCTTCTAGGTGGTGATGAAGATTGTCAGACATGCCACCAGCACGTTTCCTTCTGTCGCGACCGGTGCCATCGTAGGCTTGGACCAAGGCGGACTCCTCAGCATCACCAACACGTTCCCATTCCCTACTGCCGACGTCGCCCACGCCGACGGCGGTTCCCACCAGAATGACGCATCGTCGCTGGCCGCTGCTGCTCCTCGGGCCAAGTCGAACCTGGTCTATCAGACAGAAATGATCCGACACCTCAAGGAAGTCAACGTGGACGCCAACGGCGTCGGCTTCTACACGAGCGCCACCATGGGCAACTTTGTCAACCGCAACTTCATCGAAAACCAATTTCACTACCAGAAGGAGAACGAGAAGAACGTTGCTCTGGTCCACGATGTCAGCCGCAGCTCACAAGGCGCCTTCAACCTGCGTGCATTCAAGCTGTCATCAACCTTCATGGCCGCTCTCAAGGAGGACAAGTTCACAACCGAAAGGTCATTATCGCCGCATTCCCGACTTTTTGTCTCATCTGGCTAACATTTTGCACATAGTCTTCAAAAGTCTAAACTCAACTTCAAGGACATTCTCGTCGAACTCCCCGTCACCGTTCACAACACACACCTGCTGGCCTCATATATACACCAGCTTCCCGGTCTTCCCGCCAAGGCCGAGGCTGACCTGCCCACATCCGTGTCCGACATTGAGAAGGCCGAGGTCAAGCTGCCCCTTTACCCCTCGGTCGACACTCTGGATCTCTCCATAGACCCCTTTCTCGAGAAGTCGTGTGATCTCTTGCTCGACAGCATAGAGTCGCACTACACCGAACTCAACAACCACCAATACTACCAGCGTCAACTGGCGCGCGAGCAGACCAAGATTACCGCCTGGCAAACAAAGCGCAAGGCGGAGAACGCAGCCCGTGCTGCAGCAAAACAAGAGCCTCTCCCGGAGGATGAGTGGCAGAGACTTTTCAAGCTGCCCCAAGAGCCCAGCAGACTCGAGGGTATGCTGAACGCTAAGCAGGTGGAGCAATACAGCAAGCAGATTGATGGATTCACTGCCAATGTCAGTGCCAAGATGTTTGCAGTCCGAGGAAACCTGATGCCCGAGTAACGGGAGGGTTGCGGATGTCTTAACGATTAGCAGCAGGAAAGCTTCGAATTTAACGAAGAGAAAGCAAAAGAAAGTGGTCTGCATCTGGCCTGGCGTTTGGGGTTTTCGGTTGTGATAGGCTTGTTCATGGGTGCAAGTCCATCATGACTTGATTTGAGCTTGGTATCTAGTGTATAGTCGTAGACTCATGAAGACTTTGCGAGCCAAGGCTCGAAGCAAGTCATAAGAACGTACTCATCACCGTAACTATTCCTTGCGTGCCACCAGCTTGAAGACTGCATGTACCGAAAATTGATTCACATTGGATTGAATCCTTTCACGCCATTCTCAGATTGAGACATGGTATCAGCCGGGAGAGAACTCAATTAACATCTTGAAGCGCACATTTGCTCGCTCAGACTCGTAAATATCGGAGGGTTGCGCTGACCGTGGAAATGAAGTCTCAGGTTTTATCAGCCATGCAGTCAGCCAGCGTAGCAATGGGGGATATGCACTGCTGACCAACGAAAGACGGAGCCAACCACCAAAGCCCAGGAGGATCTGAAATTATGTTTTCTTTCTTTCTTGTTCACAGATTATTATACTTCTAGTCAAGCAGTCACTCGTTTATCTAAACGATAGAAATTATGAATATTTCTTCAACTAAACATGGGTCTTAAGCAACCAAGTGTCTGTTAATGGCAAGTACCTAGACAAGTCATGTACGTGGTGTCGCACAATGCCAAGTCTCTTTCGAATACCAGTCTCACTGCCGAAGTCTCTGTGGTGGGGTAGGTATTGATGTGTGCGTATTCCTACAGGCCACAAGGTAGGAAAGAGGGGGTTGGATGGGGACTCGAGTGCTCGGAGGTGGGATGTCTAGCTTATCGATAGCGAGCGGTGGACGCCGAGATGGAATTTGCCAATTTGTTTCTGACCCACCATTCTCAGCCACTCACATCTCTGACCTGCTGCTCGTTGTCCAGGCTCGGGCGGCGGGACGGGGTCCTGTCAGATCTTTGAGCCTTTTGGCGCTGGACGCCGAAAAAGATTGGCATGTCTCGAATCCCAATGGGGAGGGGCGCCGCCTGAATGCGAGGGGTAAAAAATTGAATTATTGCCTTCAGGGTCCTTTTCTACTTGACCGTCTCACCCTTCCCTCTTCTTACCTCCAACTTCCACCCAATTCACTTTTTCTTTCTTCTTTTCTTCTTTTTCAGCTTGCTCCAAGAAGGACAGACTGAAACTGTACGTTGTTGTCTCCTCTCAGCCTTTGAGAAACCTCTTCTCAATCATTAACGAGTACCTACTGACCTTTTCTCTCAGAAATCTCTCCCGGGTCCTACACATTACACACCCCGCATTTTTACATTTTTTGACCGCCTCGACAGCTCAGTCAGTAAGCACAGAACACCTTTTTGCTGAACAAATCCCATTGCAGTGACAGTATCGACTAACAGTCTATCAGACAGTCATGTCTGCTCCCGCCAACAAGTTCAAGGTCGCTGACCTTTCCCTCGCTGCTTTCGGCCGCAAGGAGATCGAGCTTGCCGAGAATGAGATGCCCGGTCTGATGGCCATTCGCGAGAAGTACGCGGCTGACCAGCCTCTTGCCGGTGCCCGTATCGCCGGTTGCTTGCACATGACCATCCAGACCGCCGTCCTCATTGAGACTCTGACTGCCCTCGGTGCCGAGGTCACTTGGTCTTCCTGCAACATCTTCTCCACCCAGGACCACGCCGCCGCCGCCATTGCCGCCGCTGGTGTCCCTGTCTTCGCCTGGAAGGGTGAGACTGAGGAGGAGTACAACTGGTGCCTGGAGCAGCAGCTCGTTGCTTTCAAGGATGGCAAGAAGCTCAACCTCATCCTCGACGACGGTGGTGACCTGACTCACCTCGTTCACGACAAGTACCCCGAGCAGCTCAAGGATTGCTACGGTGTCTCTGAGGAGACCACCACTGGTGTCCACCACCTGTACCGCATGCTCAAGAACTCCAAGCTTCTCGTTCCTGCCATCAACGTCAACGACAGTGTTACCAAGAGCAAGTTCGACAACCTGTACGGTTGCCGTGAGTCCCTTGTTGACGGTATCAAGCGTGCCACCGATGTTATGATTGCTGGCAAGATTGCTGTCGTTGCTGGTTTCGGTGATGTCGGCAAGGGCTGCGCCATGGCCCTCCACGGCATGGGTGCCCGCGTCATCGTCACTGAGGTCGACCCCATCAACGCCCTCCAGGCCGCCATGGCTGGTTACCAGGTCACCACCATGGAGAAGGCTGCTTCTCTCGGTCAGATTTTCGTCACCACCACTGGCTGCACTGACATCATTGTCGGCGAGCACTTCTCTGCCATGCCCAACGACGCCATTGTTTGCAGTAAGTCATTTCATCTCAAGAATCAGGTACCATGAGACATTCATACTGACTTTTGTTCCCAGACATTGGTCACTTTGACTGTGAGATCGACGTTGCTTGGTTGAAGAAGAACGCTTCCAGCGTCCAGAACATCAAGCCTCAGGTTGACCGCTTCTTGATGCCCAGCGGCCGTCACATCATCCTCTTGGCTGAGGGTCGTCTGGTCAACTTGGGTTGTGCCACTGGTCACTCCTCCTTTGTCATGTCCTGCTCCTTTGCCAACCAGGTTCTTGCCCAGATCATGCTTTTCAAGGCTGAGGACAAGGCTTTCGGTGAGAAGCACGTCGCTTTCGCTAAGGCTGGCAAGCTCGACGTTGGTGTCTACGTCCTCCCCAAGGTCCTCGACGAGGAGGTCGCCCGCCTTCACCTGGCTCACTGCAACGTTGAGCTCAGCACTCTCAGCTCCAAGCAGAGCGAGTACCTTGGTCTCGCTGTTGAGGGTCCCTTCAAGGCTGACCACTACCGATACTAATTCTGCCGCATATCGGCTATTTTGAGTCTGCCCTCAATGAGGTGGACTGATCCAACTTCATGACCTGCAGTCTTCTGTCGTCTATTACAGGGTGTCAGTCGACTATGTTTCAACATCGCATAATGTCCACGGCATCACCGGGACCTAGGACAGGGTAGGGGTTACAAGGGGAATCAAAACAAAAAAAGAAGGGCACGATGCTGGGTCACGATTTTCAACAAAACGGCGTTGGCATAACTTGACATGTTGCATGATGATTCCCCCACGGCGTTCATTTTCTATTTGGTAGCGAAAGATCTGATGATAAGAGTCTGGTCAACCAGGCCGCAGCTTCATTTGAATGCTGAGTTGGCACTACAGCCATGACCCGTCAACCGGGCCAAGAGATAGACAATAGAAAACCATCTGTTGCATTTGCCTGATGAACTTGGGTGTTACCAAACAATTGAGGAATGTTCTTGACGTGATATTTGTGGTAGGAGGGCTCGTGTACAAAGACAACTTGATATTTATAAATAGGTACCCAACATTCAGCATTTGCTCACATGTTATGTCACATTCTGTGTCAATGATTGCGAACCACATGTACTGCTGCTCAACGCCAGAAGCTCTTTGCATCCTTGGCCATCAGAGGGAGGGCTTATTTGGACCTCTAGTATTGCCCATGGTACTGGGAATGTGTCGTTGATGCTCTTCCAACAGAATCTTGTTGGATTGCAAGCGATGTTTCGGTTTCTTCGTCCGAGCTTTGTCCGAAGATTCTCATCTGACTGCTCCCTCCAATAGGATTGAGGTTTCGATCGTCCGCACCTGTAAAGTACAATGTCCCCCCGCATTTAGGCCGCTCCCGCGAAGCTATACACCGTCCCGCATCGGCACCCGTAGCGATAACGGCTCCTGCTACTCCGATATCAACCAAATACCCGACACAAACCTGGGAGCTGCGGCATATTCCAAAGTACCTACTGATTGAGACTCTGCATCAGTCTTCCAATTGCAACCATCTTGTTCACTGGTCTGTACTCACAACAAGAGCCAAAAATCAAACACCCTGGCCTTTACAGCCCCCTTGGCTTTTACCCGTAAATTGTAATGACCTTGTTTTGGAGACAGTAGGCATTTCGGATCTATCCACGCTGCGCGCAGCTCGACTATACAAACGACGTGGTTCACCCGCTTTTGCCCTCCCCACGTACGACACTTCTCCCATCTGTGTTTTGTGACACGACAGACCACAATGAGCAGACCCAAGGTGTTGTTGCTGGGCATCGTTGAGCAGTCAGTATAGCATTCACTCAATGATCTCCATAAGAAAGCCGGCTTTAATGATACAGGCTTCCTGCCCGTTATACTCTATCTCCTCTCCATCTTGCTTTCCACCCAAGCCAGCACGTTCGAAGCGCTGACTTGGACCGCAGTGCCCACGAGACTTGGGCATCGCTCAGCAGCATTGCCGACATTGTGACGGCCAAATCCACCAATCGTGCCGACTTCATTGGGGAGTGTAACTCTGGAGCACTCGACGGGGTGGTTGTGGCTTATCGAACCTTTGACTCCAGCTCGATCACAGGCCCTGTGGACGCAAAGCTGGTGCCGCACCTGCCGTCGTCCTTGCGCTTCATCTGTCACAACGGTGCGGGCTATGACAGCATTGATGTCACTGCATGCACTGAACGAGGAATTCATGTGTCCAACGCACCCACCGCAGTTGACGACTCCACGGCTGACACAGGCATATGGCTCATGCTCGGTGCGCTACGGAATTTCAATGCCTCGCTTCTCAATCTCCGTAGGGGCGAGTGGCGTGGCGGCAAGACGACGTTGGTACCGCCACTGGGACACGACCCTCAGGGAAAGACGCTTGGAATCCTAGGTATGGGCGGCATTGGGCGCAACATGGCCATCAAGGCTCGCGCATTCGACATGCGCATCCTTTATCATAACCGCACTCGCTTGGATCCGGCACTCGAACAGGAACTCGAAGTAGAGTACAGAAGCTTTCAAGACTTGTTGCAAGAGAGCGACGTCTTGAGTCTCAATCTGCCCTTGAACGTACGTAAACTCCTCCATCTCTGTTCCAAGCAAAGGATACTCATACAATGTTTCAGCCGGCGACACGACACATTATTTCCACGGCACAATTCGGATTAATGAAGCCGGGTGTTGTGATTGTGAACACCGCTCGCGGTGCCGTCATAGACGAGGCGGCTCTCGTGGCTGCTCTCGACTCCGGCCATGTAGCGTCGGCTGGCCTGGACGTTTTCGAAAACGAACCGGAGATCCATCCTGGACTTCTTGCTAACGAGAAGGTTCTGATCGTCCCACACATGGGAACTTATTCCATCGAGACGCAGACCAAAATGGAAGAGTGGACCATTTCTAATGTCCGCATGTCGTTGCAAGAGGGTAAACTACGCAGTATCGTACCAGAGCAAAGACATTTGCAACATTAGTCTTTCCGCTGTTCACGAGAGGGCAATGTCGTAGGAGCCGATAGAAGCCGGAGACGGGGACGGAGCTCGTAGCCTGTTTCCTACTCCCAGTTAGTGCGACTGAGACCGTCTGTCATGACATAGTCGCTATTTTCTTCCATTACACCAAAGTTCCATTTTCTCCCTCTCTTAAAAGCTGAAGCCCTATTTCCATTGTATCGTGTCTGTCTAGAGCGTCCTGGCCACACACAAACCGGTTGGCCTGGGTATTGCCGCATATTTTCACGTGATGACACACTCTGACAGATACTTTAAAACTTTTACCTACTTGATTAACCGTGCTCCTCAAGCACAGCCGGGATATTGTTTGTGTTTAGCAGTTTTACTTGCACGTGTCTTTCTTTCGGCAGCCTTGAGGTGGTCCTCCAGGGAGGTAGAAGGTGGTCATTTGTACTCTAAGATTGTACAGACGGTACCAGATCTTGATATTACAGATTCAAGTAGAGATGAGACTCAAGGTCGACGAATTCGGACCACCAAGCTTAGCGGACCGTGTGTACGGGCCGTTTCACCCGGCTATGTGCCTTTCAGTCCATGTGCTGATAAAGAAGTGTTCCTTGTTTCTTGATGCAAATACTGTTAGGCTCACTACTGACGGCAGTCATCTGATATTAGCAATGCCTATTTTAGAAAAGCTGGGCAGAGCTTTTGTGCATTGGCCTCGCTTATGCCACCCACGAAAACCTCGTACTAGGACGCTTGCAAGCTGCACGAGCGAGCCACGGGCCTGGAATAGGAGAGTCGTGGGCTGGAAGGAGTGACTAGTATGCAAAGCGCCTGGATTGCAACAAAGCCCAGTGGTGGAATCGTGATACTTGTATGCTTGTCCACCAATAGAATACAAAAATAAGTGAGAGTGCCTGGTCAAATTAGCGAGGAGAGCGGGGAGATCTGGGGATGATCTGGGGTTGGGACAGTCTAGACTGAGTTTGGGGGGTTGGAGTTGCATTATCCGTACCACTATCTGGGACTGGTGCCACGATCAAACCCTGAAGGTCTCCTTGGGGTAGTTGGGGTACAGCAAATGGATCCCAAGAATCCTATGATACGACTACCAGGGTACTCATATATGACTTTGGATCCATCCTGCTGGATCACCTTTAACACTTTTACCCCCTATCGAAATAGCCAAACGATAGAATGGCAGACGAAAAACCCCAAGTTGTTGAAGGCGTTATAGGAGAACAGCATCACATAGCTGTTGATACTGGTACTGGCAAGACAGCCCAGCGTGAAGGAGCCCAAGCGAAAGAGGTTCACAATGTGAGTTGAGCCTCCACAAGTTTCTCATCGTCAGAAGTGGAGGGTTGACCAGACGAGATAACAGGCCGAGCTGTATGCAGCAATTCAAGAGACCAAAATCTCAAAAACAAGCAAGGAGTCCCTTCACCTGTTCTGTATGTGGACCCAAGTGATACATATATTTCGTCACACGCTCATTTATAACAGTTTCCGTTTTTGTTGCATTTTGCTGTGCCTGTGCCAACGGGTATGATGGTGAGTACCTATTTACGGATGGGCAATAGTTTCCACCAACTGACTTTGGCAATCATAGGGTCCCTTATGACGGCTATCATTGCTATGGAGCATTTCCAAAACACCTTCCATACCAAGGCCGTTGGATCACAAATTGCTGTCATGTACTCGCTGTATACAGTGTAAGCGCCAAACGTGAATCTTGCTTGGGGACAAATCTAACACTTGGTAGAGGGTCTATGGTAGCTGCGCCATTTGCAGCAATTCTTTCGGACCGGTTCGGTCGGCGCCGTGCAATGTTTTGTGGTGCCATTGTCATTATTGTTGGCGCCGTGATCGTAGCAACCTCGTCCACTGTCGCGCAATTTGTTGTTGGAAGATTTGTGCTGGGTATGGGCATCCAGGTCAGTGGCCGCTCTTGTTTGTCCTTCATCGGTGTCGCTGGGGCTTGGATTTGGACTTGGACATACCTTTGCCTAATTCCAGCCATTTGGCATTTTATACCCAGCTTACTACTGTACGACGAGACTGACTGACAATTCTTTCGTTGGCTAGGTCATGACAGTTGCTGCTCCCGCCTACGCCGTCGAAATATCGCCGCCGCATTGGCGCGGCAGATGCACCGGTATGTTTCTTGACGGAGGTACCTCGTTGTGTAGCTTCTGACGAGGACAGGGTTCTACAATACTGGCTGGTTCGGTGGCTCAATCCCTGCAGCTGCCATCACGTTCGGATGCAATTCTATCGGCAACAACTATCAATGGAGAATCCCGCTGATTCTCCAAGGGTTTGCTTGTGTCGTCGTCATAGCGGCCGTCCGCTTTATTCCAGAGTCCCCGCGCTGGCTCATGGCAAATGGAAAAGAGGAACAGGCCCGCGATTTTCTGATCAAGTACCACGGTAGTGGTAACCCGAACTCCCGCTTGGTGCTCCTCGAGTTAGAAGAGATGAAGGAGGGCATCAGACAAGACGGTATCGACAAGACAAATTTCGATTGTAAGTAGCTGAAAGTCAAGGGCAGTTTGTTTCCAAGGTCTAACCTCTCTAGATCGCCCTCTATTCTTGTCGCACAGTGGCCGGTGGCGGATGGCGCAGGTGCTGATGATTTCTATCTTTGGCCAATTCTCTGGAAATGGCCTCGGATACTTTAACACTGTCATCTTTGCACAACTCGGCGTCACCACTTCTTCTGGTCAATTGGGCTACAACCTGCTCAATTCGGTCCTTTCGGCGATTGGTGCATTGAGTGCAGTGGCCTTGACAGACCGAATGCCACGACGCAAAGTTTTGGTCATTGGAACATTTGGTGTGTGCACTTGTTCCTTGCTCCTTTGATGTATACCCCAAGTTCCTGCTGACAGTTGGGTATCTAGTTTGTGCCGTCATGCTTGCCATCAACTCTGGACTGTCGGCCGCTATCAATGAACAAGGAGAAAATATCATCACGTCATATGCTCAAGGTGGCTTGGCTGCGTATTTCTTGTTCAACATTATCTTTTCATTCACATACACTCCTCTGCAAGCCGTCGTGGTTACGGAAGCCCTCGAAACAACGATTCGAGCCAAAGGCCTTGCTGCCTCTGGTGTTATTGTCAGTGCCATGGGGTTCATCAACCAATTCGCCGGGCCCATCGCGCTGCAAAACATTGGTTACCGCTACATCTTTGTGTTTGTCGGCTGGGATGTGATTGAGTCCATTATATGGTACTTCTTTGGGTAAGTGTTATACCATAATGGACAGCACGAATCAATGCTAACTCGCATAAAGTGTCGAAGCTCAAGGCAGAACCTTGGAAGAGCTTGCATGGGTATATGATCAGCCGAATCCTGTCAAAGCATCTCTCAAGCTTGACAAAGTCATTGTCCAAGCCGACGGAAAGGTTACAGAGAAAATAGTTGATGCAGCCAACCTGTAACACAGCTTAAAGGGGACTAATCAGGTGCAGCAATGGGGGAGATGACCGAGAGATGCCCTCATTTCAATTTCAATGTCTTTACTTTTAATATGATTGGTATTTGATCTTTTGACCTAGTGGTTTAGTAGCGAGATGAGCCCCATGATATGATATAAATAAAAGCCCATGGGTTGAGTCAAGCAAAAAATCAAATATTGGCAAACACTCTGCGGCGAAGGGGAGTTGAACCCCTGTCCTAGGCATGGGAAGCCCAGATGCTGACCGTTACACCATCGCCGCGAATTGTTGTTGATAGATGCAAGGCTGTATTGGGATGTAGATGGTGCAGGTTGATGTGGAAATTAGCATGCGTGTCGGTGGGAGGAGATGTTGAGAAAGTTGAGGAAGGAAGGCGGCATAATGGGCATCATGGGGAAGGGGTAGCAAACATTCGAGGTTCCTGTAATGCGTTTACCAGAGATGGTGACACTCTATTACCAAACGTTTATGCAGCGGAGTTTGAATTTGAAAATGACGAGAAATTATACAAAGTATGATATTTAAAAATAATAACTTCTCTTGGGATTTCTATATCTAAGTATACGATTCTTAGGGGAAATTGTCATTGGGAGATTCCTTTCCTCGGGTCAGCCAGACCTTGGAGACCTCATACATGCCCAAATAGAGACCACTGCCCACAGCGGTCCATACAGCACGCAGTACTGCTCCTCTGAACAATCCCGGGATCCCTCGTTCTCTGACCACCTGCCTTGCTACCGATAAGCCGCCCTTATTTTGATTTTGAGACACGTTATCTGACAATTGTTTGTCGCGCGTCTCTCGAATCTGCTGTTCGGAACCCTGCGAATCTCCTGCCATTAACATCATCCGCGTTTTCACCACATCCATTGGCGTGGTGATGACAGCAGCAAAACTACCTGCCAAGCCCGCACTGGTACCAGTCACCACGCCTGTCTCAAACAGGCTCTGTTCCTCGCCGTTTGCACGTTTCGACCTGTCACCGTTGGGACCACCTGACCTTTGTGCCCAGATCTCGCTGCGAGCATATTCAAAGATGGGGAACTGGATGGCAGTAAAAGGCAGGTTCCTCGCCACCATAGCCGTGTAGCCGCTAAGTAAACGCCGCGATGCACCCTGACCTCGCAAGTGCTTGAGAGCTTCCAAACTAGTCGAGCGTGTATCCCCGCCTTTGCTACTAGAAAGCATCTGTGCGTTTTGTTTGATGACCTCGGCGGGCGTGAGCACGATGCAGCTTGCCATCTCAGCCACGGCAGAAGCGGCCGAATGCACTACAGGCTGCGGCAATCCCATGCTCGACCCATGACGTCCAAAGAAGGTCTTGGCGGCTTCGTAGACGGAAAAGAATGTCCCTGCGGCAGGAAGAGTGGCTACAACGACTATGCCAATGCCCTGGTACAAACCACGAAAGAGCTGAGACGATGGAAGCTTTGTCTTGGTTGCAGGGTCTGCAAAGGTGCGAAGGAAATCTTGTGACTGCTTCCGTGTTTTCAAAGTATCTAGCGGATAGATAAGCAGGTCTACTGTGAACGCTGCCGCTGCGCCAGCCTATCAGGATACATGTCAGAAATCAGGATATGACTTGATGTGTGGAATGGTGAGCTTGCTACCAGAACTATTCACCAGCTGGGTAGGAATGTAGAGACCAGACTTACAAGCAGAACATCTCTGTTGGAGCCACTGCTCATAGCGGTGACGTTTGAGCACACGGCAAGACTGATGTTTGGACCGTCCGATTAGTATGTATGTAACCAACGTAGAGATATCAAATTTCAGCCTGCAGGGCGCAGAGTAGTGTATTGAGTGAATGGGTGCATCATATTATCACTAGCTAATCCGTTCGGTTATTAGTGCGCAGCCAGATAAATGACGACATAGGCTTTTATGTGCCTTGTGTACGGTTGCTGGGTGGTCCTATCAGATAGCGAGCTGTGCCCGAGGTTTATTGGATAGTGGATCGCCACGGTATTGCTTTCAGCAGATGCCATAGATCATGGGTCAAAAATCACTGCAGAGAATTTTATGATTCATAAGTACTCAAATGACAAAATCATGGAATTCAGGTGCCTGTATTGCCATCTTTCGCTCAAGGCTCAATGCAGTTCTGAATTGACACATTTCAAACCAATTTCTTGAGCGATTGGAGAGGTAGCTCATCTCGGCAAAATTCATGAGGCAACTTTATACGCTGCAACACTACTGGCCATTCATGGCAAAAAGACTTTAAACGTTTGTGGAAACCTATGAATTCGAGAGAACCTTCAAGCCTTGGATTCCTGACACGAATTAAGGATATCAATGAGCCAAACCAGTGAGCTTGGCGGCCGACCTTGAGGACTGTTCAGTCCACTTTTCTTTTTGTTCCCGTGTATTGTGGCATCAAGTATTTATTAGCTCTATTATGGAACGCCGACACGCTCACAGTCCACTGAGGTACAAGAAGCAATGGATATCACATCGCCCAACTCCACCCTCTTTTTTGATACACACCAATTGTCTCCCTCGCCATCAGCCCAAAGCGCCAGAGCCCGCCTTCAGCCTTCAGTACCACTGCTGCGGAAGGTGTGGCACAAGGCAGCGTAGTGATGTGTCAAATCCAAGACGCTTTGGCTGAGACTCGTTGCTTGAATGATGCTCCGAACTTTCACGGCACCTTCGTCTTCTATCAGAGTGCGGATAGTGTAGAGGAGCTCGGGCGAAAACTCGCTGTACCATCGGTACTGCCAGGCGACCAGGCGAATGACGCTAGCGATTGTTTCTCTGGTGTTCTTCTGCTTCTCATAGACACGCAGAATGCCCGTCAGCGCCTTGGGGCTGAACCGGAGGGACAAGCAGGCACGGTACGCCTCGACTGCCTCGTCGTGATGTTGCAAACGCTCTGCCAGAGAGCCAAGGATTTCCCATTCCTCCGCCGACTTCTTGTATTGCATCGATTGGGCACGATACTGCGCCATCTGGGTGCGCCAAATGGTGTAAACACGTAGGTCCTCGTAAAGGACCATGAAAAGGCTATCCAACCAGCGCTCACATAGACGCTTGTTGTTGAGACGAGACAAGTGCTCCTCGGTCGTTGCAGTCTAATCATTGGGTTTCAGCATGTAGACAAGGAGAGATTAATGGAACTGGAAACTCACATTGTTGGAATCTGACTGAATGGCGTCGGCTTTCACCTCACCTGGATCAATTGTATGTTCCGGCTTCTCAACAGAGGATGCCTCTTTTCCGTTGGTCAGTGTCGGTGCAGTAGAGTCTGCATCAGATTTCGAGGGCTTCTCTTCGCCATCTCCTTCCTCGTCGCTGTGTTCACCATTGGTTGGTTCAGGGGATCCGCGCAGCCCATCCGTACTAGGGTTCCGTGCCGCAGGTGCTGCTGATGGCTCCTGTCTTTCACTTCTGTACTCATCCTCCATGACGAAGACGTTGCTTCGAATCTTGAGCAACTGATCCCAGCCAATCTTGGCAGTCATCTCTGTCAAGATGGCATACGCTTGTTTAAAGGTTCCCTTGTACGCAGCCGCTCTAAGGTTGAGTAGACTAGAGTCTACCTGTTCATATTGGCGGGATTCGGGTTCGCTGTCAATTTCGTCTAGGCGCGTCTCGGGAAGTGTGGGCAGGTACACGTCCTTTGGCTCTGGCATGAGCGGAGCATCCTTGTCCTGATAGGTAAACATTGGGCAAGAGTTCAAAATGGTCAAAGCATTCTCCCAATCTTCCTTGATGACATAGATTTGCGCAAGTCTTGCCCACGTTCCGAACTCACTGGGTGCAGCAATGGTGCTTCGATCAGCACAACCCAAAGCCATGTTCAAGCGCTCCTCTTTCTGTTCTGCAGTCGGTGCTGCCATTGCCTTCCTCATCAGGAATTCAGCTTGCGTATCCAACATGACATAGTCCATGGGTGACTCCTTGAGGGCTTCATAGAGCACGCGCACGCCCTGTACCTCTTCGTTGCCCATGAACAGCACCCTCGACAGCAATGAGGAGACCTCGACGTTCTGCGATCGAAGCTTCTCAAAGAGATTGATAGCGGAGGCAAAGCGTCCTGTGGTATGAAAATACTTTAGAAGACCTGCAGTCAGATGGTTCGACACGTTGTTTGGCACCTGAACGACGGAATCGGATCCGACTTGCCAACCTCTGAAGAAGAGATGTTCTGCGGCGCTTAAGAATCTGTGCTCGGTCTCGGTATTCGTAACGGGGTTGAATCGACGAACACCCATAATCTTACGTATGGTATCGCCACTTCCATCGTCGGCGTAAGAGTAGGCTCGTAGCACGCTGCATAGGTAGGTCTCTAACCACAGCTCTTCGGTCGCCTTGCGCTTCTCACCCCGCTCGTCGACACAATAGCTCTCGACAGTTCCGGGGATCGTGACGTGGACACGCATATCCAGGCGTGAGAAGGCATTGTAGCAACAATAAATACCCTCTGTAATTTTGTTACCAGCAGTCGGGCCCTGCTCTTTGTTGTAGGTGAGGGTGTTGATATATGCAGCCAGACTGGCCGATGACGATGCATCTACGCCTGTGACATGATGGTAAACTCCAATGTGTCGGCCTGGATTGCTGCGATTCTGCTTGAGAAGGTGGACGAGATCCGGGGGGCCCAGCTCGCGCAATGAGACGAGTGACTCGGTACGGGCCTCAATCGATTCGTGAAGGGTGTCTTCAGTGATCCTAGAGCTCAAATCAGCTAGATACGATCGCAGAATCTTGGACAGAGTTCTTACTCTGGCACCGCCGGCGCAGGCATTGTGAGTGTCGCTTGTCAAGAGCAAGGGAATGGCGGAAATAGCTTGCAGATGGGGGAAGTGGATGCGACTCTTGGGAGCCACAAGATGAAGGGTGAAGTAAGACAATTGGCCCGTTGAATACGTCGAATTGCACACGGTCAAAGAAGCTATCGCCCGATGCTGCACAGGAGAAAGGCTGCCAGTGCGTGGACGGCAAGTCCAAAGTGGATGTTGATGATTTGGGCTGAGATCTGGGAAAGCTACCAGCTCACGGATGATGCTGCTGGCCTTTGTGTGCTGCGCGGCAGTTGCGTGGGTCCAGACTGTGAGCCAAGACCGAAGATACAGAGAAGCAAAAGATGAGCACAGGCCAAGGGGGTACCTGATAGCGGAGGCGAGCCGCGATTCAAGACACGGGGGCCCCTGAAAGCGTGCGGATCGTCAAGAGCATGGCAGCCTTGCAGTGCTACTAATGCCCCAATTCACAGTGGGGGTAAATACCCCAAAAGTGTCCCACTGGCCAATCAATCACAGGGCTATTGTATTCCATCTTGGACGTCCACCCGTTTGTTACCCACGGGTTTACCTGTTTGAAAGCAAACGCCCGCCGTAGACTTGCACCGAGTAAAGAGGCATTCATGTCCCTTACCAAGTACTCTAGCAAGGCAGAGGATTGAGAGTGATATACCGTAATGGTGTATAATAGTAGGAAAAAGAAAGGCTTCTTTATTGAAAATGTTTGAATGATACTGCTGATTTTAGCTTCTACTGATCCTGAGCAGTATGGGTAGTCGTGCCTACATCAAGGCAATGTATTCAGATACCAAATTTTATAATTGTTTCAAAATTGAAGGACATATAGCCCAGACTCCAGCAGTGCGTAACATGAAATGCATCTGTGACCAGCATTATCTCGAGCTTGAGGGCCGTCACATGGCCAAGGTTGCTAACATTCTCGGCTTCAATGGATGGACCTTGGGGACTTACAACATACCTAGGAATGGTTAGGTTTTAGTGTCCGCCTTTAATGGATTATGCGCCGAAGTTCTGCACTGTCGCGTCTGGATCTGGTGCCACGCGACGACAGGGCCACGCAGCAAATGTAGCTTGGTAGCTGCCTTACCTAATGTAGAACTTACTTGACCTACACCTTGTACAATTATTTGCCCAAATACCCTACCTGTCAGTACGATTGCGGCCACCAAGAGATGTGCGATTCGCGTGCTGCCAATCTCTTGTCGCAACTTTGCAACTCCATTTCGACGATCTTCTGAATCGCGCCAGTCAATTGCCCCGGGCCGAGTCCGCCTGAATCACGTTGCGCCGACGGAGCTGTTAAACGAGATGCACGGAACGGAACATTGCACGTAATAAAGCACTGTATGAATGGCCTATCGCCGCCCATTGCTACATCAAGATGGTGAGCACACAACATTTGTCATTCCAGGTCTGGCCATCAACTAATGTCTTCCTACCAGCCGGCCTTCTCAGCCATTAATGTCGAGCCCGAGGACAACCTTGTCGAGGAGGTTGACACAACCCGCGAACTTCACATAGAGGAGGCACTGAAGCGCTTTCAAACAGCTCTCAAGCTCCACGCCCAGGGGCCAGAACACTTCACCGAAGCCGCAGAAACATATCAAGTCCTCTTCGAATCAGAGATATTCCAGTACCCGGATGCAGTCACCGAATTTGACCGCGTAGAACAGCAGTCCGACCCTCACCCGGATGCGACTGGCGGCAGCTCTCTGCACCCGCTCGAGGCTGCGCAGCTCGATATTGCGCAACACGATGTCGATGGCACTGGAAGTAGCTTGCCACAAGCACTATACATCGCCTACAAGAACCATGGACAGTTTTTGTTGGACACCATCAAACACCACGCCAAAACCGAGGGCGAGGCAGTTTTTGAACAGAAAGAGACGCGCAAGAAGGCGCGAGAGGCGTTAGGGAACCTCAGTATTGCTCTCGACCACGATCCGTCTGATGCAGACCTTTGGAGACGAACCGCGCGCGTTGCTGCCTTTTTACAAAGCACCAGAGCGAGCAGATACTGTTTGGAGGCAGCTATCGAGCTCGACGATGATCCCGCCGTAGACGAGGTCGAGCCGCCCTCGCTGGCAGAGGGATTCGCTGGCGAGCAACTCAAGGAGCAATTGGAGGTCCTCGGCGATGATGTTGCCAAGTCACACCCGATACTGGCACCATACTCCCACCGGACCATGCCAGCGTTTCTAAAGAAGCACCTGGACCCGATTCCATTTCTTCCTGACCCCAGCAAGTCTCTTGCTACACCACATTCTCCACCACCAACTCCAAACGATACATTGTCGGATCAGCTCACCTTACAGGTTGAGGAATCGTCGTGGGCTGAGCTGGGCATGACATTAGTTCGCACCATGACTGCAAATGGTGTCTCGGCACGACCCATATGGATTGAGCTGCCAGATCTACCTAGTAGTCCTGACCCACCACGACAGGCCTTGGTAGAGCGCATCAAGTCAGTCGACGGCGATGTAGAGCACGAGTCACAAGCCCAAGCGACCGACAAGCCTGGCAAAAGTGGCAATCCAGAGGAAGCTGAAGCAAGCCCCGGGGACGGCCAGAATGGTGCGGTAGCCGTGGCTACTGCAAAGACGCAGCGCAGTGAATCCGTGATATCGAGAAAGCGGTCTCATTCCGCCGCAGCTATACCCGACGGTGAACCGGAGGAGGTAGTCGAGAAGAGAAGCAAAAGAACACGCCGAAGAGAGACCGCCGTGGAAGATACAGGGGACACGCAGCCGATTTTCGCAGTTCAACTCGAACCATTCCAGGCTGCTGACAAAAACTTATTCCAGACTACCAAGAATCTGGCAGAAAACCTTGGCGTCTCGGATCCGAGCACACTACAGCGACTCAGTGAAATCATTGAGCTTTCCGCTCTGGAACATCGAACTATCAAGGTCACAGAGCCATCCATGGTTGATCTCCGGGATAGTCTGCTCAAGTTTGAAGAAGACCAGGCCAGAATACTGTTGAACAAGCATGAAACGTCTTCCATTGGATTTTCATCCTTTCTTGAACACGCAAAGCCCGGATCTCAACTCAAAACTGAAATGCCTGCTTTTGAAGAGAGCAGGAACATCAAGTCTTTTGCGATAAAAGCCAACGAAGATGGGCTGGGTATGCCAGACATTGCATTCGAATGGGTGCAGTCAGTGTTTCGATCCTATACAGACTACAAATGGTCGGATTCAATGAAGACGGCCGTGGTTCAAGTCATTAGTCACTTGGATGAGGAGATTTACAGTCGCACATTGTATGAGCTGCAGTCTCTGGACACAACACAGAAATCCAGAGAGGATGCGACATCTCTGGATCATATGGTTCAGACCCTCTTTGAACTTCACCTCGATGTCTATGAGAGGATCACGAACCCTAACAGCGCCGTCGACTTTGGGATTCGAGTAGAGACCAAGGGACGGCTCGGCAGATGGTTCTCTCTTGCTTCGCAGCTGAGCAGGAACCGTCCTGAGGGGTCCGACAGTACGCTTTCCGCAAGATTCCTGTGGGCTGTTGTCTTCTCCGTCACACTCACCGAGGGAGTATCACGCGAGCACGTACTGCAGTGCTGGCAGAGTCTTCGTGAAGCCCTAGCTTCAGACTTTGAAGATGTCACTGTGGCGTTGCCGAACAATGCCATCATGCCTGAGATATCCACGCAAGCGGCCGACCGGGAAATCAGCAAGCTCACAACCATGGACTTCTTTCTTGGGCTTTTCCAAGACGATCTTAGCGATCCAATTAGTGTCATTGACAGCCTGGAACCAGTCCTGAATCCCGCTGGAGTTTTCACGACGACGACAACGACTGCGACCCAGCCGGAAGGTTCGCCAACACCTAGTGAACAATTGAGATCGCCTAGCCAGCGACAGGATATTGCAAGCCCAAAACCAATCACAGAGACCGCAAGCCAGGGTTTGCATGATTTGTGGAAGTTTCTGCTCAGCGCCAGCACCGAGCTCCGTCTTTTTCTGTGGAATCGCTTGGGCGCAGCATATCGTGCCATTACATACCCAACCAAAGTTTTTTCGTGCAATCTCAAGGCAATCGAGATGGTCGTGGGCGACTTTGAGAGAGATCCATATCTGAGTATGCCAATTGCGGAGCGGCGCCCTCTCTTTTTGAAGATGCTCAAATTTGTTGACAACTTGCTGGTGCAATCCCTCTCGATCGCCTTGAACGATCCGACGGCTTTTGACATCATTGATGAAGACCACCTCAATTCTAGTGTTGCGGCGCTGGCAAAGCTCGCATGCATTCTGCATACAGCTCCAATGTTTGAGGACGAAGTTCGGGTTGGGATGAGTGCGGCTCCCTCTTCTAGTGCTACATTCTCGTCATTTTTCAACAAGCTACGAGAGTTGCAAGTGAGAAATTGGTCGTTGCTCTACACGCTTCTAAAGTTTGGCGTCCTCCAGAACAAGACTACCTTCAAAACCCCCGAGGCTGATCTTGCCGACTATCTTGCTGCTGTGCATCAAGTCCTCGGACTTCGAAAGTCCTGCAAAGCATCAAACAAAATATTCCTCAAGATGATGCGGGTAGAGCTCTTGAAGCAGAATCTAATCGACAACTGGGAGGATTACATGGGCCAAGTACTCTACGACCTCTATGGTTTGAAGGGTATTGGCGTCTGGGAAGTACAAGACCACGGCTGTGCTGCCGAGAAACTGGAGAGGCGCAATACCATGGCGCTGGTGGAAAAGATTTCCGCCCTGGCGAACAGCATACCCATGAAGGATCTTCTCAAGTCAGATCTCAAGACGACCATTGAAACCATGCAACAGGCCATCGGGCAGACCAAGAGTAACCAGCAAACCATACACAATCTCCGCAACTTTACAGAGTATCTCAGGAGGCCAATCCACCCGCTACGTTTGTATCAGGCTCTCAGGGGCAACGTTACCATTGATGCTGTTGCAGTTACAACACCAGACAGTGTTCTGGCCAAGCACCAGTGGTTCTTCCTCTTGGGTATGATTGCATTCAGCAAATTCAAGGGCGTTGATCTGAATAGAAGGCAAACCCCGGGCGCTACTGACGACCTCCGCATGGGCGCCACTTTCCTCAGACAACAGCTTCAATTCACTCCTGATCAGTGGAACGCTTGGTTCAGACTAGCTGAATGCTTTGATTATGAGCTCGATGAATCAGTCCTCTGGTCTGCAGACAAGATGAACAAGGAGCGGGCAGAGCTGGTCAAGTACCAACGAAACGCCATTCACTGCTATGCCCTTGCACTCTCCAACTCTCGAAAGGTCGGCCCGGACTTTGAGGGCGAGGCTTTGGAGGCAATTCACGAATTATATCACAAATTCGCCATGCGCATGTATGCCTCGAGTCGAGGTCCTTTTGACATGGAGCCTTTCAAACACGCCGACCAGGAGCGCTTTTTCATCCAGAGCATGGGTGCTGGAACGTTCAAGAGGAAGATTCACGAGGAGATGGAGGACTACAAGGTGTGGAAGTACGCTGCGACCTTGTTCAAGAAGGCTTCTGCGGTGAAGCCAAAGGAATGGAAGTGAGTAATGCACTGTACACCCAACACGTGATAACACCCTAACTGAGAACAGAAATTTCTACATGTACGCCAAATGCATTTGGAAAATGTTCCAGAAGCCGTATACGTCTCTGGACCACAAGGACAGGCAGTCCCGCCCGACAGTAGCCGATGTTCTGAGCGCACTAGAACGGTCCGTCGAGGTCGTGGCTGCGCTGCCAAAGCCAAGATCCGGTGATTCAATCCTCGAGCCGCACTACAAGATCGTCGCTGTTGTGCACAAGCTTGTACTTCGGGAAGACCTGACCCCTACCGAAGGGGCTGAGATTCTCCAGCGTCAGCCTTTGGCTGTGAAGAAAGGTTCTCCAGTGGAAGTGGCAACAGCGGATGAATGGAGCACCTACATGATAGAGTGTCTGCAGCACCTTCGCGAGAAAGACAAGTCGAATTGGCAGCACCGGATCATAATGCGACACGCCCGCATCCTGTTTGACGAGACGGCCGAGAACCCAGACCATGCAGATGCTTTGGCTGCTTTCGCTGTACTTCAGAAGTCCATGTTTACCAAAACCATGGTAATGAATGTGTGGAAATGCGATGCTGAACGGCCTGGTCGTCATCACGTCTACACTGAGCAGTACGTTCGATTCATGGTGAAAATTCTGTGTGTCACCAAGGACCGAGTGAACTTTGAGGCACTACTGCGACGCATCCGCAAGAAGGGTGCCGACTTTTACCATTTCACCGAGCTTTGGCAGTATTGCTGTATTTCATATCTTAAGCTGATACGAAGTCACTTTAATATCGAACCTGTCCTCGAGGACGTGTATAAGAATGTGTCTCCCGAGGAATTCGAGATTATCACGGAGCGGATCAGCGAGTGGTCCATCGACTCGGCCGCAGGCGAGACTCCTGCCTTTGGAGCGCTGAAAGAAACCATCGAACTCAAAAAGCTCAACTCTGCCCTCATGAAAGCTGGCGCGATAGACGATCTCATCACGGATTGCTACACCGCAATTTACATGGAAGTTGGCAAGTCACTCCCTGGACCTCCACCCGAGACTCTTATCCAGGAGCGAGCCGAAGCAAAAGCTCGCGACGAGGAGAAACCAGCAGGTGAAGACGTAGAGAAACCAAGCAATCCGTTCAGCATGCTGCTAAATCCACAATCTGTAGACAATTCTGGCACTGAAGCCGGACCAGCAGCAGCTGCACCAGAAGGAGCGGCTCGGCAACGTCGCATCGGAGTCAGGAGACCGGATATTCTCCGAAAGGCGGAACATGCTGTGAACCGTAATGTCGAGGGTCCTGTCAAAGCTGTGGGAGGCAAATCGCTTCGGGGATCGGTCTCAAGTGGCCGGACGCGGGGAAGCAAAACGCCAATCGGAGAAGACAGCAAGGACGGCGACATTGATATGGAGGATGGCGGAGATGAGAGCAGCGCCCCTGGAAGCATTCACGACTCTGCAGATGATGAAAGTGATCTTAGTGATGTGCCAGCCTCGGAGCTATTGGATGAAGAGGAGGCCGCCCTCCTATTTCCAGGACTGGCACGACGTAGTGTCGATAATGACACTGATGAGGATGGTCATGATGAGAGCGGAGAGGATGGTGGCGATGAGGAAGAAGAGGAAGAACAGGAGGATATTGAAGATGTCGAAAATGCCGCAGATGTCGAGGATGACGAAGGCATGGGTGATGACGAGCACATGGTTGAACCAGCCGACGACATTGAAGACGAAGAAATGGAAGATGCCGAGGTCTTGGCTGACGAAGAGCAATTAGGCGAGGACATCGGAGAAGAGGATGAGGATGCAGAAGACGAGGACGATGAAGGTGATGAAGAGGAAGCGGAGGAAGCTGAAGAAGTGGAAGAAGATGAAGAGGGAGAAGAGGAAGAGGAAGAGGAAGAAGAAGAAGAAGAAGAAGAAGAGGTGGAGGAGGAGGAGGAGGAGGAGGAGGAGGAAGAAGAAGAAGAAGAAGTCATCGAGGATGCCATCGAAGCCATTCCTCTTGCGTGAGCAATTCTTCGTTGGGATCGTTGCAATGGGCAATGAAATGTTCTCTCACAAAGCTATACAATATAAGTCAAGATCACATGACAAGCAGGTGTGGTATTCATGATGTTTGGATGCTCTCTCACAACAAGGGTATGGTATCCTGTACAGCTATGGAACCTTTGTCATGCTCCCCTTCGAGGTGCCGAGCTCGACTAGGCCCTAGATGATCTTTCCTAATCTTGAGTTGGCATAGTCTCACTTCAGCTAGCGATCCGGTCAAGCATGCGGAGGGAGGATTGCCGCAACCTTTGGCAGGACCTGTATGACGTGGGGAGAGAAAGTGTGGGGGAAAGGCCCGCCGAACCAGTGCCCCACGAGCGAGTCATTCACTCGCGTTTCCTCCACAGATTAGTAGCGAGATGGACCACTCTGAATAATTCCGATTACCATGAACACGTGCCCAAGGATTAGGCCGGAAGCCGCTTCACCTTCCAACGTGCAGCCGGCACTGTCGTTGTCGTCGTTGTTGTCGTTGCCGTTCAGATCATCAAAGCCGAGTCTGTAGTACCCCCGCTTCTTTCCGACAAACCCGCAAAAGTAGTAGCAATCCGTGAATCTGGTCTGAATGGCGGCATCATCGGTGACCATGACCACATCTCGCAAGAGGAGAAACCCATATACTAACGTTGCTTGGTATGCTCAAGCCCTTCCGCGCTTATGATCGCTGCGCAGTATGCCGCGTGCTAACATGAGAGTTGCTCCTCTGAAGTCAAGAATGCAAGCGGCGAAAGGTCAAATGCAGCGGTGAGAACCCATGCGCCGGCTGCCAGCAAGTCCAGGCAGTTTGTCTCTACGAACGCAGCACACGATTCCGCACAGCACGGAGGAGCTCAATGGTCTCGTCACGGTCAAAGGACGAATCGACAACAGGAGCAACCTCCTCAATGGCGCCGGCTCCCAGACTGGACGACGTATCACAATCAAGCACAACAGATCAGCCGAGCAACCTGGAAGCCGACTACAGCCCCCAACATATCAGACATGGCAGCTCTGATTATTACTTCAATCTAGCTCAACAGTTGCTTGTTGGATCAAGCCCGATATATGGCCAAGCCAACAGCTCCGGTACCCAGCGCGTGCCTCGGATGGCTCAGGACCTGCAAAGGCTCATTCAAAATCGGTCCGGTCGGAAAACAGGCCACTTGTTGTCCATCATTCAAGTACCTCGCTGGCTGGAGATTCTGGATACGTATGAGGAGGAGATTGGGTTGCTGTATCCATTTCTGGATGTTACCGAATTGAGGAACCAACTTCGAGATTCCTCCTTGCAGCTGGCGGACCAGGAAAACCGGCAAGAAGTTCGCCTTGGTACAAAGCTTGATGAAGTCCTCATTCTCGTGCTTGCCGTAATGGCTGTTCTCGAGGAGCCTGATGTCAGCACACTTGGTGATGAGTTTGTAGAACAGGTTGTGAGCGGTACTTGGCGCCGGGTGCATACTGGAAACGTAGCCGATCATGACATCACACTCAGCATCTTGATAGTACGTTAAGAACCCCGGGATTTGAAGCTGGTGCTGACCTTTGAACAGAGTATATACTACTTCATGACAGATCGAGAGTCGCTCGCTTGGCGGAATATCGGCACGGTGGTCAGAATGCTTCAAGAACTCGGATATCACAGCTCGTCGGACTTGCAGCATCGATTCAAGTCACGGAGCGCCAAAGACAAGGCAAAAAAGGTTCTGTGGTCAGCCTATACGCTCGACAGACGTTGGAGTTTTGGCACTGGCTTGCCCTTTGCTATCAACGACTCTGATATTGACTATGACACTGACTTCTTGGTATGTAAAATGTTGAATGGCCCAGAATTCCGAGTGATTGACCAAGCTGTGTAGGACGAATCTTTGTCGACTGCCTATCTGAGGGCCATGGTCGCTTATTGTCGAATAGGCGCCGAGGTTCGCGACTCGGCTCTCGGAATGCCTTCCCCGACTCATGCAAAAGACTCTGCTCGCGACCTTCTCGACTTCAAGATCAACGAATGGCGGCGTAACCTGCCTTCATGCCTCCAGTTCCATCAAGACATGAACTTTGACCCATTGACAGGCACCCGAGGCCAGTACAGACTTCGCCTTTTGCTTTACCTCAGGGCCAACCAGATGAGGATTGTCGTCCATAGAAAATCGGCACTCCGATCTGGCAACGAAGCTATTGACACTTCAAGTCTAAATGCCATGATCGAGGTGGCGCAAGACACGATTCGCGTTCTCGCTAAGCTGAGCCAAGTATCGAATATTTATCATGCCCAGCAAAAGACTTTCAATCATTTTCTGGAATCAGCTCTCTCGGCTTTACTCTTGGTAACATGCCGATCTAACGTTTTAGCCGATAGATCTTGTGCTGCCGAGGTACAACTTGCTCTAGACGTGATTGACCACTTGTCAACGACATCATCCATCACACGAAAGCTCGCCGAGAAGCTCAAGTGTTTTGCGACAACGAGCGTCGAAGCAGAACAGAGACTAAGAAAGTCACGCAGCAACACATCTTCGAAAGGAAAATCTACCAACTTTGGGAAAATTGGTCATCCAGCTCACAGATCTGAAACTGTTGAAGAATCTGTGAGAGGTCCTCCTCTGGCAACAGGAAATACAGATGGGACCGTCACTAGTGGTAATGGGCAGGGCGGTCTCACCCAAGTTATGCTTCCCCCATCGCTCAATCAAGAAAATAGTGCTACATGTCAAATTGGAGAAAATCCTGGCGACAGCTACTTGGGGGCTGCCCAGCATACATTCCAGGACCTAGGCCAGGCGGCTGGCTTCGATCAGATGAGCAATGACACTGTACCTTTATTATACCCGCTGGAGTCCGGATCGTCAGAAATTTCTCCAGAGAGTATTCCTACTGATGTTTCACTACTTGATATGGTTGGCGGAATGGATCTGCAGCCCAATGACAGATGGGACGGGCTACTTTCGGATCTCAGCGACTTTTGGGTGGATTATGATAAAATGATTGCTTTTTGAATTGATGACCGCTACGTTATTACGAGACCCTGAGCATTTCATTATGGAGTTGAACGTTTTTCTCGCTTCTGTCCGTCAATACATGCCCACTTCAAGCTCGAAATTCTGCAGGCGTGTCCTCTTGATGCTTCCAGTCTGCCTGCACGAATTCCGGCAACACCCGAATGTTTTCAAATACTCGATGTAGCAGAGGGAATTCTTTCAAATCAACTCCCCAGCGTAGAGCCCCTTCTGCCGCTGGCGCCAAGGCGACATCAGCCAAACTCAGATTGTCTCCAACCGAGTACTTGCCGGCGCAATGCTGGAGGATCTCTTCGTATGCTCGCAATACCGGAGACATCTGCTCTTTGCACCATTCTGGCGCCGTGATACCAAACTTTCCAACTCTCTTGATGATGCAGAGGTTGGTCCGCGGCTGGAAATCAGCCGCCAGTATATTGTAAAGCTCACGTGCTTGTGCTCGCTCGGCAGGATCACTCGGCAGGAGTGGAGTGGTGTTGGGGAAAACTTCTTCGAAAAACTCGAGAATCGCAGTGGATTGGCGTATAACTACTTTGCGTCCGTCGCTCAGCTCCACGATGAGAGTTGGAACTGCTCCAGAGGGGTTGAGTGAGGTATAGCTCGGTGAGCTCTGTTCTCCTTTGACCAGGTTGATATATTCATAATGGAGCTCGATGCTTTTCAAAGCCGCAGCGGTACGTATGCGGGCCGAGCAGGATGATCGAAAGTAGGTGAATAGAGTGAATTTGGCGTCCCGGTACGACATTTTGTTCTGCATAGAGGGGAGCTCTAATTAATGCTGATGATAGTGTGCAGCGAATTATTGACTGTGGTTGGTGTTGAAGATATTGACGGCAAGGCGACCGTAGATCTATAAGCTGCAAAAGCAGTCTTGTCGTGACTGTGATCGCCTCATGGTCTCACTACTCCTCAAAGCTGCAAGTGAATCCGAGATTAGCCGGCCTGTTCTCTAAAATCATGTTCATAGAGCTTGCATGACACGACTCCTCTGTATGCTGGTGGCCTTGGTACCTGTAGCTGCGCTTAGATCTATACCCCACACCGAGTATACGCGCCTCTCCCCCACACGCTCGGAAACGGAAGTCCCCATAGTCGGAAACGGAAGCCATACCGTCCCCAGATTCGGGTGGCGGCGGCTCAATCACCTCGCGTTCTGCAACGCTTCTCCGCATGGCCACTATAAGCAGGACGAAGAGGGCAGTTTTATATATTACCGACCATGCCCCACGCCGCTGATCAGTGCTGTGACTTGCATTCTTCTTGGAATTTGAATCAAATCATGGAGCGGAATGAATGTAGAGGGTTCTCCCATTTTTCATACTATTAGTCAACTCGTGTATGCAATTTCTTTTAATGTGGCAGCTTGTTACGTGGTTCCGCTGGCCTGACAAGCTTTGAGGGCCATTGGCGGTGTCCTGGGTGTTTGTGCGCGATGGTTATGCGCATCCGGATAAAGATCTTGTATTGAGAACAGTTGCTTGACGAAGAATGCAAATTGAAAATCTATGGTTTAGTGTCAGGATTACATCACAAATATTTTGCTTATATGACATTGTCAGGCTGAATTGAACACGTTCGCGTTTCCTGCTTGACCACACTCTAATCACATGCACGGGTGGAATGTTAAAGTCCCCTACAGCATATTACTTGTTTGCAAGGTAGGTAATTGATAGTCAAGATCATTGGGTATTGGTGGATGGATCACAATGTCTTGATGTGGAGGAGTTGGTCTGAAAATGCATGCCAAGGCATCTGGTATTCAATATCAGGGAGAACATCAATGGCATATCTTCCCGCTACATGCTCGCAACGATCTCCTTTGTCATGCGTCCTTGCGAGATGACTGCCATGTTCTGATGACTTACTTAGGTATTGATCACAATGTCAATCACAAGTTCAGAGATGGTGATTGGAATGCAAGTAAATACTTGTATATGATATTGAATCTAGAATATAGGTTTATTTGGTGCACTATGAGAGCATGCGTTCGAACTCGCCATAAATGGATGCATCAACTGAGTCGAATCGTCTTAATTTCTATATTGAACAATTTCTAACCCATGCGCCTGTCCCTATTTTTTGCACCACAACACATCACATGACCATCCTACAGGTCCTTCGTTCTGTCAGCGGCCTCAGACAGCCACTGCTTCAACTTTGTCTCGTTTCGGGCTTTCAAGCCAACTTTGAAGGGCTTGGGGTCTGTTGTCAGGGAGGTTGGCACGCTGTTGCACTCAATAGCGTCAATTATGGGCGCGTCAGCCTGCTTCTTTGGTGGTAGTATATTGAAGGCAGTAATCAATCGAATGTAGGCAGTGTATAGCTCTCGGTTCGCAAGATGAGATCCAGCGCACATGCGCGATCCCGCACCATAGCCGTAGTGAGGAGTTCCAGACTCGTTATCGTCGATGAAGCGGTCAGGCAAGAATCGGTTTGGCTCCTTGAAACGCTGCTCATCATAGTCGGCAGCCCATGCATTCTAAAGGAAAGAGAGTTAGAAACACGATGCCAGACTGATGAAGATAGAACTTACCATGAAGAAAGTTGTACCAGCAGGGATGACAGTGCCTTTGTATGGAATATCCTTGATACTCGTACGAGGCAAGCAGATGGGAATGACGGTCCAGAAACGCAGAGTTTCCTTGACAAGAGCGGTAATGTAAGGCACCTTCTCCTCCACTAGGCACTTCTCCCATGCATCACCGTCGGGATACACAGCCTCAATCTCCTTCAGGGCTCGCTCCTGGATGCTTTGACCATCCTCAGTGGAAAGGTAGGCAAGACCCATAATCAGGTTACCAGGGACAGTATCCAATCCAGCGGAGACCATGGTCAGACAGATAGATTTGAGCTCAGCTGGCACAATGTTAGCTCAACCCAGCCGGATGCATTCCGGTAGATACATACCTTCATTCAGCTTGGCATCGGGATCCTTGATGATATTACCAGTGATGCAGGGCTTGTCGGTACCATCGGCGATGCGCTGCTGAAGGTCCTTGAGCAACTTTGTAAGATATCTGTCTCTTCGCTCACGGTACTGCTCGGCACCAGAGTTTTGCTTGCTCCAAAGACGAAGTAGTGGGACATAATCTTGCCAGTTGTTACTAGTAGATCTGAAGTTGGAAATCTCGCGCTCCACGTGGGTGATTTCAGTCAAGAGCTCGTTTTGAACGTCTCCATCGATGCGGAAGCCATAGTTGAGAGTGAGCGAGGTGTTGAGGGCAAATCTGGCAAAGTAAGGGGTGGGCTCAATGTCGACAGTGCCACCCTTGCAGTCATTCAGAAGCTCCTTGATACTGGCCATGGACTCTAGATCCAGAATTGGCATGTATGACTGAACAGCAGGTCGGTTCAGGGCGGTGCCAGCAGCCTTTCTCCGACGCTTGCAAGACTCATCCCATGGCGAAGTCCCAATTGTGAATCCTTGCGAGGAGGATACGACAGAGTGGAAAGTATGGAAAGTAGGCCGGGAAATAAGAGCCGACTGGTGCGTGATCCAAAAGTGCTTGACGGTGTCGTAAGAGTTTACAAAGATTATCCTCTGCAATGATCAATTAGCCCACATGCGCCTCTTGAGCAGCACTCCGACTTACTCGGTTGCCCAGTCGTGTCTGGAAGACGGGGCCGTATTTGGCTGCCCATTTTCCAGCTACACGCGCATGGTCTGTACCCAATTGGATAAGGTTACCAAAGATGGGAACACCAGGAATCTCGGGCAAGCCCTTGATCTTGGGGACGTCTGTGGCATTGAGGAACTTGATGAGGGCAAAGATTGCCGCAATGACGGCGAAACCAAGTAATTGGTAAGACATGGCGATGTGGAATGCGACTCGTACTGAATCCAATGTCGACAGAAGAATGCACAAGACTTGAAGACTTTCAATTCAAGAACAGCATATATACATTTTCTCGTCTCGCTGCTCGATACTAAATGGTAGTGGCGGACGGCCCTGGCTCGGCTTACAACCAGTGGCTTCTAACTGGCGCAGGTAACTGAGGGCGATTCCGCCTCCACACGGCATCCAATGTTTTGCGGGGTAAAAGCAAGCTTTTCCCCTAGTATTGCAGCAGATCTCAGTCATGGACCGTTTCTCATTGTCCTCTGGACTGTCAGGTATGTGGGCATGATGCAGAGTTGTGGAATTGTAAGGCGCAGAATCCGATTCCGATTCCGTATGGAGGTTTGGCAATCGTGGCAGATGGCTCTGTATGCACGCGACAGTGCGGGGCTTTCGCTCTTTGGCGCTACTGCGGGGATAGTCAGGCTTCAACTTGGCCGCCAGCTCTATGCTACCAAGCAAGTCTGTCTACCTACTTGTCGCGTGACAGTAAATGTTCACAATGTCAATGTCAAAATCACCTTGGCGTTTGACCCAACCATGATTGAGTATGTCATGATCTCATCATTTGTGCGATATCTCTGCAGCGATCTTGCGCAGAAAACTTTAGCTACTGTACCATGTGTCTAAGTCGCTGCCATAGGTATCAGGTAGTACTGCACTATACAATACCTACTTGGAATCTCTAGGGCTATTCCACAGTTGACATGACTTTCTGGCAAGCAAAGCGAACGTGCTTATTGGCTGAGAGCATGATTGCATCGAGTAAAAATGACATGAGCTACCTACGTCTTGTGTATCTAGTGCATAGATTAGACATGTCTTATTCTCCTTCTTCTATTTATTGCCTCTCCCCTGGTAATGGACCACTGATTCTTGCGTAGTTGTCTGCTGGGCAGCTTGACCCCTGGACTCTGCTAAAAGACACTGCGTAGGTAGGTATGCACCAAGGACACACGTCGGCTTACTTACTGACGTGAGAGAATTGACCTTGTCTTTGTATATTACACATAGCAATAAGTATTCCCAATGACAGGCAAATTTCGCACAGTTCCTCTTCTTTTCTCACGCATTCAACGACTGGCTTGCGTAAGCACCCATATAAGTCGGTTCTTTGGTGGTACTGCTTTTATGCCTGGGGTCTCTGGTGTACACGATCCTCTCGGTATGGTGTCTTCAATGTTTGTCTGGGGATGAGCATGCCTCAGCCTGATCGCTGTGTGGTACTAGGTACAATATACAGGATGCTTGTTGACAATGTCACCTAAGTATTTCACTTTTCGGGAGTTTGCACAAGGCGCGGCGGTTTTCGGATATTGAAAAATTCCCGGATCGTGGTGTCCCTCTTCTGGTCCACGCAATTCATGGTCCAGGTACTTTCTCAACTTGGAAGGCGAGAATCTGAGACGCCGCGTAACAGGCTGATGATGACACATCAATTCCACCATTTGAAAAAAATAAGCTTAATTGATATTGGCTCTACTTCCCTGGCAATGTAGTGGGACCGACTTGCCCAAGAATCTTCCCCTTTCAAACCGCTAGGATACTATGTCCTGTTGGGACAATAGACATATCCAGCGCGAAACAAAGATTGATCGGCTGTTTGTTCGTATGTCATCAATTTGCTCATGATATGTGTGTTGCATGATGATGGACAAGAATCACAATTTTTTCTCAAGTCGATGAACTCAAGCGTCGGCGGCAAACCCCGCATGTTCTGAATCACAACACGGGGATGATCTCTTGACGGTGGCATGTAGCGTTTCCACGCGTCCTTCATTAATTTTGGTGGTAATATTACCACCTTGTATCTGGTTTATCCTATAGAATAGCCATTCGCCAAGGACTTTGGCCAATAATGATGTGCTGCTGCGGCTAAGATGTTTTGTGGCAGGGACAACATCACTTTGGAACGGAGGCTCTCTTGCATATTGATCACGGTAGATACCTTGATCTGCATGTTGCGCCGGCGAATCATGTCTTTTCCGATTCAAAGGCGGAAATCTCCATGCTGGAGACCAATCAGTGGCAATCTTGTGAAAACGCCAAGCCCTTCCCAGATCCATGAAGATGACGAAGTCGCTTCTGCCCTGCTGCCTTTTCGAGCCGCATAAGTCTTGGCAAACCAATCACAATGCTCTCATTCCAAATGTAATCTCAGGAACCATACGCATCATGAAGAGTATACACTTATGGAAAGTCGGAATTAAGACAACGTTCGGCTCGGAGTCGGAGGTTCTGCAAATAGTATCGGGCCGTGAATACTTATAGGAAATTCATGTTCTTGACTATTGAGTTGAGATGAAGTACCTCTGCATCCGAGCTAAGAACAAAGATTTGTTCGTTCTTTGAGAATCCAAGAAGATGCGTTTCACCAAGTCTTTGGTTCTGGCCTTTGCCGCTCTCGCCACTGCCCACCCGGGTCATGAAGATGCAGAGGCTGCTCAAGCCCTCAAGTCTCGTCAAGTCTACCATGCCAACAAGAGAGCGCTAGAGGCTTGCGGCACCAAGATTCAGGCTCTCCATGCTCGAGGTGTTGAGCGTCGCACCGCCGAGGTTGCCAAGCACCGCATTGCCCGACGTATTGCTGTCAACGGTAAGATTCTCCAAGTGCTGTGATCTAATCTCCCGGCACTAACACAATGGCCAGACCCTTACCTCAAGGAGAATGCTGTCAAGCGTGATACCACTTCTGTTCTCCAGAAGGATCACCAAGGCACCATCAACGCCACTCTTGCTTTGGAGTCGGATGCTTCCTACGTGTTCAACGCGAGTTCTTCCACTGTCCTGAACCCGGAGGGTGAGATTGGCCCCTTTTATGTTTCGGGCGAGTATGTCCGCTCGGATATCCGCAACGACGAACCTGGTATCGACGTTGTCCTTGAGGCACAGCTCATCGATGTCAACACCTGTGAGCCCATTGTTGGTGCATACTTTGACATTTGGTCTTGCAACTCGACCGGTGTTTACTCTGGTGTCCAGACCAACATGAATGGCAATGGAGCTGATGCATCCAACTTGAACAACACTGCCCTTCGTGGCATTCAGCTGTCAGATGATGATGGTGTTGTCCAGTTCACGACCAAGTTCCCCGGTCACTATGCTGGACGCGCCACTCACTTGCATGTCGTGGTCCACCAGGAAGCCACGCAACTTGAAAATGGCACCATTGTCGGCAGCGGCACTGTCCCCCACATTGGCCAGTTCTTCTGGGACCAAAAGCTGATTACCCAGGTTGAGGCCACCTCTCCCTATACATCCAATACGCAGCGCCTCACTCTGAATGCTCTTGATCGCGTATTTGGAGCACAGGAGACCCGCGGCACGACCTCGGACCCAGTGTTCAACTATGTCTTCTTTGGAGATAGCATTGACGATGGTCTCTTTTCGTGGATCTATGTCGGCATTGATACTTCCGCCAGCTATACTCCTACGTACTCATTCCAGCTGACGGACCACGGTGGTGAGGCTACTGGAAACGGAGGCGGCCCTGGTGGCCCTGGAGGCCCAGGTGGTCCTCCCCAATAATTGGCCAAATCTTGTCCTTTGAAAAGCTAGACTTGAGGACACCCCAGAGTATTTTGACGGTGTGAGACTCTTAATTCAACATTGGCGTCATTGCATGAATAAGTCCGTCTTACTTTGGTTTGACAAAAATTCAAATAGTCAATTCAATACATTGGCGTTTCTCTTCAGTTCTCGATGAGTTGATCTTTCATACTGCGGAACTCATAATGTATTGTCTTGTATCAGGAAATCTACCTGCAATGACTTTCGCTGTGTAATTTGTGCCAAATGTGTTCATTCTTTGCTAAATCCGGACAATCGAATTGATTGTTGAATACTTGCATGCGAAAGTAGGAATGCCTACGCTACGTTTGATTCTTGACTAGAGCCCGGGCAATCTTGGGTTTAGTCGTGAGCAGTTTTGTTCATCGAGGCCGCACGGATCAGTTATGGGAAAGCTAAGGCAATCCGAGAACATTCACTAGTACGACATGGAAGTCCGGTGCCTACAGAATCACTGTTTATTGTGGGTTGTCAACTCGAAATGGAACCCAGCTGGGAAGCAAACGTTGCTGTTGATCCAATTTTTGCTGGCTTGGTCATATGCAAGAACGGGAAAAATGCATATCATTGACATTACCACTTTCAAAAGACTGAGAGGCGCAATCGGATTTGTCTTATGAACTATCCACAATGTATTGATTTAAATTTAACGCTGAACTGCTTGCACACTGGTTGCCAAGCGGCCAGACCACAGATCCATATCTTTCGCTCGCACAAACTAAGGAACAATCAATATATGCCCATGAGATGCACGTGGAAAAATATAAGCAACTGACCTTGGATTTCTTAAAGACCTTCCACAGAATGATTGGAACAATAAAGATTGGAATGCCCACGTATGACGCAATGAAGTCGGCCGTGTTCCAATTGCCAGCAAGGAAGACTGGAAAGCCAGCGACAAGAGTGATCACGGCGGAACCAATGAAGCCAAACCATGCCGTAAATGGTTGAAATGGCGACTTCCATGGAAAAGTCTTGCGACTGATACCTTGCACCTTGAGAGCTCGGTGGAATCGAATATAGCAGGCGCAAAGCGTTGCCCAAGCAATAAGACCAGCCACAGTGCTTAGGTTGAGTAGCCACGTGAAGGCTTGCGATGGACCGCCCTCGCCCAAACCTAGATGTTGTTAGAAAACTGTCATTTATGTAAAAATTGCTCTTTGACTGACTCAGATACGCCAATGGTCCAAATAGCCATGCGACAATCACGGCAACCCATGGCACACCATTCTTTGTGGTCCGACCAAAGATTTGCGGAAGCTGATGATCCGTGGTCATTGCCACAATCATGCGCGAGCCAACCCAGCAGTATGAGCTTCCGGCTGACCACGCCGAGATGAGAATGCACGCATTGACAATGGATGGCAAAACGCTGATGCCAGCTTCCTTTATTGCAATCACCCAGGGCGAGCTGTTTGCGTTTCCAGTTCCCGAAACCAGGTCCTCATTGCGGGGATCAACTACCAAGCTGATCAGGAGAGCGCCAAGAATGTAAAAGAAGCCGATTCGATATGTGACACGGTCGGCAGCTTTTGGAATCGCGCGATGAGGGTTGATTGATTCTGCGGCAGTAATAACGACAGTCTCGACTCCGATGAACGAGAAACTGGCATTGACAAAAGCTGACAGAAAGCCAAGGAAATGGCCAGTTGAACCAGTGATGCCATTGTAGTTGTACCAAGCTCCAGGGTCGTGCCAATAGCGGAAACCAATGGCTTCATGGTTTGGTCCTCCACCAGCAGTAATAACAATGGAGGCAATGACGAGACCCACGAAGCAAGCAACTTTGATGGCGCCCGTGACAACCTCGGTCTCACCAAAGAACCGTACGCTGAGGAGATTTGCTATCAGGATAAGCACCAGAGATATCGTGATGACAATAGCAGTCGAAATGTCTGTCCAGTATGAGACCAGAATTGCAGCTGCCGAGCACTCGGATGCAATGGCGATAGTGTAGCAGTAGCCGTAAGAGATGGCGAGAGAGAAGCCGACAGCAGGGTCAATGAAGCGGGTGGCCCAGTGAGGAAAAGAACCCGCAGTAGGAATCTAGATCATTGTTAGCATTGCCAGAGTTCGAGATCACCAGCTCATCTTGTCGCCAGAGAAACTGGAGAAAACCCAAGATCATATACCAAGGACACTTGGCATGCAGCAAAGCTTATGTCTCCTTGGCATGGCTCCAGTGTATGTGTTTTGTAAATTGACAAGAAAGACTGCAGCTTACCAAGGTTGCTAGCTCTGCAATGCTTTGCATCACGGCCCACAAGACTGCGCCCACGACAATGTATGCAAGAAGTAGACCAGCAGGTCCAGCCGTCGCATATGCAGACCCGGTACCAATGAATAAGCCAGTTCCGATACCACTGCAAAAGCCAATCATGGTCACTTGATAGTCCTTGAGGCGACGTTGCGTGCCTCCATGACCACCAACATTGAGCTGTGGCTCAGGAATATGGTTGTCATCGGAAGATGCATGGCCATTCTTTTCGACATCATCAAGGTCGGTAACACCCTTGGATGCCGATGAACCTTTGAACCCGTGCATCGTGACTTCTCCTGGCGTGGTTATGGCTTGTACCAAGGAAGATTTGGATGAGACCAGACAGAAATATGGATTACATGATTGCTACGTGTTGAACGCCGAAGCTCGCAATGCCTTATACTTTGTATATTACACATATTGTCATTTTACAGATTTTTTCTGCTCCATCCAATGATGGCGCAATCGTAATTGGTTCTAAAAGGGGTATGGCACGTCATGTCCGGTCATCGGCTAAAAAGAGTTGTGGGCGAAGCTAACTAAATATGGAGGGTATAAGCGGGTATAGCTTGACAAAGTTCTTAGTGCGGGAGGAGCCGCCCAAATGTTACGGATATGCACCCTTGCATAAGAATAAATAAATGTGTTGGCATTTTGTCACGGCATACTGCTACCATTATACGAAGAGGGCAAAGAGCATGCTCGCAATCATTGGGAAACGACCACGAATTAAGACTTATATGCTTATAAAACTAGGACGGTATTATATAATATCTGCCATAATAATTATCCCCTTTCTTAAGGCTATCGATGTTACGAATATACACCCTGGCCGTTATTCCCCTTATTAAGCATTCCCAGCGTTAAGGTTAGGCCATTATTATTTTTATAAAAGTAAAAATTATTATATTTATTTTAATATCTCTAATTCTTATATAATAAAACCGTTATATCCTTTGCTTTTACCTTTATTATTATTATTATAATATAAAAAGCGTTAAATTAAAGTTAATTTTTTTATAATTTAACAAAAATTAATAGGTAATATATAATAATAATAATAATAGTTTTTTTAGCGTAATGCTAATGGTTCCTTTAGCGTTATATTAATAATTCCTTTAACATAATAGCAATAGCTTTTTTAATATAATTAATTAATACTAATAGCTTTTTTAATATAATAGCAATAGCTTTTTTAGCGTAATAATAATAGCTTTTTTAATATAATTAATTAATATTAATAGCTTTTTTAATATAATAATAATAGCTTTTTTAATATAATAACGGTAGTTCCTTTAGCGTAATAGTAATAGCTTTTTTAATTATAATAGCGGTAATTCCTTTAGCGTAATTATAATAGCTTTTTTAGTGCGATAGCGGTAATTCCTTTAGCGTAATAGCAATAGCTTATTTAACGCAATAAATATAGCTTTTTTAATATAATATTAATAATTTTTATATTATTATAGTTATAATTAATAGTATTATTATAATAATTACTTTTTTAGGTAAAACGTTATCCCGATAATATAGCTAGCCGCTATTAGCGCCGGTAATTTAGCCGAAAAAAAACTTTATATAATTTATCGTTATTTATTAAAATATTTATATATTATATTTTAATTTTTTTTTAAAATAAAATCGTATTTGCTAACGCAATTAACGATATTGCGTTAAAACCGCGATTAGTTTTAAGTTATTAACGGTATTTATTCGCTTATTATACGATTTAGCAAAAGAAATTATATTTTTAGCTTTTAGCGGCTTATAATAATTATTCGTAATATTATAATATATTAATGCTTATTATAATTATACGATTATTTATTAAAGCAATAAGCTATTAGCTATAACGCCCGAAAAATAAAAATAATAATTATATTTTTTTTCGATTTACCTAAATTTTTCCCCCCCGATTAGCCCGTATCCGTATATATTAACTAATATTTTTATAATTAAAAAATTATAGCTAATTAATTATTTAATAATAATAAATAAAAAACGAAAATTTTTAAGATATTATTAGCTTTTTAAATATACGCGATTTTATTTACGATTAGCTATTTATAATATACGATAATGCTAATTTTTTTGTTAATATTAATTACGCTAAAAATCGAGCTTTATTATTTTTCCCGAATTAAAAGCTTTTAAATTACGCCGCTCGCTTTTTTATATATTATTTTTATAAAGCAAATTCGCGTTTTCGCGCGCGTTTTATTATTAGCTAGCAATTCGAATATTAGCGCTATTAGTTTTTGGAGCGATAATATAATATTATTAATAGCTAATTATATATTAAATTATTTGTTCTAAGGTATGATTGGTGGATCATAAACTTAGGCACAGGGAAGCGTTCGTATGATTCGTAGAATCAGGCCGTAATAATAATTATAAGGCTGTATAACTGATTTATTGAAGCTTAAGGAAAGAATAACTAATTACGGAGGAATAACTACCTTTTATACCTATAAAATCAACCAATAAGAACATTTTAAAATATATTACTAATAAACTGGATTTATAATTAAGTTAATTAGTAATAAGGTTGATTTATAATCGAAGAAACCATCGAAATCTATGGATTTCTATGGTGTGGGTTACCTTGTAACCCAGGGCCACTGTGGCCAGGTGTATTGGCCACACTTAATGGGGCTTGATCCAGTGGAACGTTCCACTGGATTCCAGTGGGTTCCAGTGGCTATAGTGGCCACAATAGTTAATTGTAATAACTTGTTGATTGTATAACACTGTGAACAATGGCTGTAAATGGTGCTGTACTAACTAGAGGTCAGTATAAGGTAAGTTCCACTGATTTCCTATATATCGTTATTTAACGATATTTCGATGGGTTTTATAACTGTTATAACGATATAATATGCGTTATAAAGCTAATTTTATGTATTATACGATGCTGTATTAATATCCGTGCAATACTCCCCTTGTTAAATAGTATCGGTTAAGTTTAACAATTTGATAAATTTCTGAAATTTATCTTTGGGAAGTGGCTTTGTAAGGCCGTTTGTTGGTATATCGTTGGTTAAAATATATTCGATTCGAATATTTTTATTTTTAATTTTTTGCCGTACGTAAAAATACCGTATAGCCGTATGTTTAGTATGTTAGTGATATTCCGGATTATATGCCAAATTTATGGCCCTTGTATTATCTCTTTTAATTAATATGGTATTTATATTAATTCCGATTTCCGTAAGGAGATTTTTTAACTATATTGCTTTACGGGTAGCCTGCTCCAGCCCGTTAAATTCAGCTTCGGTGGTTGATAAAAAAATCGTAGATTGCCGTTTCGATTTCTAATTTATCGGCCTGTTATTTAAAGTAAATAAATAACCGGACGTTAATTTACAGGTTTCGTAATCACCAGCAAAATCGGCATCGGAATAACCTATTAATCCGGGTTTTATTTTCCCGTTAAAGGTAATTCCAAGGTGGTAATAGGATTTTAAATAATTAAATACCTTTTTTACCCCTTTTATCGTGGTTTTCGATGGGTTTTGTATATATCTGGCTAGATATGCTATAGGGTAAGCTAGGTCGGGCCTGGTTTGGATTATAATATATATTAATTTATTTAATAAATGCTGATATAAGTGGATAAATTTTTTGAAGCCGGTTTTTCGTTGTTTTTATTTTTTGACGTATATAACGATTTTGGGAATCTAGGGCTAAGTGGTATATTAGCCGGTTTTATATCGGAAAATCCGTTAATTTTTAGTAATTTTTTAAGGTAAGTTGCCTGGTTTATACGAATTGTTTTATTTTCTCGATTTCTTTTAATTTGTATACCGAGAAAATAAAAGACTGGTCCTAGATTTTTTATTTCGAATTTTTTCGAAATATCTTGTTTTAATTGGTTGATTTTACGTAAATTAAGGCCAAAAATTAGGAAATTATTTACGTAAATTATAATAAAGATATTAGATTTTTTATTATAATAAGCTGATTTATTTAAAATAAGTGGATTAAATCCAAGCTTTTTTAAGCTGTTTTTTAGCGTAATTTGCTATTGGCGTGGATTTTGTTTAAGACCGTATAAGGCCTTTTTAAGCTGGATTACCTGGGAGTCGTCGTTTTTCTAACCGAAATTATTTAATTCCGGGTTTTCGGAAAGAAATTCGGATAATCCGTTTATAAGGGTAATATATACTTTTTCGTATAATTCCCCGTTTAGGAAGGCACCGATTATATCGATTTATTCGATTTCCCAATCGTAATAGGCTGCTAAGGCTAATAAAAGCCTTTAGGTAGTGGATTTTGTTCCCGTAGCGAACGTTTCGAAATAATCGATTTTATATTATTATTCGAATTTACGTATAATTAGTCTAGCTTTGTATTTATCGATATTACCGTTTTTATCGGTTTTTTTTTTAAATACCTATTTTACGGATAATGGGATTTTATCGGCTTTTTGGATTTTATTTCGATCGATGGTTTTATATAAAAGCATTTAAACTTCGATATCTTATTTTTTTTTTAATAATTAAATTCAATATTTTAAAAATTACGAATATTTAAAATATTATATTTTTAAATTTTATTATTATTATTTTTAAAAGTTTTAATTATATAAATTAAAAATTAAAAATTAAAATTAGGTTAGGTTAGCTTAGGTTAGGGTTAGGGTTAGGGTTAGGGTTAGGGTTAGGGTTAGGGTTAGGGTTAGGGTTAGGGTTAGGGTTAGGGTTA